CCCAACCCCAACCCCAAACCCAAACCCTATAAGGAATTTACTCTAAACTGAGAATTCAATTTTTCATTAATTGCACAGATACATTTTTTATGGTGTTTTTTGTAAATCTGATGTTTTAGATGAGTTGAAATATCGGATTAGAAGTTTAGAATAATTAATTCTATCTTTAGGAATATTTTAAGCTGTGATTTTGAATTATGAACAATAAACTGGAGCCTGCCCTTTCAATTTGATAATTTGTAAAGACAAATTATTTAAATATATCTTCCATCGGATGTAATGAATCTCTTAGACATTTTGAAAAAATTAAAAGTTATTTAATTAATGAAATTTTTATATATAAAATGAATTATTTAAATCAATTGAAAATCATCCTAATATTTATGATTTTTGCAAGAATTTCTATCATTTTTGACAAATATTTTGGTAAATTTCAAAGTGCAAATTTCCAAACATTTTTGTAAACTTTCTTGACAATTTTGGGGTAATTGGTAGGAAAATAATCAAAATTGGCAAAAAAGTTGGCCTAAATTTTTGGCCATTTTTATGCCTTAAGCAAAACTATAAGTACTACCATTTTATTCTTTTATCTTAACCATAATAGGACAATAAGAAATGATTTTTTGTTAAAACTCAAAGTATCTAAAAATGTATTTCTGTACAAATATAAATTGAATTTATGATTATAAAAAAACAATGTAAAGATACCATCCTCAACGAGGAAAAATATTAAAAGGAAATACATCCAACAATAACTTCAGAGGAATTGGTAAAAAAGTGTAAAATGTGAATCTTCAACACATTTGCCTCACTTTTCTGGTTTCTAATTGTAAGATTTTTCTCAATTAATACCAAATAAAATTGCCATTTTCATATTTTGCTTTTAGAGCTTGTTTTTTTATATTCAAGGTTTTTATTGTTGACACTTTTGATTTGGTTTACTTAACAATTCTAATTCCTCATTATCCTTGTTCAATTCTTGTTCAACAATACAAAAAAAGGTATTGGAATAAAATACTTAAAAAATGTAATTTCTTAAGCTAAGACAAAACCAAAGGTCAAGGTAAAAAAAATAATTTTTAATGTTTAAGATGGTTGTTCATTTTTCCTTAATGAATGAAAAATTAACGTTTTCCCTTATCTTTTGGAATTTTCAAAACTCACAATTCGGGGGGTGGTACCTACATAGTTTTTTGACTCACAAATCCTGGGGTGGTACCTACTTAGTTTTTTGGCTAGAATATGTTAGAATCCTTTATTTGAAGCATCTGGAACACTTATCCTATTAGATAGTTCATTAATCATTAGGGGAAAGATTTAAAATCTTTGTTTAAATCAAAGGGTAGTTTCTTTTTAGACGACTTAAAGCAAAAGTGAATTAGAATATACATTAAAAACATTACAATTATAATTTTAATCATTTTCTTATAACTTTTTGATTAATATGTTTTTTATTAGTATTTAAATATTTGAATAATATTGAGATGAACGATGATGAAAAATGTGCATCTTAAATATAATTGATGAATTTTTTAAATAACCATTAAACACAATAGTAATGCAAATTCATTACAATTAATTAAATTCTTAAGATGCATCAATTTAATAGAGTATTTAAGAGTTTTTAATCTAAGTGGAAAATTAAAGCTGCTATACATTGAATAATTCTCTTTAAACTACATACTATGATGTGAGAAATTCGTTTCTTTTTTGACCTAATTATTATGAATTTGTAAATGGGGTCTAAATCTAACCTCAAACTAATTTTGTTTCATATTGTAAATAGGCTTTTGGGTAAGAAACTTATTCTGTAATTGATATCTAAATGAAAGGGAATCAGGTAAAGACTATTTTGGAAAGATATAAAGATCCTTAAAAATTGGAGATTTTAAATTAAAAAGGTTTAACTAAACAATGAAGAAATTGATATTAAACAATAATTTAGAACTCCATTCTTTTGTCTCTGCAATTAAATCAAATTGGATTACGTAATTAAATATAAACCCTCTTGCTACTTCTGGTTTAATAAATCAATTATTAGACTTTCAATTAAAATTTAACGAATACTATGATTGCGCAATTTAAAATTTTGTTACAAACTGTATTTATCTTGTATGTGTCTTTCTTTTTCAATAAATAAGATACATGGTAAGAAGAGATAATAATGCTGTGTGCTATGGTAAAATGCAAATTCAGGTGCTAATAATCAACAATGACATTTATATTTTAATGTTTATTATTTAATTATAATTAAGATTAATTGAATTATTAACAATATTAACTAAAGTATTTCTTTTTTAATAATAATGATGCGTAAATTGAGTTGGAAGTGATAACCTTTTTCATTAAGAATTTCAGAAGTAATTAATTTAAGTATATTTAAATGAAATTTCCACACAAAATTATCATCACTGTTTATTATTATTGAGGGTGTTTTCATACAGATTCTTAAATTAATTCAATATCTATTATAAAAAATATGTAAACACTAATGATTATGATCATTTCTTAAATCATTGCTTATTATTGAATTCATCAAATATGCATATTGTAGATGTATTGAGAATTTTCAATATTATTCTCTTAAGTTAAAACAATATTGCATCTTCTATTAATTCAGACGTTTTCATTTAAGGAAGTAAAGTAATTACAAATTTACTTGGTTTAGGTTCAATTAGCTAATTAGTCACAGAGTTTTAATCTTCAAAAACTTTAAATTTAATGGATGTTTGGTTGATGTAATCAGAAAATTAATTGAAATATTAAGGTTGTATATTCTATGGAGATGATGGAGATCTACTATTAAATATTTTTAAAGTAATTCATCTGTTGAGAATGGAATTTTTTTATATTTGTTCCTTTACTAGTAAAACAAGACTTTGATATTCATTTAATCTATTTTCTTATTTGTATGACCATCAACATTTTTTATTAATTCCAAAACCAAAGTAGAGTCTTTGTTACATTAAGATTCGATTCGTTATTATTCCATTAAGAAATTTCTTTCTGTAAAGGCTCTAAGTGTTGCAAATTCTTATTATGTTGTTGATCTAAGTCATCCTAGTAATATTTGTAAGAATTTTAGCTTTCTCTCAATTCATAAGATATACGAAATGATAGTTGCCCTTTACTATTATCCAATTAAACAATGGTAGAATCTTACTATTATTATTTTCAATTTAGAAGGAATGTATTTTTGTATTTCAAATATATTATTTTAAAATGTTCAATCCCAAACCCTTGGAGAACCTTAGTGACTATTAATGTTTCTTAAATCATTGCATACCAATATGTGCTGTAAATATGCAACCAGGCTTAACCTCAGATCAAAGATTTGCTTGTAAAAATTGCATAGAAGTGACTCATCTCAATGTGAGCCCATTAAATAAGATTATAGAAACTATAGAAAAACCAATTAAATAGAAATTAAACTAGTATGAAGAAGTCATAACCCCTCAACTAGATTTACTCAAATAATTTTATGGCAATATCTCTCTAATGGAATCTAGTATTTTACAATAGCTGGATTAACTGACTAAAATTGTAAACAATTGGATAATTAGCATTAAGTAAAAAGGAGAATAAATAGCTCGCTACAAATTTTTCGATTAATTGGATCTTTTAATAAATTACCAACAGCCAACAAATGAGCTAGAAGAATAAACAAGCTATTGTGAATTGAAGAAAATTAACAAAAGTTAAGGTAAAAAGCTAAATTCATGTTTGGATCCATTCAAATCCTTTTAAGGGTATACTAACCTCCAAAAATTATTGAAACAAATACTTCGAAGCCAAAACGAAGTTGATTAAAAAGAAAGTCCCTAGTTTTAATAACAAAAATAATAATTTTCATTATCTTAACAGATACAATTATCATTAGAATCAGAACCCTTACAATAATATAATTAATAGATACAGTCATATCCTTTAGTAATGGAATCTAGTCTTGGTAGTTCGTTTTCATATCAAATTATCCCAAAATTTACTTACGAATAAGGAGAATTATGCCAAGCCTTGGCTATCAATTACAATAATACTCTAATTGCCATTGCTTCGGAATGCAACATAAACATCCTAACAGTTAATTAATCCTTAAATAATCAAGAAGAAACAAAACTTTTACAAAGTTTAGAAAGGAATCACAAAAATCATGTGACGACTCTAAATTTCTTTAAAAAAGCCTCATAAATGTTAAACTCACTAGTTTCAGGGTCTTTAGATTCCACAATCGTAATTTGGACTCCAGATCAAAAATTTACAAAATGGAATGCACTATTCAAATTAAAAAATCATGCTTATGCTATAAACTGTTTAATAATCAGTTAATCTTAAGAAGATTTTATTGTAAGTGGATCTGCAGATAAAACTATTAAATTTTGGTCACTGACTAAATTAAACTCTTGGTCTTGTTCATAAACAATTAAAGAACATACTTCATATGTATACGGATTATCCATTAATGAGTAAGGGAATAAACTACTCTCTTGCGGAAATGATAATTAGATTCTAATTATCTATAGATCTTATTAACAGTTATGGCAAGTAAAATAAAAGATTCAAAATGGTGGAATAAGTGTATCATTTATAACAGATAAAATTTTTGCTTGTTCGTCTATGGAAGGAACATCTTTGATATTTTATTATATGGATTAAGAAAGTGGTTAATATATCCAATCAAATATATTTTAGATTTAAACAGGAGGAAAAGGAAACACACTTTATTTTCCTTTGTATTACAATCAATCTAGAAATATACTCTTATCAAAAAGTGGACATTATGTGAATTTAATTAAGTTGGCTATAAATCCTCCTTTAGACAATAAAGTTATATTAGAATAGGCTATCTTTTTTATTTAGAATATGATTTTTGGTGCAATGAGTGATGATGGGGCGTTATTGGTAACATGGGATTCGAAATCAAGTGAGATTTAATTTAGAAAATATTATTAGAAGTTGTGAATGTAATATGATCCATTATTTAATCAAAAATCATTTTTGCATATTAATTAATTTAAATTTTAAAGAACTATTATTTCAATAATTGATGATGTTAATAAACTGTATTTAATAATTTTTTATTCTGTTAATTAAATTAGTTAATCCAAAACTTTCATAATTTGTCTTAATAAGATTATATGTATCAATTAGTACTTACTCTTTTTATGTTTTTAGTAATAAATATAAATATCAATGCACATGATCATGTTAGCGAATTACATAGTGTGCAAAGGTTCACATCATCTGATTATTAAAATATGGGTTAGAATTTCCCTACTGTTTAATCTTTAGAATAACATTATTTCTTTAGGAAATAGTTTTGAATCTTGCTCTCGGATAAATCTTATTTAATACTGGATCCTGGATTAAAAAACCATATTAATTCAATAAATTCTCCTAAACACATCCATCTGAAAATACTTTACAATTCTTTCTATTCTAACTATTTATTAATAATCTTTTTTCTATTATTGATGTATTCCAGTTGATATTAATCATAAATTTAGAAAAGTTTCTCTACTAAGTTGACATTATCCTTAGCATAATTTTGGATTATCAGAGGAAATTATTAATTTGAAGAATTTGATTAATTTTAATTAGATTGTTATTAGAAATAGATTAAAAATAATTTTGACAGATCTTCCACTTATTTTACTTGATTCATTGGGCTTAGAAATTAAAGGGCACAAAATCCAGTCTAAACATTGTTTTTCATAGACTAAATTACATTCGTAATGCATTTTACTTTCTTCATTTTTTTTTTCTATCTATGCTACAACATTTGATATGGAAGAGAAAGTTCTTATAATATAATAACAATACAACATGTTTGAGCAGTTTATTAAATCAGTTATATAATTTTTATTTGACAGAAACTACTGTACTAAATCATACTTAATCCTACTAAATTCTATTCTTTATTTATTCTACAATAAATAGAATTGAAAATAGCACATCCTTGTGAAATACTTATTAAACGGCTCAATAAATTTAATGATAATAATAATAAGAGATTTCCAGTTTCAATTTTTCGTTTAACAAAATTTTTTCCAAAAATTTCTGAAATGTTAATTTTAAAAAATGTACTAATGCACTCTTCACCCAAACTCTTAAATAACTGCAATATGTATTGATATTTCTCATGAATGTAATCGGAAATTATGTCCTACATGTGTCTACGAGCATAAATCTAGCAAAAGACCTCTCCCAATACATATTTTTTAAGAAAGATTAACCGAAAAGGTTAATGAGTACAAACTTAATGACAAATAATAATAATTAACTAACAAAACAACTTTAAAATTTGCCCTATCAGATATAGAAGAGAGGATTAGGAAATTACACTAACAAGCGATTGATGATAGTAACCACATACTTAATAATATTGACTAATAAGATTAATAGTATATTCACCTTATATAAAATAATGCCAATCCAATTGATACCTTACACTCTGATTTGGATAAGTTAGTACATATGTTAGAAGGAAATACTTTGAGTCATTGGGATCTCCAAAAAAAATCTTATCAGACGAAATTTACTAAGGCTTTGAATTGGATAGCTCAAGAAATTAATGCATATGAATAAAGATTTCAAGTTGAAATGAAGAATATTTCTTCAATTGATTAGTGAGATAATTTGTTAATTTAATAGAATTGAATAACAAGAACAAAATTCCTGGTAAGGAAGCACTTAAAAGAAATCAATGACCAATTGGGATTATTTTGATACTCTATATTAATACAGAAAAATAAAAATCCAAATACTCTTTACTCAATAAGAAACCTAATATTTGAGAGATGGATAAATTATTGGTGTGTAAAATTCTATTTTTTTATTAGATTACTAGGGATTAAAATAAAGAAATTTAGTTTTCTGATTTATTCAATAATCTAGAATAAATATAAAATTTGAGATGGGGTGGTCCTTATGGACAGAATAAAAAAAAGTTTGGAAAATGGACGGCAACTTGGAATGGATAACAATTAAAGGATGTAGTGGATAATACTCCATTAATGGTAAAAAACACGGCTAATGGATTGATATCATCAAGAATTATTGGAGGTAGGCAACAACTATTATTAAGTGTCAGCTAGGCGTAGGTATACGAAGTAGGAGAATATGATAATGGCTATAGGATAGGTAATTGGAAGTGCGTATGTGAGAAAGAAGAGGTGTAAGGATTTAGTTATATAACAAATAGGGGTGGAGGAGAATATAATTAGAATGGTAAGAGTGGTACATGGATTGAATTAAGTNAAATAGAATTGAAAATAGCACATCCTTGTGAAATACTTATTAAACGGCTCAATAAATTTAATGATAATAATAATAAGAGATTTCCAGTTTCAATTTTTCGTTTAACAAAATTTTTTCCAAAAATTTCTGAAATGTTAATTTTAAAAAATGTACTAATGCACTCTTCACCCAAACTCTTAAATAACTGCAATATGTATTGATATTTCTCATGAATGTAATCGGAAATTATGTCCTACATGTGTCTACGAGCATAAATCTAGCAAAAGACCTCTCCCAATACATATTTTTTAAGAAAGATTAACCGAAAAGGTTAATGAGTACAAACTTAATGACAAATAATAATAATTAACTAACAAAACAACTTTAAAATTTGCCCTATCAGATATAGAAGAGAGGATTAGGAAATTACACTAACAAGCGATTGATGATAGTAACCACATACTTAATAATATTGACTAATAAGATTAATAGTATATTCACCTTATATAAAATAATGCCAATCCAATTGATACCTTACACTCTGATTTGGATAAGTTAGTACATATGTTAGAAGGAAATACTTTGAGTCATTGGGATCTCCAAAAAAAATCTTATCAGACGAAATTTACTAAGGCTTTGAATTGGATAGCTCAAGAAATTAATGCATATGAATAAAGATTTCAAGTTGAAATGAAGAATATTTCTTCAATTGATTAGTGAGATAATTTGTTAATTTAATAGAATTGAATAACAAGAACAAAATTCCTGGTAAGGAAGCACTTAAAAGAAATCAATGACCAATTGGGATTATTTTGATACTCTATATTAATACAGAAAAATAAAAATCCAAATACTCTTTACTCAATAAGAAACCTAATATTTGAGAGATGGATAAATTATTGGTGTGTAAAATTCTATTTTTTTATTAGATTACTAGGGATTAAAATAAAGAAATTTAGTTTTCTGATTTATTCAATAATCTAGAATAAATATAAAATTTGAGATGGGGTGGTCCTTATGGACAGAATAAAAAAAAGTTTGGAAAATGGACGGCAACTTGGAATGGATAACAATTAAAGGATGTAGTGGATAATACTCCATTAATGGTAAAAAACACGGCTAATGGATTGATATCATCAAGAATTATTGGAGGTAGGCAACAACTATTATTAAGTGTCAGCTAGGCGTAGGTATACGAAGTAGGAGAATATGATAATGGCTATAGGATAGGTAATTGGAAGTGCGTATGTGAGAAAGAAGAGGTGTAAGGATTTAGTTATATAACAAATAGGGGTGGAGGAGAATATAATTAGAATGGTAAGAGTGGTACATGGATTGAATTAAGTAATGAGTTTTGGTAGCGTTCATAGGTTACTTATAATGGTGAATATAAAAATAATAACAAAGTTGGTAGATGGAATATTTTATATAGGGAGAAAGGTAAGGAAATGTTTGAAGAGATGTAAAATTTAAAAAGATTCAATATATTTAGTGGTGGAGGATCATATGATAAAGGAGGCTAAATCAAAATTGGGCAGTGGATTGAACTAAGTGATGGATTTTGGGATTATTCTTAATTCATTTTTAAAGGAGATTATAAAAATGGTAGAAAAGTTGGTAAATGGAGTACTTGGTATAGGAAAGATGATAAATTTGAACAGATGTAATTTTAATAATCTAGTATTTCAGTGGTGGTGGGTAGTATGATGAAGAAGGTTCAATTAAGATTGGAAGATGGATGGAGATCAGAGATGGCTTTTGGTTGGGTTAATAACTAATTTACCTTGGTTAATATCAAAAAAATTGTAAAGTTGGTAGATGGGATATAATGTATAGACCATGGAATTAGGAAAAGTTTGAAATAATGTAAATTATAAATATCATATTAGTGGAGGTGGATCATATGATGGAGAAACATCTAATAAAATTGGAAATTGGATTGAGATGAGTGATGGCTTTAAGGCACAATAGTAAATCACATATAATGGTCAATATAAAAATGGTAAAAAAGTCGGAAGATGGGATATTTGGTATAAGGATAATTTAAATGGAGAGCGAGAAAAAATGTAGATATTAGAAAAATTAAATTATTAGCGGCGGTGGATTATATGACGACGGAACTTCAAAAAAAAATGGGAGTTGGATTGAGTTAAGTTATGGGTTTCATTATTAGTAGTAAATTATATATAGTGGCCAATATAAAAATGATAAAAAAATTGGTAAATGGGAAGAAATAGATTTGGTTGGAATGATAAAACTTAAAGAAATCATTTACACAAACTGAGAAATATAATATTATAATATCAAATTTAGATTATCACAGATGTTAATCAGTTTTCAATAATTATTATTGATATAAAATTTTAATCTTAACTACTTTTTGATATCCTTAGATCAAGATATTAATACAATTTACAATGACGTTATAAAATATTTTGATGGTTATTACCTCTGCACTCTGCTTATATTTTCAAAGTGATGAATCTTAATTTATTCATTCTAAATTATGAATGTATATTGATCCTTATTTTCATTGAATAAATAAGGAACTATCAGAATATATTTGACTTTTATGTAAACAAGAAAATTATTATATTTTTTCTTACCAAAAATTTTTATTTTTTTATATGCAAATTAGATAAATAATATAAAAAAAGTTGAAAACCGTTCATACCAGACTAATTAATCAATCTAAGTAGGATTTATAAGATTGATTGTTTGAAGAAAGAAAACATTATGATGACTTATAAAAAAGTAAAAACCAACTTTTAAATAAATATAACAATAATATAATCTAATAATAGAAAATGCTTCGATTTATGGATTTTATCCTCATATTGACAAGTAGGGGATCTAGATCAAAAAAAAAATATGAGTTGAGTTTTCTATTCAAAAAAAAAAATAAAAAGAGAAGAAAGTCTAAAAAAAAAAAAGAAGTATCCGAATATATAAAATTTACTAATGAATGAGATTTGGTGGACTAAATATTTGATTGGTGTTTATTTTAACCATTAATTTGACGAGTTTGGAGATTTTCTTTGAAATCTTTATACCATTTATTGATATCAATCAAAATAAAATTAAAATTTTTGACATCCTAAAAAAGGTATATTAACGAAACTAGAGATTTTTGTATTTTTAAACGAAACAAATATAAAATTTCTTAAGTATATCGCATTTTTATTGGAAATAACTAAAATCGAATTATGTAAATTTGTTTTAATTATATTTCATTCTTTCTAATTTATTTATTGGTTATTAATTGTGTTTGAATTTGAATTATTAAATTAAATAAAATGAGATCGCATTCCTTCACATGCAAATTTATTAATTATCAGATAAAATTCATAAATAGATTTAAAATTTTCTTCTGGTTTTAATGAAAATAAATTGCACATTTCTGAGGACTTTTTCTTCATAAATTCGATTTAATTTGCTTTATATTATGTTTCTGTATTCTCTTTAAGTTATCCTTCAATTTCTTCTTATAATAGTAAATCATGGTTCTAAATCGGTCTTAAAATTTCGCACTTATTTTAAAATTAATTTTGATTATAAAATCCGTCCAAGCTTACTTCATTTTGTAACCTGAATATTAAAAATAGAAATACTCAAAATTGGATCTGAAAAATAATAGCTTCATAAGGTATTTAATGAATATATCAACTAACTGTGATTATATTTTCATTAGTCTAAATGAATTTTGGTCTTAAAGATTTTAAGATTCTGGGTCTTTTGATGCTAGATTACTATTATTTGATTATAGTATTCGGCTAGTTTATGATTAAAGTATCTCAAAAAGATTATCTTAATTTTACAATATTTTGTTAGGAATAATCTGTTCAAATTCCGGGAGCAATAATTGCCAATCAGAAAGGATTACCGTTAATTTTTATGTTATTTTGCATCTGGATATCAATATATTATTTCTCTTCACTGTAAACATTTTTTTAAATATCTAAGCTGATAATTTTTTAGGATTAGATTATTGTTTTTCCTCATATTCCTATAAAGCAAAAAAAATAATTTAGATAATATCAGGAGCAACTGACACTTTTTCTTCAAAGGTTATAGCTAAATGATGGCTAATTATAATTAATCAATAATACCTAAAAGTATAAACATTATATTGTTCTAAATTGCAAAGTATAAAGCAATTGCAATATTCTGGCTAATCATTTATTTTTTCAATTTTATAATAGCAGTATTTCTGAAAAAAGTAACCATCAATTTATTGCTGAATATTTTAGACACTTTTTATCCAGTTATCAATATGTATTTATTTTGCCATAGGTATTAATTTGACACAACAATATTGTTGTTCTATCTTACCTATGTATGTGCAAATAAAAGATTTTTATTTTTAAATTAATCTCTCTATATAAACCTATCCTCGATATTCTGTAAAATCTTTTACTCCAGAAAAATCATATTTATTTTGGATATCACAAATATTGCGATTTTTTATCTAAACTCCAATAACTTCAGGATTATTTGAATAGTTTGATAATTAGGTTTCTTATGAAATAAAGGATCTAAGTAATTCTGTTTCAATTGATGTTTTTTTTTTATTAAACTGCTCCTATTCTTCTTCAAGTTCTTCAATTTTTTACTAAAATTTGCTTATAATTGACTCATCAGATTTAATAGAAGTTTAAGATAAAGGATCCATTACATGTGACATCTCTAGTAAATCTACGGTTCTAATATCTAATTATTTTATCTTATTCTTCTAAACCTTAGGAGAGTCTGGAACAAAAGCAATAGGTTAAATTACTATTTCCTCAAGTTTCTTTGGTTAAGTGATTCTTTACCCTTAATTACTCGAGGTATTTGTAGGATTCTTTTATCTACGACAGCAACACCCCATTAGCTAATAAAATTAAACTTCTAATACATATATATTATTAGTAAGTGTTTATATAAAAATTAAATTCTATCTGAGTATTGGCTACCAACCTTATGACGAATACATTCCAAAGATTGTAAAAAGTAAAATAGCTTAATATAACAACATTGCGTCTCATAGTGCTTTTCTTTAAAACAATAATATTAAATTTGGTCAGAAGACAAAAAAATCCAATTTAGATTATCATAATCATTTTTTAATATGTATGTATCTGACTAGGTTAATTTTGTCAATGAATTTAATAGGAAAAAAACTTCATTCTTATTAATGGTTTTAGTAATGAACAAAAGATAAAATTGATAACTTTATAACTTAAAATATTTTTTGCAATTCCAGTAATTAAAGAAGAAATTATTCTGACTATAAATAGTAGAAAATCTTGAAGGATTGAATAAATTGACAAAAAGTGAAAATCAATAAGTTCAAGACTTTTTCTAATTAAATTTAAAATACTAATTACAGCCAAATGCATAAAACCCTAAATACTAAGCTATTCTAATTAAGTTCATTTATTAAAATTAAATAAAATAGGAAACAGATTTTACACAATAAATAAAGTAACTTGATTGCTTTTGTAGGATATAAAAATAAATTAAGGTTTTTGAAATCAATAACTGAATTAAATAAAAAGCAATTATAATTGACCATCATAAATTAATTTTAGCATCATTATGTTTCTAAAATGAGATAAGAGAAATATTTTAGTGTCTATTTAAGAACTTTCAGTCGTTCTTTGCTCTGACCTAATTATTATGAACTCAACTCTATTATTTGAATATTACGAAGATATGAATCTTCATTTTAAACTTATGTAAAAACACAAAAGTAGGTACAACTTATATACTGCATCATAAATAATAATTATTTTCTAAAGACAAATTAAAAATACACTAAATACAATCATTTGATAATTTATAGTGTATTTTTTTTGGGCAGGAGTTCCTTGTAAACTTTATGTTGATTTATCTTGTTAACAATTTTATTTTTTCTTATTCTTACTTTCAATTGAATTAATAATATAATTAAATTGTTTAAGTAAGATCAAGTATATAACTTCAATCTATTTCATCATTATCTGTTTCTTCATTGATTGAATGAAGACTTTCTGAAGAAAGCTGCTTCTAAGTCCATTTTTTTCTAAAAATCTTTAATCTAAACTGAATTAATCCTTCAATTTCATTATTGGTTTTCAAATTCAATAATGAGATTTAATTAATTACATAGTCTTTTAAAAACCTTTTTTCATCAGAGCTGATAATTTATTCTTCGTAGAGTCTCAGAATGATTTCAAAACTTATTCTATATTACATCTCCATAATTTTAATCATCACTCTAAAAATAACTTCAATAAAATATGAAAGAATGTGAGATAGCAAATCAGATTTAATATTATTATGTTAGTAAATCTCAATATATTACGTCAATAAGCGTATTAACTTGCAGTTATTAAATTAAATAGAAATTTTAACAATGCCAGAAACTTTTATTCTATCAGAAGAAATCTCCAAATTTTGATATAGTCGAATACTTCAACTCAAATATAAAGATTTTACCAAATATTTTTAACATTGTTAAAGAAAAGCAACCAAACTACAGATTATGATAATCTTTTCATAAATAAAAAGTGATGATAATTGTGAGTAGATATTACATCAATTTATGTTGTTTCTAATTCAAAATAATCCTAATAATATAACTAATTAATAGGAATGAATCTGAGGATATTGATTATTATTCATTTCTATAAAAAGCTTAATTAAGTATCATTTTTTACTATACACCTTAATTAATCATTATTAAGTGAGAAACAAAATAATAATGAAGTGAAATAAATTAATATATTAAATTATTAAACCTAAAGTTCTTGTCTAACTTTGGAAAAATATATTATTTTCTTCAAGATTTTATAAGATCATGTTGGAATAGAATTAAATATTATCAGCAAATATGTTTATGCAAAATGTAATGGAAATTATTAGATTATTATTAACTTATTGAAATATAAGTTCATCAATAATAATTAAATTAAAATTATTTCTATCCTGGGATTCACTTCAGAAACGAAAATGAATTTGAGTATTTGATAAATTTTCTAAATAGTTGGGTCGCGAAATAATGCAATAAATTTATAATTTATTACTTTATTACTTTATAAAAAGAAGGTTATGTTAGTGATTTTATTTCGATATTATTTTGATATCTACTCTCTTGAGTAATTTAATAAGCAAAAATTCAGATCTCTAGTTAACAAGAATTGTTAAAATAGATAACATTAAATATTTTACAAAATACAAGCACCAGTAATAAGAAATAATAATATAATTCTTTAAGATATATTTATTTATATTTTATTTATAAAGGGACTCATCTCAATTTTTGGCATGTGTATTTTACCAATAGGTTTTTGATTTTTCAATATCTGGTTTAATGGTGGGTTATCCTGGTTTCCATGAAGCTGGACATACTTCACCATGTTTTTCGACAAATTAGAATGCTTACAATAATCTTAGATATTCATCTACATTTCTAAAAGTAGAGATTTATATTACCTTCCCACTGGGGCATCATTAATTGAAGCATGACGTAAATTTTAATTACCATCAATTAAGAATGTTCCTCTTAATGAAAGTCCACTATCTGTAAGAACTCCATAGTCTGAAGAGATTTGTTTGTTCAAATCAGATAAAAGGAGAATGTCCAATCCTCCTAATCCTCCATCAGCTTTAGGCTTTTTCACATATTCAGCATGTGAAAAGACTGAATCAACTGAACATCCAAGGACTTCACAGTTGTTTTCTCTGAATTATTTAGCTAACTTAGAGAATTAGATGATTTCTGTGGGGCACACAAAAGTGAAATTCAATGGGTAGAAGAAAAGCAATAAATACTTGCCTTTGAAATCAGTCAATTAAACTTATTCAATAGCATTTTTAGTGGGATTCCTTAAGAATAGATCTAAAGATAATACCAAGCATTTGTTTTGAAGAAGGGGGCTGCTTTTTATATGATTGCTTTTCCTGACATTTAATGATTTGGAATAATTAATGAAAATTGAGATTATTCTTAAATAATTTATATATCTAAGATACACTCCAAATTCATAATCAAAAAATATACTTCATTAAAATGAGCAGCCTTTTCATTATAACAATTTTTTCAATGAAAATACATAGTGATACAATGAATAGATGCAAGACATTATCTAGGTAAATCCATAAAAAAGCAAAAAAAAGGATTAACATACTATGAATTAACTAATTAAGATCCAAATCTCTAAAATTGATATAACTCAGAGAGCAATCAAATTCAAAAGCAAAATATGAAAAATCTTTCGGGATTAAAATTCTAAATTTAGATAATTTGAGATCGAATAGAATTTAGATAACTAAATGATATCTTGATGCTATTTTAATCTAAAATAGATTTTAAAGGAAGGAAACTATAAAACATTTTTTGAGGGAAATATCTCTACTTGATTAATATTAGAATATCATTTATTTCGTCAATTCAAATAATCATTACAAGGGGCTAATTTCCTTAAAACTAAATAGATATTACATTAAACTGAGCACAAGATGTGTAAATCAATTAGTAATGATTTTCTAAGAAATTACAAACACAAAACATTTTGATATTTTATTTTTTTGACTTGAAGTACAGGGTTTTAAAATACAACATATAGATGATTTTAATTGTTTACAGATCTTAGCTGAATTTCTCAAGAGGTTGAAGGTTTATAACAATAATGAATCATTTATTTTACAAATATAAATAATTTATAATTATTTCAAAAACAAAGCCAGAATCAAAGGAAGGGAAATCGGAAGAATAGTAAATCGTTTTGAAATATTACATTGATCAATAATTATATTATTAGAATGATACGTATCGTAATCGCTATGAAAAAGCTTCTAAGAATATATTTATCAAATTAACTCAAAATTGTTTATATAAAGTTAAATTTTTATTCATGAATAATAAACTATTCCCAGTTTTATTGAGACAATTCAATAGAACAAGATATAGAAGTGAAAAATCATTAATAGCAGATATTAATTATAATCCTTCTGGAGACAATGAACTTAAAAGGATTATTTAAAAAAACATTTCTTTAATTCATTCTTATAAATAGTTGTTAGAAATCTTGGACTATAGTTTTATTCAGGTGGATTAGAATGATATTATTAAACGATTATAGAATTAATTTGATGATAGAGCTAAATATGGTTTTAATTGTTCTAATGAATTATTTATAAAATTTTTAGCAAAGGTTTTCGAAAAAAGTAATTTATGGTATTAAACATAGATGGTTGGAGCAATGAATTTGATGATTGGTTAAAAGCGTATTTAGAATAAAATGTTGTAAAAATGAGCTAATCATATTCATAATAATTGAAAAAAGCATTATAAAATTGTAAAAAAAATGAAGAATACACATAAATATTGGATGATCATGTAAAGTAAATCGAAAGTTTGAAATAATTAATATGATATGTTATATGAATCAAGATTTTTAGACAATGCAATTTTTTAGCAATATCCTAGTTCGATATACAATATATTGTTATTCATCTAATTATGTAATAAATGAGCTCGGGTATTTTGTAGAACATATTATTAATATAGCTAAATAATCTTACAATAAAACTTATGAATTATGAATTAATATCAAATAATGTTTGAAAAAAAGAGGTAAATATATAAATTTTGTTTAAAATAGTATAACAATCAGGATGAATGACATATGGTAGTTTCACTTATATTTTATATTTAATGATAATATCCTTTCTCTTGGATACTTTATAGAATTTATGCATAATAAGTACTTTTTGTTTATTTAGAGAACCGGTATTGAGACTTTTAAATTTGTTTTACTATGGAGCTGAAGCATTAAATAATTCCTTTTCTGCTTCAACCAGGATTGTGTTCTTCTTAAAAATCCCATTTTTCTTCTCTCTTGACCTTTATCTAGAGGAGACTCGAGATGCTTGCCTGGATTTTTGCAATATCAATTTCTCATTATTAATGATTGCTAAAAATTTATCAAGATTTTCTCTGGTTTTATTAATTTCTTATGAGAGATTGACTTTTATGTCTGTAATATTTGATCTATAATAAGACTATAAATATTTACAATCTTACGTCGTCCGTAATACCTAAATCTTAGGTTTGATTTGAATAAAACTTTCTTTTGCTTATGTCAATGACTTTTTCCTAAACATGGATATAATTTATACTAATCTTTTGAATTTGAGTTCTCTTTCTTGAAACCTTTTCATTTATAATAATTATGAGTGATCAACTTTTGAAGCATTCTTGATTTCATCTTCTGAGTCATTATCATCTGCAAGATCCTGCTTGATGTGTCTGTAGCAATTATCCTCTAAAGTAAGAAGATTTACACATTATTTGTGTTTTTGATAATTGTTGATATTTTCAGATTCTATCTTATCAATAATCTCTTCTCTCAAGACACAATAATTCATGTATTGTATCATTTAAGGGAAACTCAAAGGAACAAAGGTTAATGGTTAAGAAGGATCAGTTTGATTTACTTAATAGTCTTCTCTTATTTTCTTCATTAATTGAACAAACACTAAAAAATGGTGTAATATAAGATACTGTTTAAAGCTTCTTGATTTTGGAGGGCTTGCTTAAAATCTGTCCAATTTAATTTATCTAAAGAGTATTGATTGTTAACTATTACCATCTTCATCCTCATCAATGCTTTTGAAGAATTCTTTGAGTTTTGATTTGGTGATGTTTATTCCATATTTAACAAACATGTCATACAATTCAGATCTATCTAGAAATTCTAAGGAATTTTAAGAGATACTTTATACTTGATTTATCTCTATCAATAGAGTTAAAGACAGCTTTCATCATATTTTATTCTTTGAGTTCTGATTCATAGAGAATGTATTAATCTTTAACCCTAGATTTGTAACGATTTCGTAACCATTTGATGGTGTCGAAAGTTTTGAGATTATAATTCATAAATTTTATTGTACGATTATAGATAATCAATATCATTTTTTTGCTTATTGTGCTGCCAAATCTTCGTCCATTTGTTTAAGTTAGGCACCACCTCTGAGAAGACCTGATCTTCTAGCAGCAACAAGACCGACTTTTTGACCAGGAGGAGCATATCTTGAAAGTGTGGATGGATGACCAATATGTTATTAATTACCACCACCATGAGGATGGTCAACTGGATTCATGGCCACACCTCTAACTTTTGGCCAGCATTTTCTAAGTCTTCTGTATTTGTGGAATTGTCTTCCTGCCTTAAGAATGGGCTTTTCAGTTCTTCCTCCTCCAGCAATCAATCCTAAAATAAATTCAAATAAATTACCAACTGTGGCTCTACAAAGAGCACTAAGTGTTTTTCTGGTACCAGATGGTAATCTAACTCTTGTTGTTGTTCCATCATCTGAATGACCAATAATGGTGGCATAACAACCAGTTGCTCTTCCCAATGCTCCTTTGTCTCCTGGGTGTTCCTCCAAATTGCAAACTACTGTACCCTCTGGGATTTATCCAATAGGAAGTACATTTCCTGTGGCCAATTAAGCTAAGATTCACAAACTAAATGTTACCTTTTGCTCCGCAATAAATGTATTAGCCAGTGTATGATCCTTCTGGAGCAATGAAGAGCTTGGTGACTTTTGTATACTTATATGGATCCTTGAATTCGACTTCAGCAAGTGGAGCTCCTCTTCCTGGGTCGTGACGAATTGCAGTAATCACACCTCTGACATAGCCATGTCTTTCAGCATAATCAAGATGTCTGTATTAGGGAGATCCGATTCTTTAATTTTGATGTGCTTTGAAAACACTGTTTGATTTGCCCTTTCTTTGTGCTCTGATTCTCTTACCCATTTTTAAAAAGATTTTAAAATTTATTTTAAGGGGCAGTGATAAATTCTTTAATAAACATCATTAATTCTAATATGCTAACTTCTAGGCAATGTCTATGAATTTTATCATGATCAAGATAAGATTTGCCACTTTCTTCAACGTGTACTTGTTCTTCTTCTTTTACACAACGAGTTTCTATTCACCCTAAGATTTCACTTTATCCTTCTACATTTCCTCGACCATAAACACTAAGATGAATATCTAAAGATACCATTGCAGATGAAACAGGTGGTTCTGAATTTGCATTGTTTGGGGAAGAAGTTCTGCCAATCGTCGATTTCAGTGCCCATATTTAATGATATACCCTTCAATCCCTTCTATTTCAAGAATCTTAAATAGATGTCCTCAATTCTGGTTTCTGTATCTACTCCTAATCCCCAATTCAATCCACAATACTCACAAAAGGGTTTTGTGATTTTCTCAAGCAATCCACCTATATATTTGATTGCTGTCTTCATATGTCTGGAACGATACAACCAATATTTCAAAATGGCCTTTGTGGATTCACTCATGTTATCGATTCTTTTGTTGAACTTCTGGGGTGAAGTGCGAGCCATCTCAGTTCTCGAGGAATTTTTAGTGAATTGCCTGAAATTCCAAGCATTATCAAATCCAGCCACAGGATCTTCTTCGTTCTTCTTTTCCAATGGACCATAAATTGCATTAAATTTATCCAAAATGATTTTTCTTTTAGACTTCAAAGTTTTCGGACTTAATCTAGATATATATATATCACAATTATTGATACATTAATTAGATATTGTCTGCCAACCATTATTTATTGGAAGTAATAAACAACTTTTTGAAATGATCATTGGTAAAATCTTAGAAATTATTATTGATTTCAGAGAGTCGCTCAGTTTACTCCCTAAACTCAATGGCTTGATTCCAATTGGGAATAAGAAGTTTTGGTCCTGAAGGAATTTGACTGGTTGACAATTTATCGATATCACCAATTGAGGACATTACTTACTCATCTTGAGGTGCTACTCTACTTGAAATATCCCAGATTTTTAATCTCTTGCCTATTTCTATGAAAAGATGATGCAAAAAGAATGCTACCACAACCCAAAAGAAAATTATAAATATGAGGGCTTGTTTAAATTAAATTAGGTACCTTCATCATTAAATATGTTATATTAATTCACATAGATGATGTGAGATCCAAAGATGATCATCTGGATTGCACAAACCTATAATGTGGTTATGAAGTAGTATTGGGATGAATAACACCATTCTATGATAACTCAATATATTGTTACAATCAAGGGAACGGAAACAAGTCTCGCAATTCAAATCGTTTTGAAATTCGCTTGCCTTCCAAAAGAGATTTCTATTTCTGAATCGTTCTCTTGTATTGGTTATGTAGGTGAGAAAATCCAATTCATGGTATTACTCGACAAGATTGTATCCAAAGGTATCAATCATCATTTGAAAGGGAATCAGAATGATGGTCCACAGAAAATAATATATGAATTCACTCTTATTAATCTGATAATCAGCCAATAAATTAGATTCATCATAAAAGAACCACATGATTGTAGTAATAAAAGGATTGAAAACTAAAGTGATGATATCATTAGCAAAATTGGAGAAATAATCTATCAAATCAGTTTGATCTTCATTATCTGCTGCCAATTCCTAATGAGTGCCACCCTATTCCTCATTGTATTGTTGAAAAGTCTTATGATGCTAATCAAGAAGATAGGTTCTGAATTTATTTTCAAACTCATCATAATCATCTTTAGTGAATGAATTCTCATGATTGTTTGATGAAATCTTATTACTCACAAACGATTCATCATCCGAAGCCAGATTCTCCTTCCCATCGTCTGAAAACACTATATCTGAATCAGAATCGTCCTCATTAGTCTTGAGTACCTTCTACATCTCAACCAACTTCTCATCTTCCAATTCGAAATCCTCCTCCTCCTCATCCAATAATCGTTTCAACATTTTGTACACCTTATCAAACTGCCCCTCCAATTCCTCAGTCACAATATCTTGAATCTTGATCACATAAGCTCTTTCCACCATTTCAATACCCTTATCCACTATGGTAGATAACAAGAAATCATAGAATGTTGGATTACCCATAGTGGCCACATTGATGTATGTACTGAAAATAACTCCTATGGGACTTGAAATTAAATTGTTGTCAAAATACACTTCCAATATGTACTCCAAAATCATTTATAAGATCTTTAGAAATATCAGGAACATGTAGGCATTGTTCGCAAATAGATCAGAATAGGAAAATTGAGTCACTATCAATATAATGGTTGCGATAAAAGCGAGACAATATACAATGCGACTGCGTTTCCATAATCTTACATTCTTAACATTTCCATTGTAATCTTCTTCGGGATTGATCTCTGGAATGTAGATCCCACTGATAAAATATACAATATATAATCCAACGGTTATCATGGCTAATCCAGTTCTAGCATTTCTCAACGATCCGAATTAATCACTTGTGTATTTTAGTTAATTCTTAAACAAATCAAAAAACACTACTGCACATCCATCATCAGACTCAGAATATGGAGTCATATTACAACTCAGACTCAAATTGGTATTCCATAGTTTTCCTGCCATTATGATTGATATCAAGATATACACAGTCAAAGCAGGAACAAATGCCAAACATATTCCATACAAACTGCTTATCCAAAATATACGGATATAAATCAACAGATTAATCTTTGGCCTTGGTCTCTTCCTGTTGGTAATGTAATGATAAAACAGGAAGATGGCCACTTCCATTGCTAAAATTGCTCCTATGATCATGTACAAAATGAAATAGACAGGCCATTCTAGAGCAAAATTATTGACTAATTGTCCTTGAGTCATAGATATAAAATTGAATATCAGATTGTAAGTTATTTCTGCCTTACCAGCTTTTTAATCCTCGCTCAATTTATAAAAGTTTGTGAATGTCACTGATCCTGTAATTATTCTCTTTTAAGTCCTAGTAACTTAATAGTAATGAATATCCAAATTCACTTCTAAAGGCATCATACCACTTGGAATTGAATTTACTGTCTATATTTCGACAATTCCATTAGATGGCGCTTCATAACTTGAGCTGAAATCTTTTGGATCCAATGGATCTGCTTAAATAAAGAATAGGGTTTCTTTGTCATTCAATTCAAACCACCTGGGTAATCGTGGATTGATATTGTATTTCTCGTCCATAATGCAATACAATTTTAAATCATTACATTCATCACTTATGGGACTCATACTAAATTAAAATGGGTTGATTGCTTCAGTTTCATTTTCGTTGTAAAGTGTACAATTAGTGTGTTAGATCAATTGGTAAAAGTAAATGTATTAACCAAATCCTTAACAATTTGAGAAAAAAGGAATGTAGGGAATGACTATATTGTTTCTGTCGCCCCAATACTTTGATTGTGGTGAGTAGGTAGTGTAGGTATTTTATTTAAAGAAATTATTAGATGAATAGGATATAATGTGATCTTAGTAATCAAATGAATTTAGGGGTAGGGTGTTGGCAGGCAAGGCTATCTAATCTGCTTTGGATTATATAAACACAAAAATGCTATTTGTATTTACCAAGGCTGTTGATGGTTCCATATTCTAAACCTTGGTAGTGTTCATGAATTGATATTTCTAAGCATAAAATTCTTAAGAATTGATCTGAAACAGAATCTAAAATGTTATAGTCTTGTATGCAAAGATTATAAATTTGAAATCGCTTACCTTCTCCACATCACTTTATTCAAATATATCAGGCAAAGCTATTGTATTATCCTCCAATTTAATGTTGATATTCCAATCATCTTATGTATAATTAAATTATGAGATTCCCTCTTCATCAATATACTTATCCAAATGTCTGAGATCGATTATCAACTCAGTCAAAGTAAATGCATTCAAAGTATATTTTGTAATGTATTGATTCGCTCCCTTTATTGTTTAATTTGTTTCATCTTAGGTGCTCGGCTTGAATTATTCATTTACAAAGTTTAGAGGATTCACATCCGCATAAGAAGAAACTGCTTCTACTAAATCCAAACAAAAGTAAAACCAAAATAATGATTAAGTTATTTTTTTCATTAAATATATTGCTTTAATTACAGTTTTTCATTATTTGAAAAATAAACCATTACACTTCCATCTAGAACAAAGTTAAAAAACATTATATTATTAAAAATGATCAAAATAATCAATAATTTTTCTCAAACTCATACAAAGCATCATCGTGCAATTTAGCCTAATATAATTCAATGAAATTTACATCGTGCTCATGAACCTAAAATTGCCAAAATCGAACATACTCATCATCCTTCTCCTCTTATGCAAAGTCATGCTTTACTGATGTTTTGGTTTATTGTTCAAATTCCATCGCCTAATCCTTCTTTTGCTCTCCCTCTCCAAATGACTAGAAATCCTATTGCTATGTCCCCTCTCCTTAACTTTACTCCTACCCCCAGGAAAAGTTCGACCAATCCTACTATTATTATTATTATCCATCAGTTGGATTCGATTAATCATTAGTACCTATGTTGAAAGCATCAAAAATATTTTATATGTTCTGAGTATTGCTTTCATTCTACATCTTTTCATCATGATTCGATTTCAAAAAGTCGTCATATTTATTTTGGATGTCCTCCTTATTGAAATCCACCTCTTCGTTATTATCAGCTCGTGTATGACCACCTAATTCATGATTATTCAATTTCTCAGCCTTATCAAAATATTACTCCTTAAACTTTTTCCAACCCTCCTTCTCCAATTCTGATTACAAAAATGGGTATTTTGATGAAAACTCCTCCAAAAAATGAGCCAATTTAGTTACGAATCCCAAATACTCCTTTCTCTAATTCTTATCATTGCTGACTTCTGAAGTACACTTCAATAAAAACTGGATAAACTCATTTTGATTGAATAACTAAATTTTATATCATGATTTATTACACTCTAAACTAAACTATCCAACTTCTACTCTATTATATGCACTAAAAACCTATAATATTGCAGATGTAAAATATCATGCTTTTCATATTTGATAAATAATGAATTATAAACTCTGAAGATATCCAATTCATTTAACTTAGTAACAAAAGATTCCTAATTCAAACTTATGCACACTCCAATGATTTCCAGAATTTTAACCTTGTGTTACCCAAAAATACGTGCTTCTGAGTTTTATAAGAACTCTAACCATTTTTCTAGATGCGATTCTATTTTATTGAATAGCTCCTGCTGATTCACCTAGAATATAGCACTTTCAGCTGGGTCTCCTTGTCTTGTGGCCATTTTGTAAAGCAATGTGAGTAGGTTATACAAAGCAGTTCCTGAAGCAAGAGAGACGAAGTTGTTTTCATGAACAATTGATTAACAGAATTGATCTATCGATTCTCCATATAAGAATTCAAAGAGTGGTTATGCTTTGAATATTACATAGGCTTTTAAGGTGATTTCTTGGATGATGTGAGATACATTGGTGGATACCTAATGTAATTTTATAATGATTTACTTCAAAATTCTAGGAATCAACAATTCTGTCAACTACTCCTTTGATTAAGTGAAGCCTCTAAGGTGTATAATCGACTTGTGTTTCTTATTCGATTGTTAGTAAGCGAATCACAAGTTCTGTAACTGAACGAGATTATAATTGTTTGATTAATCCATCTGCTAAATTCTAATATTAATAGAATTCGGCTAGAAAGATATCGGTTCGCATTTTTAACAGATTAAATAACACATTGCATACATATCCTGCCAAAACAGGGTTCACCTCCTCATCTGAAACAAAAAATTAAAATAATTTATGCAACAAAGATCTAATCATATAGTATAAGGTGATACTTGTCCTCTCCAAAAAATTACTCTAGAATCTTAGGATTCTCACAACACACCAACAATTCACATGAATAAAATGGATATCTAAATGCTCTTTTTGAATTTGAATCATCTACTGGCATCTCAGTTAAATAACTGACTAACTCAGCCACTTGTTTCTTTTGCATACTACATATAATTCATAATTCTTACTATTCCATAAGCTTCTAATTTTGATTTCTGAACTCACCAATTATTAAATCGTCTTCCAACAGAGTAGTCAACTACAAGTCTTGAGTTTCAAAATGTCGATCGAATCCATTCTCCTTCATAAGCATACCAAATTGACTCCAAAATTGAGCACTACAAATAAGCACCTACATTCTTACCTGAAATTCATCGTGAGAATTAATTTTATTAATGGAATAATTATCAAATGACTTTTTGAATTAAACTCAATACCAAAAGAGTCAACTTTATGTGCTCACTTAGATTATAAGATGCATTTATATATAGGGGAGATCAAAAATTCAATTTAAGTGTGACAACAAATTATAATTTCTATTAGGATTCCTTTTTCCTATGTGAAATCAAATTTAAATTATAATATAATATTATATTATAAACTTCATTTAAGATTAATAAAATCGAAGATTAAGATAGATTCGAAATAGATAAAGATGCTTTTCACGTTTCTGATCTTTTTTCTTAAGGATATTAAATAAATTTTTAATATTACTTAAGCCTTGCTTATTGATATCAATTGAACTTTAATCTAGAAAAATAATAAGCAATTATTCTTTACAAGAAGATAATACCAAAGGATTCTTACTGAGATGTAATATTGCTCACCTTCTCATGATATAAGAACAAGACTTCACTTTGTTTTTTAGTATAATTGAGATATTCCCCCATCTTGAATTGCCATAATGCTTCTTTTGATACATTTTGTTCTTCAAATACTAAAATAGCTAATTGCGTTAATATTTATATATATCATATAAAAAAGATGACTTAAAACTTATTGATTTTAAACTAAATACTAACTTTACAATTCACTTTTTTTTTCTCAAAGTAGGTACTCTTATAGTAGGAGCATTGTCTGTATTTTGCATTTCAATCTATTATTGTAAATCTTATTTTTATTATTGCTATTATTATTAGACTGTCGGTTTTAATTAGATGGTTGTTTCTTGCGAGACAGTTAAAGAAGGTGGACAAGATCCTCTTCTTAGAAGCTTTAGAATCTTTTTGGATTATTTTTAAGTTTTCAATTAATAAATTCTAAGGAAGCCTTCAGAATTTTCAGGCTTAAACCCTATTCTTAAAATGTCATCAAAATAACCTTTTAGATACCAATTGTCCATTTAGATTGAGCTGAAAGGACCTAATGTACATTAAAAATAATACCCTAAACTTTTAGGTAATCATCCACATAATACCATATTTTTTAAAGTAAATGATTAGCTTGTCCAGGAGTACTTCTGCTGAATACTATTTCCTTTTTGATGCTTTACAGTTGCTACTGGCTCCAATCAAAAGTATTGGATTATTTTGGTTAAGGAGTGAGGATTTATTATTCATCGAAACGAAATAGATCTCCCCCTCCACTTTAATAGACACCAGCTGTTTTGAGAGGAGTAGCACAATTACTCGAATACACAAGTATTTCTATTATTCATTTACTAAACAAACCTTGATTGAAACCACGTATGGGTCTAGCCTAATACGGATTCTGACTCAGAGCCTTAAAAGCTTGTGGGTAATATTGGCATAATGCTTTGAAGGATTCAGGCATTTACTCAAGAGGTTTCTATCGATAGTGAGCAATCAATTAGGCTCTAGAAAGTTTTTATTTCATAAAATATAAATAACAATGTGAGAATTTCCTTTTTCTTCTTTTACTTAGCACAAAACCCAACAAAAGAATAAGAGAGAAAGAACTTATAGAATATTTCTACTAAATTTGTTATTTACTTCACGAATCCAAGTCTATCATTTTTAGGACTCCTCTAATCTACTCGTTGTCATCAATAATATCAACAGAGAAGGATTTCTTTCTCATCAAATCCTTCAGTTCTTCAGAATCTAGATTTTATTGGGTTAAAACATACCTGTTCGCTCGAGAATGGAAATAAGGGCGGTTTGATAATGTTCGCCCTTATTTTTAAACTCAACAACAGTATCAGATTCTGGTTCATATTGAAAACTATTCTACAAATTATGACTGAGCCACTATTATTGGTCACTGCAAGTATCTTAAGATTTCTGATTTCTTTAAGATGATGTCTGCAAACTTCGTTCCCGAACCTTGAAGACATTCTATATAATCCTATTTCTAGGCACAATCTTAAATATTCTCGATTGAGATGATTGTTCAATGTACCTAAAATAGATTGCAATCAATACCTTCGTTCCTATTAATGGTGATAGAAGGAGCAATCTTATTTATTGCAATTTGAATTGACACATTGTTTAGTTCTAAATAAGATGGGATGGTACTCTAGTTCCTTCCACCCATGACATTTATTACAACTAAAAGCCTCCGGACATCCATAACTATATTCTGTGATGTATTCATTGGTATTCCAATTGGAGCATGACTATGGAATGTAATTGTATCCTTGCGGTTTCCTTCTAAAGTCTTACCAATTGTGGGCATACACACAAAGGGACTTGTCATGTTAAGTCAGATTGAATGGACACCACACTGTTTTGTAATAGAAAATGAAGAAGTCGTCGTCATATTCTAAATTGTGAATGAGTTCTATTGCTATGTCACCTTCTGAATGAGCAAACGAACAGAATTTCCCATAATCGCATTGTTGAATGTTATTGGGGTAATAGGAGCAGAATTTGGTTTTGTAATTATCTACTCTATATAGTTATTCCACTCTATTATGAGCTCTATTGCAATTGTCTCCATATGGACAAATTGAATTATTTTCGATGTATTGACACAAATCAGCTGAATACTCCACTCCGACTCTAAAAACTCGATGAAATCAAGTGATACCTCTTGCGATCCTTGGGATTGTGAAAGAAGGGACATTGTTTGTGATTGTGATTACCCATAACCTTGCAAGGTTAGACTTTGAAGAATCCCAAATCTAAATGTTCAACTCTTACTTAGTATTGTAATTGCTGACTGAAACCAAGATTATTATGAGTTACATCTGTGGTTTCTAGACATATGCTACTAAATTACCTGTCTCATTTAATTTTGTATTTTTCTCAGTTTTCAATCCCGAGTTCATACTCAACATTCCTTTTGGTATGATATCTGGAGGCATCAAGTTCTGTGTTTGTTGTCTTCTATTCCCCTGATTTCTATAATTGGAATTGTATTTTTACAGACCTTTCCTCATTTAATCACGAGGAATCTACATAAATTAATAAATTATGAACTCAAAAACACTGAATAAATTAATAAATTGGGCAATTCAATTTCTAATAATCACAAATCTTTGCAATTTCAGATTTTGTTTATTGAAATAGTTTATATTAAATATACGTTTTTAATATTAAGTAATATATCAGAATTATTTATGGATCCAAACAAGTCTTCTGAGGGAATGGAGCAGGCCGATCAACTTCGATTTTGAGGTTGCATTCTTAAGATAGTATGACAAATTACCTTGTGGCTGACACTTTCAAGCATCTGCAACTTAAGAGATAGTGCTTTAGCTCTTCTTATGGGAAACCAAGAATAGTCGCTAGCCTATTGTTTGGCTCGGATGTAGTTGTCTACTCCATTGTTAAAATCGGATTGCTTCATTCGCAGATAGCACATGTAGAATAGGTAATTCCAAATATTGTGTTCAACCTTGATGTGATGCCAAAAGCCTGTGTTCTGACTTGTCCTATCAAAGACTAGTCGATCTATCCCGCAGATAAAGCATTTGTGATTCTAATCCTTCTCCTTCTACTTCTGAACCGATCTCAACTCCGAGTAGGAGATAATGATGACAGCCAAGAGAATATTGATGATGCACAACTTAATGATTATGTTGATGATGTTGTCGTAGAAGAATCTGCCATAATAGTTATTGAGATTGCTCAGGTACATTTCCTCAGACTTCTCTCCTATGTTTTCCATGAACCTACCTCCGACGGACCCATCGGTTTTGAATGTCCAATCAAAAGTCACGAAAACGCATTGCCACAAGTGATTGCAAAGATTCTGATTCTTATCAGTAATGAAAAACTCAAAGAAGTAAACATAGGATATCAAGGCTACCCAATATTCAAAAAGTATGATTGTCAACCACAATCCAATAAATTTAAATTTAGCCAACCACACAGCCTTTAATATGGGTATGAGTGGTTCCAAATACAGGATGTGGATCAAATGAAATGCCAAAAAAAATGGATGAATTGTTATCCCGATAATATTAAACGCTATCTAAAGAATATAGTATATAATGTCGAAATCAATGACCAGTACTATGATTGAGATGATCACCTTGATTAACCCAGATATCAAGTGTCCAATAAGTGAAGATGCATGCCACGCATTCCAAACAAATTATAATTTAACAGGAGCCTTGTCAATGAGATAAAAAAACAACACCATGAAACTAAGCACATTAAAATATGACATCTTACTTAATAGCTAAATTCAGATAAGCCAACATCATCAAATAGTATTTAGTGTTTGTGTTATTATAGTCTTCTAAGAACCTTGGTTCATTTAATCGATAATATTAAATCACATCAGGATCCTTGGGTTAATATCCAGGAGGAAATGCTAATTAAGTATAACTTAAAATGATAATTAAATTAATCAAGAACCCATTGTAGAAAGCAAGTTACATCCATAACTTACCTCTTCTAGCCAGAATCTCTAAGAACTTGTGTTTCTTAAAGTAATCTCTCAGAGCCTCTTAATGCAGCATAAACTTGTAGGCTGAATCCACAAAGTTAACCAAACTGATAATCTTTGTTTTGGTGCTAGTTCTGTCTGCTTGATCCAAGAATTTCTTCTTTATTTCTTATCTCAATAAGTAGAAACAAGGGAGTTTAGGGAAGTAGGTTAAGTAGAGTACATCATCTTTTACAAATTCAACTTGCAAGGTATTCATTTTGTAAAATTAAAAAGCCTTGTGCATCATCTCATGCTTTTTGATTATGTTCATCTTTTCTTCAACTTGTCCACTGAATTATTACTTGATTTGATTCAACTACTCCAATCCATGTTTCATCAAGGATTACCCCAATCTCGAGAGTTCATTCAAAATGTTATCCTTCAAGAAATCTTATACTAACTGTCCTTCATCATCGTTCTTCTTAAACTCTTCCAAATCCTCCACTACATAATTTAGTTCTGACAGAATAACATATAAAATGTAAGCATTGAATCCACTTTCCATGATAAAATTCGGTTTATTCACAAATATCAACTTCGAATAATTGTCCTCACCAAACAAGTTCACCATTTGGTGATAAACATTGACAAAATGTTATATCAACACAGTCTTGGGAACTATTTTCTTTAATTTCTATACAATATAATCATCTTTGGTATTGATTTCAGCAACTACCAATAATATTATTAAACACTAATGTTTCAATTAAATTATTTGCACTTCATCCAATTACTATTTTAAGGATGAGTCATTTAACACTCTAATGGAGAACTCAACAAACTTAGAATTGGCCACTAATGTTTGATTTGGTCGACATGCGTAAGCTTGTGACTTTATAGTCTTTAAACACTAAATAAGTTGTTCATAATTGTTCTTAATATCCAAAGAGCATAGATAGTTGATTGTCTACTGAACAAGATCGTATGACTTTTTATTATTCTTCTGATAACGAATCAAATTTTATAACTCTTTATTGTTGTCATTACACATCAATTCCATTATTTATAATACCAAAGTACATATTTTTAAATCCTGGTCTATTGTCAATAGCATTTCCATTTTTTAAAAGAATTTGTCACTGGATATAGCAAGACTCAAAAATGTCAAGGTTGTCTTCTACACTTGCTTGCAAGTCAAGAGTTCTTTAATTAAAATCAACAGTTAAATGATGTAATCATTCTCACTTTCATTCTCTTCCCAAATTAAAGTGAGAATTATCTTGGTGCCACCCAATTAATCAAGTATTTTAATTCTATTCTAATCAATTTTTATGATCTGAATCAACAGCTTTAATGCAAAAATGGCACTTTGTTTTGATGCTTTGTTTGACTTCCAAAATTACAAAAATGCTAAGATCTTTTGCAACATATCATTATTAGTCAAAATTAATTGTCTCTTCTCCTTATCCTCCCAAAAATCACTCGTGAACATATCACTCACATGCCAAATTGATTAGGCTAATTGATCAGTTTCTGTCAATTCCTTGATTTTTTGATTGTTATCAAATAACTTCTTAAAGAATTCCCATAATTCTAAATCATTACACCCTTGATCCGATCCATCACTACCTTCAGTCACCTAGTATTCCTCGAACTTCTCAGTTTTAAAGGTCTCTCCATTCAAATCACTCATCAATCCTTCCTAATCCGAATCTGTTTCACTCCTTTCATCAGGAACTTTCAAATCAAAAGCTTTGACCAATCTATGCACTTGATATTTGGTTGAAGTATCACTATTCTTGGTTATTTGTGAATACTGCTTTAAAACACTCAAAGCATAACTTCTAATTTATGCTATGTCTGTCTTGAAAGAGTTCTTCTTATTGGCGTATTCATTGTATGTGTTTATCAATGGCAACAATCCCTCCACTATATAAGTCTTGGCAGATGTTTACAAAAACTCTTACTGTTCAAGCCAAGATGCTTCAATACTGATAATCTAGAGGAAGTAATTCTCGTGTATTAATAACAACTTCTTCTTCTTTTTTGATAAAGTTAGTATTATTCTACAGATGACAAATTTGATCTAAATCTACTTATATAACTTACTTTAGTTATGCTATCTTATAACTCAAGATCTAGATTCGTATTTCTCATTTCCTGAGTCTTTTCCAGAAAGTAGGATGTCAAATCAGTGAAATCAAGCACTTCCAACATTTTGACTGATAAGGCTGCTCTATCATCATGGATCAAGACCACTTCCACTATCTTGAGGAAACTCTAACGAAATTCTTCAATGTTGGGTTAATTTGGGTAGAACTTCTAAAAGTTGTAATTATCCTAGAATGGCTAGAATGTTATAATCCATAGAAATTACATTGATGTCTCTTGATTCACATTGCACTAAAGCCTAATAGATATCCTTATACAGAGATTGGCATTGTTTGTTTCTTACTATAGATGTAAAGAGTTCTATGAACGACTAATACTTGCCATAGAGTTTGACGTATTCCAACAACTGATACAAATCATTAGAGTTCACCAATGGCAATAAGTTATGATTGTTAGAGAATAACTCATTGATCAACTCGATCTGACCTAAATTCACCATGTTGTATCTTAACAATGGCCTTGCTAACTTGATCAGGACATACCTAATTTCGATAATACAAATTACTCTTGATTTTATTAATCATTCCTAACAGATAACCCTATTAATCGAAGACAAGCTTGAAAGATTTAGAGAATCTTTTCAGTCAATTCCTATTAGTATTGTTTCTATTCATCATACTCTGTTAATTCAAAAGTGCATTCGAAAATGTCCATATTTACATCTATCACTGACAAGCATTTCACTATCAATTAGTAAACCACTTAGTAGCCACCACAATTCAAGAATATCCTCCTAACTGATCTCTCATTCGCCTCATTCTTTGATATGATTGTATAGATTTCAACCAGTTTCTCTAAGACTTTTTCAATTGTCTCTTCATTCTTTTCGTTTAATGCTACTGGAATATCTAAACGCAACCAGATTTGGGAATTCTGCACATTGTTTTTAAGCTTCTACACCAAAATGTACATAGTTCTATAAATAATCTACAAATTATTCGTCATTATCATTTGTATCTACTTTAGGTAATTACAAAACTCAGATCTTTAATTTTAATACCTTTCAATCAATTCTACGATATGATTTTAGAGGACATTATCATTCGCAAAGTAAAATCCTTTCAATAACACTTCTATGAATGGACGATCTATGATCCTGTCGAAGTGTCTTATTCTATTGATCTATACATGATCTTTTATTCCTCTTTGCTGGAACTTCTTCTATCCTGGTTTCAGGAGATCCTCCCTCAGTAATCCTTACAAAGAAGTCAAGTATTTCTTTCTGTAATAAACTAAGTGAGTTTATAAATGGGACTTGTTCTCAGCAGAATCATGCAACTGCTGTTTCTCTGAGTGCGTGAACTTTTTAGAAACTGAAGGCAAGAATGTATTGGTGAAAAAGGCAATCGCATTATCAATCATAAAGTCTAACCTCATATCCAATAGATATTAAAATATTTTGCATATCTCTATCTTTATTTCTATTTCATAATCTGAAGTATTAGTTTGAGCACTAAAGGTCTTATTCTGGAATCTGTTCAACACTCGTTTAACATTCTGTAATTTCCGTAGGAGTGGATCTCTGATCGTCTCAATGCTACTCTGGTTGATTTTCTTTTACTCCGTTTTTCTAAAGAACTTTAAAGATTGTATTTTAATCATTTTTGCCAACTTCTCATTCACATTCTTGGATTTCAATTTAGAATGAGCCTTTTGATAATCAAAGTCATATTCAAGCAACAATGACAATTACTAAATTAATTTTTCTAATGCATATTCAATTTCTTTGGAGTCATCCATTCTCTATTTATTCATCTCATCACTTTGCTTCGAAAACCATCCAAACTGCAATAGCATAAATAATATTCTCATGATTTGCAGAGTGAGGAGGTTGTACACCTTCTAAGGTTGCTATTCATGAAGATTCTTCACCATTTACCTCAGATAAGAACTCAATATCTCTTTGAACTTCTGAATTACATAATATAAAGACTTGGTTTCCAATTCCACCTTATCAAAAACCCCATCTTCATCCTCATAAAATATGTTATCAAAAAATGTTTGACTATTGCTGATATTCACTCTGATTAAGGTAGGCTTTACTTGAGCAATCAAAGGGTCCCTGTCTAAGTAGATATTTTTACAGAGAGCAATCAAATGGGCTCTCAATTCAGGATCTATTAAGTTGTTATTTAATAATGGGACCAGGGAATTATCACTAAATTGATCTCCAAAATACTTAATGGAATCGTAATTTCTTTGTAAGCATAATTAGGAATATAAGAAGAATTAGGCCTTTAAAAAATTAAGTTCCTCTTAAAAATGGGGATTTGAATTCTTATGAGTTTGTTCAAAATAGGCCTCAAATTTAATCGACACTTGTCCCATCTTACCATTACAAGTAACAATAATATTCTTCTCTTCATCTACAACACATTTCATTAATGTAATATTCCTCTTCTTATTGATCAAAGTCTTAAATATCATTTCTTAATTTGCAAATATTGCCTCAACTCCAAAAGAGCAACAGGTGGCTAAGAAATTCAAAATTTCAGTTTTTTGGCTCAAAGGGATTTCAGTTTTAGCAACAGAAAGTAATGAGACTTTTTCAGTCAACCACTCAAGAATGAATGTATTTTTATTTGGTTTATTGGAGGAAACTATAATTCAATAGGAATATATATGATACTCTTTCTAATTTTAGAGAGGTCTTCTAGAAAAAACCTATTCTTGCAGACTAGACTATTTAGAACTGCTATGAATTCAGGGTATAGTATTATGTGTTTGTGGAGTATGGGCAAAAACTAAAAAAAGCAATTCTGATTTTCAATATTGTCTTTGCAAATCTATGAAAATATATTGATAATTGTATACGATGTTAATAGTTTCAATTAATTAGACTTAGAGTATCTTGATTTGTAAGCGATAATAATAAATAATCCTTCCTTCATCTCTGTCTGCTCTATTGACATTTTTAGTACTTTAGTAGAATTTCTCCTCCTTTTCAAAGAATTCCTTATCGTTTGAAGCAATTTGTTCAACCAATTCTGGTTTCAGCATTTGGAACAATAAACAAATAAGGGGAAAGAGAGGTTCTTATCTGAATGACTAGATTTATATAGAAGAAATTGATTACGTCTTATCTGATGAATGACATCTGATTATATTTTTGATTAGGGGAAAGGTTGGATATTAATTTATTCATCAGAAAATCGCTTACATAAGCCAATACTTGTTTGACTTTTTGATAAATGAAATAAAACTTAATTTTTAATCTGATTTCCCCTTCTTTATTTTTGATATCATAGAGAGAACACTTGATTTCTTGATCATTGATTTCTTATAACAATTCAATAGCTTCAATGAAGATTTTAACAGAATATTGCAGTAATTTAGTTTCAGTTTCCTCGTAATCTCCAATCTTCCTTAATCTCAAGATGTTGATATTTCTATTTTCTTGTTTGTTGTTTTGATCCTGCAAATACATTCCAGATTGATAATGTTAAACTTTGAAGTAGGAATCCTTTTTCAAGACCTTCTATCCTTCATCAATGGGAATCAACATGAAGAGGGAGAGTTTACTCAATTAATTTGTTAAGATGGGATCACCATTAAACAATTCCAAATATCTAGAGGATTGATTATGTTTAAGTCTCACCAATTGATAAAATTAGATCTATCCTCCTTGTCCATTTGTTTTTTCGATCTTCCAATAGGAACTGCTCTGAAGTTTCTGAATTCTCTTCATACCTATTCTTTCTATCACGTCATCGAAGGTCACTTTGAGATCCTCGTAGATGATCTTGGTGAGAGTCAATGAGGTCAATTGGTTCTGAAGTCTTTGTATCTAGTATTCGGCTATTTCGTGAAATGTATCATAGGGTTGTTTGGCATTGAGAAATAGCTTAAATGATATGAGGAAAGGATGTATACATTAGTTTCACTTAGGTTTATGGCTATCAGATCTCCTGCATACAGCAAATCCTCATTCTCTTGTAGACTGCTGTATAAATTCATTTTCAAGTAGGTTGGACTTATCTGGGTGGAGGACACTTAGTCTGCAGATTCCTTGGAAATTAATCTTAAATAACATTTTCTATTTTAAATTGATTTTGCAGCACACAATGTTACAGTCTCCTAGTCCAAAATACACGAGATCTGTTTCTGATATTGATAGACTGGTTGGAAATGCAACACTGTGTAATCAGAGGGGAATTCCACTAATTACACTGATTCTTGATCAATCATCACAAATCGAAGAGAATCCTTATGAACCAAATGAAAAGTGGAAGTTCCAAATAGTAATGAAGTGTCTTGCAGTTTTTGGAAACATGAGATATTGGCCATCATCTCCTCATCAAGATTGTTTTCATAAGATTTTATAGTCTGTTGTCTAGATTAAATTGTGGATTCTATGATGCTCAATTAAACTACCCTTTTTATTGATTTCTTTGTCAATGTCATTTCTCACTAGCTCTACCAATTTTCCAACCCAAAAATGATTTAGAACAGGTATGATCATAAAAATGCATTTTTCAAAGTTCAGAATCTCATTCTGATGCGTGACCTTATGAACCAATAAATTATCATTTAATTAGTCAGTTGAAAGATAGGTCTCGTTTTCACTGCATAACGACAACGATATCTGACATCCATAAGTAATCTTTCTTAGCATTATTTATAATTATTGATGGATTAAATTAATTCCAATTACAAATAGACATCGAATTGTAATTACTCTTCCACACCATACTCGCAAATTACTCAATCTATAAAGTACTCCATCTTTCCCTTTTATTGGAAAATAACCTTAATACCAAAAATGGAGATTTTACTAAATTTAGAGTTGCTCAACAATTTAGTAAATATACCCACATAAGAAATTAATTAATTTATATTATAATTACAAACAGTGGTAATATTTACATTGTAAATCATTTGATTCAGTTTTATAATTGTTATCAACTATGTAATCACAGAAGAGTTCCTAATAGGATTAAATGCAAAAACATATAGGAATGATTACAATAATTGAATAAATTATTACTAAAATAAACCAATTGTTTTCTTAAATCAATCAATCCTTATCAATTTTAATATTATTCCATTTTTTATTATAAAAATTGACTAGCTAAACCAATAATAATCTGCACAATGCTTATAGATTGTTCTATATTTTTAAATGAGATAACACACTTCGATTTTTATAGTATTAAATAACCATGTATATTTCAGAATTCTAAGATGTTGATTCTAAAAGAGTTAAGGAAAGACTAGTGGAGAGTGCCTACAACAAAGTCTTGGTCTGGAGGAAGATATTCTAAGAGGGTTTGATCAATGAACAAGGAGAAAAGCAGCATTACTCTTTAAAAGAGGCTGCCAAATTTGTTGGTGTTCCTAAAAAGACCTTGGAGGATTATACGTCAATCTTCCACAAGGTTGGGTTAGTTGCTTCGCTGTTTGATTTCTGGGGGAAGAAGATGGGATTCCTTAGAAATTTTATAAGAAAAAATAAATCAAAAATTAGAAAAGCCTTAATTGCTGAAAGATTATAATAATACGAAAGAAAGCGAGAAAACTTAACTATAAAGAAAAAACAAACCAAGGGTTCAAACTTTCTTGAAGATTTTTCATCATGTAAAGAGACAGAACAATTTTTCGAAAGGGTCTCTGATCAGAATTTGTTCAATTCTGAACCTGAAGAAATTGATGATGTGTTCTAAGAAAGTCATGTCCTTTTGCCAATTGTCAAATTTTGATTTAGTTATTTATTTTGAGAGTGTAATATTTATATGACTTAAGATTTAGTAAGACACTTAAAAAAATGATCATTTTTTAATAATTTACGAAGTGTTAAATTTCTTTTAATATAAATTGAAAACCCAATTATAATTCATTTATAATTTAATAATTATCAATTTGAAGTAATTTTAATTTAAATAACTTAATGTAGTTCTTCGACATTACAAATTTAGAAAAGAACAACTAAAATTTAAAATCTAAGAGTATTGTTTAGGTTCCTTAGAGTCCAAAAAAGAAACACTAGATAAATTATTTGGATATGACTAATTTGAAGTTTGATTGGATCAGATTAGATGAAAAAGAATTGGAAGTTATGAAGGAGGATAGACCAAACATCTACAAATTCTCACTTTAAGAATAGTTCTGTTGGTTTCAAAACCAACATACTCACTTCACTTACCCACAACAGATTGAACATAAAAATGTAATATTATTCAAAATACTATAGTTCATTGAATCTCTAAAGAAACACAAAATTGATGAAGACAAAAGACATAGCCTGTTATGTTGGATGGATTACGTAATGGGATTTTTTAATAATGCTTCAATTGAAACATACTTTTTGGCAATCTCACTTTTGGATAAATTTCTACAGTAGACCACATTAGTACTATCCAACTCGGACATGTTGGTGATTGGAATCAGCTGTCTGAGTCTTGCCTCCAAATATAAAGATCATCCTTGTTTATCATCCTAAGAATTGATTTAATTGACTGGTGATAAAATGGATGAATTTAAACTGGTAAAGTGCTAGTTTACTATTTTAAATACTATTCAACATTTAGTTGAAATTCCTAATTACTTTAAGATTTTCGATTACATAATGAGAGATTTGGAATACCGATATTATAAATTTATCTCTTCAGATGTTATTTAAAACTCTTTAGTGAGTAGAAAATTGAAAGCTATTTATTAGTGTAGTCTGAACTTATTAAGGTTCATCTCTCAATATTATGATACCACTCTTTTCCCCCAAAGTGCTGTTTCCTATGGATCTATATTTTACACTATAATACGAATGGAATTACTCTAATATTCAATTCCAACAGACTTAATCAATGTGCTCAGAGAAATACAATTAGACTAGGGAATCTTTAATACAGAAATTGTTTTGAAATATATTTATCGATAATGTCAAAATGGGATGTCTGAAAAATAATAGTAATATTTTAAAGATTGAATTTAATTCATTGTTAATTTTTAGAAATCAATTTAGTATCAATAATTACACTGTCTTCTTCTAACTTTAAGTAAGTAATCTAATTATGAGATATTACGATATGGATTAGTAAGACTCACGACTGAGTTTTTTTTAGATTCACTAAGTGGTTTTTATAATTCCTTCACTTCCTTTCTAATTTGAGATTTCAATTAACAGTCTATTGATTTCTAGTTATTAATTATAAATTTTGACGGACTCACTTAAGGTAAAATAGAACGATTAACTGGGATGAAAGTGCGACTTAAATGTTTCTTCTTTAATATCTTCGATGATGTATTACTAGGTAGAGTAGGTAGAGTTTTATTTGGTAATTATATTTCTTAAACCACTTTGAGATTTTTAATTGGTATAAGTAACAATTTATCATTTATTGTTTATTGTCTTTTCACAAATACAGTATGTCTCTTCTGGGTTTTTGAATGAGTGTCCCTTCTTTAAGGCACCTGCATAGTAACTGACTTATGTTAAACAAGAATATCCTTCTATAATCGGGTATCACAGGAGTTACAACGTTTTCTAAATACTATTGTTTTAGAAGATAATCTATTTCTTATAAGAATCATTCTTCTTGCAATTTTTTAAGCTTATGGTTATTATTGGAATATTTACAAAAGCGGAGAGAGTCCTCAACAAAATCCCTCTTTTTCTTTATTTGTTATGCTTGTTCTACTTAACGATGACAAGTTGCTCCTTTGTACATTAGATGTGTGATCTTAGTGTTGTCATGCCCACAATCAGAACAACAACAACTTCTTCTTCTGATTTTTTACTTGTTTCTACTGTCCATTCTCCTTCCCTCTCTACTCCCAAAACGCAAATGCTTAATCTTGGTTTCTTATATTTTTGGTTTTATCAATTCAAATGAGAGAGTTCTTTATGTCTTCTTTAACGGATGAGCCTTAGAGCTGTAGTTAGTTGTATTCTCGTCTTTCCGATTAACGATGAAATTATATAAATTGGCTGAACTTTCTTCATAATCCATACTGGGTAATCCTTAAATATCTCTCTCTAATTATAGTTTCAACAATCTTACTCAATTCCTTAATCATTGTTTTCGCCTTTTGAAACAAGATATCTTGTTTTAGTATTCCTTCTAATTTTTTCTCTGGGTGTGAATTAATTTTCATGACAATAATAAACTAATAGTATTAAGTGTTTTATATAATCCCAATATAACTAAAACAAAATAATCAAAATTCCTTTTGAGGATCTTTTTCAATCCTAACTTAAGATCTTAATTTTCAAGTGAAAACAGTTTATTCAAATTATATATGTTACTAGATTTTATTAGATCTATTCCACATTTCACCCCAACTATTTATAAATTGACTAATTGAGATAAAATAGGACATCTCCCAATCTGCTCCATATATTTAGTTCTTAGTTTTAGAAGTATGATTAGTTTAAGTTTACATCAACTTTAATAATATAAATGTTAGATTCTCTTCAGTTTTTGAGACCATTTCAATAACTTTAATTGAGAATTTCTAATTGTTGTTGTAATCACAAATATCAATATCAATTATAAATATAATGAAATCTTAATCAAGTAATAAAATCAACAACAAAATCTCATCAACAACAGCTCAATAATATAGGCAAAATATCTTTAATTATTTTAGATATGATTAGATGTCATTACTATATTTATTTGTATCAGAAATGTTAGTAATAGAATTTTAACTCTTTTGGTTTGATAGATTTTAATATATAGTTATAAATAATTCATACATATTAACAATTATTTCTAATTTTTAATATAAATATGGTTCTATCAGTGTTTTTACATTTTTAAATCTGTGAAGTAATTTTTTATAACTTGTTACAAGGTTTCTTTATTATCTGGCAATTAGACAACTTTTTTGTAGTCAAAATCTAAAATTTACAGAAGATCATCAAATTTTTCTTCAAACCTAAAAAAGTCAATAGAATATGCTAAATGATATATGTTGTGTTCCATCAGAAATTCGCTTTCATCTTCAAAGGAATAACCAGAATTTAACTCAATAAATGTTTTTTTGTATTAATTGTAATATTATTTTGGCGAAAATTAATTGCTTAGTATTTCTTCTAAGTAAAAGTTAATATTATATTTTTTTTGATAATCTTCAACTTTTCTCTCTAATCTCTATAATAATTAAAAATATTATTTACTTGGAAAGTTAATTTGGATTAGATGTATAGCTGTTTAATGAACTTCTTTTGAACACGTAATTCTTCGGTTTTATCCTTTAAAAGTAACTCTATTTAATTTTCAACAAAATTTTTATCTATTTAACTTAATTACTTTGTTATTTCTAATTCATCCCAATACTTTTGACTTTAAAACATTAAATTATATATATTGAAAATGCATGAAAATTGATATCCACTTAGTAACAATAGATAGTAGTAAAGACGAGATATATATTGCCTATAAAGATCACGATTATCAATATTTTCTAAAAATTCAAGGAAACTGTTATTTTTAAAGAACAAATTTTCAGCAAAAAGTGTACACTTCGCTAAATAACACTCTATAAACCTCATTAAAATATTATCAGTTATTTAAGATTATATCTATGAATCACCCTCGAAATTGCTGGAGATTTACTTCACAGGCATATCCTTCTTCTCCTAATCTTCTATTAGCTCTGAGATAAATTGATTAAACATAATGGAACTCTATTGAAACATTTTACAAGAACTTTGGAGATCACTCTCAATTGTACTTTGGAGGTTGTCGTTAGAAATTGAAATTTGGGATTTGACTTTTTCTTTATAAGAAGCATTAGATCTTTATTCTGAGATTTGATTTTCCTTTGTGTTTGATTCAGATGAAATTTTAGAATTTTGGCTTGGGAACATTTCGAACAACTCTTCCCAACTTATTCGAGAGGATTCATCATAAATTAAGGATTAACTTAAAAATTAAAACAATTTTTCTTTTTCCTAAGGCGTTCCTTCTAGATTTTTTGGAAATTCAGTTATTTATATTTTCTTATCCTTTGTTTTTTTTAAAGCTTCAAAATATTAATCAAGCGAGGCAGCATATATAGGATATTTTGAATAGATCATTTCATAAATTACTACACCAAGCTATATTTTAATTATTTTTATTACACTATAAACATCGCATTTATTGGTATAATCTTCCCCTAGATTTACCTAGGGAGCAGCGTAAACTGGAGTTCCGATTCCACTTCTCATAAGTAACTCTTCGGGATTGTCTAAGATTCTTCCCGCTCCATAATCAGCAAGCTAGATTAGCCATTGATATTACCTAAAATACTCCAATGTTCCCAAGAAATATATTAGCAGGTTTTATATCTCTATGAATAATTCTATTTTGGTAAAGCACCTTGTAGCCTTGTATAAGTTATTCCAAAATTGATAAAATCATATTTATTCCTAAATAACCATTACTTTATTAGAATTTCATTAGAAATTTCTATAGGTCTCCTTAATGGCAATATTCCATAAAGATAAAGCAATAGTTTTTCTACTTGCTGACATGAAGAATCTTCACAAGATTCTCGCAATCGGTTTATATGAGCTTCTCAACAATTTCTATTTCCCTATAATACATATCAACTGAATTTTAGGATAGCTAAATCATCTAGGTTAGGATTGGCATTTACTTTAACACATTGATCCATTTAATAATCTGGATTTTTGCATCTATAACATCTGGAAAATGCCCCATGGCCAAATTCTGTTGAAAGATCAATTTTAAAACCATCAACATCAACAAATTTTTTAGTACGATCAAACATAAGTTTATAAAAATTATTGAAAATAAATTTAAATTTTATAAAATTAGAAATAAATAAATTGTCATAATTAACGATCTGAATTATTAAACATGTCAAAATTCCATCATTTTTTCAATGATATTACATTAAAGCAATAACATGGTCATTAATTCATTTTATTAATTATTTTAATTTACAGTACTTGAAGTTTCATCATAATAACTAACGTTCTTTTATCTAAGAGTAGAAGTTTCACTATTCAGCTTCTCCATATAATCTACACTCTCTAAAGTTTAGTGTTTGTTGTGAGGTTGGACCTCTTGAGCTTTCATGTTATTTCCAAATTATTAGAGAATGTTCATCTTCTATTGTATGGTACCTTTTTTTGCATTTAAATCCTTTTGAAGCATTAAAAGAGTAGTGGGTATGCCTTCAGTAGGTTATCTAGATAGAATGTCACAAGCATAAAGTGTCATCTATCCTAGGTATAGTGCTTCATCTGTAATCAAAGTCTAAAGAAATAAATAAGAAATTTACTATTATTTTATTTTATTCTTATTATTGGAGTTGTAGTTCTTTGATTTACTACTCCATATACTCAATTTAGTGTTGATTCTGGAGATAAGATTGATGGCTTTAGCATTTGTCTTACAGTCTTTAGATCTATTATTAATAGCTCTTGCAATCACTCTAATTAATGATGAATACAAATACTTCAATTTATTGATGCTATTTTTGTAGATTGAAATTATCCTTTAACGCTGCATTCAATTACTAATACTACTTATTGAAATCTTATTACAAATCATAATACTTTTCTTCAATCTATTTGAATTCATCTTATTTTTCACGCAAGTGATTGTTCTCATATGTCAATTCCTAATTTTATATCAATACCTAATCTAAATTTTTACTGATATCAATTATTCTTTGATTAAGATTGCTATAGGTATTTGAATTTTCAGAGTGCTTTTCTAGGTCTTTAATTAATTTAGTTTTTTATTTAATTTCATCTTGTAGTTGAATGACCTTGATATCACTGGATTACTTTTCAGTTTACAATTTGAATAGGTTTTCCATTAATTGTCTATTTACTATAGTTTATTCATCCAATAACCTTTTATTTTATTCAGTTTATGATTCAATATCAAAATTCAGATTTTTTTAATTCCTATAATAAGGAGATTTAGATTTGGAACTTAATTATGACTAATTTCTATCATCCCTGGTTTAAGTCTTGTAATTGGATTAATTTATTAAGGAACTTTCATTAGTCATAATTTAGTGTGGTTAATGCGTATCGAATCCACATTTAGCAAGCTATTGTCCAAATGATGTTGTGTTCTAAGAAAGGTAATTTTGAGTTTGATTTGTAGACATATTTTCCTTGAGATCCTTCATTTGCTTGTTTAAGACTTCCACTTAATTTATCAATAAACTATGATTTTATTTGGTTGATAAGGCATTGATGATATCTTAAATTAATTTCTAGGTATCCACTACCATCTTCTGCAGTCTGAGCTAATTTTAAAATGTCAATTAATCAGATTTCTGATGATCCAATTGTTCTTTGAGCATTTCAATTTGTTATTGGTACTGTAACGAATTGTCTGCCATTTTTATTGCATCTTAACTGTAAAGTGTATTAATCTCTTATAGCAATAAATAGATGAAATATTTCAAAGTGACGAGATCGGTGCATCTGTAGAAATCGAAACAATCATTACAATGTTCCTAACAAAAACATTTTATTTTTGCAAGTGAAGGGGCACATTCATCTTAATTTTAATCCTTTATCATCTTAAACTTTCTTAGCTTTTTAGTCAATTGTTGTATTCTCAAAATGCTGTTATTATGTAATTTACTTTGATAATGACTTAGATTAGAAAACTAACTATGTGTTGAATACTTGTCTTAAATGGCGAAGGCTTAATCTGTCTTTACATGTTTGGGAGAGTGATCTATCTTACTGATGTTCTCTAATCTCTTGTTGATAATGGTCTCATAAAAACTCTGAGAATCGATTTTTTAATTAGATTAGCAAGCCTTCTTCTAATTCGTAAAGGGCGATAAAGGGATATCTACTTTCGACTTAGTAGCCGATCTATCTGCATGTTAACTATTAAGATTTTTGACTCTCAACTCCAATCCCTAAACTTTATCTTGCAAATAATTAGCGCACTGTTGATATTCCGGACAATTGCTTATTACCTAAAGAGGTTGACGTTGAACCTTCAAACTGCCCTTACGAGAATGGCATGATGTAGGTGTTTAGTAAGGTTTCATAATATTGTTTAAATTATTGTTTAACAGCTTTAAAAAAAATTTATTAACAAAATTTAATTATAATAACTACCTACTCATGTATTCTTTATAAAAAATAGGTTTGCCTATTTCTACTCTTACATATGTATTGTTTGTTGTAAACAAAGGTGTTTAAAGTATTCGGATCTGATTTTTCAATTATGTAATAAAATAAGAAACAGAGGAAACTCTCATCATTGTTTTTAATAAGCAATAGCAAAAATGCATATATATTTTATATATGAATTTTAGAAGTTTAATTATGTTTTTAATTTAGCAATAATCAAGGTTAAAGAGATGATCTAAATTCGCTTAATTTGCAGTATATTGATATTATAATAATTTAGTTTAACAGATTAATTTCTGTTATATAAATTAGTATCTCAATTGGCAGCAGTTTCAATTTTCTTCTTTCTCTTTAATTAAATTGGTATTTTTTTTTTATTTGCACAACCCTTGCATCTACAACTTGAATTACATTTTTGATTTCTTCTAAAACATTCACAGTAATTTTTTTAACATTGGGATTTTTAACACTTGCAACCCCATACAGTAGATAAGTCAAAGAGGTCATTATCATGTTTTTATCGCTAAGACTTTATCTTAATTTTTTCTAATGCCGTCTATCTCATTTGGGTATGATAATCACAATTCTTGCAATCCAAACATTTGCAAAGTTCTGTACATTGTTTATTTTAATGGAAACATTGACAGTACAACTTAAGACAATTAGACTTGGAGCAATTGCAAGGATTCATAGTGTGTTCATTAGATTGGGAATTAAGATCAGATTCCTAATTGTACTCAGAATTCCTTTGTAAAGCAGCATTTTAGTTTTATTTGCGTATTCTTCTACTTCTTTGTTCTAAAGTGGATATAAGAGGATCGTCAGGGTTCGATGGCTAAACTTAAATTTAAATGAGAGGCCCTTCATTGTTTTTGTCCATTTAAACATTTTCCTATTGGTTCTATTAGTTCTCTGTTTGTAACTTTATGTTTATTGGGGATTCTAACTCTTCCTCGAACTTTTCTGACAGGGAGCTCCTAAAAATAGATTAAAATAAATACATCATATTCCTAAGTTGAGGTGGATGCAATTCTCCTTCATCATTCTCCCAATTGTTCTCAATTTTATTTATATTCCATAGATCATTAGGCAAGGTAGATGGCTCTTTATTTTTTTCAATTTGATTCTAAAAATATTTTCTGTGCATGTCTTTCTATATTAATAATACTTACAAACAATTACTTTTTAATGAATAGTTATTATACATTAATATATACAAGCAAATTGTGTATATTCTTCATTCCAATAATTAGATAAAGCGTTTATTCATATTAAATTAAATTATTAGTGTTATACATTTCATAATGTATAAAATGGCAGATTGAATACTTAGATTAGACGAGAATGTAGTATTATTAATTCTAGATGAAGAGACTCAGAAGTTGTAGAACAATCCCTCTTGAAAATTTAATATTAATTTATTTATCTCATTAAACAATCTTTTGATTTCATAAAATGCTTATAAATTCATGGAAGACTTTTTAGTTAATTTTATTTTCTTTTTATTTATAAATTAATTTAGTTCTCTTACTATTTATTTACAATTTATACAATTTTCATTTATTTAACATTATCTTTCTCATAATGGCATGCTTCTGTTTTAGAATAGTCCAATTATTATTTAATTATAAAAAGATAACTAGATATTATTAAATATTTAGATGGGGAGTTCATGCATTTCTAATTAAAAAGACACAGCTTTTGAAGATTTATATCTCTCACCAATAAGCACTTAAGAAAGGGGGATTTAAAATATCAACCAGACCATTAAGGGTGACTTTCAGCAAGTGAAATTGCGTAAGGAATCCTTGGAAGAAGGAATCTAAATTTCTAATATTCAAACCATAGTAATTACTCCAAGTTGCGAAATGGAAGGAGCGAAACTTGTTAGTGAATTAGTGAAGCTTGGGAACCATATCACAATAATCTCTAAACGAGTCCCCGAAACTCCTCTTGTAAGTGAAAGGTCAATTTCTAGGAAAGGGATTTTAAAAAATAAATAGGACATAAATGTTACTTAATCTGCAGATGGAGGTTTTCTCTTTCCAGTTCCGAAAAGAAAAAGCGGAAAAAATATCAAATTCTAAGGCTGAAAACAGATTATTGATGAAAAGAGATGATTATCAAATTATTTATAATTGTTTCCATTGATATAATAATTACTCAAGCTTTGGTTTCATAAACAAACACTCTAAAAATTTTAGTCGGAATATTAAACTCTTTATTTAATTTTTCTTTGTTTACAATTTTCAATTGACTCTTGTTTAACAATGTCTCAAACTCTTTTTCATATGTGATTTGCCCAAAATCAATGGTTGTGAAATACTTGATTTTGGGTTTGATGTACTCAACAAATTACAGGAAAGTGGAGTTCTTCTTGCTATCAGGTTGTAGAGTCAATATGAAATAGATTGATCCTCCAGGAGTGAGCAATGATTTTGCCAATTCAAGTGCTTCGATTCTCTTTGGCATAAGCATGAAGGATGAGGAAAAGACAACTGCATCAAATTTACCTTCCTTCTTTTCAGTCACTTCATAAAAATTTTGATATCTGATTTCCAATTTGCGTCCACCTAAATTATAATTTCTGAAAATGTTATTTGCCTTCAAGACATAGGCTTGATCAATATCTACTCCTAAGACCTCACAATTTTATGGTAATTAGTTCCATATATGCTTCAGGGGAGATCCTGTTCCAACCCCAATATCTAGGATTCTTTTTGGATTTCTTTGGTTCATATAAAAGACTAATCTCTCATAGCTGTATTTTGTTAAGAAATTTGAGATGATCATGTCATAGATAGTTGATGGAATCACATATAGTGTATGTAGAATTTTAGTTAAGAGAGTCTGAATGAATGATGCCATTAAATAAAATATTAATTTACAAATCGATGATTAAATTAAGTATTTATATATTTATCTATTTGTACATAATTTTTGGATTCAATAATATTGATATCTAAATTCTAACATTTCTGAATTCAACAATAATGTTGATGTTATTCTTGTTGATTTGATTATTCAGATACACCCTTTTATTTTTCATGCTCGAAAAATACTGTTGATGTTAATTATTCTAGGTTATCTTAATTTATTTTTTATGAAAATAGATAATTTAAACAATTATATTCCATTTTGTTGTGTTGTAAACTAGAATTCACAATTTCTTGTAAATTTAAATTCTACTATAAGAGGTTGACTAGTATATATCAGCAACCTGACTAAACTAATGACATAATAATATAAATAAAAATTGTGAGATATCAGATTGTATTTCATATAATTTAAAGAAATAGATGTCCTGATAAAACTATTATATAATCATATTTTTATACCATTGTAATAATGAGCTATTTTTTGAATTCATAATATCTATAAGGTATAGATTTAGTTATGTATTGATTGTGTAATAAACAACATATAGAATGAGAGGATTCTTACTATACATGTTGATTACTCATAAAGAATCTGAATTACTTTAGTGAATATTTTGAATTGATTGCTTAATTACATATAATTATTATATATTAAGAAGAATGGAACAAAAAACTTCAAAACGAATGTTACCTTTGGATAGTAACTTTGAGCATGCTGAATTCATTTCAGCTCGAACTGACACTAAATAGCGCTTAGGAGAATTATTTATTTAACACCCTACTAAATTAGAAAGTATCATTAATGCATTTACTCATTAAGTGTTTGGTTTGAGATAAGTAAGCTCCAAAATTCCCAAGTTTAAGCACCCAAAACCTCTTTTTGAATTACCCATGAGTGATACCTAAAGGTCTTTGACTCATCAGACAACGTCGATTATTGATTGTAGCAAATGTAATTAGAGTCTCTCAAAGATGATAAATAATAAAAGCCATCATGAGCAATTAATTCTTTCATAACCTACTTTAGTAGCAGAGGAGAAGAAGGAAATTCAAGTGTAACCTCCGAAAAGGTTAGTCAGTCATCATGGAAGATAAAAGAATGAGTTGCCTCCCATACTGGCTCACCCTCATATTTCACCTCCTCCTTTTTTTTAATAATCTCCTAAGGCCTAAAGAAAATAGAAAACAATGGGAAAACTTTCTTTCGGAAGAATCTCAAAAAACTTTGATCACGAACTCATGCAAGTCATTTAATCAGAACTTCAGAAGTAATTCAACAATAACCTACCAAAAGAATAACCTATTACTAAGATGCTTTAGAGGCATGTATAAATATATGACTTATATAATTCAGCAAAATCTTAAAAGGTCCAAATTAATTACCCTTAGTCAAGCCATCAAGGAATTTAAGAAGTCAGTACAGACAGAGGACAAGTCAAATACTTTTGAACTTTTCAAATTAAAAGAAAAAGAATTAAACTAATTAATATCGGGGCATAATTATGAAATTTATTAAACTATTGATGATATAATATGATTAATAATATTTTAGAAGTTAATTAATTTATTTAAGTCACTAGAGTACTATTAATTGATAAACTACAAAATTTTGTTTTCAAAATTGCCTTAAATAAGTTCCTGTTTTGAACCTTGTCATATGAAGCTATAACTTAAATGAGATTGAAATCTGAATGCAATTTTGTGATGATAATTTATTTTAGACTGTTAGAATCAATTCAATTTATAAGGCAGAATTCATCATCAAGGAGTAGGATGACAAGAACATGTCTATATGTTAAAAGAGCTTCTTGATGAAGTAATCAATAATCATGAATCGTTCTGGAATAATATCACTTCATTAAGAATATGCCAATTAGTTACCATATTGGAAAAATTAGTAGTGAAATTGTTAAACTAAATTAATTAAATTTAATAATATTATTATAAATAATTATAATAATTATTTGTTTTTAATATCACAATACGATTATTTTCATTATTCCCATTTCTTTTAAGATCTATTCAACTTCTATATTCATCTTTGGTGGACCACAGATAAAATATGTTGATTAGTCTTGCATATCAGTTATATGATTCATAAATGTCTATTGTGTAAATTGAGTTCCCACGACTGGACATTCTTTTAATTTAAAGTCGCCTTTCACAATTAATTTAAAATTAGGAGAATCCAAATATTACTGCAGTGAAAGCAAAGCAAAATAGATATCTCTTCCAATCTATGTTATTTAAATATATTACCAGATCATCAATAGAATTGACTGCTAGAAACATTGTGATTGTAAATCTTTTTATCTCTTTAACCCCTAAATCTATTAAATTAGCTGCCTCTTGGCCAAGCTTCATTTTAAGAATATGATTGTATGAAACTCTCAATTAATAGTCAAGTAAGTCTAAGAATGGGAACAACCCAGTTCCTCCAGCAATGAAGACTAGATTGGTATTGTTTTCAAGTTTAATAGAATTTCCGAAAGGACCTTCAATAATGTATTAACCTTATTTATTGTCCTCATGTATAAAATTAGAAAACCCATTTTTAGCTTCATATTTCTTAATAATTAAGGGAAGTTAATCTTCAATTTCTTCCAACTTTGGTATTTCTTTTTGGATCGGTTGTAAGTTCAGAATCTTTTTGTATAACTCAAGAATATCTTTTCTGTATTTCACTCTTTGATTAGTCATGCTTAGAACCATAGTGTATTGTCTTTAATGAATTTCGTTATCATCATCTGATTTGATAATAAAGTATGCTCCAAAAGTGTCTAATCCATTGAAGACATGTTTAACTTGAAATTATGGATTGGTGAATTCGAATTTAGCAATCAGAGCTGTAAAGGGATTGACTGAAGTTAAAGTCCATATAGCTTTTAATTTCTTGATTGGTCTTTGAGTGGTTTTATCATAGAATAGTTCCAGGTCTTGATTGACCTAAACACCAGTCTTATATTTTGATAAAGCCTTTAATGCATAAACTGAATGAGCATAAGGTTTTAGTTTAAGTTGAGGCAAAGGATAGGCTCCGAGAACATACTTGGTAATATCCTAGCCTTAAATTAATTTCCAGATGTAATTGCCACCAGGGTGAATCATCTATGATATGTCAATGATTTGGTTATGATATATGCACCACAATTTATCAAATTCCTCTTCTTTTTCTTCGAAGCTACTTTAATTAATATTTAGTAACAAAGGCTCTTTATCGGGAAGAACTTTGCGTTTTTTGAAGTAAGAACTACTGGAATTGCTATTGGTCATAACCATTAGAGTTCCTCTCTAATATAACACTTCAAGGATGAAACGGATTGTTAAGACTGCTCCAAGAATAAGCATAAATCTAATGTCGTTGTCCATGAATAACCCAGCGATTATTTATAACTTGCCAATTGCATAGACAACACTTCCAGCAATGGCATGAATTGATGGTTTAATTGATACTTGCTTATTTATCTTATGAGATGTTAGCATCATATTATACATTATACCGCCTATGCATTGAGCTATCATGAGGAGAGACAATGTGATAAAAAATACTATATGGAATTTATTTTTGGCTGGTTCCTCTTTGAAATGTTTCCATTCCAATATCTCCCAATCGTTGCTCAACATGAATATAGCTGTTGTTAAGGAACTGCCAATTATCAAAATAAACAGAAATCCATGTAAATATGTCCTATATCCCCAAGTTTTAAAATATCTTCCCACGATTATTGCCAAATCACTAGCCACTCCCCAACAAATAAAGTTAGTCCATTTGTGTAATTGATAGTATTTGCTATCGTTTTCTATAATCACATCAATGTCTCCTCCTTTATCGATAAGATCGATTTTTACATAGCCATAATTACCTTTACCATGATTCGAAACCATCAAACTTTAATCATTTTTGCCATGTGCCCAAATAAAATCAACTCCCTTCTTCTATGCCAATTCCTTATCGTATTTGTCCCCTTTGATATAGATTACTCAATTATACCTGTGATTGATTTTCTTTTAAATTTCACTCCACTCTTCCCATTTTCATTATAATAATAACCCAAAATTTCTATATCATCTGTTCCGCCTGAGGAAACATCCGTTGGTGGCACTTAATGCTTAGAACAATGTGAATCTGATCCAGTAATCACATTCTTACTAATCTCAAATACCCAAAGATCTGCATCGCCCATTGATTTTCCGAGACCTAACGAAAAGTAACTAATCTTATCAATCTCAACCATCATTGTAACTTCTTTCTAGTCTTCACTAAATTCAAAGTAGAAATCAATTATTGTGTCTACAATCAATCACCATTATATATACTAGAATTTGAGATCTTCGCATGAGTTCGTGGCTTGCTAATATCATTGCCAGGATCTTGATAATAAAATATCTTTGAGCCTAGTATTATATCTTATATTAATCCAAGAACCAAAATTCTTAACATACTTTTATCTAAATAAATTATTTAGATTTTAATCACGTGATGTAATTAAGTTCATTTTAATAATAATATTGTTGTAAATCATATACACTTGTTAATAAGAAGATATCTTTGTGTTAGTAACTAAGAAATGGATTAAGGAATTGCATAATCAAATGATATATTCCTAATAATAATATCATAATTTGAATAAAATGTGAAATCAAGTAGAAATATTTTTTACATCATTTCTTAATTATTGTCTTTCTTTTGTCTTCCATAGCTTGTCTCCTTTTCCTCTAGTTTTCTTGTTCCAACAGTATTCTTTTCCTTTCTCTCACTTTTCTTTTGATTTCATAAATGGTTTTAATAAATTAGTCAGTTGACTTGGTTGAGGACTCCCCAAACATTTGGCATAATTCTTTATATTTTATCTCCAAACTCTTCAGATTTGCCTTCTGGACAATCACAAATAACTCGATTTCATTATAAAGCTGTCCAAAGACTGCCTTCGCTCTATCATCGCCTCCTTAATCACTATCTCTAGCCAAGGCAATTTGTTGCTTGTTCTATTCAAATTGCTTCAAAAACACATACAAATTATCCATCTTCCTTGTTTCCTATGATAATGTATCCAATTTGGTTAAGTCAGCATCCAAATCAATCACAAATCCTGTCTCTTCTATTTTCTTTATTACATACATCCAAATATCGAATTGCTTCTATTTATCAGAGTAACATGTCACTTTAGGAATGCAATCAAATCTCAATCCTTAAGCTTGATTGCTTCCATTTAAGATTGATCCATAATAAAATAAGTATTTTATCACCAAAATTATTTCCTCATCCTTTTTTATTTAATCAAACACCGCATCGAACATCAACAATAATTCTTCTATTACCACTTAATTCTTCAATGATTCGTACTTTGCACTTAGACTAATCAATCTCTCCTCATAACACTTAATTTCCATGACAAACATGCAAAATTTATCAGCATCACTGTAATCGTATATTCTTGATTGTAATTCATTAAAATCCCATGTTTTTTCTTCCTTCCACAAATTCTTTTCATTTTCCTTAGGCAAGCAATCTATCAGCAGTGTCACTTTGTCTTCTGTCAGCTTTTCTTCATCCATTATACGAATTGCTTACAGTATCTCTTCTACAGGATATTTCACTCTTTTCAAAGCCATTTAAACGGCTTAAGCTCTATTTGGATCCTTAGGTCCACTCCCTTTAGATAATTTAGTAATGGGTTCTCTTTTTTGATACACAGATTGAAAAACACCGGATTGCATCACAGATGATTCAATTGCAGTTTTGGCAGCAAATATATCTACAAATTCTCCTATTTCTAATTTCATTTCATCGTATTTAAAGGTCTCCCAAATTGTTCCTTCAACCTTATTTGGGGGCATTGGATTCCACGTTTGAACTTTCTTCATTGCAACATCTATTGGTATAATCTCAAATTTTGGTTTTAAATCCTTTGAACTTTTTACGCTTCCAGGTGGTGGAGGTGGAGGAGGTGGGAATCCAGCTTTACCAAAGGGAGGAGGAGGAGGAGGGGGAGGAGGTGCAGGCGTTCCATTTTTATTTGGAGGTGGCTGAGAAGAAGAAGAGGGAGTAGCAAGTGAATTAGCATAAAGACTGGCTTGACTGCATTGATGAGGTGTAACTGCTTCTAGGGGAGTTTAAGGACTATCTATAGATTTCTCAGAATTCAAACATTTTTCTGAAGTTACTTCTTCAATTTTTTTATCAAAATTTGAAACTTCATTTTCATTTTTTTTTTCATCTTCTGTTTTTAATAGTGATTCTTCTTAAATTTATTGTAATTGCTATTTATTTGGCTAAATATTCGCAAAATTAACTGATGCCTTTAAAGTAGATGTTTTAGCATTTTTGAATAAATTTTATTTATTGCTTAAAAATATGGATTATTTAGATAGTTATTATTATTACTATTGTTATTATTATTATTGTGTTGGCTATTATTAGGTTGATTATAATTTTTCATTTACTACTGATCGAAATGCATTAAAATGAATTTAACCTTGGCGTTTTGATTCTTCTAATTCTATTAATAGGAATTCCTTATCCTCTTCTAATTTGCTTATTTTTTCTTCATATATTGAGACCTTTTTCTCGGCCTCTGCCAATTTTCTGCTTAGAGTATTTATTTTTTGTTTTAACTCAAATATGTTAGACTCAGATTGTTTCTCTATAAGAGTTTCATCCTGCACAATAAATTCCTCCTCTTTTATCAAACCTACATTTTATTTTAGGAGTTCAATTTCCTATTGCATGTCGCAATTATCAAGTTTGTAGATGTATTTGGACTCTCTATTTGAGATTAGGGGATATCGTTATTCTTCTTAGCATTGATAAGTGAAAATTAGACTTGGGGTTTATAGATATTATTCCAATTTGTTGGCCAACAATAGGTCTAGAAATGATACACCGACTTCAAATTTTTCGTAGTATTCATTAATGAATTCTGAGAAGCAATACTTGGCTTGAAGGGAGGACTCCATTTTCTCGAGATTTGATAGAATAACTTTTTCAACTTCAACTTGGTTTTGATTGCAATGTTTCTTCAATAATCTGAGGAGCAGGTAGATAACTTCTGGATCGTCTGTGTTTTTTAAATGTGTGTTGATTTGTTCAATAGTACAGGTTTATTCGGATTGATGAAGACAGTTTAAATACATAATGAGTGACATGCCTTGCAAATCCAAATTGGAATCGAAAATCAGCTCTTTGCTCTCTTCTGGTCCTGATACTGTGATCCATAAGTAAGCACACGACAAGTCAAATATTTGATGTGACTTTAATAGATCTTAGGCTTTTTCAAGACTGAGATTGAGGAGTTTGCCTGAGATTCTCAGGTATTCATGAGCAATAGAGTATTTGACTATGGCTTCGAGGGAGTTGAATCGCTTATGATCTTTTTCTAGCATCTCTACTTCACTTAAAAAGATGTCTATATGTTGTTGAACAATGGGACCAGGGTGAATAGCAGGTATTTAGAGTTCGATAATTTATTTGCTTTGTTTGAGCACGCACTCTAAATTGATGGGCAATTTGGGTGCTGTGGATCTGATTAAAAATTGCATAAAAAATAATTATTATGTTTTGCTGCAAAATTAAAAATACAATTCAAAGTTCGACTAGAAATTATTAGTTGTTGGATGAGATAGGGATGGGATCATATGGAAAAGTAAAGTTGGCCAAGGATGTCAAGAGTAAAAAGAAATACGCAATTAAGTTGGTAGGGGAAATTTGAAAATATTTTAAGATTGAAAAGCAGAAGATGGAAGAGTTTCACGCTGAAAACAACATTTTAAGTGAGATAAAAATCCAATCGAAATTGCATCATCCACATATAGTGGAGTTGGTGGAATACTTTGAGGACGAGAAATTTATCTATTTGGTGCAAGAGTATTGCAGCAAAGGAACTCTCCGATAGTAGATTTGCAAGAGGAGATTGTTGGAAAACGAGATTTACCACTATATATATTAGTTGAATGAGGCATTGATCTACTTACATCGACAACGAATCGTCCATCGTGACTTGAAGGTATTTAAGAAACACCGACATTTTAGTTGGATAATATATTGTTGGATGAAAATGACACTATCAAATTGACAGATTTCAATTGGGCCACCAAGATCACTAGTTATGCAGCTGAACCTACTAATTGTGGAACAACTCATTATATGCCTCCTGAGATTGTATTGTTGCAACCACATACTGAAAAAGTCGATAGTTGGTCCTTAGGAATTATCATTTTTGTATTGAATTAGTAATATGGCAATAGGAATTAGTCTTTGAGCATCGACCCTTTGAAGGCTTGACCCAAGAGGAGTTGCAAAAACAAATCATTTATCACAACCCACTCACAGATTGCAAATCCATACCAACTGATTTGATTATGTTACTCAATTGTCTACTCACCAAGAACCCCATTTATAGATTGAACTGTGAATAAGTGAAACTCAGTCAGTGGTTCCAAAGACAACATCACAACTCATTTTTATAAGCAGACGAATCCGTCAACCTTACTAATATCACTTATAATAAGAATGACAATATTTGATAATTAATATGATTAATGATTTCACACAACTAGCTGGGTGGCAAGACTACTCGCAATCCTCCCACACTAATTAACTTAAACTACTTTCTGAATCAATGGAGTATTCACCCCCAATGCTCTCAAACAACAATAGAAAGTTATTACCTAATTTATGTCACATAAGACAAGTGACTGAAATAAGGAGTCCCCGTAAAAAATCCCTATAGTCCACCAGGATATAACAGAGTCAAGTTCTCTATCAAATCAAAGATGAGAATCCTTTAAAGAAGAGACCTGCTAATCCGAGACATATCAGAGTTACTCCCTCACAATTCAATTTCACTTTGAGTGAAGACAAATTCAATAAAATGAGCAAAGATTCATCGCCTACCAAGTAGAAACTCAATAAACTTGCTCCATTATTGTAAAAAGTCCATAAAGTGTAGATCAAAAATAAAATAATCACTATCACCCAAAAGTCTCCTCTTACTCAATTACAAAAATTGCTGGATGTCCTCAATTAAAAATGACTTTTTATTATCATCCTTCTCATCATTCATGAAATATATATATATTGTACTATATGTATGCAAATATAATTGGAATCAGAATAAAACAAATTGTTTTCTAACATTACCAATGATTTCGTTTGGAATCACCTTCAATACATTGAATCTGACTGTCTTTGATAATGGTCTTTAAATAATTATTTAAATTCTTACCTGCATTGTCCACAAACCACAATATCACCTTCCTTTACTGGTCCAAATGCTGGTGAAATGTGAACTGGAACATTTCTGTGTCTCTTTTCATATCTATTATATTTGGCAACATAGTGCAAATAATCCCTTCTGATAATAATTGTTCTGGTCATCTTTGTAGAAATTACTATGCCTCTATTCATTATTGACTTTCATTTACTTCAAGATGGCTCCTCTAACACTCACATTTCCTGTGAATGGGCATTTCTTATCAATGTAATGACCTTCAATTGCTTCCTTTGGAACTTTGAAACCAAGACCAACTTCCTTCCAATATCTGACTCCCTTAGATGTTTTCTTTGCTAATAGTTTCTTTGAGTTTTAGAAAATGCCCTCTTACTTTTGGAAAGCTCTTTATGTTTGAACGTCTGCCATAATATAATTTTTTTAAAAAAAAGATATAAAAATTTAATACTTTAATGATCAAATTAGAATAGAAATAGAAACTCATTTATCCTTTATGTCTCTTCTCAAACAAAAAAACCAAATATGACAATATTACATTAACAATCTAATTACTATTGAAAGCAATCTAACAATTGATCTAAAAATTATTTATAATTTCTCAACCCAAAAAAAGGGCACTGAACACTTCCATTAGCTAATGATTATTGTTTTATTTCCATTGTATTTAATATATTATATTTTCAAATTCTTTTTTCTGAACTATTTTGTAATAATAAATTATTTAATTTGAATCTATTTCTCATTCAGCAACACTATAAACACCTAAACATCAATCCGATTCGTTTATAATATAACCACTATGCATTCTAATTATAATATTTCAATAGTTTAGTTCAGATCGTTTTGATGATTATGAAAAACTTTAAAGATGAAATACACGAACACTTGGGAAGATTGTATGATTTTTTAGAGTTTGTATTTTGCTGAAATTTTGTAAACATTGAAGTCTTCGATATTTTGAACATTTCAAATTCAGCTTTTAATTATTCATTTACATTTATATTAAATAATTATGGGAAATAATCTTTGCTTTCAAACAGGTGAGAGATCTTCACAGTTTCCTCAACTGTTATTAAAATACGAAATAGAGAACTGTGAGATTGCTTTAACAGCAGGTCCAGTTGAAAATGAGGACGTGGAGTGTTTAGTGATTCCGACTGATTCTGGATACACTAATATAAAGTAAAGCGACAGACCTAATTTTAAATAAATAAACGAGAAATGTGTTTATGTGGCCGGTAGTAAAAGTATTGAATTAATAAATATTAACAAGAACGCAAGAGCTAGATTTTTGCAGTCGTCATGGACAAGAATTACGCAGTGAAAAATGATGATGGAGAAGATGAGAAACAAACTATTTATGCTGTAGTTCAAGAGGCTCTCAAATTGGTAAGATAATCAGATCTATTCTAAGGCTGAATAAAAACAAATGAAATCAGTTGGATTTCCAGTATTTGAATCTAAAGATCATACGACTTCAGCTACAATCATGTTGATGGCTATTAAACTGACTATAACTGAGTAAAAAATAAAATCCCTTAAAAGAATTGCAATAACTCTTGATGTATCAATCTTTGTCTAATTATAAAAGCATATAGAACAAGTTAGCAGTTTTAAATGGGTATTCCAGCAGGTTTTCAAAGGAAGTGAATAATTAAGATATTCAAGAACCTACTCAAGCTCGATAAATACACAAATAGATTCGATCTCAATTGAAAATTTAAAGTCTAAGGTAAAAAGTAATACCAAGGAAGAAACCCCTTGAATTAGCCAAAATTCATAAGTAACAAATTGATTTATATTGTTTAATTATTATTTATCAAATTTTCCTATAAGATTCGGATACCAATTCTCCATTTTTACAAAAATAATTAGTTCTAAATTTATCTTTACTAGTTATATTATTCCTAAATAAAATAAAATATCGCCAAATATATTAAACAATAATATAAAATCAAATTTCTATTGGTTTATTGATTTCTTGCATTTCTATAATCGAGCTCTAGTTGGCTTAACTGCTGATTGATGAATACTCATATTTCTCTTAGAAGTAAATCCAGATAAGAAAACCCACCAACACTAGTAATAACAAAATGAATATCGTGGTTGTATCAAATATTGAAAAATCCTCTTTAGGAGGGGTCTCGGTTTCATTGTTTTGCCAATTTTTATCAAGAAACTGAATAAAGGATTCTTTTGTCCTGTTTCCACTATAATGATGAAGATTTCCTCCTTCAGAAATTAGAATCATTGTTGGTACAGCATCAATTGAGAATAATTTACATAAATCTTTTTCAACCTCACTAACATTATTTTGAAAAGTACCAATTGACAGCACCGATTTTGCTCAATGTTTGATTGTGTTCGGCGAAACTTTCCCAAACAGGAAGGACTTTTTAGCAATGAGGACATGATGGTCTGTAAAACAAAATGAACCATGAATGGCTATCTCGACCTAGGAAATTATTTATATGATTAGTACCAATGTTCAATTATTAAAACTCGGTTTGGTTGAGTGTTTTGACTTTTGAATTCTCAGAAAAAGTGTGGTATGAATATACTTACACAATTAGTAATATTAATATATACATTTTAATAATAAATTAATCACATTCTTTTTATACCTTTACCTTTCTGTTTTAGTCTTAAAGTATACAAATCCTCAATTTATTAGAAGAAATTATGAGAATAATTATGAATTACTCCAGCCAAATCCAAAATAAATTAAGCTAACATAACTTAGTTTTAATAAATAATTCTTTGTTCTTAAGCTTGAGTCTTTGACAAAACAAACATTATAGTTTTGTTAATATGCTAATGTTCATCTGGACTTTAAGAGTCTTAACGATGTGTGAAGCAGGTTTTAGTACCTATGTTTCTTTGGGATTCCAAGACGACAAATTTTTAATCTGGAGATATCTCATCTTGATCTAAAGTATTAATAAACATATTTACTCCTTCTTAGTTTAATTGAATTAGTATCATATCCATATTAGTCATTAGTAATTTAATAGAGAATACAACTGCTATTAACATCTACTGAAGAGATATCCATCTCAAAGTTCTTGGCTAATTTGCTTAAGCTTAATTTGAAGTCCTCAACTGTAGTTCTGCTTTCATAAGTGTCCTAGTCGATAAAACTTCTTAGATTTTCGCAAATTTAGAGATTGCTTGTTGTGAATAGGGTATCCGAATGATCCCAGGGACCTGAATGCAATCTGTTAAAACATATTTGTGTGTCTTCAATACTAATTAAATACCATTTATTATTAATTTAATGTAATAATTTGAAGAAAGAGCTTTCAGGTAATAATTAATATGTGAAATAGTTTTCAATGAGATAAAGTATTTAAAAGTAATATTTGATATTAGGTTTTGGAAATTTCAGAATTCCCATTAAGGAGAATAATATTTTGCTTTCAATCTTAAATTTGCTTTAAAATTTTAATTCTTAGATCCTTTCAAATTTCTCTCTATACGAAGTCTTAAAAAAATCATCTTCCTATTTTTTTATGTAAACTTCAGAGGCATCCCTAAGTACTGCATTTTAAATAAGCAAATGATGATTTGAAATATTGATGTATTTTTTATGGAAGATTTCGTCCTTCTTTATTTCATTCCTTAGATGATTCATGTATTCTGTTGTTACATGTTGCACATCAAAACCATCATTACTTTACTTAAATTCTAAGAAAGTCTGATAATCTTTGAAATGTTATTTGTATAAAGCACCTACATCAAAAGGTTTGTATTCAGGTGTTTTGATTCGAATAAGAGTTTTGGAATGTGCGATTTACACGATTCTCACTTAAGAATTTTCTCTTGTTTATAAGTTGTTTTCATTAAAAGTGTCCTATTAAAATTACTCCGAAATAGTTCTGAAAGCTGGATTGCCTTCTTTTAAATCTCGCTTATCGTTTGATTGAAATTAAATAACATCAGGATTGTCATCATTTAAAATCCTAGTTTTCTTTTTTAATTAAGTCACCCCCGAAATCCCATTTATTTTTGTATCCAATTAGGCTTCATTTGAGATTTCAATTTCATCTTCTATTTGCTCATCTTCTTATTTAATCGATAGGGACACAATTGTAAATACTTCCCAAACAAGTCCACTAATTAAGGCTAATAGAAATATGGATAAAAATTCAAAGGACCCAATAAAAACCATAGCTGAAAACATATTACCAGTATCATAAGTTAATTCAAAAACAACCTAATTCCATTCAGCAGCAATGAAAAATTGAAGCATCATTAGATAGGCTCCTGCAAAGGATTTAAAATCAGCATATTTGCAATCTCCCCATGAGTATTGAAATTGATTAGGATCGCATTTTGAATTGGCATATGGATTATCTGCCACTGTTTCGACCTCCCCATATACATAAATACCAATGGTAGCATAAATAAAAAACACCATTTATACTGGCATCATCAATCGAAAGATAATTGGAATGCAGAATAAGATTTTATATAATAGTCTTCGTACAACATCCAAAAATTCTACTCCTTTGAGTAGAAAGCTAATAATTTTAACAGATCTAAATGCTCTAAACAACCGAAAGACTTTCTGAATTTTAGCTAATCTCAATATTCTATTTGCCTTAATTGATTGTACTATGTTCCCAGTCACAACTTTAAATAGGATATAATCAAAAACTATTTAAAGGATTACCAGTGAAATATCAAAGACATTCCATCCCTCATTAAAATAATCTCTAATTCCTAGCGCAACAATTTTAACTAGACATTCCATTGAATAAAGTACCAAAAATATTGTGTCTAAAGAATTGAATATATCTAACACACTAAGGTCTTCAATGAAGAAGGCTGCAATAATTAGAATACAATTTGTAATTGTCACTACCAACATAGATGTGCTAAAAAAACTGCCTTCGATAAATCTCTAGAGTCCTCTTTGATTAACAAAAGCCCTTAGTCTTTCCCAACACTCTAGAGGTTTGGCTGAAGGTAAATTAAACCTAGTTCCATCCTGCAAGACTTTTAATAATTAGTAGAATTCATCGAATTACACTTTATCACTAATTATTATTGTTTTTATACTTGAAATCTTTGTCAATTTCTCCAAATAATTGCAATAATTTATTTTCAGACAATTGATTTCTATAAAAACCCCTAATGAAATCCTTAAACTAAACTTCAGATATGTATCCTTGATCCTCAAAATCTAATGAGATAAAGCTGGCCATCATCGCTGATTTCTATTTGATAATGTCACTAATAGCAATTTCCATTCTGTGATTCCTAAATCCCTCATAAACGACCGCCAATGGAATGGGTGCAAACAGAAATATAAATAACAGCAAGTAAATAATGAAGAATAATGCATAATAGGTTCCTTACATCATTGGAGGGATTAGGATATCAGGATAAAAGTCAAGAGTAGCAGTCATTAATAGCATCGAGAACAGCTTTAAGAAGTTCCCATAATCTTAAGTTGTCTTATCAACATTATCCAATTCTCCAATCAGGTTGATGCCCACAAAAGAAAATATTGAAATTATGAATAGGTACAACACAATCAATAAGAATAAATCTCGACTTGCTTTCAAAATACCTTTTAAGGTCCTTCTTAAATCTTTTGAGTATAGAGGCATCAAGAAGGCTCTCAGCAGTCTACTAAATCTGACAATAGTTGGATCGCCAAGATGCACAAAGAAGTCAAGTAAACAAACGCAGAAAAAGAAAATTTTTAGTTGTCTCTTTAAATTAAACTTGAATCCTATTCCTCCTTTCTTCTTACTTTTTAACAATATCACAGTGATTACAGTGTCTAATCCAAAAAATGCCAATATAAATCCTTCTAATCCATCTGTTGCTGATGATTCAAAGAAAGTCATCAATTAATAGATTAAGGTTAATAGGAATTGGAATTAAATCCAAAATTACTGATTTTCAATTATCCATAATATTTTTAGAAATTTCTTATTAGTTTCATCGATATCATTGCGTATGGTTCTTAAATAATATGCATCATAGATATGTCTTTCAGCTTTAGCAATTCTTTATGAGTATGTGAGAGTTTTTACAGTTTTCTATATTTCTTCTGCCAATATATCATTCTTTTCCATTAGGTTATCTGGAATGTCAGTAATTGTGATCGAAGAGCGATAAAGAGAAGCTTATGATGTTTTTTTTTTGTCACTCCTTTTGTCTTTTTTCATTAATCAAATTTATTTATAATTAATGTTATGAATGTAATCATAATATCATACCTTTTATGTCAAGACTGAGTATTTTCTTCTTCATCACTATTAATCTATAATCTAGAGTTTAAGTATACACCAACATTTCATTCCTTATATCAATTGTCAGATTGGCACTAAACATGTACAAATTTAATTGAGTGGCAATCATAAATACATTTGATTTGCGATAATTACCTTAATTTTTAATATCTCAACGAACGTAATAAATACATTAGTTCTTAGTAATTTGAAGGGGATATCAAATTCAATATTTTAGTTTACTATACTCCTCCTCTTTTTCTAAATTTTGTTAGGACATAATTAGTCTCCAGAAAACTAATTATAATCTACTTCCCTAATGCAAAATACTTAATTATGCAGATTTGCAGCTTTTATGGTAAATTATAATTTGCAAGATTAAAGATATCAAAAAAATAAGATTGAATATGCGAATCCAAAGGTGATAACATTATTGTTTAAGAAGCAAACCTTCGAATTAGTATTCAAAAGTATTTAGTAATCAGAGACGTATGCTATTTATTTAGCCAGTATTTTATTAGTTTACTATTTCACTTTAATAGAAAATATGATCCTTTATATCTTAATGACTTTGGTATAATATTTCATCTTGATCTATTGTTGTAATAAAGTTCTAAGCAGTATAATTAGATTAAGCTAAGCATTTGCTAAATAAATTATTTTAGCAATATTAATCTTAAAGTTTATCAAATCATTAGTATAGCCACAGATTAAGATTGGATTTAAATTTAATCACTGTTCATTGTTGAATTTCTGATTGTACTTATAATTACTTATACTGACTCTTCTTTGTAGTATGAGTTGTTTTATGAAAATAAGGCCTATCAATGAGTTTAAATTCATACAATTATGTGTTTTTAAAGCTAAATGAATATTTAAGTTGGTTATAAAAATCTCAATATTTAAGGGGAGATAACAAATGAGGTATCGAATGATGAGAAAATGAAATACGATTAAATAATCATATAATTAATAAATATATAAAATGCAGGAGACTCTTGATTAGTTTCTAGGACTTTTGAAATAGACAGATGAAGCAGTCAAGAATGAAATTAGGGCATTAACAAGTAATAATATTGACTTTCAGGTTACCAGCTCTAAATGGGATGAGGCATCAGTCAAATTGTTAAAATTCTTAATTTAAACCTATTGCTTTGATTAATAGATAAGTCATCATCATGTTCCTGATGATGTCTGGAGTCTAATTTCATAACTAATGAAAAGCACTAAAATTGAATGCAAACTATAATATGCGACGACAAGGAAAAAAATAAGATTTCTCTAGTAATAATGGTAAAAAAAGGACGATGAAGCCCTAAAGGAGATTTGCTTGTCTTATTAAACATAGAATAGAACATTTAAATGGAGCGATATAGCAAAAGAATTAGCATAAAAATTAAACCAAAAAAATGTGAAAATGACAAAAATTGTAAGAGATAGATGGCTTAATAAATTAAATCCAAATATTTAAAGAGGACCTTGGGAAAAGAATGAGGAATATGAATTATGTAAACAACTGCTTAAGCACGGGAAGAATTGGATGATTATAGCAATGGAGATGAAAAATTCTAGAACTGAGAGTTCAATAAAAAATAGATATTTTAATATATTGAGAAGGCTTGAAAATTAGGATGTTCCTATATTGAGTAAAATAGATATTGAGAAGTAGTTAGTAAAATTGTAGTTAAATGAAAATGTGAAATTTGAATAATTTGAATAATTTGGATAATAAGAAATTAGCTTTATATTATATTAATTAGGTAAATTGGAACCAAATATCATAAAGACTAAACAAGAATTTATGCCAGATAATAAGGTGTAGAAGAAAAACAATGGTAGTATTCAGAACTCCTGCTCTAAAAGATTATCTAAAGCAGAGGAAAAAGATGAAAAATTGCATGCCAAAAACATAATCAAAAAAGTTCTATAGCATTATGAATAAGATGAAAATCTCGATATAAATAAAATGAAAGATTATTATCAAGAAGTAGTAGCTTAGAAGGGTGATACAGTAGAATTAGATGAAGAGCCGATAAGCGACTCTGAAAACTTATCAGAAGTATAATTTGCAGTTATGGGAAAAGATTCATAAAAATTGCACTTATTTCCAAAATCTTAACTAAAAGTAGTAATGGAACTAATGAAAAAAAAAAAGGAACAGAAAAAGGAAGTATAATCATCACTGAGTAAGATATAATCTCTTCCGCCTCCTCTACCAAAATTAGAATCAAAATTACCGTAGCCTCAGTAATAATAATCCTAACCATAACAACCGTAGTAGAATCCTTAATAGATTTTTCAATAAACTCCAATCCCCTCTCAACCACAAATCCCAGTTTAGCTGCCAATTGTCTAACCAATCATATAGCCAGTTGCACTACAAACTCCAGTGATACCCATATAATAATAATAAGCATCTGGGTAATAATAACAACCTTAACAATAGCAACAATCTTCTCAATAATAATAACAATAATAGCAATAATAACAATAATAATAGTAATAATCTTAATAATAGTAATATTATTAACTTGTTTATCCTTCAAATTTTATGTATCCTTAAGTGTAGATGGCTCCAGTAGCTCAAATTCCAATATTACCAGGTTAAATGATGGGCCAAATTCCAGGATAAATGGTAAGTTAAATGCCAGCTTAGATGGTAGGTTAAATTCCAGGCCAGATGGTCAGCTAAATACCTGGGTAGATTATTAGTTAGATACCAGGCTAAATGGTTGGCCAACTCCCAGGTTAAATGATGGGTCAAATACCAGGATAAATGGGTTAAATGGTAGGCTAGATTCCAAATCAAATGGTTGGATAAATTCCAACTTAGGTAGTATCAGCTATTCCAGGACAAATACCATAAATAATTTCTCAATTACCACCACAAATGATGCAACAAGTTCAAGGATAAATTCCATAAATGGTATAGCCTGGATAGATGGCTACTGTGTAAAATGGGCAAATACAGATTCCTTAAATTGCTTCCATGCCTTAACTTGCTTAAATGCCGTTGCAATCACTTCCTTTGGCAGCACCCTAATCTGTAGGAATGCCATAATAATTCATTCCAATAATGTATTGAGTATTTCAAGATAATTAGATACGCCCCTTAGCCAGTATATTAATAATAATAGTAAGCGTAAGGACAGCTAAATCAGTAGTAGAAGACAAACTAACAGTAATAGTAGGTTCCAATTATGAATTATTAAATTCCAATGATGGCTCAATATAATGATTAGTACTTCCAGTTAATGAATATGAATATGAATCAATAAAATCAACAAAAGTAGCCTAAGTATTCATAAGTTAAACAAGAGATGGAAGAACAGTAATAATAATAGTAATAGCAAAATCGTAAATGAATAAAATTAATAAATTTATTTAAGTCATATCTATCCTAATTTAAAAGAACATTAATATAACATTGCTCCAACTTTTATTTTCTCTTTATCTGATAGTTTCTCCTCAATATTTGAAAAACTGTTGATTGGGCTTTGGCTTTTCAAGAAATCTTCAACTGGCTGACCTTTAAGCATGTGCTTTCCATAAAGTTGAATGCTTATTTTGGATGACTTCTTGAAGGCAGAATTAAGAAAAGTAAGTAAATCTTCTTTTTTAAGTAGATCAATTTAATCAATGGTTATCTCTTTTTCTTCAAATATATAATCATTATTGGAAATATGATCCCAATATGTCTGTCCTTTTTCGAATAAAGTTTTTTCTTTTTATCTCAGTTATTGGATCTATATTATAATGATTCAATTACAGCTGCTTTCTTTAATTCTTCAATGTCGAAATCTGTCATCTTCTCTATTTCTTCATAAAAGTGTTAAAGAAAATCTTCAATATGCTAATTAACTTAGTAGGGGGATTTAGCACTTCCTTAGACTAAGATTGCTGCTCCATCGAGACATTCTAAAGGCTAAAACTTAGCTGAAACTAAATATCCCAATTGCAAGTCAGTTCGCAAATAATTAAATGCATAACTATCAAAGGTTCCTTTTAAGATATTCATTATTGCAAATTGTTTCCTATTCCTATTTCCAAAAATATAATAATTGTAGGTAGCACCATTGATGTCATCAGACTCTGCTGCATATGGAATAATATAATTATTAGAGAGTTTAAGAATTTTGGAATAGATGGGATTGTAATCCAAGTGTTTTTGTTTTCCGAATAGCTTTTTCTCTATGGATTTGAAAAGGGAAAGGGCCTCTTCCCTGAGAACATTCCCTGTTAAATAGAGTTAAAAGTTTGTTCCTTTGAACAATTACGAATGAAATTATTCGTAATCTTTGATATTAATACTCTTTAATTCTTACAAGAGTTGCTAAGGTTCATAATATCCTTAGATAAGAGTCTAAAACATAAAGAATAACGATTACATTAAAGAAAAAGCGATTTCTAATTTATTAATATAAGGGAGTTTGCAACTCTTCATTTAAGTTATTCATTAAAGTCTTCAGTGTTTAATCATAAACCTATTGATCGATTTGTTGCTTGGTGAAAAATGTTAATGAATCTTCTATAAATTCAAAGAACTTATCATTCCATCCATAAATATTAAAGATGATATGATTAGGTGATGATGAAAATTAGAAATTATAATTGTTTTAAAATGCTGCATCTAGATGTTGTGAAATCATTGTGGAAGTGTAAGATTAGAATACTTTTAATAATACTTGTTATCGCAGAGTGAATTAAAAGTTGATTTTATCAATTTTCATTCCCATAAAAATGGCTGGAGTTTTATAAGACCTGTCTAGTTTCCACCATAATTTTCCAATTGATGACTTTAATAAGTATTCAGGAAGTGGATATAATTCTTCATATTAGTGTTCATATTGTAAGCATTCCTATATACATTGTAAACAATAATTACTTCAACATTTGAGAAGACCATCTCAGAATTTCTCTAGATAAGCATTTTTTCGTTTTGTAAATCCTCATAAGGATCTTCCTTATCACTTTAGTATGGTTTGCAAAATGATTTCATGTTCAAATCATTTGGTTAGTATTTGTGAATGGAAGGCAATTAAAATTTAGGTTGCTCAATTTCATCATAAGATTATATTTTCTAAATGACAGAGCCTGGAATGTCCACAAATGCATAATTAATCCTGTTGACTTTGTCATATTGTACATCAGGATGATTTAATTGAGAATCCCCTAAAAACACATTCAAATTATCAATATCCAGGAGATCAGTAAGATAAAAGTATATCAATTCAGGGTCATAATCTTCATACAAAAATTTCCTTGATAAAACATCATGAAATCCATAAAAATTCAAGTTATGTGCTATCTCTTGAATATCATCTATGATGTTTTCATTATAATCAAATTTCAATGTGGCTATTTTCTTATAATCATTATATAATGATCTTATTTTAGCATTATCAACAAGAGTATCTCCTTTATCATCAAATAAAGTCTATATAAGGTAGAAATAATAAGAAAAGACTGTTTAGATGATTTTATCATAATCATTGAGATCGTAAACCTAAAACTCTAGAGCTAACACACTAAAACAACCATTATGATCATTAAATAAAACACTACTTGACATATCTATAATTAGATTGTTTTGTATTAGATATTCTTTTACTCCTTTGCTTTACGAAATTAAATTAACAATGAATTCAATTGATTTTGTTTTGTATTATTGTTGAACATCAGATAACTAATGTGTCATGTAAACCTTCTTGACATCTGAATTTGATTTATAACTGATAACTTGAGGACCGTATTAGATTGGATATCCTAAATCTTCACAAGTAGGCTCAATCAAATTGTTGTTTTTGATCTTTTCAAAATTCTTGATATAGCTTTTGAGTTCAGATATTGACAAACTGCTTTCAACAACCAATGACATCAAATTAGAGGAGTAAACTTCATTAAAAAATTGTTTCAGCAATTCTGATACTATTGAAAGTATATGTAAAATAATTACTTTCATCTTTTAATAAAGTATTTAGGTTTCCAATGGAGAACCAACTAAATGGATGGGATTTTTGTGAAATGATCTTTAATAAGGCTTCAATTTTCCAATCATCAGAGCTGGTGATAATTTCATATTCATTGTTCACTGCATTCACTTCCTTCTCTACCATCTTCTAATCCAATATGGGATCTATGAAAAAGTGACTGAACACATCCAAGCCTTATTGCAAAGCACTGTTTTAGATTGTGAAGTAATAATTGGTTTCATAATTCTCAGTGTAAGCATTATTAGTGCCTCCATTATTGTAAATCAAGGAATTAAAATAATTGGGGTCTGGATATGTGTGGGATCCAACAAACAGCATGTGCTCTAATAAATGGGCCAACCCACCATAATCAGATGGTTCTTGAAATGATCCTGCTTTTACACTTAATGCCACTTACGAGATGATAGCATCATTATTCTAGATCAGCAATACTGAAAGTCCATTTTCCAAAGTCATGTATTCGTATGTATTCGTGTCAATTGAGGGTTTTCTTATCTGTTATTTCTGAAGCATAGATGTTTGATTATGCTATGTTAACTTTTATTATTGGATCATCATCGATAACATGAAGGCAATTAAACAGAATACTATCATGAGCATTATGGTGTTTAATATGGGAGATACTATCTTCTTGTATCCCTTTGCATTGTTTAATTTAATTTTCTATTCAACTAATCCTTAGGTTTCTTCTTCCATTAAAAACGATAATATTAATTTGTGATTATTAATAAATAAATTTAAAAAAAACAAAACAATTACCAAATGCTCTACGCAACAAATAGTTTGTATTACAGATAATTCCTCACCACAACTGGAAAGTAATGAAAATATTCATATAATCAAATTAGGAAATCAAAAGCACAATATCAACCATAGCAATAATAAACAATTGCAAAGGGATAAAACTCTGAGCATCCAGCTGCTTAAAGCGCATGATTTATATATTCAAAATATATTACAAATATCTTAAATGCAAATTATTGATTTGAGTTGCTGTTTTTAGTTGCTAAGAATATTTTTGGGTATTTTCTCCACAAATTAGATTATAATAAATTTATTGATTTAAGTGGGAGTCAGCAAATATGCAATCGAACTGGACTGTTGACAAATTTTAATACCTTTCAATCAATATCTTGACGTACATAAGTCTAAACTACAAAATGAATTTAAATAATATAAAAATATTCTTACACTTGAAATGAAATGTTCAGAAGATAAACCAGCGTCATTATCTTATTAATTTCTGGATAAATTGGGTGAAGGGTACCTATGATATTAAAAGCTTAAGTTCTTTCGGATATATCTGGAAAGTTAAGCATATCTCCACTGGATAGATATTTGCATGCAAATTAGTAAAAAATACTATGAAAAAAGAGAGGACTCTCCTTTAAAGAGAAATAAAGATTTTGTAAATTTTAAAAGGAAAAAAGGGTAATCTTTCATCTGATAACCTAAGGATTTACCCAGTTAATTACTTCCGGTCAGGATCTCAGAAACACTTATTTCATTATGAACTTACTCGGACAGAACTTAGAATAGATAAGAATCAAATGTGGCAATTTTGATACTACTTCTATTTTGAACACTGGATAATAGATGATGCAACTGCTAAAGGATTTGCACCATTCAAATATCATCCATAGAGACATTAAGCCTGAGAACTTTGTTGTTTTTTGCGATAAACTACATTTAATTGATTTTGGACTATCCAAATTATATATTTAAGATGGAAAACACATAGAATTCCGAGAGAACAAAGGCATGATTGGAACTGCAAGATACGCTTCCATTAATAGTTTGAAAGGCAATGAATAATCAAGAAGAGATGACTTGGAATCAGTAGGTTACTTGTTAATCTATTTATATATGGGTACGTTGCCATGGAACAATATTGTGGCTGAAGACAAGACCATTAAGTACTACAAAATACAGAGAATGAAGGAAGCATTCAGACCTGAATCCTATATCAACCTGCCTCCTGAACTACCAAAATATCTTGCATACGTGCGAACATTGAAATTTGAGTCCCAACCTGATTACGATTATCTATTAAGACTATTTAGGAGAGGAGATGATTAATCGGCCACTCAAAAATTGTTAATCCAATCTAATCACACAATTAAAAAGGGCAATTTAAGACATTCAAAGAAAGCAGAAAGAACTCAGTGCATGACTGCTCGAAAATTGATTAATTAGATTGAAACTACTAGTCACAGGATTACGTTTGAAGATTTGAGCTCTGCTGGAACTGATATTTTGGAGGAGTTGGAAACAAATGAGATAATTCAATTGCAAAATCTGTCAGTAGGAATTAAGTAGCCTAATTCTTTAAATTTAATGAGCAAAATTAGGATGGCATCAGAATAAATATTTGAGATAGAGAATAGACTAAAGTATTAGGGTCCTATTTCCTTGAAATAACTATAATGATTATTTTTGATTACAAATATAATATTAAAATATCTTGCTAATTATAAATGGACGATTAATTGTCATTTATTTTTATAAGGCATATAGGAAAATATCAAATAAACACATCTTAACCAAAAGTAGTCAACACTCAATTATTCTATTAAGACACAAACTAGGAATCTACAAAAAAATTACGCAATGCTAATCTCTATTATCCCTGCAGAAATACCGATCAAGTTAACTAAAATCTTATTGCTTAATTAATATAAGTCGAGCTTAATAACACAGCAAGTAAAGAGATAGCAGTGCTACAATTGCTAATCGACCATCCTCACACAAATGTTATCAAAATATTTGATATTATTTAAAAGGATAATTGGTATGTGATGTAAGAAGATATCCCTATGAATCTAGAGAAATTCATGAATTCTGGAACAAAACTATCATCATAAATGAAGGAGAATTTTTTTTGTTAATTGATAGCAGGATTCAATCATCTACAATAGCGTAAAATAATAGTTAGAGACTTACAACCTAAATCTATTCTAGTCAAACAAATAAAAGACAATGAGTATATTCTTAAAGTAATAGACTTGATAATATTGTAGATATCAGATTTCAAATCGGCTGAGAAATCAGAAGATGGATTCGTAGACTCTATAAATGGGATGTCTGATTTTGCAGCACCAGAAACTCTGATCAAAGGGCAAACCTTAAATAATTAGTGTTGTCTTTATAATGTAAGATAAATTTGATAAATTAGTTGGGAATGCTATTATATTACATTTGCAATGATGGTAAGAAACCCTTCGAAGCAAGCTCATATCAGAATTTGATAATCAAACAAAGAGAATTCTGTTAAAGCATATTAAACTAAAAAGCTAGTGACAATGATCACTAAAGGTTGATGGAATTGTATAAGAGAATGCTTGTTTATGAAAAAGGTAAAAGAGAGGGAGACAATAATGATTTCAAATAGGATTGTTATCTTTTGGAAAACACATATTTTCTAAGGTAATCAGACTTTGTTGGACACGGACAGTAAGGATTGGTTGTCAATGCCTTCAATATTTAAACAAGAGAGACATTGGTGTGCAAGTTGATTCAAAAGAAAGAATAAAATAATGAGAAGGATTTAAGAGAAGTTTAAATCTGTGGTTGTCTTGAAGGGGATAATCATCAGAACATAATAAAAATCATTAAAATAATTAAGGATTCTTAATGGTATTATATATTTTTAGAAAAATGTGACATGGACATTGGGAAATTCATGAGATAAAATAATAATTTTACTGATTTAGAAATCATTGATTTTCTAGGCCAGATAATTTCTGGTTATGAATAACTTAAAAGGAAAAGTATTGTTCATAGAGATATTAAGCCAGAGAACATTATGGTTAAATTTGATGACAACAATGGTAAAATTTACAAAGTAATTGACTTAGCATAATATAGATCATTGATTTTGGAGTGTCCAAGATAATTTCTTGTTCACTTCTAGCCCATACAGATGTTGGTAGTCTCCTTTATATAGCACCTGAAGTATTAGAGAACGATAAGGGCTATAACGATCAATGCGATGTTTTCTCGGTAATATTCTTTACTTATTCCAAGCTAGGAGTATTGATATATTACATGATGTATAGATAAGATTACATTAACATCAATAGTTTCAACGAAATCAGGTAATAACAGAAATTGCTTAAAACAAATCCCTTTAAATGTCCTGACTCAATGAGAGTATAATTTACAATTTATATAAGAATTCTGATTTAAGATAGTTAATTGAAAAAATGATTGTATATGATCCACTTAAGAGGATTAATTGGGAAAATTTGAAAGGTTATCGATTGATGAAGAATTATCTTGACATTCTAAATGATATTTATCGTTACTCTTTATTTGCTATACAAAGTGAAGAATTACTTTTTGAATAATAAGATAAGCATAAGGATGATAATGTCCTTGCTGGTGACATCTACGCTCATAGGATCATCCTTTTGAAATTTGCAAATTTGTCATTTTAGAAAATAGAATAATCAATCTAAAAAAAAACGATTCAGTTGAAAGAAGTTGAATATTTAATTAATAATATATTTAATGCTAATGAGTGGAAGAAGAATAATAAATGGAATCAATCTCATGAAATATTAAAATAAAAGTAATAGCGATTAGATTAATAGAAAATTGCAGTCCTTAATGAAGCTTTGAATGTTGTTAAAAATATGGAGATTAAAAATTCTGAAATTCCTTTGAGCTTCAATCAAGTACATAATTATTACATAAAACTACCGAATTTATTAAAGAATTCTACTTTTATTAAAATTGAGTCAATTAAATTAAAGTACCATTTATTGAAAATGAGAAATCTGTTCAATAATAATAAGAATGATTTCTCAATTGATTACATCTTAGGACAAGATTCTAAGATTTTATTTTATGAAAAGTTGTCAAACTCATAAATGCAAGCATATATTGATGAAAATTAATGAGAATGAGTTTTAGTTTAAATTATGATGAGTTGGTAAAACATTATTAAAACTAAAAACAATAGCACTATCAAATATATTATAAAAAATTATCAATAAATATCAACATATCAATAATTCTTTACACTTTTTCATTCTATTAAACAATATATAATAATTAGTTTTAATCTGATCAATTATTAAATTTATGAGTGCATATATAATGTTTTACATATACAACCATATTTATTTCAATATAATATAAATAATTCCTAATTTAGACACATTGGAAATGATAGGAACCTCTATTAATAGAAAATTGAATTAGCTATTATCTTCTCTTTAAGATAAATAAGAAAAGATGATTCAGCAAAATATCCTTGATTTGTATAGTTATATTTCAGATCCTGAGATTAATTTATACCTATTCCAACTTTGGTAATTAAGGATCACCTAACCTCTAGCTATCTAGTTTATGTTACAGATGACCAAATGCTAAAGGAGCTCCTATATAATTATGCATTTACAAATAATGCAAATTATTACCGATTAGAGTGGACATTAAAGGCATTCAATGAAGATTCTAAATATGAGAAAATTAAGAAAGGCTTTACTGCTTTTATGAAGGTACTTTTTTGTTATATCTAGGAATTAAAAACAAAGCATGCTTAAGAACATATACTCTAAGGAGGAACTAATTAAAAGGAAATAAATAACTTAGATGCATTCACAATTAATTGTATCAAAGGCTATGGGGAGAAATAGGATCAAATTATATTTTATTTGATAGAATAAAGTTTGAGTTTGAAAAGAATAGAGATAGAAAAGCAAAAGGATCATATGCGCAGATTTCTATAAAATATCAATCAAATGATTGTGAGTTTAAGATTTTAGGACTAACCTGAATTTAGAGGGTTGACTATACCATTTAATTATGGCAATTTAGATTCCTTCTTAATAGTGAATTTGTTGGAGGATGAGTTTACTTGTTTCAATACTGCAAAAAGAGTTCCTTATAAGATTATTATTGAAACAGTAAAGTAAGCATATATTAATTAACAATTAGTCCATCTGAGTTACTATTGATATAGAGTGTAAATCAATTGCATGTAGAAGATTTGTAAGAACTGGTCCCTTTTTATGATATTGAGAAGGAAATGAAAACCATTTCATAGATAAAGATATATCAATAATATAATATTGAGGAATTGAAGAAGTATAATATGTTAAAAACATTTATTTTAGATTGGTCTCTAAGAAAGTAGATTTTCAAAACTTACATCATTTCTAGACTTTAAACAAGATTAAAGATAAGGACATATATGTGTCCAAATCGTAAAGCAAGTCTATTTGGGGAGAAGATTGGAACATTACGAAGGAGAAAATTAAATAGAATTCTTAATATGGGAATTTGAAATCTCACGAGGTTAGGCAGATTATAATAAAAGGAGGAGATGATCTCAGAAATGAGTTATTGATAATGTAAATGATGAGAAAAATCAATGATATTTTTAAATAGAAGTAGCTTAAGCTTTTCCTCAGGCCTTATGATATTATTCTGACTTCAGCGAGTAGTGGAATTTTAGAATTCATTCCGAATACAGTTTCTTTAGATAAAATCAAGAGAGAAAATCCAAATCTCACTTTGAGACAATTTTACTAAAAAAATTTTGAGAACTTCTAAGAAGCTCAACAGAAATTTGCAGAAAGTTTGGCAGGATACTCATTGATTTGTTATTTATTCCAATTGAAGGACAGACACAATGGAAACATTCTAATTGATAATGAGGGTCACATAATCCATATAGACTTTGGATTTGTATTGACCTTAACTCCAGGCAATATTGGTTTTGAATCAGCTCCATTCAAATTAATCAATGAATATGAGGAGTTATTAAATGGTAAAGATAGTGATATGTTTGATTATTACTAAATTCTAATATTTTCAGGTAACTATAATTGGAACCCTATTTAGGACTTACCATTTTGTAAGAACATGTAGCAGAATTACTTACTTTTGTTAAATTGATGCATTTCAGTCCAAAACATAATCTCTTGGCATGTTTGGAGAATTTCAATTTGAATGACTTCAAGAAAAGATTCCATGAAAATGCTGGAGATAAGAATCTGTATCCTATTGTGGAGAGTCTAGTTAAGAAATCAAGTAATTCTTGGAAAACTTTGTTATATGATTATTTTCAATACTAAACCAATACTATTTATTATTGACAACATATTATTTTAAAATGAAATAACCATCTTACCGATGCACAGAAAAGCTTTGGAAACCAATAGTAAGGCCGCCCAGACATAACTATAGACTAAAAGATATGGGAAATGAGATTTTCATGGTGTAAGATACTGTTACTAAACGATCTGACTTTGAATTTTAAAACTCCAGAGGATTGACTTTGTAATGCAGGTATTTGACTAAATTATTTACAGCTTGTTTGAGCCTATAAGAATGTAAGACAAACCACATCCATGCATGATCTATTTACATGGGAACTCTAGCAGCAGAGTGGAAGCCTTAACCATTGTTGAATACTTACTCCCGAACAACATAGCAGTTTGTGGAATTGACCTATCTGGTAACTTACTAAGCTATTTTACGTAGGTTCTGGATAATCGTAAGGTGAATACATTTCCTTAGGCTATTACGAATCAAAAGATGTTAATGACCTCTATGACCATTTGAGATAGAAAAAAGTAAGTGAACCTAATAATTATAAGTTGAACAGCCTTTCATTACATAAATTGGATTGTGGGGCAGATCCATGGGCTCAGTGACAGCCATTCTTGCAGCGACTCTCAATTATAATTTCAAAGTATTAGTGTGTGATAGTCCTTTCTCTAATTTAACTCATCTCTGTCAAGAATTAGCATCAAATAGTTATAACATACCCAGTTGTTGCTTCAATTGTTTCTGGTGTCTCGTCAAAGCCAAAATTAGAAGAGAGGCCAAATTTAACATCGAAGACCTCAATATCTCATACGCCATTCAAAGTAAATCTGCCATCACTATCACATTTAGCTCTACCTACTGATGTTTCCATTGTTTTCTTGTCAGCCAGATAAGATCAATTAATCATTGAAAAACATCCCAAAATTCTCATGGAAAAATTTAGAGGAACCAAAGTACTGAAACAATTTGAAGGGACCCACAATTCAAAAAGACCTTAGGATATTATGAAAGAAACTGTTTAATTTGTAAGAACTCAATTTGATAAACATTCCTTAAATTCAAACACTAGCCAAGGAGCTACCAAGATTAATAATGCCACAAAAGACTAGATTCCCATTCCTGATTGTGATGCACCTCTTTTGACTTAAGAAAAACCATATTTGTTCAAAACAGATAAGTGATGACTATCTGAACAATAAGTGATTAAATCTATATTTAAAATAATAATATCTATTTTTTTGCATGAATTACAAAGAACACAAAACTAAGTATTCAGAAATTAGTCCTTTTATGTAGTTTTATCATATTTTAAATATCATCCAACACTCTAATCTTACTCTATTAAACTTATTTCTATTGAATAATATTGTCTTTATTCCTTAGAACCTCTCTCTCATCTTGAATTCTGTCATACTCAATCATTTTGATCCTTTCTTCTAACTATTATATAGGTGTAAATTTACACATCTTTACTCATTTTATAGTCTTTTTCGATTTTATTTTGATTTTTGATATTTATTTTTATAGAACTCTATCTATTCCTCATTCGTAGCTTATTATTTCTACATTTCCAAAAGTAGACTTTTAGATTCAGCTAAATTTTCCTATGAATGCTTTAATTGATTTTGCAAATACTCTACTGTCTTTTCTATTGATCTTTGTCTCTATGATATGCTTAAACTATTACTTCTAAATGCTATTAATTCAGATAAGAAATATCATTATCAAATTCATACAATAACTATTAGATTCTTCTATTTTCTTATTTCAATTATTCTAAATCTTACAAAATTTAGTTTTTTTCTTCTTGATCTAATTGATATTGCTTATCATACTCAGCCAATTTATCTTCATTCGTTTTTACTAAAGACTTTTATTATTCTAATTCAGACTTTAACTATTTAATATCCGAAAGGTAATAATTAGCTTCCTTTGATACTTAATCAATTTTATTTTTTTAATCTTCTAATTGTGCTTACAATTTTAGATACTCTTTTTGTTTTTCCTAAACTAAATTATTTAATTTAAATTCTTGCTATTATTTTTAATTAACCGTATTTTCTAATTACTAAATTTGATTATTCATCGCTTTGATCTTATCTTTTTTTTTATTAATTTATGAATTTAATTCTTGCTGTTATGAGAGTTTATCAGATTAAAGTTTATTTGATTCTTATTAATGGTTTGCTTCATTAATTTTAATCAATTTTTCTAAATCTTAGTTCTTATTAGTTAAATTATCAATTGTCAATTATAAAATTCTATTTTCTTCAAATTGCTCATTTATTTTTGATTCTAAAATCTAGATTTTTTATTTATCCTCTTTTAATTCAATTTCAAGATATCGAGATTGCTCTTCTTTCACTACGACAGCTTATTTAATAACATTATTTTCGTCTTTCAATAATTTATATCGTTTCTCATGATCCTTGCTAATTTGTTATTTGAAACTCATACATTTCTGTGGTTAATGCATCATAGAGTCGTTGTACTCTGTCCAATTCAACTTGGAATGAAGCTTTTTATTAATCCAACCTAGCATCAAACACTTTAGATTGATCCTTCAATAACCTCATTTTGGTTTTCTTCTTCTGAACCTTAATTTTCAGTTGATTTAATTGGGATTTCAAATCTTCATTGCCTTTATGTTGCCAATCTGATCGTTCCCTCTCATATTTTTATATGATTTCTTCTTTCAACTATAATATCTTCTCCTAATCTTTGCCTTCTTGCATGTAATCTCTCAAGGCTGCCTATACTGTTGAGAGACTGCACTTACCTTCAATTTTGAATTGAGATCCTTTAATTTATTATATTTTTCCCGTGTTATATACTCAGTTTATTCCTTCAAAGCATTTGGAGAATTGGGTGCATATGGATCAGTATCTCGTCTTGTTTGGTTTGAGCGATATAGCAAGTCATTACTCGAGCCTTGGTTTGTCCTCATTATTTAAATATTAATATTTTATAACAGCCATGGTAATCAATTTAAATGGATTATAGAATCGAAAAATTTTTGTTTTCGAAGAATTTTTGAAAGTTTAAATAGTGATTTTATAATTAATTCTTTTTTCCATATTTAATGAGTAGCGATAATCTAAGAAAAGGATTAATAAATGATAGCTTCGGGGATTTTGGGAGTTTCGTAGAGACCCTCATCCCAGAGCAGAAAAAAACAGCAAGAGAAAAAGCAGGATTCTTGGGGAAGTTGTTTGTATCCTGGATTTATCCAACGCTGTAAGATTTAATTATAAGTTTTAGAAAACTAGCTTAAAAACAGCCATTAGAAGTGGAAACTATTCAGCCACTTTCAAAAACAGAGAGATCATAATATTTATTTGAGAAATTTAAAAATTAGTTGATCATTACCTAGAGAGGGGAAAACACAATATTTAAGGCTTTGTATTACACTTTTCAGAAGCAAATCATAATTACTTTTGTATGGTTGATAATATCAGTCAGTACCGCTGTAATCATCCCAATGATGATTAAAAGCATTATAGATTATATTACAAATTAGGAAGAAGACTATTATTATGCTTCGACAATTATCGCTGTTATTATAATATCAAGAGCAATCAACATGATAGCAAATGCTTAAGCAAGACTAGAGATTGTAATTAAGAATTGATATTTTAAGAGATCTTTCGGATTCGACGCCTAATCTGTGCTTTCGGTAGAATTAATGAATAAAAGCTTACGAACTTCTTTCTTAAGCAATCCTAGATACACGACTGGAGAAGTGATAAATTTGATGTAGGTGGATGCAGGGAAACTATAATTTGTTACTTATTATTTAGGTGTTGCTGCATTGGTTCCAATCTAATTAATAGTTACTATATATTTAATGTTTGCTTATATTGGATTGTCATTTCTCGGTGGATTTGGAATAATGATCTTAACGGCAGTGTGGAATACCTTGATAGGAAAGTTCCTCATGAAATACTAATAGACAATGATGAAGGAGAAGGACAAGAGAACAAATTGTGCAAATTAGATATTTTCATAAATCAAGTTCATTAAAATAAATGCATTTGAAGAGTTCTTTAGAGAAAAACTGTTCAAATTGAGGAAAGCTGAGATTGATATCACCAGAAAGCGTTACTTTGGAACTGCATTTTACATATTTTCAGTATGGCTAAGTCCACTATTAATATTGTGTGGAACCTTCCTTATGCACATTCTATTAGGTCATCAACTAAGCGCTGGCAGTACCTTTGCAATTATCAGCTTATTCTAAATGTTACAATAGCCTTTGTTGCAATTGCCAATAGCCATTAATGAAGTCATGGCTACTAACATAAGTTTAAAAAGAATATAGAAATTTTTATTTACTGATGAATTATAATCTGATTGCATTTAGTTTGATTATTATGGGGATGAAAAATCAGTTGAAATAAGAGATGGTAACTTCTATTGGTCAACACTCAAAAAGGAGGAGATTGATGAGTAAGAGAAGAAGGAGTAGGAAAACAAGAAGAAGAAGAAATAAAAGAAAAGTAAAAAGCTTCAGGTAGAGGAATAAAGTCAGAAGGAAAACGAGAAGAAGCAAGTCTTATTTAATATCAATATGGAAATAAAAAAGGGGATGTTAATTGGTATAATAGGAGATGTGGGATCAGGCAAGACTTCAATAATTTAGGCCATAATAGGGGAGATGTTGTATAACCCTGAGAATCCTCCTAAGGTTACGATAACAGGGTCATTGGCATATGTAGGATAGAAATATTGGATACAAAATTTAACTGTAAAAGAAAACATCTTATTCGGATTAGAGTATAAAGAATAGAAATACTAGAATGCACTTAAATATTCCTGTTTATAGTAGGATTTGAAGATATTAATAAAAGGGGACGAGACTATGATTGGAGAAAAGGGAATAAACCTATCTGGTGGATAAAAGGCAAGAATAAGTTTGGCTAGGGCTATCTACAGTGATGCTGACATAATATTATTGGATGATCCAATCAGTGCAGTTGATGCTCATGTTGGAAATTTCATTATGAATGAATGTTTAAATGGATATTTGAGAAATAAAACAAGAATTCTTATCACTCATGCCTTAAATAATTTACAGTATGTAGACTACGTCTATTTACTTGAAAATGGAGCAGTAATTGAATAGGGAACATTCCAAGAAATTAAACAATCACCTAGCTTTGATTCAATATTCCAAAAGCTATACAAAAATCAACATCAAAATGAGGATGAAGAGACAATTGAGTAGAAGGTCGAGGAAATTCCTTAATTAGTTAAATAAGCATCATCTAAGGAGGAACCCAAAAATGACTAGAATAATGAATTGATGCTAGATGAAGATAGAGAAAGGGGGAATTTGGCATTAGAAACTTACAAATAATACTTTAAATTAACTGGATATTTCAATATAATTTTGTTGGTGTTTATATAGATTTGTTGGATAGGATGCTATTTTGGTACTTCGATTTTGATTGCTCTTTGGACTTCTAAGGCAGAGGAGGATGAAGAAATCGATAACTATAAATATTTAGAAGTCTACTTTTATTTCTCATTGGGATAGGGAGTATTTGCATTTCTGAGACCTCTGTTGTTAGTTTCGGCTGGTACAAGAACATCTGACAAAATCCATACAAAAATGATAAAGTAAAGAGTATAATTAATGATAGCTGTTTATTATATGCTCCATAATGTTCATTTTTTGAAAGAGTTCCATTAGGTAGAATATTGAATAGATTGACAAAGGATTAAAATTCATTGGATAGTGAAATATATTGGGGATTGAGTTGGTTTTTTATCTCTACGAGTTTATTGATAGCAAACTTGACTATTTATGTTTACTCAAGTACTGCTTACATGCTGATCCCCTTATTCTTTTACTTCGCTCTATGTTGGTGGATTCAATAGTTATATGTGACTGCCAGTAGAGAATTACAAAGGTTGGAATCCATCTCTAAGAGTCCTATAGTGAGTTTCTTTGGTGAATGCATAAATGGGTAGAGTTATGTGAGAGTATTTAAGAAGGAAAGTAAGTTCATAGAAAAACATTGTGATAATATGGATGTAAATCGAAGAGTGTTCTTAGAATTAATAGGAACTTAGACATGGTTTATGTTGGTATTGGGATTGGTAAGCTTAGTTGTTAATGCCATGGCAATAGCTTATTGTGTATTCTTCTCCTTTTCTAATCCATCTTTGGCTGGATTGTTATTGACATATGCAACTTAAATAGATGGTAATGTCTCAGAATGTGTTCAATCCTTTAGTTAATTGTAATTGGGATTGGTTTCATTTGAGAGATGCTTGGCATTCACCAAGATAGAACCTGAACCGGGATATAAAGAGTTGGTTGATAATCATTTAGTGGAAGCCTCTCATTAAGAGAATTATTTAGATCATTGGCCAAAAGAGGGAAGAATAGAATATGCCAATTATTCAGTCAGGTATCGAGAAGGATTGAAACCTGCTTTGAAGAATCTAAATTTTACTATTGATCCTTAAGATAAGATTGGAGTTGTAGGTAGAACTGGAGCAGGTAAGTCTACTATGACACTAACTCTCCTAAGAATTCTTGAGGCTCTTGAAGGCAAGATTGTTATTGATAATGTTGATATATCCGCTATCTCATTAAAATAACTTAGAGAGCATATTACTATGATTATGCAAGATTCCACGATCTTCGATGGTACTTTAAGAGAGAACATAGACCCTTTAAATTAGAGAACGGATGAAGAAATCGTAAGTGTCTTGGAGCAATGTTGTTTGAAAGATTTGACTTAGTAGAGGAATGGATTAAATACTTAAATTAGTGAAGGAGGAGACAACCTGAGTTCTGGAGAGAAGTAATTAATTTGCATTGCCAGGGCTGTTTTAAAAAAAAGTAAAGTCGTTCTCATCGATGAGGCAACTGCAAATATTGATGTTGAAACTGAGCATAAGATACAAGAAACAATATTGAGTGCATTCAAGGATTGCACTGTTATTACAATTGCTCATAGAATCAATACGATTTTGCATTGTGATAAGTAATAATTAATTTTGATATTTTAGAATTATTGTTGTTGATGCAGGAGAAATCAAAGAGTATGGCAAGACAAAGGACTTATTATTGTTGAAAGATTCCATTTTCTATGGTATTTATTAAGAAGCATTGAAACATAACAAAAATTGAGATGAATATAATTATTAGTATATTTATCAATTAAAATTCTGTATATCCATAGATGGTTCTTGGAAGGTCTTAATTTAAATGAAATGGCCTTCAGTATTTCTGTCGATTGATGGGATTTTCACCATGCAATGAGATTAATATTGAAATTCTTCAGGATAACATAATTCCAATGTTTTTTTGGTAGTTTCAGAAACTTGTACTTAACCTCTTTCGCCCTTAGATTCCATTTTATTTGCTATCAATACGTCTGGTCCATAGATGTCATATCTTACAATATCTGTTCCAAGAACTCCCCCTATGATTTTACCAGTATGAATCCCTATCCTCATATGTAAGTCTGAATTATTAATTTTGTCTCTGACCTTACTAATGATATTAATCATTTCAAATGCCATTTCCACTGTATTCTTAGCCTCCAAAGCTGGATTCCTGTCTTTAGCATCTACCATCCCCATGACAACATAACAATCCCCAATCGTGTATAATTTGTATACGTTCTTCTCTTGACAACACTTGTCGAATTCAGTGAATAGATTTCTCAGCATAAACACAACTTATTCAGGAGCTACTTTACTTGAATATTCTGTAAAACCAGCAATATCAGCAAACAGAAGGGTAACATCTTCATGTTAATCCTTCAAGACTGCTCTGGATTATTGTAATTGTAAAAACTAGTCGAGCATGTGAGTAGGCAATTAATGTTTTACTAACTGATCTAATTATTCATGCTTGTATTTTAGTTTGCATTTTTAGTTGTAAGCTTCAACATTCTTCAAGAATTTATAGATTTAGTTTGATACAAATATTAGTTAGAGTAAACTAGCATAATAAATTAAGGACTTATCCCATTTATTAACCACAGCTGCAATAATATTCATACAGATCATAACAACACTTTCCACAACCTTGTATTTCATTTTGATTATGGGGTTCAACTGAGTCAAGAAGGAGAGGAAGATACCTATGGCAATACAAACCTCTCCTATTATACCTTCTTTTACACTAAAGATGTGCATGATCCACCAGATTAAAATAAAGATGTAGAACCCGATAAAATACTTCTATTTGAAAAAGTGATTGCAATATTGCTCATTGAACAACAAACATATGAAAATCAACTTTACAAAGACTATTAAGTATCCCTACACAACATTAATATACAAAACAATAATCTCTCTGAAAATATTGTCTATTAAAATGGTTGATGTGTTCTGGATAAGTATCAGTATACTCATTCCCAGTTCCAAAAGAATGACCAATACTTTATTTTATTGTCTCAATTACTCATAAAACTCTTATACGACATCCTCATCGACATCTGAGTGAAAATCGAGGTACAATCTGCTCTTATCCAAGATCAACACATCCATCTCTTTAAATTCATCTTCAGATTAATGGATTTGTTTTAGTTTCTCTTTATCCACTTCAATCAATGGGAACTCAAGAGTATCCTCAAACACAAGGTTCTCTCTGGCTAATTTAATTTCAAGAGCCTCAATTAGATTTTACCCTGTGATTGTTTAACCCTGTTGCTCTTTTATTGGAGGTTGCAACTAATCAGATTCCCCTCTAGAATGTTGCTGAGACACATTATTGTTGTTATTACTATTATTTAATGCCAAGTTTTGATTATCTAAGTTGATACTCGATTTATGAATCAATTAAGGTGTCACTATCTTAATACTGGATTAAACGATAGTAGGTTTTCGAGAGTTCTTGAATTCAAATATAGATTTCCGTTGTCTGCCTACATAATCTTCTCGATTTATGAAGATCTACATGTCATCTTTGAATTTTCTCAATTTCTTTCTTGAAACCTTCTCCTTTATTACTTCCTATACCAAATACGTAGTCATTTATCCCTTTCCTTTAGCCTCCACTAGGTCCAAAGTAAAAGTGAAATCAGCACAAGAGGAGACCTGCTTGTATGCCTCCTCAGATATCTTGATTTGATTATCCTATGCAGTAGAACAAACCCGACTGGTGGTATTGACAGTATCACCGATCAAGGAAAATTGAGGCTTGTGATATCCTATTACACCAGCAATCACATTGCCATAATGCACTCCAATTTTCACTACAATGTTTTCAGTCTGGCCAAAACTCTGGGCTGAAGCAAACTTCTACATTTCAAAGGCTACTTGGAGAGCTCTTAGAACTGGATTAATATTATTTTGGGATATTAGATTCTTCAACCCTGAAGCTGCCATGTAAGTCTTACCAACAGTTTCGATCTTCTGCAGATTGTATTAATTACACAATGAATCGTATTGTCTGAATAGGATGTCAAGTAAGTGAACCACGTTCTATTGTTGCACCTTTATTATAGTATCGAATTCACAGATATCGCAAAATAGGATTGCCACTTCTCCTTGGTTCTCCTATATGTCAAATTCTCCTCTCTGATTTATCATGTTTCTGATGAACTTTGGCATCAGAATCGAGAGAGTGTCACTTATTGAATTGATTTTCTAATTCAATTACAAATTCTGGATGAACTCCTGTCTCAAATTCCTTTGCACTCTCAAATGCATCCCACTACTCAAGGCTGTCTACATAAATGCAATGAGATAGTAGTTGAGCATGATGTATTAATTGATATTCTAATTGATGGATGTGTTGTTGGCACTGAATCTGATGATGAAACTGATGTTGACTATGATGCAATAGAATATGATGGTCAAGGGTCTGTCATCTATCAATGGTTGCAGCATGAACAACTGCATAATAAGCATGTCACTTAATGAATTGTCGTTCTGTTAGAAAAAGTAGATATCATATACGATCTTGTACAACAGACGAGATAGGATCAAGATTTTAGACAATCTGAAATGGTGCTTCTTAAACACTGATGTGTAAATGAATAGAGCCATCAATATCTAGGTGCCATTGTATGCAAATGAAAAATACAATAGCCAAGTATAATTTTCATCCTTATTGATAAACCAAATCTGCAGCAATATTGCACCTTCCACTAACATCCAACTCAGCGGATAATAGAATCGATAATATTCTAAAATGGATTTCGATTCATTCATTTAATATTTTGTCTCTAATTAGATATTCTTGAATTGCTATGTAAACATATTGATTTTTATGCTCTTCTCACTGAGAGCCATGCCTGACAACATTGATCTTATGGATGAGTCCATATCATCTTCATTTTTAAATAATTTCAACGCATATTTTTATATATTCAGTAAAAGTGAGCCATTGATCTTCTTCTTCGAATAATAAATTTCAATTGGCTTCAATAAGCTACATATTTCAATCTTGGCTTTTACTGAAAACATCAATCTATCAACAGTATAAGGGATAAATTAAAACAATAAAAGTTAGAGTGTGAAAATAATCAGGATAATCAGTATGATATAAAACACGCTTTAAACACTTATCAGGTGTTGCATAATTTATGAGTATGTCTCATCAAAGATTGGAATATAGCTTATTAAGGTCAGCAAATATAGGATTATAAATAAGGCCCACCAATAAACAATACTATCGTAGATCCATTTACTTTGTTCAACAAAGATTATTATTGTATACATTTATAGAGATTAAGCATCATCACTGAAACCTTTGCCATCATTTGTAAAAAAGTCTATATGCTTCTGAATGAATATGATTATGAAGGATTCAAAAATTGAAAACAATAAGACTTTGTAAATGAACAACCAATATTTATGTTTTCTAAATTGAATCCAATTCTGATTATAAAAGTATACTACTTGTTGTTTAAAATCTGTTATATTTTGAGTATTCAGGATTGATTACTTATACAATAACAAAGAGGGTAATATAAACATAATAGATTGGAAGTATGAGAGAGGAGGAATTTCATTTTCTATTTCCAAAATACATTGGAAAAACAGGCAAAACATAATCAAATAGCATCTATAAAATGCATAGATCATTATGTTCTCGACAAACTCTGCATGTTTTCTACTGTCATAAAATAGCAATGTAACTAGATTATTCATATCCTTTATGATTAGATCTGCTGTACTCATATATCTAACTTTGGAATAGATAAATTTTTCCATCTGTTTCTTAGAATAGTTTGAATTTATCTATTTATATTTTGATAATTTGTTTGTAACCTAAGAATAACTTGTATTATTTTCTTTCTTTTGTCTCTCAATTTATTCCATCTTTTCTATTTTACTATTTTAATTAATCCTTTCATTCTATATTTGTATTGCGAAATCTGAATTTTCCATGATAATCGAATCATTGGCTTCATCACCAACTACTAAGATTCTTCTTCTTTACAATTACTTTTTCTATAGAATCTTAATTAAAACACCTTTCTAATACTTGTTCATAGAATATCCAATTAGATGAGTACAAAAGGATACTAAAAATGCCAAATGATGATATAAATTTTGATCGTTTTCAATGATCTCAAGGGCCTTCCCCTCAATCATTATACAAAATGGTTTACTTTTTGATAAATTGTTATTTATCCCACTTAAAACACCTCTTGTACTGGCTCTGCGAGCAACGTTCACTGATTTTCTCTTATAACTATTAGGACTACCAAGCTTTTCGTTATTCTTCTTATCATTTTGCTCTTCCCTCAATTGTTTAATCAAATTGTTGTAGCACCATAAAATGTGTTACTTGATTTGTTAAGAGACCATGTCATTGGATTCTATTGTTAGAACCTGAATATTTTCCTTCAGAATGTTGGATTTATAAGCAACTGGTAATACCTTATTTTTGGTATCACCACTGGCTATCCAAATAGATATATCTGCATTATGATAATAATTGATTATCTCCTTCAATTACTTTTTCATCTTTTCCTACACTCCGACAATTAAAATCACTTCTAATTAATTATTTTTATTTTTAATCTCCTCTAATGGATTCTTTACAAATAAATTATAGCCATTTTAATCCATATTACATTTATAATAGATTATTGGTCTACAACCTCTTTATATAATCTTATTGATTATCCCATTCCAAACATCCTTGTCTTCCTTATCCATATTGATACCTTCTATCAATTCTAATCCATCTTCTCTAATGTATTGAATGTATTCAAATTTATCATTGAATTAAAATGCTAACAATTTATTATAATCTGTAATTTAAGTTGTTACACATAATTTAGTATTGTCTAATTATGTCACTGTCACTGGGATTTCCAATAGATTCTCCTTAATTTCAATAATGTATTTGCTTTTACCAAATGTAGATCCAATAAACTTGTAGTCATAATTTGAAGCTAAACTAACTTATAGTTCATCTATTTGATTGTTAAATTCTTATTATAATGAATCTAGTTTCTGTAGGTACTTAGTCTGAGTATCATGACAAATGATGAGGATAAAGAGTGCTTCTTCAATAACTCCCCTATATTCTGGAGTCAATGATTTACTATAGATTTCTTTCTCATTACTTATAAAATCATCTTGTCTCTCATATTGAATGTTGAATTCATCAGTCTTGTAAAATCGATCAGCTGATAATTTCTTTTTGGGTTCCATCTTTTCTAAAATTGGTCTTCTCTCACTAAACTTACGTCTTGCTGTCTCTTTGATAGGAGATTGGGATTTAATCATTCTTTGTTCATTCAACTGATTTATCATTCCTCCTAGATCAGTTCCTGATTCCCAAGAGTCAATTTAAAACAATTTTGGTGGTTTTGTTCTGTGGATCTCTTTCAATTTGGAATGATCGTCAGCAATTTCTTCAGCATTGAAATTGGCTTCATCCTATTAACTTGTCTCACGTATATCTTACTCAAAATTCGGTTCAATATTCACTAGGTTGTCCTCCAATCTCCAAGGTGGTATTGAAGTCCTTTTAGTGGGACTCATGGGCCTATGATGGGGTGACACTTTAATAGATGAAATTTAATTAGGAGATAAGGATTAATCTTGAATGAAAAGCATCTCCTAGTTCTCCAACACATCTTTCTAATACTTTTTCCATTGAATTGCATTTTTAAATGTTTTATTATGAATCTCATAAAATGTTTCATTAATCAAAATTAATTTTATCTTAAATTGCGGAATGGTCAACGTACAAGTCTTGTCAAAAATGACAGAATCCACCAAAGATAAATCAGCTATAGGGGTTGCATTCAACTTACTGTACACCGTATTTAATTCCATCTTATGATTCTAAAAGATATTGAATTCCTCTTGACTCTCGTTACTCTGACCACCCTTCTGCTTTTTGAATTTAAACATCTTCTAACTGGAACAAATAATTTGCAACACATCCAACACTCCTATCAGATAATACGGAAACATATTCAGATAAAGCAAAAAGTAATCGGCTAAGCACTATATTTACCACCCATCATTAATAAATCTGATTGATTTAATCATCCAAGATCCAAAAGATAACACTATTATAAGTATTAACGTGAATTTGTAGAAGGTATCAACCCTACTATCAAAGAACGATTTCGTTGACTTCTCAAAATTGGTCAAATGATAATATTGACAATTCAAACCGCAACTTAAAACAAGTCCGTATATATAATCACAAGTCTGTAATTGTTATCCTCGATATAGAATGTTCTCCTTCTTTATGTCAACAGGCTAAGGATCATTCTTCAATCTAATGAATCCAGTGTAAAAGGATTCGGATTTGTAATCCTTATCGAATGTCACTGTCCCACTCAGCAATAATCGGTATTCAAATCCATTTCCTTTAAATTAATGCATCTTAGGCAAAGATGTTAATTCGTTTGCACCCTTTACCCCTTCATCAGTCTGTCCATTCACACATGTGTTATTCACGTAGAATCTCTCTTGGTTCGACTCCAGTATTAGGCAATCTGCAGGACAAACCTCGTTCCTCTTCAATATTATTATGTCTCCAATCTCCAAATCCTCCCATCTTATTGTTTCTATTATACTGATCTTAGCGCTTTCATTCAACTCTGTCAGAGCTTAAGGAGATGATGGCATCATTCCCCTATCGGCTCTTTAAGTGGAAATTAATTGAGTCCTATTCAATTTTTGCTCATATTCCATTAAACTGATTTTCTTGTTTTACATTATTTTCTTCAATTTCTTAAACACTATCACTTGTCTCTGGTTAATTAGATTGTCTTCATCATGCACCAAAATCATGTAGTACAAGGTTTTTATCAAGTACATCACCAAGCCAAAAAGAAATGGTATTACAAATCCAAAAATAACTTGGGAATTGTTTTGAGTGATGCTCAGACATATGATACTGATCAGAAGGAAAATGTAATTGAATGGCCTTTTCATATATCTCCATAGAATGCTCCCCAATGATTGTATGGTGGAGATTTTGTTTTTTAATTCAGAAGAAGAGAAGCCCTTTAAATTCACTGTGTCTCCATTTTCAAATTCTATCTTGTTTATTAAATTGTACGATTTACTTGCTTAGAGTATGAATCATCGTTCTTTTGTTTCGTCTTTGCATATTTTCTATGCAGGTATTCATAAATTATCTATGATAATTTCATAATTTTATTATATAATGTCATAAAACAAATAATGTTTGTAACCCTCTTCTATAAATAAATTTTCTTGTGAATTTACCCATCTACCTCAACCCCTAAATTCCCTTCAATTACTATTGCTAAACATCGTGTATTTAATTGGTAGTTTAAAAATTGCAAAGTTCTCACTACTTTATTGAATGGCTTAATTTTTTGTAGACTATGATTTCTATAAATAATTATCAACAAAGACGATAACTATATAAAATTAATTAAATTTAATTTTTCAAAATTTATTATCATTATTTAATGAGGTCGCCATGAATGAAAATGCATAATTTATGGTATTTTAGCAAAATAGTTCCCTATTAAGACTTATAGAGCATAAATGATAAGTGGACGTAATTTGAATCAAGATTTAGAATTGAATTTGCTTGCAAACAGAAAGGTTAAAATTATAAAACATATAGATTATTTAGAAATTTTAAAATTGATTTAATATTCTGCAATTATTGTAATACATTAAACATATATAATTATTATAAATAAATTTTTGAAAAAGTTTTATATTCCTTTAACTATGATCCTGATTTATTTCTAAGTGACAATTATGGAAATCTTAATTATAACCATCGACTAAAATAATGTAGATAGAATTTTGTGGAATATGATATCAGCATCAATACTCTACTTTATTCTTTTTGAAATTCCTGTAACTATAAATTAACAAATTGGTTTATATATCATTTCATTGTTTAGCTAAAGATTTAATTATTTAAGAATCTATATAATTTAATTTACAGTTATTAGGGAAATTAGAAATTTATATAAATATTTTATAAATAGATTAAATAATACTGCATTTTACATTCAAAATTCATTATAGAAAAACATCATAGTTAAAGTTACTAATGGTATTTCTTTAAAGGTATGCAAATAATCTCTGTAACAGTTCCATATTGAGAGATATCTGATGGGATGACTAAATGCTTATTAATTGCATTATTTATATTATATTTTTCAATTCAAGTTCGGCTAACCTATTAATCGGATATAAACTTCATAAATATATTATTATTATTGTACAATATCATTCAAATGTTAAAAAACTTATGGTTTAGAGCAAAATGAGAATTTCTTTTAGGATTAGAATGTTCTAAATTTGAAATGAAGGTTTGTAGTTTATATTAATTAGAGTGTGTAAAAATAAAAAGGAGGGAGAAATAATATAAAATAAAAAAATTGGTCGGGGCGGGAATCGAACCCGCGACCGTTGGCTCATAAGACCAACGCTCTAACCAACTGAGCTACTCGACCATGTACAATTGAAATAATACAGATTTTCATAAATAATCAGTTCCTTTGATAATCATTTACAATTATATTTGAAATAGTTAAAGTAAAATAGGCATAAGTATATAATAAATGGTTCTCATTGTTATAATTTATCATTCAGATAAGAATTTAACATATTTATCCTTAAACTTGTTGTTCTATAGTATTCTTTGATATCTTCGATATGGAGCTATTTATGTAGTTTGATATATTTAATTATAAGCAGTTTCGATCTTTAATTAATGTTTTCTTTTGATACTTATTACAATTCTGTATCAATTTATTAATTTAGATTTATGAAATTGGATTTTGCAACTCATTTTTTTTTTAAAAGCTAATTTAAAAACCCTAACCCTTTTATGATGGTATAATGATTATTATAGTTTGATAATTCAATATCAAAAAAGATAAACTTTAATAATGTCTTTCTGGAACTTAGATATACTTTTAACTGATTTGATAATTCTTTATATTTTTTTATTGCTTTCATAAGTTAAATAAGTAAAAATGACAAATCTTACTTATTAAGACAAGTTAATTTAATCAAAATAACATTCATCTCATAGACTTTGATATTTTTCTATACTTTCAAGAAGGACTTAGTCAATTTGATTGTTTCTTTTTTTAAGGTTATGATTTTAGACTAGATTATTGAGTTAAGTAAATTTAGAAAGAAAGCCCATCTTAAGAGTAAATTAGTTATCTAATACTATTTAATGGTTGCTATTATAAATAAGGTTTAATCATCCAATATCTATTTTCAGGAGCATCTTTCTAATTACCAAATTTATCAAAGTAATAAATATCTGCTCATCAGAGATGCTTTTTAACTCAAAATAGAGACATGATCATCAAGTAGGCATCCTAGAATGAGTTTAGAAAATTATATATATTATATATAAATTTAATGAAAAATAGGCATATTAGTTTGTACAGCTACATTGCTTTCTTATTCATTATGTATGGTGTCTGGCATTTAACAATACAATCTAAGAAACATGGAGGGTATAATGTTAGTGAGTTGCCTGATCTCATTTAAGAATTACAAAATGCAATCAAACCTCACTTAACTTTCAATGTTTTGAACATTTTTACAGAAGAAGAGATGAATACATTTAATTAAACAATTTATTAGAAGTATTCTGAATTTGAAATTGAATTTAATATTGTCTAGGATATTCCTTAAGATTAAGATAAGAATGGGTATTTAATATCATTCTACTAGATTGCTTATAAATATACAGAAAGCACAATATACATTTTTATTCATTCAGAAATTGGATAAAATTACCATTATGACATAAGATTTAAATGACCCTTCCATATTTAAAAATTTAAGAAGATATTTAAATAAGTTTTACCCTCTTGTCGAAAAAGAATTGCAATTAGAAAGTCGATAGTTTTATGCCAATAGATTGTTGATTTTTGATTTCTTTATCATAAGTAATCTATACTATTACTATTTTCTAGAAAAAGTTGAAAATAACCATAGCATTGATGTAATTACTGAAATTGAATAGAGTGTTCTTAAATTACAGAAGTATTTTGGGTTGTCAACGGAAAATATAAGAATAAACTATAAGTTCATAGATGGCTTCAACATCGAAATTGCAAACAAACGAATTAAGTTGTAGAAATAAACAATTAATAATTTTTTGGATCAATCAAAATAACAACATAATATGAATTGGAAGGAGTATTTCCAAATGAATATTCTTACCATATTAACGGATGAAGATATTAATATAGATTTAGATACCAATGAAAATGTGTAATTTTATTATTCAGAACCTTCATACTTTATGTTTTAAGTAAATTCTTAATCAACATTGTTCAAAAATATATTCAATACATTTATGCAGGTTTTATAATTGGAAGAACAGTAAGAAATAATGATTGAGAATCAAGATTTTAGGCCATCCTTGGAATTAATCAGAGATTACTTTTAAAGGAGAGAATTTTCAAGGCACATTTTAAATTTCATAAAAGAACTGCAATATATCTAATTTATCTAATCGGAAGGGGAATACAAAATAAGTCTGAAGAGTCAAAAAGAATTTGAAAACCGAGTCTAATACATTAAGGATACATTGTTGAGCAAGAATGTAAGTAGAACAGATTCCGTAAATATTTTGATTGATGATTCCTTTTCTGATCTTGATACTTTTTCTTTTGAATACACGTAAAGACATTCATTTACATAATTAGTTTGGGAATGTATTTACCTTTGATTTTGCCTTTTGCTTATCCAATATTATTGAGTATATATGATGAGTTCTATCAATGATAATAAAATGAATTATTTATTAATATTGCTTTATATATATTAAAGTACCATATTACAGTTATACTAATATTTTTTATGTATTAATTCAATATATATATATAAACTATTATTATTATGTGTTGGGTAGATCATCCATTTACTCTAATGTTTCAGTTACTCAGAAACCTATAGTAATTTATACATGTAGCCCATTTAAAGGTGGTATTTAAATAAATAAATAAAATAGATTTGATCTTCTTTTTTAACTATCTCGTTGTAATTAAGTATTTTCTTATCTGTTTCTTAATTTGAATGTAATGTAGTTTTATCTTAATCTAAGATATTTAGTAAAATACTGAGATCTAAAAGGGTTTCAGATTAAAGATTTTAAAATATGATACAATTTTGGTTACATTCTATTATTTGATGATGTCCAAAACATCTTCTTTTATTAACAGCATACATAGATGATTAGTTAATAATTGTTTTTCCGTATAACCATTAAGTTATGATAGATAGTCCCCTGCTTTTCTCGATTGTACCAAGATTATAATTTAAAGAATCAATAATATAAAGTATTTTAATAATATAATTGTCTTCATAATTAGGAATTATTAGATTATTTAAATTATTTAAATTATTGGGAATGGCTCAAGAACTATATAAGTTGCTGGTAGTGGCATACACAAGCACAGAAAATGCAAAACGACAAAATGCCGAAATTTAGTTGATGAGTGCGGTGATAGAGAATATCTAAAATTTCTAATCGATTGCTCAGATTGCCAAGAGTTAGGATAGCAGTAAAACAATACCTTAAATATTAAAGTGCAAAGTTAGGCAGCCAGTTTGTTGAATTCTGCAGTTTTAACGATGTTATCAAGTCAGGGTATGAGATTTCGCACTGATAAATTTAGTTGAAATATAATTGGAACATGCACAATTGGTTTTTGATGTGATAACCTCTCAATAGACTTCATTGAAGTGCAAGCAATTGTTGTAGAAATCTATGAGTTTGTTGATTAAAATAAAAAAAAGTAAGGCATTCCTGAAAATAAATGATTAGCAATCAAACCAGACATAGAGAACAAGATGAGGTAATTGGTGAAGAGTGATTAGTTGTGGGAAATACAATCAGGATTGTTCTTCTTCAAAACATTGATTGACTCATTGGAATTGTCATCATACAATCTAGTGATTAATCAGGGTTTGGATTGGATCAGAGATTTCTTTGATTTGGTATATCCACTATTCAAGAGGTTGGATGAATAATCAGGAGACTTGTCTGAAGAATACATAGTCACAATACGATATTACGCTTAGATTGTTTTGGAGTACTGTGAGAAATTGTTCAAACAGAAAACTCACAACAAAGAGTCCTTGATCCCACTCTAAAATCTGATGTTTAAATTAACATCCTTCCAAATAACTTTATTTGCTATTTTTAAATACTCCCCTCAAAATAATCTTCTCCAAAGTTGTATAATTTCTTGCACCAACAATGAATAATTTGACAACAGAATAAATGAAGTGAAAATGTATGGATTAAAATGTCTGCAAATATTAATCAACTCCTTATTGAGCAAAAGTAAGAACGACTAAAAGAATAGTGTATTTTATAATCAACAAGCCAATCTGACTTAGTTATTGCTGTATTCCATCTTTGCATACACCAGATAAGCGAGAATCTCAGATATATTATAGTAATTTCTCAGCTATAATTAGGAAACAATTTCTGCCTAGTATCTTGAGTAGTATGCTGAGATTACTGGCACATTTAGGCGGATAAGCAGAATTGTATCCTTAGTTCCAAGATTCCAAGAATGCTTTGATCACTGATATCATCTACCCCTTTCTAATAACTACCAAGAGTGAATATCAAATAATGAAGGAGTAACCAGAAGAGTTCGTCAATATTGCATTGGATGTTGTCGACAAACAGGAATCAGATTTACCAAAAACAGCAGCAACAACCTTATTAGAAACCTTATGTGATCATATCGATGGATCGACATCTTTCTTGGCGCAAATGGCAATAGTTGTTATATCCTCTGGCATTCTAGAATTGTCTCAATCTCAATTAAATAAACAACAATAGCAAATCATATTGACAGACATATAATAGATATCCAATAAGAAGTTATTCTAAGAATTTACTCCTGTGGATAGAATAGAAAGCAGTTTGATGATTTTGACAATTATTAGCTATTTAGTATAAAAAAGACAGGATATCATTTAATTGATGGAGTAATTATTATAATCGAATTTGCCATTTTTTACTAACACAACTGAGTAAATAATAAAGGTTAGATTTGCCTTGTTTTTTGGCTACTATTTGGATAATTTGTTTAAAGTTGAAACCCAATTTTAGCTTATGTTAAATTATATCTAATTATTGATATCATATGCTAAACCACAAGAGCCAGTTGTATTATATTAGTCTATTGATGCATTAAAAGATGTGTTTGAGGATGATGAGTTGAAACATAAAACTGGAAGTTTAGTGGCCAATGTCTTTCCAGCCTTGATTTCTGGTTTGGCATTCAGTACTTATGAAAGACATTTTGAGATGATTGGGAATCTACTCAAGAAGTTCCCCTTGATATTTGTTCAAAATGAAAATTACATCATTAGTCTAGTGTAAATATTGGTCTAAAGAATAATACAAGAGGAAGCCTTGATCAAGACCACCAATGATTCAAATAGATACATTCATTTCACTAGATGCTGGAATGTTATTAGATAATTGCCAACAATCAATGAGTTCTCATCTCTCCTTCTCAAAATTGAATAAGCCATGTAACCCATCTATCAATCCCTCGTAATCAATGAAAGCAGAATGAATTTTGATGAAGAATTGGTGTTGTTTATCTCCTCAGTCATCTAAAAACTCTAATAGGTATCCCCATTCCAGAGGGAAATCCTGCCTTGCTTCTCTAATATCATAACTAAACAATCTGGCAGACTAGGCTACTTGTATGAAACTCTAAACATGTACATGTATTACGGAAGGAATTACTTCTTGCAAGAACAAGCACAACACATTTACTTCAATTTGTCTCTCCAAACTCTGATGCAAGAGGAAGCCTTCGAAGACATTGATCTGGCAGAAGGAGCACTTCTCATCCAATTGGGAATCCAAGTGCTTAATAATGATATAAGTCAACCCCTATTGGCTTATGTGTTCCAATAAGTGCTTTAATTAATTGCGAAAGAGAATGTCACTGGGATTATTCGCTCTAGAATTACAGCCATTTTTTTGGTTGCCTTTTACTATATACCCTAACAATCTTATCAGATATTGGGGGATCATTTTCAAAATGTGTATCACAAAGTATTGAGCACCCAATATCATCCAGGCTATGATATTAAATTATTCATCCTCACTATTTGTAAATTAATCTAATAAGAACCTCAATTGTTGACTACTGACTTGATTTAAATAATACTTAAGAACTTGGAAAGCTAGGAGAATGATGAGAAACCAGAAAAAACAGATTTTGAGTAAACAATATATATCAATTATGTAGTGATGATATGATGGATGACGATGAGGAAGATGACATTTTGGAAGAGGAGGAAAGACAATAGGCTAAATAGCAAATTGAATAATTCAAAAGTGATTTATAAAACTATGACGAATTCACAGTGTTCAGGAGCACTATATTGGGTTTCAAATATTAGTAAGATTTATAGTTCTAATATCTTTAGACATCCCGAAATTATTGCATTAATTAAACAAAAGCTAGATACTTCTACTCAATTAAAATTAAACAATTATTTAAAATATGTCAGAATCGACAATAGCGAAAGTGCAAGAAAAGTAAGAGTACTTATTTTATTGTAAGGTTATGACAACTGGCAAAAGAAAACATCATTAAGCAATATGAACCAATTATATGTAAATAAATAGTTCTTTATTATTAATAAAGTCTATAACGATATACTTTTATTATTTCTTCTGAATCCCTCTTAAATAGTCCCATTTTCTTCATGATCATGACTGTGTTCTAAAATGGAATCAAGAATTTTCCATTTTCAGATGAAATTTCCTTAGAATTTAAGCTTCCTCATCTATTGACAGTATAATCACAATTATGGTCAATAGTAATCAATATTGTATTGGAATGTTTTTAAAATTTCCTGGTTAAAATCAATTAAAATATGATATATTATATAATTAATAATATAAAATATCGAGAATGAATTAAAAAGAAAGAAGAAGAATATATTCATTATAAAACAGAGATCCAATTAATGTAGTGAAAACTCGTATGGATGTTTCAATGGACAATTTACAAAAAAGAAAAACACTAAATTCTGAGTTGCCTTAATTGGCATAGAACAAATTACGCATGACTAATTATACGACCTCAATGTAATTGCAGCAGAAAACCAAATATGAACAATTGTCGTTGAAAATTCTTAAGGAACCTTACAGGGCATTAAATATCAAGTAAAGAATGATAACAAATCATTTTACGTTACAGTAAAAAATTTAAGACACGATAGCTTATGATTGCATCAAACATATTTTGTCCAACACAGACAATACAATAATCAAGGGATAAGTGATTCTTCCTGTCTAAAACGAACAATAATATACTATTCCAGTATCGAGATAAGGCAGTCGAGTAGTGAAATATGATCATTTTGGATTAGTATTTGGAGGACATTCTCACAGAGAAAATATTGAAATTCATGCAATTTCATTACTGAATGGTTAATGGAAGAGGAAACAAGAGTTTTGTTAATCTTAGATAGAATAATTGAAATTGAGATAGGTTCTAAATCCAAATTTGAGATTGGGGTGTTACTTTAGTTTGAACATTGATGAAAATAAAACAATATATGCTTTTGGGGGAGAGAAAAACACAAATAGTAGAAAGACCACAAATATGGTCACTAGGATATGCTTAGAAGATGATAGACTAGAATGGCAATAATATCCAACTTAAATTGGGTGTCGTAGAAATCATAGTGGATGTTATAGTCACAACCATCTCATTATTGTTGGTGGACTAGATGATAGCGAATTGAATACGAAATTTTATAGTGACTTTTAGTTGATCAATTTGACTAACATGAATTGTACTCAATTTTATCCAAAGTTTTATTAGAAATAGGTTATTCAAAATGATCACCCTTTTAAATTGGGGATAGCTTATCATAGTGCAATTTTAGTAGGGAATCCATATTTGAGAATGAATTATGATTTCACTTCGAATACCAAAAAGGAGGAGTAGGCAGATTAATTGTTTAGCAAGGAAGGCATCTATATTTTTGGAGGGAAGGATAGTGAGGACAATCTTTATAGCGAGTTGTATCAGTTAATTATTGATACGTACCCGTCGGTATTGTAGGTTGTGGAGACTATTGGCTAGAAGCCTCTTGGGAGAAGATCTCATAGCATGAATTATGATGAGAAGATAAGTGCCTTGTTGTTGTTTGGGGGGACGAATGAAATGGAATGTTTTGGAGATTTGCATTTGTTATTTTTAAAGAATTACACTTGGTAGAAAGTGCAATTGTAGGGGTATTTGGAATACCCATTTAGATATGAGCATTGCAGCGTTTATAATGAAGATAAATTGTTTATATTTGGAGGTTTAAGCTAAAATGGATTTTTAATGTATAATCCTATTTAAATATAAATTAAATTTAAAACAATTCGTAAACATAATTGAATCTATTTTATGCATTTTTATTTATAGTAAATATACATTTCAAAAATATGTAAATAAATAAAGTATGTTGTTTTGGAGCAGGTTATGTTGGAGGACCAACGATGGCTGTGATGGCATCCAAATGTCCAAAACAGACATTTGTAGTTTACGACATTAATGAATAGTAAATTGAAAAATGGAATAACAAGCAATATCCAGTATACGAGAAAAATCTAGACGAATATATAAATTAAACATTGAATACCAATTTAATATTCACATGCGACATTGATATTGCTTTGAAAGATTGTGACATCGCCTTTCTAGCTGTCAATACTCCAAGTAAGAAGTATGGACTGGGAGCTGAATCTTCATTGGATATATCATACATCGATAGCTGTCTCCAACAGATCAAAAAATACCCTCTAACAAGAAAGTTAATATTGGTTGAAAAATCAACTGTTCCTATCAAAACCTGCGATTATATAAATGCTGTTTTAAGGGATAAGAATATTTGTGTTCTATCAAATCCAGAATTCCTAGCTGAAGGCACTGCTATACAAGATCTCCTTAATCCAGACAGAGTGATTATTGGTGGGGCACTCGAATCCGCTTAGTAGTTGGCATCATTGTATGAATAGTGGGTACCAAAAGAGAAAATCATCTTCACCAACATATACTCGGCTGAGTTAAGCAAAATTGTTGCAAATTCTTTCCTTGCTCAAAGGGTTTCTTCAATTAATAGTATATCGATAATATGCGATAAAATTGGTGCTGATGTTAATGAAAGTAATTTGATCAGACTCTCTTAATTTATTAGTTTCCTAGTGCGTAGGGAGCGATAGTAGAATTGGTAATAAGTTTCTGAAGACATCGGTGGGATTTGGGGGGTCCTGTTTAAAGAAGGACCTGCTTTGTTTAATTTACTTGTGTGAGTCACTTTAGTTGGATGAAGTTGCACAATATTGGAAATAAGTGTATATACTTAATGAGTTTCAAAAGCAGCGGTTCTATAACTTAATCACTACCTCAATGTTCAACACTCTTAGAAATAAGATCATTGTTATTTTGGGAGTGGCATTTAAGGCCAATACCAACGACACAAGGGAGAGTGCCTCTTTGATGATCATCCAAAAGTTATAAGAAGAACAGGCCATACTAAGGGTCTATGATCCTCAAGGTAAAATAGACAAGTTGGAACAATGTTAGAGTTTAGATGGCATCTTCCAAGGGGCATCTGCCATAGTGATATTGACAGAATGGGAAGAGTAAGAATGAGAGTATCTTATGATAGGTTTACAAAAATAGATTATGCTCAGGCCTATGATGAAATGGCCAAGCCTTCCTATTGTTTCGACGGCAGGAATTTATTATAGGGGGAGGTGATGAAGTCCCTTGGGTTTTTATATTATGGATTAGGTAGAATGTGAATTTGAAATATATTTATCAAAAGTATGATTTATTTTATAAAATTATCTTAATGTCAGAATAACAATAATAATATTGGCCTATTTTTACAGAGAAGGATGACATCAAGACATTCTGGAATAAGAAATCCATCAATTTAGCCAAATAAACAATCTCCTATCAGCAATTAATGAAAAGGATTAGTTGGAAAAGTAACAAGCCTACCGAATACGAATTTTTATTAAGTGAAGAAGGAGTGTTGTTTTATAAGAAAAACAATAAAGTGAAGGGACATGTTTAGTTGAATGAGGACATCAGCTTAAAATTAATCGATCTGAAGATTTCAAACAAGAAGGCAGATGCTGTTAAGGTTATTAGAATCAAGAGAACTAAGGACATATTCATATACATTTGGAATCACGATTAGTAATTTATAAGTGTATTCCTAATTTTAGCTAGTATACCTTCCAATTTCTAAAATATTTATGTTAATTCTGTTTTGTTCAAAATTTAGATGAACTCTACACAATGCAAGATGTCATAGGAAAAGGTGGATTCTCTAAAGTGTACACTCTCACCCCCAATATAAGACTACCGAATCAGCCCTTTAATTATGCTGGTAAAGTTTATAATAAAAACGAATTATTATCTAAGAAAGACCTTAAGAAGTTTTATCATTTCATCCGAAGTGAGTGTTATATACTGAAAAGAATCAATTTCCCCTATGTGCTAAAACTTTGTGAGATCATTCAACTGGAGGAACTCCTAAGTACTAAATTAATTCTATCATTTAGTCTTGGTGACTGAATACATCAAAGGAGGATCCCTCTACCAATATTTGAAGGAGAGAAAACGACTATCAGAAATAGAATCCACTCAGATCCTGCTCAAATTAGCACTAGGGTTGCAATAAGTTCATAAGTATTCAAACTTCCCTATTGATTTAGTTTAGGATACGTTCATAGAGACATTAAATTAGAGAATGTACTTATCGATAAAGATTAGTTGAAATTAATTGACTTTGGATTTGCAGAAAAAATATGCAGAGACAGACTAGTCAATGGTCAAGGAACGGCTGGTTACATCGCACCAGAAGTATTCATGAAATAACCTTACCAAGAAGTAGGTGACATTTTTAGTTTAGGAGTCATCTATTATTCAATGTTATCAGGTAAGGCTCCATTCAGATCTAATACATACGATGCCTTGCTTAAGTTAAATAAGGAATGTCAGATCGACTTCTCAGAATTGAGATTCCCTAATGTTAGCCAAAAGACTATGTACTTGTTAAAAGCCATGATGTCTAAGTTACCAGAAAACAGAATTAATTTGTAAGATCTCTTAAATCAACTCACTGTTTCTTAAATCTTATCTCCTACTAATAATATGGCTTCTACACAATCTATTGTGGAAGGCTCTGTAGGTATAAGCTTCAATCATTTGCAATCTAAAAACACTCTAAAATCATTTTATCAAAATAGTTAAAACTCATTCACTGAAAACCATAGTTAAATGTCGTAATAAAAACCATCTAAAAACTTAAGGGATAGAAGATATAAGAGTCAGAGCTTAGATAAGAAAGGAATGCTTTTGAAATCATCCTCTTTTAAACCATCACTTAAAAACATATATCAGATTAAAATTGAGTAATCAGATGATAATATATCAATCACTGATTTAGATTAACCAATACCTTATGAGAATCTTCGATTTCTTCAAACTTCTTATTAAACATTAAACTGCCAAAAATTTATTTGATTTATATAATAATAAAGTGTGTTTATAAATTGTAAATAATAGTAAATCATGTAGAGAATTGCATCTATACTTCCTCTTCATTCCTTTGTATTGTTCTCACTTCTATTCTATACCTGTTGATTTTCTAAAATTCTTATTTCAAAAAAACCAATTATCATTATATAATAGTCTATGTACTATTGGTTTTTCCATTTGTATTAAATATATTGCAACCTTTAGCAGAGTTTTTCGATTTTTTTATACTTTCACATCAAAATATTATAGCATATCAAGTTTTTCCATTATAATACATTAAAATCTTAATATTTGGGTCATTATGTTATTTTTTTGTGATCAAATTTTTAAATTTGTATAATCTTTGATTATCCTTCCTTCTTAACTATTTAAACAATGTTAATTGCTCTCACCCAACTTGTTAAAATTAATAGTATTTGATTTCTATATATTAATATAAGTAGAATTACAATAATGGTGATATTTTCTTTAACATTAGTAGATTCATTCGCTCTAAACAACTTTGTTAATTAAAATTATCATAGATTATGTTTGAATAGCATTTTATTTTATTAAGTGCAATATTAATTGGACTTTATTTAAGGTAAGTGCAGTCCGAATGTGAAAAAAGAAGGCTGGCAAGTCATGATATATTTTTTGCTAAGAATGATAATAGTGCCTTAATTGAGAGTGACTCTTAGGAGAGATTCAACTTCGTGGAGAATTAAATATAATCGTCTTTTCTGATTCTGATATAAGAAAATGAGAAGATAATATCAACTTAGTTTATTGAATCTCCTAATGATAACTTGGAAGCAGAGAAATGGTTATGCTAATTAATTTACACTTTGAACCAATATTACATCTCTTGCACTGTAAGCATTTATATTGATGAAGAAGGAAATACTTATTAAAAACATGAAGAAGACTATTTTAGACTTAAGATTGAAACATCTCAAAATGAAAAATGCTATCAATTTTATCTAGAAAAGAACTTAGAGTTTATTGTATTTTGCAATGACTAATAAATTTTAAATATATACTCTGTGAACCTACTTAATGAATTTAAGGTGGAATTGTAATATGATAATATATTCTACCGAGAGGTAAATTGTCTACATTAATCTCACAAAGTCGATTTTGGATACTATATTATATCCTATTTCTAATGTATTAATTGGAAACTCCTTAAGTATCAAGATAAACAAATATCCATTTTAGCTGATAGTTTGATCCTCTAATAGAAAGGTCTTGTCGATATAGTATAAGATGATTAGAATTAGATTTATTTTTGTGGATAATAAGTAGTGCTAACTGAAGATGATTCTGCTTATATATTTATGTTAGAAGAATCATTAAATTTTTTTTAGACCGCAAAATATTTGGGATACAAAATTTTGAATGTCCTATTTTCAAAATCTTGCAGTATAGAATACTACACATTAATAGCTAAAATTGATAATTTAAAATAATTATACATAAAGTAATTGGAAGATAAATAATCTATTGATTAATAAGCCCTGCAGACTTATTTTGCATTTAATTATTTATTTATTTTACGCTACGATAAATTAGAAATAATTTTACTTGAAAACAAAGGATTCGAAATTGTTTGTCATCCCTCAAGTATTGTTTTTATAACTTAATATAAGATATTCTATATCATAGATGAATATAATAAATTGATTAGTTTTTATTACATTAAAAAACTAGATAACTATTTGTTACCTACCAAAAGTTATATACATGAAATACCAAACTCCTATTCGATAACTTATACACCTTAATGTTATGAGATTATTCAAGAGATCGATTAATCAAAACTTTAAACCATCTCATATGAATTCAAAAATGAATGTTAGTCAAATGAGCAAATTATTATTTAGATAATTGACTACAATTTTCCTATTTATTAGGAATTTGCAAATTAGGGAGAATTTGAAAACGTCCTAAAGTATATTATTGAGAATGCATATTTGAAGGATTTTTGTCCAAATATAGAATAATACTTAGAAGAATTTGATTTATTGTTTTATCACCCAAAAACCTTAGAGAATTATGCTATTCTAAACTCGAATGATACACTCTAGATTCTATATTGCACCAACTAAACCACAATCTAAAAGGATGTTAGAAACTATAAAGTAATTCAGTTTTAAGAAAGTATCCTTTTGATAAAGTAAAAGGAATAATCAGCAAAAATAATCTATTATTCGATTGGGGTTAATCAATAAAATGAAATTCAAATATAATCTTAAATTAAACAAATACTTTAATTTAAATAGTATGTGATATTAGTTACTGAGAATTAAGCAGACTTCCTTTTTTTGGACCTATCAAATAATAAGTAAAAGAAGATTACAAAAAAGTTAAAATAAATTTTGAATTACTTTAATAATGAAGAAAACTAAAATAAATAGATTAAATTTTTTTTTGCTCAGTTCCATTACTTTCAATTGTATTAAATTAATAAATAATTGGTAATTGATAAGTATTAAGAAATCAACATCTATGAAATCAAAGATATAACCATCATTTATTCTGGTGAATCTAAGAGAATATCGAATTTTTAGATAATTCCCAATAAATATTTTGTTATAGGCATTCACAATTAATATAGCATCATAAAATAATACATTTTAGATGATTCTCTGAAATTTTTAGAAAATTATTAGATAGATGGTTATGATTTCATTAGACCTATTAAATTCTAAAATTCTAAGGAATATCTAGCAGTTGCATTGAATTAATTCGATTAAAACTATCTGTTTATATTTTCAATTGAACAGCCTATCTAGCTGATCAAGATTTTAAAAATAAGTAAATTAAATTTTCATTTACAGAACCATCTAGTTTATTACTACAACAAAGATGAAGAATATTAGATTTTCGATATCAAATACTTTAAAATTTCTTACTTGAATCTTGCAGAAAATTAACAATAAATAGTTTGGTAGGAAAAAATACCATTATTATTTAAACATCAAGAGGAGGAAATCTCTCCCAATTAATTATTTTTGGACATCCAAGTCAATAATTACTGTAGAAAATTGAATTCTAAAAAAACTGAAATAGTAATTTAAGTTTAAGATGAAGAGATTATACGAATTGAAGATATTGACATGTTCTAAGGTCCCATCGATAAACTAATGTTAATGAATAATCTTAAATTACAATTAGTAGGGCCATTTTTATAATAGTAATAAATAGAAGAATGTGTAGAATTAGAACAAATTTGCATTAGAAAGATGGGCTTAGTACAACCTTGGAATAAGGATGAATAAGCATTATTCTACAGTTTAAAATATTATAATAAATATAAGGTTCTGCCATTTTATTATAATCGAAAATTGGAGAATGGCGAAATCATCATCAAAGATGCTTACATTTTTAGAAATACTTATGTCTTATGCTTTTATGAAATAAGGAAGTTAGTGTATGCTAATATCTTGTAATTTAATAAGACTTAATTGTATTAATAATTTTAACCTATGTAATTGAAGGAATTTAAGAATGGAGACTTGGAGTATGCATAATTTTATTAATCAAATAACTTACTTTTAATTAAATCAAACTCATCACAATTATTACTAAAAATAACTCAAAATAAGATTAGCGAAATCGAAAAAAATTTTGATTTATATAATATGTTATTAATCGGAAATTCTAATGATCAATATATTGAAATAAGAATTATCAAGAAAATATCTGAATGCTATTTCTTATTCACTGTTTTTTAGTTATTTAGCTTCAATCTATAAATCTAAGATTCGTATAGGATTTACTCTGACCAAATAATAAGTGCTCTTTCTCCACACATTAGAATATATATTTATTAATTTGATGAATATTTCAAAAATTAATTGCTTGAGGCAGTTCTTGTCGAAAATCAAATTGAAATTAAGGTCTTACAATTGACCTTGAGTTTCTCTGTAATAAGCAAAATTACAATTAATTTAGATTCACCTGATAATATATCTTATGATGTTCAGAAGATAATGAGGCATCCTAGTTCATAAGAACTACTAACTTTTTAATATTATGATAGCAACACCCTTATCTTATCAAATTCGATTTCGAAAAATTCCTATTTATATGATTTAAGATAGCAAAAACAATTTTATGATTATATTTTTAAAATGGATGATAATATGCTAAAATTGTACCCCTTAAATACTACACATTTTTTATTTTATTTTAATGAGATCAATCAATTCAAAATAGGATAAATAGGATTCGAAATTTAGAGACTATAAGAGCTGGATGACGTTGAAACTTGTACCATAAAGGCTTTGAATTAGTTATCCCAATCATAATTCACATTAATTATTAAAAGATTTGTATTGTTATCAAAGGAAGCAAAAATTGTGACCACGTCTGCAATATTACTTGGCTCACTCTATTTGGTAAGAAGAAACAAATTGAAACAGTAACGTGCCTAGAGCCAAGTATTTTTAAACACATAAAATACAGGCATCAACAATGATTGATAGAGATAGAATATACATTTAAATTGTTACAATTAATTTATCTTAATAGAATTAAATATATCTTAGTAATTTTGCATTTGAGTGTTTTGTTACATCGTTATTCATTTTAGATTAATTATGTATTCTGAAAATTAAATATAATCTATGATGTGGATATTGATAAATAAAATTAGAGAATAAATAATGATTAAATCAATATTATATATAATATAATAATAATATGAGTCAACAATTTAATGTTCCAAAAGAGACTATGGATTTTTTCTTAGATATGTAGTTTAAACAAGAGGACATTCAAAAATGTTGGGAGTCATCCGGTAGGGATGCAGATAAAATGCTAGATTTACTTTATCAGATGAAGGAGGAACAGCCTCAATATGTAAAAATATTCATTAAATAGGGATAGGATATTTTTGAAGCTAGTTATTTAGACAAGCGCGTGTCAAAAACCATACTATAAGTAATCTAGAGAAAACCCAGAGTGGCTAATACATTTGTAGGAATTGAAAATCTAGGGAGTGATAGTATTATAAACATCATGCTGCAATTACTTCATTAAACTCCTTAACTTTATTAGTTTATACTAAGAATTCAAAGCAATAGTTAGAATGTAAAATGTATTAAGCTTATTTAGAAATAAGGATAATTCTTAAGATGTATTTAATTGTTGTTGACGGAATTGTCAGCATCTAATTCCAGTTTTATCAGCTCGAGACGATTTTTAACTGCTAATATTTGGAGTGATAAGGAGAAGGAATATTTGGAGGTTGAGAAAGAACCTATAATGATATTTTTCAATCTCTTATCAAAAATTGATCAATCCTATCGAGAATTAGATAACAGTCAGCAAGGAAGAAATGATAATGTTTAAATGAGCGAATTATTTTAATATACAATTCAAAAGAACTTGAAATATGAAAAAGAATTTTTTTTTGTTTCAGATATGAAGGAAAATAGTGTTTATAGTTTCTTATACGATTAATTCAAATAAAAGGTTTCTGTATTGCCATAGATTATAGCCATTTAAATTAAACGAAATCAGTAGAATAATATTAGTAATATTACCATTTTAAACTTAGGACTTGATAAGACGTTCGAAATTACTTAAGTTCTCGAGCTTGATTTCATGAAACCCAATTATAATGGATCATAAGAAATTAATTAAGTTTATTAATTAGGTGATTTAGAAAATTTGCAAAAAGCTATAAGTAACTTCACTTTTGTTACTGAAATGTTGAAAGAAGAAGGAAACCAATAAGATTTCATTAAAATATTATAATCAAAATAACAAACCTTAGAGAAATAAAAAAATAAACATCTTGAAAATATTTAAAGGTAAAAAGAAATATTATAAACTTCATATAATAACAATGATAATAAGTATGTAGTTCACTCAATCACAATTCAAAAAGGTTAATCATATAGTAATTCTTCAACACTGTATGTCTAGTATTTTAAATTCAAAAAATGGTTGAAGTTCTCTAATAGCACATGTTAAGTTGTTGAAGACGAAGAAGTTACCACTAGTTCCTAAAAGTATGCTATATTTGCCACCTATATTAATGCAACTACAGTGCCCTAATACATAAAACATTAAGAGAATTTAATTGAAATTGGTAATTTGGTATCAGGAAGAGCTAATTATGATATAACTTAAAATCAATATCTAAGAAGCATAATACCAAGAGATGTCTTATCTGAGGCTCATTAAATTAATTTAGAAAACAGATAGTAATTTTGATTATGGTTTTCTATTATATATAAACATAGTTTGGATATTCAAATTATTTACAAATAATTTATTAATTAATTCTCACATCTATTTTGATTCATTCGTTTTACATAAATTATTCAATTTAAATTGGTTTCAATCTATATTACTATTTGTAATTGTATTCGAAAAGCCTCCTCATGTATCCTAATGACTCTTAATTAATACTAGAGTTAAAGTTCTATCTGAAAGATGTCTTTATAGAATTTTGATATAGTCAGTTTATAAGTATTAATTTTATAAAATGGATGAATAGATTAAAACAATTAGATAATTATAATTAACTATTTAATTAGCCGCCAATGAAAATAAAGAACTAAGAGAAAAATGGTTATTTTTGAGGTCATAATATGATCCTGAATTAGATTCTAAAATAAGCAATCTTGAAAAGACAATCCTAATTCAATAATAGCAAATTTCATAATTACAATAATAGAAACTGAATAGTAACAACATAAAAGACTTCAATGATGATGATGAATAATATCAGATGTAATAATTGAATTTGAAATTAAATGAATAAAATTAGTAGTTAATCAGGTATTAAGAGAATGTATTTTAAATTTAATCATAAATACGAAATTGTGAGGAAGAATTGTCTGATTTACAACAAACCTTAAACTAACATTAAATGGATAATGCAATTTTTCAAAAGAAGGCTTAATAAATGGAATAATTATTATCAAAAGTTAGGGGACAGGAGCCATTGTCTTTATAGTATATAAATGAAATAGATAGATTAACAACAAAATTATAATAATTATAGAAAAATTGCTAGATAAAATCAAGATTAACCTATCAAAGTTGATGATATTTAAATTTACATTATAAATCAATAAATTAACTAACTATCTTCTAATTGGTTAAGTTGGAAATATTTATGATATGTCATATTTCGAATGTATTTTCTTAGATTTATTATTAATGTTAAGAGATTGATAATCTTAATTCCAAAAAAATCCATAAGGAGTATTTTGTAAAATAGTTATTAATTCATATCTATAATTGAGTTTATCATATAATGGAAAAAGTAATTCTTAGAATTTAATATTATATTTCTAAGTAGTTATAGATATAAAATTATACTAAAATTTTAGTTTTTCCGTTTAATCTAATAGGATTTTAGATTAATTTCATAAATCCTATGGACTGTTAATTTTATCTATTTTGATAATCAATTTAAGAGACGATAATAGATATGAATTGAATACCAGACTTGAGATGATTGGTATATTTTTATCTGAATAAAAAGGACTTCTTCATCTGATAGTATCATAAAGATAAAGACTGGACGGATGAGTGGAATAAATATTTTAATGAGCTAAATAGAACAATTAGTATTTTGATTATTAATTTATTCAAATATGTAAAGTGAGAGAATAAAATCAAAAAAAAGAGTTAAGCACTATGAATTTCTATATGATTCTAAAATTGGTTCAGGTGCTTATGCGAATGTGTATATGGGAAGGGATATCTATAATGATTCAAGTAGTTAAATTTGATAAAAATAGCTGTGGCAATTAAAATTATTAGCAACAATTTAATTAAGAGCGATTACACATCTCAACAAATAAAGAGAGAAGTTGAGATAATGAAATCATTTAATCATTAGAATATTGTGAAATTATTGGATGTATTTCATAGCACAAACAATATATATATAGTGACAGAATATTGTAATGGGGGAGACTTGAAAGCATACTTAGGATCAAGAACATTAAGTGAAGAGAGAGCCCTTCAAATATTTAAATAAATTTTGAATGGATTGTAAGAATTATTAAGGAATGGAATAGTGCATAGAGATTTAAAACCTGCAAATATTCTACTGCAGGATGGTATTTTCAAAATCACTGATTTCGGATTTGCAAAACGAGTGTAAGTAGATTCAACAATGTCATCTCTAGTTGGAACACCCTTGTATATGGCACCTTAAATCTTGAAGCGATAGCCATACACAAGTAAATCAGATATTTGGTCACTTGGATTGATTTTGTATGAAATGATTTACAAAACAACTCCTTGGCATTCAACTAATGTAGTGGAATTATTGAATAGATTAGACAAAGAACCATTGAAATTTCCTTTTCAGCCATAAATTGAACTACTAACTAGATAAATAATTTTGGGTTGTTTAGGTAAAGAAGAAAAGGATAGATGGGGATGGGATTAATTGATGAAAGCAGTTCAGGGGACTGAGAAGTAATAGATAATTAACATAAATCTGACTAAAGAATTGTATTATGTCACAAAGAAATAATAATTGCATAAACAATAATCTTAATAGAACTTATAAGAGTATTGTAGAACTAGTAGCACTTAATCATCGCCTATAAGATCAATCAGTACAAAGAGGACGAAAACGATTGCTAATGAAAACAACAGTAGTGTATTGTTATCTGAATTGATAAAGAAAAAGCAATAAATCTATAAGATTTTCGAGTTGCTTGAGAAGTAACTTGAGAAATTGCCAATATTGAAATTGGATCTGTGTAAATAATATCTTTCGGAACAGAGATCAAGGTTGGTGTGTGCAAACATTGAATAGATTTATAATAAGGAAGATGAAAGGGAATTGATTTAGCAATAAAAGATTCTGCAATAATATTCATCTAATTTTGGTGTTTAGATTATGATACTTCTCCTGAAAACCTATCGGAAGATCATCATTAATAATTATTAAACAGGTACTTTGAACTTGGATCATGCTGAAAAATAGACAATTGAGAATTGTAGTGTTTTAGTTTCAAATCAATATAAGTGATTATAGTATATTTATATATTATTTTAATTTTAATGTCAACATCAAGATTAGCTATTAGATTATATACCTATAGAGGCTATTCAGCTCCCTGGAGAGTTAGCATAATGCTAAAATTGAAGTAACTTCAATTCCAACCATTTTTTGTAAATTTACCCAAAGCTGAGTAACTATCAAATATGTATTCTTAAATCAATCCACTTTAAGTAATTGGAGTCATTTAATATTGATAGATTGTTCCTACTCTAGAAATCAATGGATAATTATTACATGAGAGTATGGCAATTGCAGAATATCTGGAGGAAGAGTTTCCAAGAACCAAATTACTTCCAAAATCTCCCTTAGAGAAAGCCATCGTAAGGTAATTCCATATAATACTTTAGATCCATGTGTGAAACAGTAAATAGTGGCATTCATCCATATCATGCGTCTAGATTCTACAAATACGTTCACAATTATGTGAGCGATATAAATAGATAGGAAATTTCAGAACCTTTCTTGGAGAGAGGTTTCACAGGTTTATTGAATATAATACATAATAGCATTAAACACTCTGGTGGAAAAACATGGTGGAGATTATGCCTTCGGAAACTAAGTGACAATAGCCGATGCTTTCTTGTATCCAGCATTTAGAGGGGATGATGTATCTTATTTGGTCAACTTGGATAAATACCCAGCCCTCAAAAAGGTTGTGGAGAACTTGGATCAACTGCCAGAATTTGGATATGAGCATCCAGACTCTCAAGGATGACATTATTATTATGAATAAATATTTATTACAATATGTAAATTTCTTAGATTATTGTATGTATGATTTTTTGGGAGGACCAAAACCTATTTAGATAAGATGGATAGTCAATACTTTCAAGGCACTAACTCTACCCTATATTCTGTTGCTGATGTATTACACATAAAACTTTGAATTCGGAACTTATCTATATGTAGTTTATTGTTTGATTAAGTCTTTTAGTTAGCCTTACATGGAAGCTATGGCATACTTTGGATAATAAAGGATATGAGTTTTCCAGATCAAAATTTCTAGAAATACACAACCATTCCATCAGCAATTGGCGGTTGTCTAATTTTGATAGCTTATTGGATTTTGCCAATTATATAAGTTACTGGGTATGGTTAGAATGAAATCAAGCCCAGTTTTGTAAGTTTAATAATCGTATTATATGTAATTGGCATCGTTTTAATGATGTCAAGTGATTGCTAAAAATATTATACTTTAAAATATAGGAAAGGTTTAATAAAGGATGGATTATTTAAGCTGAATCGGAATCCAAATTATACTGGAGAGATATTGATATATCTCTCATTTGCAATGGTTACGAACAATGCTTTAAGTTACTTGATTGTTTTTATGTCATGGGTTTTTATGTTTGTCCCTTTTATGTTGAGGAAAGAAATTTCATTAAGTTAGAAGGAGGGTTGGACTGAGTACTACAAACAAAGTTATCTTGCCTTTTGGAAATTTAGTAAATCAGATATTATTAATATCGGATTATACAATATGATGATTGTATTTATAATAGTCATAATTCTTTGATGAATTCATTATAATATTATATTATATTCTTATATGGATAAACTATAAAGGTCTATTACTATCAGAGGATGAGGTGGTTAAATGTAAGTGACAGAAATCAATTAGTTCAGCAGAAGAATGTATAAGTGAAATAGAATGTGTAAATTACTTAGAAATAATGTTATCTATTGTAGCATTAAAGTTTCATTAAAAATTGTAATTGGATATTATGTGTATTCTTTATGAGATTGTTATTTAGTATAAGATTTAGATATTGATTACAGATTATTATACATTTGCACCATATATCAAAATATTACTTCAAAATCAAATTAAGTACTCAAATACTTTCTCTTGAACTTGTCTTATCAATGATTTTTCAGACTTATCATTTGCAATAACAATATCTGATTTTTTGATTTTGATTTCTGCCTTCATTTGTGATTCAATTCTTTGTAATATTTGTTCTTCGGTTAGGCCACTTCTTTCTTTGACTCTATAATTAGAATGTAGATTCACCTTTTGATAATTTCTTCTTGACTAGTCACAACAATAGTGATAATGGGGAAACAGAAATACTCTAAGACTTTACTCTCGAATAGGAGTGGAGCATCAATGACTACATATTGATCCTTTTGGACGAAGCAGATTTTCCATATGGATTTAGCAATCTCTTTAAAAATGAATTTATTTGTAATAGCTTGCAATTATTTCCTTTTTTGGTTGTCTTGAAATACTGAAAATGCTAATCAATACTCGTTACCCACATCTGCTAGCTTCTACCTATCGATAGGCTGTCCATCTTATTGACCTGCTAGGACGGAGAGTCCGAATCTCTGAACTATAAGTTTATAAGCAGGTTTGCCAGGTTCTACAATGTCCCTGGCAATTTGATCGCAATCGATTACTTGGACTTTAAGGAATTCATTGAAGTATTTGGCCACTGTGGACTTGCCACAACCGATTCCTCCTGTGATGCCTACAATTTGCACTCTTCCGATGTAATGCTGAATGCCGAAGATTATGATTAGGGTTATGATGAATCTCACTATTTTGTCAAAGAAATCAAAGAAATTCCAAGTAATCAACACATTGAACAAATAAACTGCAATGAAGAGGAATATCTCATCCACTCGATATCTATTATTAATAAGTGGCAAGATGTTATACCTTCTTCTAAATTTGCGCTTGTTGAGGTTGATTAGTATGCATAAGAGACACAGCAAGGCGAGGTAGAAGGGGTAACATATATATTCTATGATATGTATTTCGGTGTGTTCAGAATGATTAATCTCTTCAATAATTACTTATTCTTCACTATTTAATTATTCCATTAAGGTATTCGTTTTTTGTTTTTATTAATATATTATGAAATCAGCATTGCTTCTTTTAGTCATTGCTCTGGCAACAGCTTCAACAGTTGCTGACCTCACATAGAGATTGTCAAACTATGCCGAACATCCTTTTGGATCTTCCATGATTAACTTGGTCAGTGTTAACATGAAAACTGGTGGATCCCTCAACGAGCTTAAACAACTTCTCCAACAAATCAAGGATGAATTGATTGCACTCACACAATTGCAAGATTCAGAAAATGCCACATTCACAAGAAGATCTCAAGTTGACCTCGCCAAACTTCAAGCCACATTAGAATAAGCCTAATAAGATCTTGATAATCAGAGATAGGAACAATCCAGTCTTAGTAATGAATTGGCTACACTCTAAACCAGAGTCAAAGAAGATTAAGCAGCTCTTGATAGAAACGGCAGCGGCAGCTCTGATGCTCAATCCAGACTTGATGCTGAAAATGCAGATTTTGCTACCAAACTCTCTGATTACAGTGATGCCATCTTAGCATGCAAAGAAGCCCAAAGATTATTGCTTAATTTGAGAGGAGAAGGAGCATCTCTTATCCAATTGACGTATTGCTTATCATCTCTATTCATCTAGCCAAGACACCAAGAGCAATCTTATTTAGACTAAGGAGAACTTCTAAAAGATCAAAGAGATTCTTGAAGCTCACACCAAGAAGAGTTCACTCACTCTCTTCCAACCAATCATTGAAGGTTTGGCTGAAATGACCACCAAAGTCAATCCAGAAACTTTGAATAATGTCTTGAGTTTAGTTGCCAGATTGATTACTGCCTTATAAGAAGGACAAGATTAATTGGAAGCTAATCACAAGACTCAAGTAGACAATCTCACTAGATTGGGAGACGATTTGAGAAATGAAAAACAAACTCTTCAAGTCTCTTTAGCCACTGCCAACAATAGACTCAAAGAAATCCAATCAAGATTGAACGAATTAGATGGTTTAATCAACATTTCCAATGCTATTGTTGAAGTCACCCAATTGAACATCCAGGATGCCACCAGAATCAACGAATTAGAGGATTAAGAATACAGCAACCAAAAAGTTAGCAGGTATTTTATTATACTCATAATGTAGACAAACTGAAATCGATATCGTCGATAGATTAATTGAATATATCAACCAAAAACTATCAGAATGATCAATACATCAAATGCATATATTCAATTTTTATGAATTATTCAATTATTTAATGTTTGTTTCATAATCTCATGAGCTACATTCCTATTGATTTTTACAAAGATGCTTTCTTTTATTTCTAGATGCTCGTCTTCTTTATCGGTTAAGCCTCCTTCTTACTTTACTAAGACTCTTCCTTGTGAGATCTCGAAATGTGGCCACTAAAATTACATCAAATCTATACCCCAAAGAACAGGCCTTTTGAAACTTCTGAGAACAGAATTTGCATTTATAAATCTTTACAAACCGATTCGAGTTTCGATTGAAGGAGAAACAACTTTCTACCCCCTCATCATTTTCAGAATTTCTAAAACTCAATCTCTGTTGCGATTGGTTTTAGAGCAAATCACTCAATCTGCCTACCAATCCATTTATGTTTTGCTATATGTAAACTATCTAGTATTTCTCGAAATCATCAGCTTTCCCCAATTCAACTAGGATGAATGAAAGGCGATACCTATTTAATCATTTTGGATTTCTTTCTTCAAACTGAACACCTTCCATTAACTGCCATTATTGTTTGATTATCTGTATTGTTGTCTATCGCTGCCTTCCTGCTCAACTTCCAATACGTTGTTCTTATTATTCAAGAAATTTAACTACTGAATCTTTATGTCTTGCATCTTCTATTCCATCTTCTCTATTATCTAATCCAAATGAATCATCTATTATTGTATGTTCCCTAACTAATTGTAAAATAATTTTTCGTCCTCATCTTCCTTACAGAAACTCTCCTGCGGTTGAGCCTAACTGAAGGACCCGAAATGGGGCATTGGTTTTTGTTTCTTAGAACTGTAATCCTTTTATTAGAGCACTTCATCAAATGCTTGAACTTGATTGTTTGCCTTCGTTTACTTTGAAGAATTGTTATAAAATTACTGACTCTGTCTTGAAAAATTTGATCTCTATTATCTAGAACTTGAGTGAAGATTTTTGTATGAACCGCAAATAAGGGCCATTTCGAACCCTTTTTTTGGTGTAAATTAATAACCTCGATAAGAAATATCTGAATATTCCTCCATATCATCTCTCTCAATAAAGTGTTGCTTTCTACTCATTTATATATTAATTTTTTTGATGTCTGGAACTTTTTTATATAGCGAGGATTTGAGCTATTTTTTCAGTCCAATTTCAGTCAAATTTTATTATATTATAAAATTTTAATAATTAAATTATGACGTAAGTTAGAATGTAAATCTATATCTAGATGGAAATATTTATTTGAAGTTCAATTCTCAATCATTTTAATTATCCCATTCATTCCACTTTATATTTGTTCTTTATTTAATTGATGACTACACTTATTTCATTTTCACTTTATGAACTAAATAACAGTGCTTTGATTATCTAATATTGGATAATCAGCATTGCACAAAATCTACATACACTTAATAACAACCTAACATAGTTAACCAAGAGTTGAGTCAACACCACAGATAAGAGGCATTCAACAAGAAATAAAACAGCTACTTGTGCTAAGATGATGTGTTACTTCTCCCTCAAGGGACTTCTTCTTGTAATTAAGTAAAGGGCAAATGAGCAAATTAAGTAAAACTTAATAGAGTCCTGCATTTGAGTTTCAGATATCAGTTGCAGACTGTTGGTTAATTGCAATAAATAATTGAGATTACTAAATGAAGTGGTCTGATTAAGTTGTGTTTGATTTTAAATAATTGATAAATGGCTAGAAATATTATTGTATTTATCTAATCTAACCTAAAAATAATAGTTTAAATTATATACCTTCTCATTTTTTAGTGAGTTCTAAAACACTTCAATTGCCGAAGTAAAATTAATACTGTATTGACTCATCCTTTTAAAGTTATGAGTCATCTGCTTAAGGAGTTCCTCATCGTATTCTTATTGCTGTTTAATGCTATTGATGGAATTGGTGATCTAATTGATATTATTGAGGATGCTATGATAGTTGCAGAGCAGGCTGAATTGGTTCAAAAACATAGTGAATATCATCCTAGATAGGGATTGCGGACATACCAATCATGATCACTCAAGGATTCGACATTTTGATGAAGCGATTTGTTGTGCATCTGATAGTAGCATTTCATCATTTGAAGAACAGCAAATTGTTAATATTCATATGATTATTCATTTTAACAGGAGACTGCGTTTAGACACGAAGAATAAGAAGGGGTTATGAGAAGCAAAATTAAGGAGGATGAAATTTGATACTTCATTATAAAATAATTATATTATATAAAAGTAGAACTATTGAATTAATTATACAATATAAAAGATATGTTGATATTAGTAAATAGGAAATTGCTTTGATCAATTCTCAAATTTAATTAGTGTTTCTTTATTATTTTTAAGGTGTTATTTAAACAAGTAATTTTGTCGACACATGAGTATTATGAATGCTTCTGAAAATTTAATAAACATATATTCCCCTGACAATTCAAGAGCTACTTTGGTTTAGAAACGGCGTAGATTGGATGCAGATTGGAAGAGTGCATTCATGTTGTAGACCATTAGAAACAAGGCTGAGAAGAGAGAAGTGCTCATGAAGTGTATAAATCGGATGAGACAATCGACACAAGTAAAATTGGTTAGTAGTGGTAGGTGAAACAGTTTCATAACTTGACAGAAAAGCACTTGAATGTGATAGATGATCTTGGGTCTGGACATTCCAAAGGCACTGCTAGTAAACAAATTTAAAAGCAGGAAACCCAATTTGAATCACTTTATTATGAATCAAAGTCTTAGATGGGTAAGCTCAGAGGATTAGTACTTAGATTTCTTGAGAAACATAACAAAAATTAGGAATGGTCAATAAAACCAAGTCACCCCTTCATTATTATTTGGAATATGTTCAAACTATTTTTCATGATTCACATCTTCATTTTATTTCCATTAATAGATGCTTTTGGAGTGAAATTGGAATCAATGATAGTCCAATAATAATAAATTTTTCTAATGGAATGGTTATTTCTAGTATGTATATATGATTATTAACTAAGTTATTTGATATAGTATTAAGATTTAATGTTCAAATCTACAAGAATGGATAATTGATAAAGTAACACTAATATTTGGCATTATAATATTTGAAGAGCGGATTCTTTTTGGATGCCATGGGAATTGTTGGATTTTCATTGTTTCTCTTTCAGGACATACTATACATCAAATACATTTATTTCTTCAAGATATCTGAAATCAAGAAGTTCATCAAGTTCTTGAGATACGAATTAGATCCATAAAACAAATACAACAATCACATCAAATTGATTACTCTCTTTGTGACCATATTCCTATTAGCCCACATCATAGTAAAGTATATTAGTTAAAACTCATAGGCATGCTTATGGATAGTTGCTGGTGACAATGAACCCAGTTGGATTAGTAATAATAATTTAAAAGATGAACAATGGTATATCCAATATCTATGGGCATTCTACTTTGCCATCCTTACAATGACTACTGTCGGCTATGGGGATATAGTTCCAGTTAATTAAAACGAATTGATGGCTTGTATCATGATTGTACTGCTTTCCAGTGCCATTTTTGCATACACTCTTAACACAATCACCACAGTTCTCAAGGATATCGATTAGAATAAGAGCTAGTTTAATTAAGAGGCCAGAATCATATAGAATTACTTAGTTAAAAAAGGTTGCGATACAGATCTGTAAAGGAGAGTGTAATAATATTTGAAATCTCTCTGGAAATGGGGTTTGGGTGACCAGAAACAAAATGAAGAAAGGGTATTCTCCAAGCTCAGTCTGCCTCTATAATAAGAAATCAATTTACAGGATAAAGGACAGATGTTACTCAAACTGCCATTCTTAGTCAACAATTTTAATATCGAATGCATTAAGGAATTGATGTAGCACATTCAGGAAGTCTATTTCTAACCTGGCGAATTTATTAACCCTTAGGATGGACTGTATTTATTGTATAAAGGATAAGCAGAGGTCTGTTGGGGATCCAAAACCAATCCTAAATGCATATGTAATATATTCTAAGGAGATTATTATGGACTCCTAAACTTATTTAATGTAGATTAACCCAGATATTTTCTCAAAACCTCGGATTTCTCAATTTTCTATTTCATACCAACTTAGATATTCAAATAAGTCTTGAAGAACAATGATAAGGAAATCTTCTGTATGATTCATGATTAAGTAATTTATGAAAATTATTCAAATCTCTATCTATTTTGTCCACTTTGTAGACGTGAAGGTCATCTCATTTGTTAAGATATCATCTATAAACCTAATAGGGCTATTGCTATTGCTAAGTCCAATAGATAAACCGTGTAAACCAGATAGAAATATAAGCGTTTCTATGTCAAACAATAAATCTTGAGAAACTACAAAGAAATGCAAGTAGAAACCTGTCAATTCATCAATGATAAAAGGGATATCATGAAAATCAAATATAAGACCATTTTCGATTCAGATGATGCAGAAGAAGAACCTGAAAGTTTAGAACTATAATCCTCTCAATCCTGGTAATTTGATGAAGCCTAAATGGATGAACAGAAGCTTACTTTTAACAATGATGAAAATTAATTTAAACCAAAAGTCACCTTATAAAAAAGACAAACACCTAATAAACGATAGACTATTCTTGGATTTTTGAGAAAGAAAACATAAGATGTTATGCAAATCAATCTATAAAAAATTGAAGAAGTGGATACTCCTCATAACAATAATTGCACCCCAAATTCAAAGGATAAATTGTACAATCTTGATGCTATGAAAACTTTTACTAAATACTTCAAGTAATACAATTATGAAAACATTATTAAACAACTCAATAAGAGAAGAAAAACATTCAAGACTAAAGTTAAAAGGCTAGATAGGTTTTCTTGATTCAATATATAAATACATCAATATCCCTTTATCTTCATTCATTATTACTAACATCATTAGCATAGTTATTTTACATTTCTTCAAATGAAGAAAACTCCCATCTAATACTTTGATCTTCTATTCCTATCCCAACATACCAATGCATGAACGCCCTTTTCTAATAGAGAATCTAGGCATTCTTATGTAATTAATTTAGTTGTTCTGCTACTCCTGTGCTTTTATTAATAAAGACCATATTTTCTTTCTAAGTATTTATCTACTAAAACTGTTCTTTACATTATTTTATCTATCCTTCTTCCTATCCCGACTAATAAATTGAGTACTATTTATTTTCTACTAATTCAGATAGAGTTTTTGACAACACAGTCTAATTTATTTATTCTGCATACAGAAATGCTTACTTGTAGTTTGGCTTTTTTTTATTACAAATGTAAGAGTTTTGAGATATGATATCTTTTAGAGAATTTAAAGTGATTTTTTTAGAGATGCGCTTTTAATCATAGTTGATTAGTGGTCCAAAGGAACATGACCAAATATTTAATTTATTGTTATTCCATAAATTCAATTTAAGCATTTGTAATGACTACTATTGATTGAATTTTAATAAAGACATTATTGGATGAGTAATAACCTAATTAACTTCATTATATGATGGAAACTCGATATCTAATTGGTTTTCAATAATCTAGTAGATAGCCTCATTTTGTAATAAAATAACACCGTCAAATGCTTCAACCATAGAATTCAAACTCATAATGGAATTATAGGATTCAATAACGTTGTTGCTATAATTTGGAGATGGCATCAAGCAAAAACTGAAGCTGATGGACTTCTGATATTGAGTCTTTAATAAACTTGAAAGAAGAGTAGTATATCCAGAGCCAAAGCCTCCACTAATAGAATGAGTAAATAGAAATCCAGAAAAGCGATCACAATTTTCTACTTACCTTCTAATTTCGTCCTCTATTTTTGGAATTAAATCTTTTGCTACACAATAATGACCGACAGTGTAAATATTTCCAGTTTCTTCTTTGGTATAAAAGAACTGGTTAGAAGAGAATTAAGGTTCATGATATTTAGGGACTTAATCGTCTATGGTATTCACGAAAATTGATCGAGGTTTATAGGATTAGTGAGAATTTTCTTAAAAAATTGAGGAGAGATCTTCTTAACGATGTTAGGACAAATTATACCATAGTTTTGATCCGATGTTAGATCCTGCTCCTCCGATGTGAATGGTGATCAATTGATTCATGTGATTTAATAATGACTTAAATGAATTGGCTAAATAATAATATATTATATATTTAATGTATGCATAATTATTCATGCTAAGAGTCCTTTTCCTTCAGAATGTAACCAACTAGGCAATGATGGTTTAGCCTTCTTAACCTTGGTTGCTGATTTCTTTTCAACTTATTGTGTAAGTTCAGATTTCAGTTGAGAGACCAAGGATGAATCGAATTTGCTCAAGTCTCGATTATTATTAATGGCTTCAAGAGCATAGAATCGTTGGAAGTCGAATTTTTCACTAAAATATTGAATTGAAACTGTACCCTTCCTTAACGATGGATCCAGGATAGAGGTCGATGAATCTATTGACATTGATTTCAAATTGTCTCCTGCCTTCTTCAGTAGCTAAAGAGATTGTGATATTGACATACTTAATTGGGCTTTGAATGGTTTGGGAATGTTGGCCAATTCTTCCTTGGAGTATTCAAGACCCTTGTACATGACTTCGTTGTAAAAGTATCTGTCCCAAGAGTCGACTCTGAGGAGACCGAAAAAGAGGAACCATTCAAGAGGCAATAATTTCTAAAGGATAGTTCCTCTTGCAGTAGGTGTCATATCACTCATGTAGTTTTGATAGACATAATTGTCCCATTCATATATGTTTTAAACGCTATCAGCCAATGTTCGCTCTCTTGCTTCTGCTTATAACCATTCTGGAGCTGTGGATCCTCTGACACCTCTTTCGACTTTTGAGAATCTTGCTCTTCTTTTATTGAAGAGAATCCAAGTGTAGGGATGGAATCCTTCTCTTTGGATGTGTTCGAAGAGGGGATCTCTTCTTAATTCTCTATCTTGGAATAGGAGTAAATCTTCTAATGCCAATCCTCTATCCAAGCCAATGTTTCTCATCCATCGGTAGAAGAATCTAGAGATGATGCGATCGTTGATTACCTTGCTAACAAGGGCTCAACCGTCTTGTAGATGAGACCAGTCCATCCTTGGGTGAATAATTTCACTGCTGATAGGGTCATGGCAGGTGTTCGTGGTTCAGAGTACCATTTCTTTGGAGACCCAATTATTCTTTGTCTATTGAGGGCACGTATGTTGACTAATTGTTCATAGACGAGTTTCTCTAGTCGAACCATAGATGGAAATTAAATCTTTTTTTTATTTATATTTACTATTAAATGGACTAAGAAGCATTAATGCAAATCCTCCAAAATTTGATGAAGGATTAGGGGGAAATTAAAATCGGAAATTTTGTTATATAACAATAAGAACCTAAAAGAAATAATACGACTTTGGTTTCACACAACAAAGTTGATATTCCACAAATCAGCAAAAGCTAATAAGACATAGATTACATAACAACGAAGCCAAATGATTTTGTGAACGACCTGTTCTTTGATGAACCATTGCCAGATTTAGATCAATTCATCGAACAGGAAGTTGTATCAAATATTACAATAGATTCATAAACAAAGCCCAACAATGTTTAAAAATAGTTGTTCACCAAAACCTATTAGATGATAGACAAATTCAGTCCAAACCTCAAGGAAGAATTCGAAAGTGCTTTGGAGTATGATTTTGAATAATTACTCAAACCGAAAACATCAGAATGTTCCTCTGACACCATGACTACCATTACAGACACCACATCCAGTGACCCTTTAAGAACTTTCCTTATGTCTCTGATTCCCTTGAAATCTTCCCTCTCTCCCACAAAATAAACTTAGATTGATTTTTTATTTTTGTACTCTCAACCTCTGTTACAAATCACCAATAATTCCACCAAAAAAGTGTTGTAGAAATTGGAAATAAACAAAGAATTGAATTCAATCAAAGAAGTATTTATAGATGTCAAAGCAGAAATCAAATTTATGGCTACTCCAGCAAGAATGGATAGATTTGGAGAAGCCCTGGATTTGAACCCAAAAGCATTGCATTACGCAGGACATGGAATCTACATGGAATCAAATCAATAGTCCTACCTCCTATTTGAGTAATTGCATGGATTAGCACAACTAGTTTCAGCAAATCAAATTCTCTTGTGTCTCCAAAAACTCAAATCTCCGATCCTCTTTGTTTTTGTAGCCAGCTGTCATTCCAAACTCATAGGAGAAGTCTTCCATTAGGCTGGAGCTGAACATGTTATCTGTGTACACACAAAGGAGTAAATAATGGATGAAGCCTGCTGTGTCTTTGCCCGATCATTCTACCATGGCTTAATCAAAGGACAATAGACTGTGTGTTAAGCCTTTCTAGCTGCCAAAAATCAAGTCAAAGTTGAAGGGAGATTCCCTTTTGCAGAGGAAAATAAGTTCCTTTTGCTTACAAAGCCACATCATCAATGTTCCACATGGCTGTTGAGAGAAGGGGAGTTTAAGGATCTCACTCCTCAATAGAACTAAAATAATCTCCCTTCTCTTGTGCCCAATTTCACTGGAAGATCTTAATAGATGCAAGAAGTCATTGACAAAATCATTTAGAATCAACTTATTAATATCAAAGGAGTATTAGGAATTGGTAAAAGTGCATTAATAAAGGAAATTAGTATTTATATAGCATAAAGGAATATTTTCAAAAATGGAGTCGTCTACATCTAACTCAATTAATGTGATAGTTTTGATAGTGTAGCTAGTAGATTCGCTTAGATCTTCATGCCTAATTTAGCATTACAGAGTAATTATGAAATTAAATAATTGATGGTCACTTAAATCATTTAAACAATTAAAAATTAGGAATTCCTCCTCATCCTTGATAATTGTGATCTAATTATGCATTCTAATGATCGAGATGTTTTTGTGGATTTCCTTGAATTAATTTTGGCAAATTGTAAATGTCATTTATGTATCACTAATAGAAGTGAAATCCTTTAATAAGGAAGAGTAATCAAGATTGAAGGATTGCCTCAAGAAGAAAGTGCTTAATTATTCATTAATTCATCCTCTCGAGAAATAACTATATAGGAAGTTGAAGAATTGTTAGGTTGTAATGATCTACTAAATAAATATACTTTGAATGACAAATTGCTGATCTCCAAATTCTCCAATCACGCTTTGTTTCAAATTTTAGATGGCCATCCTTAAGGTATAATCTTATCTTCAGGACTATTGGAGAATTATACTCTAAAGGAATTATACTAACAATTATCATACAAGTAGTTGATGGACTTACCCATCTCAAGTAGAGTGACTGAAGAGGAAAGAAGGTCACTGAGAGTGTCATTGAATTTAAGTTGGGCTAACTTGGTGGAAAGATATGAGAAGGCAGCTATCTTTTTTGGTATGTTAGGATTATTGCCATGTGGAATTTATAATGATGAATTAAACGATGTTTGGGGTCCAGGATGGGAAAAATTGGCAACTCAGTTGATTAAAAGTTCATTGTTATTGTAAACAAAGAAAAATACTAAAACTCATTATTGTTTATATAATTTTACTGTTAAGTTTGCAGAAAGCAAATTGGACTAAAAATGGAAAAGGATGTATCATCATAATATAGTTAAATTGTTACTAAAAAAGTCATTTACTTATTATAATTAAATAGGTACACAGGCACATGATATTAATAATCAACCAAATGATGATTTCTTGGCAATTGAATAAAATATAAAGAATGCTATCTTCAGAGAATTTGAAATCATATCTAATGGATAATTTGAGATTGAACCATTAAAACAAGAAAAGAAAGACGATGAAAATGATGATGAAACATTCAATCTACCTTTAACCAAAGAAAACTTAGAAATGATGCAAAAGAAATACGAGAACAATAGTCAAAAATCCCATCTGAGTTCAAAAGTTGGTTTCACTGGTTCTGTTATATCCAGTTTTAAATATGATTAAATCTCTGATGATTATATGACGAATGGTCCAAAGCGAAAATCTTTTTCCATTGCCAAAGCTGGTGTCACAATTAGTGAAGAGGATGAATTATAGTCTAATAAGGACTACTCAGATAATGGAATGAGTATCAATTATGTTGAATCAAAAATCTTTAAGATCAACTCCAATAATGTTAAACCTGAACCCATAGATGACTCCAGCAACCCTTAAGAATGTTAAAACCAATAATTATTTTAATAATCCCAAATGCCTTAAGCTATTCAAAGTGATTAAACTTAAGTCCAGAAAGCCATCGATCCTAAATTTATTAAATCATCTCCCAATCCCAATCCATTAACCCAGAGAGTTACTTTTCTAGATTAACAAATTAAACCTATTACTCAGGATGTGAAAAAGTAAAAATACGAGGAAGATGAGAAGCAACACCAACCTTTATCTAAAAGATAAATCATTCCTAAAATGGGAGACAGAGCCAAATCAGGCAAGGCCAAAGAAGAATCTACTGCATCAGCTCAATAGCCAAATAAAAAGGATAAAATTCAAAAACTAATCTTATATTATTGTTAAATACTATTACTTCAAAGAAGATATAATGAATGTCTTAAATTTATTAATTGGGCATATTAATACTTCTATGGTGATTTATTATTCACTGCCAATATTATAAAAACAAAAGCATGTGTGTACTATATGCTTAAAGAACCTAAGAAATCATAATAAGCATTTAAATAAGCTAAGGAGATGTTCATTAAAAAGGGTTGTACTCTAGGTGTGGCATGTTGTGAAGCAGCTAGTGGTTACATTTCACTCTAAGAACGAAGTTTACTTTAGGCAAAAATCAATTTTGAAAATGCACTTTAGTTTTATGATTAATTGAATCACGATTTTGGAAAACATTTTTTAAATAGATGGTTACTCTTAGTAAAAAATAAAATTTCAAGTCTCAAGAATGATAGGGCCAAACATATCCAATAGGAAAAAATGCTAATAGAAAATCTTAAACAAGAATTCAAAAAGGGAATTAAAGTCGATAATCTCATTTAAAAAAAACACAAAGGAGGAGTCTTTATCTTAAGATGGTTAGGTGATACATTATCCATATTTATGGAAATAGCCACTGTTGAAGATTCAAAATAAAAAGATATCATGAGCATTCTAAGAGTCGTTGAATAAAATCCAATTACTAATTACAAAAAGAATTCAAAAAAAGTAGATGAGATCGAAATCAAACCCTCAACTGGTGGTAATCCAAAACCAACTAGTTCAAGTAGCAGCACAGCCACTTTGAAAAGATTTAATAAAATTTAGAGACCTCCTGTTAACAAATAGTTAAATGAAATTTTAGAAAATGCCTAATAAGAGGAAGATCCTACAAATACATCTTTACAATAATTACAGAAATAATAATAGTAGTAATAATAGGTATCGAAAACCTCTGTTAAGAAAAATGTACAAATATAGATGATGCCTTGTTAAAAGAAGACAACCAAAAATTAATGATCAATTTTAATAACTCAATTATTAGATATATGCATCATACCTTATTTAATCAATTCTCTTTCTGCTTTCACGTATCCAAATAATGCAGATAATACTTATAAGGGTTCCACAGAAAATCTTAATTATATGATATATATTACCTCTGTAAATACTTTTTGTACTCTATTTCCTTCACAATTCTCTACAATTCTTAATCTTCAAATTTCTTAAACACAATCTCCTTGGCTTCAATATCTTGTTAAATTTATTGGTATTCCCTTATTAATCTCTCCTTATCTTCAGCAATAAACGATTGCTCTAATATCTAGCTTGCTTCTGTCTTAAACATTTTCTAAATCTTTTTTTGTGCTTCAGTGTAAATTATATCATTTAAAGTTTGTTTACTTTAAAAAATAGATGTAAGAGTTCCTTAGATACATTACTTCTCTTCCTTATTCAATCCTTTAAGTAAAAGATTGATCTCTCCGCTAGATTTCATTCTTCTATCTCTTAATGTCTTCTATTTGATTTCTTCAGAATCAATTTACGAAAAGTGATTTTTAGATAAAATGGATAATATCGAATTGTTTAGATTATCTTATGAGGTTTCTAACCTCCCATGGTAACTTCCAAATAGTTGATGAGCTCTAATAAACAAATCATTTAGTTCAACCATTTTTTTGGCTTTTAATATTAGAAATTCTCTTCCTTTGGAATCTAGATAAGAAGGAAAATTCTCGTCCCTTAATTTTTCATTTGTATCCCAAATAGCCTTAATAATCCAACATAAACCTTATTTTCTACAATCGAGACCAATTTTAAGTAATTCCAATAGAAATCCTTAAATAGATTTTAATAATTCTTTATTATTCTTATTTAATTTAGAGTTTTCAGTTTCTAATTTTTCTATTTATTTAAAATTGAGTTAAATTTGTATTTTGTATTTCTTATAACTATCCTTCATAGTTTCTAATTGAGAATCTATTTCATTTTATTTTCCAACTGAGGCCATATAAAAATCTACATTAGAAGATTTGTTGAATTTTTAGACTTATGTATTGTTGTTGTTTCCAACTTTCCCAAGTTCTTCTTTTAATTGTTTTTCTAAATTTTCAATAGATCTAAGTCTATTGTATATCTCATGATTTTCCATCCTCAAATTTTCGAGATCATGTTCGTTTTTAGCCACTATCTTTTTTTATTTATCTAATTTCGAATTTATCTATTATAAGATTGAATGGGTCTATTTTTCATAAAAAACAGCTCTCTCATTTGCATTTAAGAAATGGGTCAAATTCATTTTAATTCTTGTATGTAAACTATTTTTGAGCCCCTCTACAGTGTAATCGAAAATTAATGTATCTGTCTATTTCTCTTCATGTGATTGCTTCTATCTAGCCTATTCAATATTAATTAATTCTTATTAGGTTAGGGTCGATCCTTATTAATGATACTTATCTAATTATTTGACCAAACCTATATCTTGATGTAACAATTCAGCCTTCTTTTAATTTGATAATTTGGCCAAAGAACCTTTGATTTTAGCCTAAAAAAGATTTTAGCTTTCAGTTTTAGGAGATTTATCATCAGATGATTGAGATTACATCAATTTGGGGAATGCTGGCAAAAGTGTGGTGTTGGTTCTTTTATCTACAGCACCTCTCCTCAGTGATGAGATAGATACTGCCTTTTAGAGTTAGGCTATTACCTATTCTACTTTAAGATAATTGTTAAATACTTTCTTTCTCAATCTCTAATTGCTTCTTCTCAAATTCTTACTACTTCTTCACTTTCACTTACTTCCACCATTAATCTAAATTGGCCACCATCAAATCATCACTTTCTTGCTTATACTATGTATTCCCCTTGAATTACTCTTCTTTGTGAAGTACAGGTTTTACTTATTGAGTCATCTCGTCTTCGTCCAATATTTCATAACTAGGATAAATAAGGTAGTTACATTTCTTAGAGTAACAATTTACCACCAGGTTCATTTACTAATTTGTTTCTGAGATTAGATTCTAAATCTGAGCGTTTTACTTTTTTATGCAATTTGATTGGTTTTTTTGTAAGATCCTTTGGATTAGTGGCCACGATTTCGTTCTAAATATGAATCAGGAATACCATATCTGGCTGTATAATATCATAGAATTAGATTGAATTCATCTCATCATTTAGTATTTTTTTTTTCATGTCATTTAAAACCAATTACTCAATTTAATAATGGTTTTGTGGTCTGACTTTATATTGCAGAATCTCTGGAGTTGACTAAGAATTTTGCTTTTTAGACATTAAATATATTTATAATATTTCATTAATTTAATTTGCGCAAAACCCAATGCTTTTATCGATCCTATACTTTTTGGAGGGTCATTACTAAATATTTAGTTGGTAACATCATTCTTTTATGTTGGTGTTTATTTTGTAATTTATTAAATCCCCATCTACAATGTATTTTCTTAAAAATCTTATCTAAATCCTACAATCCATATGAAAAAGACTTCAATCTCCTCTTCTATCTCAATGAGTGTAATAATAATATTTTAATGCTTTATTTCTATAACTTAATTTGAAATTAATACAATAACTCAAATATAATCGGAGATCCTTATTTCACAGATTGAATTTGCTAAAATGAAAATTGAATTTACTATTTGAAAACCTTCTATAAACTTTTTTGCAAATGCAAATTCTTATAGACTTTATTCAAACATTATCCATATTCAAATAATTTAATATTTACAAACCTTGTTAATCGAATTAACCCCTCTCTCCTTTGAATTTAACATTTCATTGTATTAAAATGCTGACTGAGTTTGCTTTTGTAAATCTTCTCAATCTTAGAGCCGAAATGATCAAAAAATATCAGAAGTTATGTTTGCTGAGACCAATATTTCAAGTACACCTACATCAATAACTCCTCCTGTTTCCTCTTATTTATTAGTATCTTTCTTAATTGCTCTCTCTTTGCATACTGCAATCTCTTATTAACCGATTTTAGGTTCCTTTAAAGAATAAAATATTTGATTTCTTGAAATGAAATAATCATCTTCTTCTTTCGGATGTTTTATAACACCATAAACAATAGAATCGGAGCATTGGTTGGTTAAATGCTCTCACAATCTACAATACTCTCCTACTTGATACTGAGGTTGGCAAAAGAAATCTTGAACCCTTCTCCCACATCTGAATTCTCACTATAACCCATCGAACACACTTCATCGAAAATATTTCTCTCACAAACCATTGATTCCTTAATCCTAATTAAATCTCTCAGATTTCTTAAGATAGGTTTTTGCAAGGCCTCTAAAAGTAATCTAGCTGCACTCTCTTAAGACCCAGTATTTGGATTGCAATTCTCTTTGTTCTTCCTCAGCATTTTGCTCTACAGAAATCTATTGGATAAATCCTTTATCTATTTATTTGCCTTGCTAAAATCAATAGTCCGAATTGTTTACATTTTCATTTTTTATATTTAAATTATATAACGTTAAACTCAAGATTGAAAACAATGTATCAAAACTTTTCAAAATTTATCATATCAATCTTGATTATAATTCAACCAACAAACAGAATAATTCATTAGCATCATAAAAAAGCACTTTAACTAAAAAATTCAAATTAAAATCAATATACTCTAAATGGACCCTTAATTTTTATTAACTTCTCGCAATAATTATTAATATACAACAGTCTATTTATGATCTCCATTCTAATAATTTGCTGAAAAAATTATTAGATGTTTAATATTAGCTTAAAATTTAGCCTAGTCAATGTATACCTTACTAAAGAATACTCCATAAAGAGAATTGTAAGCCTGATATGCTTCTGTTTATGCATTTTAGCGTCATTTTAGATGGATTTGACTTTGGTATCATAACAGTTATATGCTTTCTGGCATTAGTCTTTTTAATCACTATTCTAGTATATCTAATTGGAGCTACTAAGAAGGATACAATATAAATATTAAGAAACAATAACAATTAAGGCTTAAATATTCAAAGAATAATAAGGTTAATGACATTATTTTCTAAACATTACCTATTCCACATATTCATTTTTAAATATTCATCCCAATTAGAATTAGAAACAATTGGTTATTAAATAAGTTCAGAATTTTAATAGCTATATATTTATTAAATTTTATGATAGTTCATTAAAATCAATATAGTTTTTTATGATTAATCAAATACTTTAAATTGAAGACTATAATCCAATCATAATTAAAGTCTGTTCCTTATGCAAACCGAAATAAAACTATTATTATTTTAGATTGTACTATGAAAGCAACTTGNTCCTTTAAAGAATAAAATATTTGATTTCTTGAAATGAAATAATCATCTTCTTCTTTCGGATGTTTTATAACACCATAAACAATAGAATCGGAGCATTGGTTGGTTAAATGCTCTCACAATCTACAATACTCTCCTACTTGATACTGAGGTTGGCAAAAGAAATCTTGAACCCTTCTCCCACATCTGAATTCTCACTATAACCCATCGAACACACTTCATCGAAAATATTTCTCTCACAAACCATTGATTCCTTAATCCTAATTAAATCTCTCAGATTTCTTAAGATAGGTTTTTGCAAGGCCTCTAAAAGTAATCTAGCTGCACTCTCTTAAGACCCAGTATTTGGATTGCAATTCTCTTTGTTCTTCCTCAGCATTTTGCTCTACAGAAATCTATTGGATAAATCCTTTATCTATTTATTTGCCTTGCTAAAATCAATAGTCCGAATTGTTTACATTTTCATTTTTTATATTTAAATTATATAACGTTAAACTCAAGATTGAAAACAATGTATCAAAACTTTTCAAAATTTATCATATCAATCTTGATTATAATTCAACCAACAAACAGAATAATTCATTAGCATCATAAAAAAGCACTTTAACTAAAAAATTCAAATTAAAATCAATATACTCTAAATGGACCCTTAATTTTTATTAACTTCTCGCAATAATTATTAATATACAACAGTCTATTTATGATCTCCATTCTAATAATTTGCTGAAAAAATTATTAGATGTTTAATATTAGCTTAAAATTTAGCCTAGTCAATGTATACCTTACTAAAGAATACTCCATAAAGAGAATTGTAAGCCTGATATGCTTCTGTTTATGCATTTTAGCGTCATTTTAGATGGATTTGACTTTGGTATCATAACAGTTATATGCTTTCTGGCATTAGTCTTTTTAATCACTATTCTAGTATATCTAATTGGAGCTACTAAGAAGGATACAATATAAATATTAAGAAACAATAACAATTAAGGCTTAAATATTCAAAGAATAATAAGGTTAATGACATTATTTTCTAAACATTACCTATTCCACATATTCATTTTTAAATATTCATCCCAATTAGAATTAGAAACAATTGGTTATTAAATAAGTTCAGAATTTTAATAGCTATATATTTATTAAATTTTATGATAGTTCATTAAAATCAATATAGTTTTTTATGATTAATCAAATACTTTAAATTGAAGACTATAATCCAATCATAATTAAAGTCTGTTCCTTATGCAAACCGAAATAAAACTATTATTATTTTAGATTGTACTATGAAAGCAACTTGTACTTCTAATTGGAGCTGCTTATAGTGAAAACATTGAATAATCAGAATAATGAAAGTATTTTAAAAAATACGACCTATTTCAAACAATTCAAACTTGGTATCAATCTCTAACTATTCATCCTAATTAGAATTAAGCAATTTTATTGTTAAATATTTAATATATTTTAATATAATTTAAAAAATGAAAAATATCTCAATAATTGGTTAGAATAATGTCGTAAAAAATTAACAATTTTTGGTATTGGAAACGCATTCAAATTTTACAGCACTTAGCATATGACATAATAGAATATTTTGGAGATTGCTTGCTTGCTTAATACATAATAATTGAATCATTCTAAGTTAATAGAGTTAAATTTTAAATCATATTGGTTTATATAATTTTCATTATAAAAAATGTTTATTTTTCAATCTACAATCTGATTCTATTCAACTAAAATAATAAGAATATCAATTATTCAACTTAAAAGGAGAAAAGCACCCTTGATTAATGATTTAAAGATAGTAACTATTGGGATTTGAAGTTTATTTTCATAGTAAGTTTTAATGGCTTTAATTTGAAAATTAAACCTAAACTTTTTAAAATTGAAATAATCTTTAGTCCTAAATTTCTGCAACTATGAAATTGAATAATATAATGATAGGCTATTTATACAAATTATAATTGTTATTAAAACAAGATTTATCAAATATAATCATATCAGATGAATCAAGATAATTCAAATGGATTCATATCTTCCAAATGTCCCATGTTTTTGTATAAACGAATAATTATACCTTGAATAATAAGATAAAATTACTTTCCTAATTCACGATTAATTTATCAAATGGCCCTATTTATTTAAGGATTTTTCTAAAATTCGTTTTTTTTTAGAGTTTTACGTGTAATGCAGCAATAGATTTTGTGTAAATTATTAAATCAATAAAGTTTTATTCAGAGAAAATTTCAATTGAAATTTAGTCTTCATTAAGTTTAGACAAAAAGGTCATTAATTTGATCAGTAATTAATTAAGCATTTATTTCATCGTAATTATGTAAAAATCATTATCAGCATGATGATGTCTATATTAAATTTGAACATTGTAGGCTTTTTGATACAATTTAATAAAGTAACTAATTTTTGAATTGATGTCACAGGAAGAAAGAGCAATATCTTTGGAGATTGAAAATTTGGTTAGAATATACATTAATTTAGTTTACATTTTATAGAAAGAGTTTCTGTCATAATTGGATTTATTGATTAAATGAAGTTGAGCTTACAAAAATTTATTTATGCCACCAATAAATACTTTAATTCCTTTTTCTAGCTTATTTATTTTTTGATTTTAAGACAATACAATTTATTGTTTTTAATCAACTACAATCATAAACATCAATTCCGTAATATAGAATTCAGAATATTTTACAATTAATTTTTCATTAGGCTTTTTTTTGTTATTTAGTTCAAGGATTTTGTTTACAAGTAATTTGTTATTATGAGTGTTAACTCTATTAAAAATGAAATCTTCCAGGGTAGTCCCAAATATCGCATATTTTCTTAGCAGAGCTTTTAAGTTAGTTTAACTCTACTAAAATTGATTGAATTAGGGAAATTCTGAAAAATTCGAGAGTCGAACTTAAAATGATAGGTGATTCTGATCGAATGTAAAGTAGGCAAAGGGGTTGTCAAGCAACAATGGAATAATCATCTCTTGGATTCTAATGATAATAATAAAACTACCTTAGGAATTATCTGTGATTGTAAAGAGAAACGACTATCTATACTACTTGTTTGTTCTCTACAAGACAAAGATGGCCATAAATGCAATAAAAAATGTATACAAGTACGTTTATAGTGAGATATTACCATTGCTGATTTCTGCAATCAAAATTTTTATTATAAGGTTATTGATTAATTGGATTAAGGCACACCTGAAATCTGATATTAATATAATCACTATATGTAAAGTCATCATCATCTATCCAAAAAGATAGGCTTCCTGAGCATCATACCCAGTATTAACTGAGTATTAGTATACCATTAGTATGTGATTTATAAAGATGAGGTAATTATCGATCCATGATTTTTTATAATAGAGTATGACAAAAGTTGTGATGAGTACTAAGATCCCTAAACCCAGGAAAATATAGAGGGTTAAATATTCTTCAAAGATGAAGGATAGTATAGTTCTGAGTACACAAATAATAAAGCTGATCAAACTAATACCTTTAAAAACAGGAATGGTAAAGTTGTATCTATTCTCTTAGTATTTTAATTCTAACTCCTTAGAATTAAATGATAGTGTGAACTTATTCATTAATATAAAAATAATAACTTCGTATTTAATTTTTTATAATACTTAAACCATATCATGAATCCAATAACTTTTAATATTAATTAAATAATTCAAGCGAAATTATCTTCAGATGATCGATCCTCTTTACTCAAGGGCATATATTTTCGAATTCGTATCTTAATAATGTTATGCATTTATATTATTAATAATAACAATACCTTGATTATTCGTCACTAAAAATTGATGACGAGAAAAAATATGAAAGTGTTTTGTATTATATTACTAAAAATCAAGTCAAAAAATTAATTTTTGTTAATAAATATTCTACTTTTATGGGTATGTAATTAATTAACTAAAGAAGATTCTTAGATTTAACCTTAAATTTTTATGTTTATATTCAGAATTTTTATAAATAAATACTTGAGAACTACTTTTGAATGCAAGTCTATTAATTAGTAAGATAAAGAAAATGTTATTTTTTAGTAGTAAATTAACTTTTTAAACCATTTTAATTTGAATATTTTCTACAAATATTTGAATTTATATGAATATAATATTTTTGAATCTTTAATTGTAATATCATAGTAAATGGAAGTAAAAATTATAATTATATAATAAATATAAATTCTCTCCATAAAACTCACGCACAATTAGTTGTCCAGGTCTTATAGGCTAATATACATTATGATTTTTTGAAATCACTTATTGAATTATAATCATCGGGAGCAAGAAAAAAATTTTATCCTTTACGATCCAGAGTAGTGGCAGGTGGATAATTAACAGTATTTGTACACGTTCTTTGAGATTAGTTGCACGTAAAAACCAGCAAAGTATCTGTGATAGTTTAAGTATCATCAGAAATTAAAAATAGTTTGACCTTAGTTTAATCTATACTTGCATATGTGCCTTCTTACCAATAATAAGTAAATCTAATTTAGGAGAAGGTATTATCATAATTATCGTTTGAATCTACATATGTAACACTTGATCCTTGGAATGGACGAATACAAATCACATCAGAATATGTCTTAATAATTCCAAATTGTTCAGGAGGATATGAATAAACCATCACAAAGCCATTACTATTATAAGGGAAAGAACTCCAATCAATAGTAAAAGTATGGTCTTAGCCTAGTATTTTGAGAGAGTTTTTGAAGTACGGAATTATAGCAAAGTTGATAATGTAATGGTGGGAACGATAGTAATTGGGTTGAAATGTTGTCATTCTAGTTAAAGCAATAAGAGCTAGACTCCAAATCTTAGGTAGGATAGCTGACCTAAGGTTTAGAGGAGACTTGTGGATGACAGTCCAATCTCTTAGTAGTTATAGAGACTAGTAGACTATTCGCTCAATGTAGAAGGGATGAGATTTTGGTTCAGTTAGTAGAACGTCTCTTGTAGTTGGCTCTATGTATTTATCTAAGATAGCATTCAGCCTATCTTGAAATTAAAGCTCGCTTGCTTCCTTATATGCTAGCCAAGGGTTGACAGTGTACAATTTGAACATTTCTTTGACACTGACGCTAATATCCAAGGTTGACATATATGTAGGAGAGTTGTCATTAGTAGAATCAACAAACCCATCGAAGTTCATGGGGAATCTTACGAAGGCATGACTCAATTTACCAAGACCCTTATCACAGCAAACATTATCATATTCTAAACTAATTGTGCCCAGAGAATCGCAATCTGTATTTGCACCACCTGTTATTAAAGATCCTCCTGTTCTACAGGCAGCTGCTTCATCAATAAGATAGCAAGGTAAAGTAACACAAGCAGGAGGAGTAAGAGTGCTAATTTATTATTTTCACGTTCTACCTATCCCAATAACACCAGCCTTATCCATTAATTGCATCCACTCCACAATTTGCTATTGTTAATGTTGAGCAGGGACTTTATCCAACATATGTTTAAGCTTATAACGATATGATGAAGATAAATATCAAAACAAACATAATTATATTAATCATCTCTAAATATCAATAATAAATTAATTGTTCTATTAAAGGGTTATATATAAGTAAAGTAAATTATACAATAATAATTAAAAAGTTGACTCCATTTCTAGTAGTGGATCAAAAGAAAAGTAAAGTGAAATAAATATAATTCCAGAAAAGTTAAATTAATAATAAAGAACTAAAGAACTGTATTTTTGAATTTGCATTTACTAGCTAATTTTTGTTTTTCAAAAAAATTATTCAATGTTTCTATTTTCAAATAATTTCTATTAGAAAGATACTTTAGTATTTAACAAGAGTATTCTAAGACTTATATATATATATCTACCTGATGAAGCATTTACTGTTGGATTAAGTAATTCAATGCAAAATTTAAACTACATTGAATATCAAATAAACATAATTATGTTCCAAAGATTACAATCCTTATTTTCATTCATTCAATAAATTTTCAGAGAATATACTTGGTTATGAAATATTGAGTCTACGCATTCAAACTTTATTATTTTGTTCTCAATCAGGGCCTGTCCCAACATATGTCCCTCTTTTTATAACATAGATCATAAAAAATAAAAATGGTATCAAATATTATATTATTTAAATAATCATGGGGGATTATTTGTACAGATTGAACCTGTCCATAAACAGCGAGGCTATTTACATTGGTATCTTTTAGTAATACTCCCACAAGCGGTTAGAGATGTACCAATAAAATATTAGGTGTTTGCTGTCAAAGGATAAATCTTGCAGGTGGATTTTAAAGTTATTGCATCATAACTACAATCATTAAAAGTTCCTATTGTCAATGCTCTTATTTAAGTTTCTTAAAGAGTTGCTTTATTGAATGAATAGAGGTAAATGGTAGGCAAGATGGATACATCATAAGGGAAGGTATAGATGATACCATAAGTCAAAGCTAATGGGTTGTGTCCTGAATCATACACATTAATTTCGTAAACTTATGTCAACTAACCATCAAACCCAAATTAATGTAGGTCATAACCCAAAAGCTAAACATATCCATTCTAGATATATTATGTCCATTTGAAAGTGGCTACGTGCTTGCGACCCAACAATTCCGCTTGTAATCTTGACAAAGACACTTAACTTATACTATAAAGAGGGTAAATTGCTGTATAATTACTACCAATTATTCTAAATCTTTCGAACAAGTTATCAACAACAGACCATAATTTTGTAATCATTGGATTTTTATTTGTGTTTATTAAAGTTGTGTCATCCTTTCATATTATTAATTATAAATTACTCTCAATTGCTAAAACATATATGCTATGGCTTTCTCTTGATCGTATGTCCAATAAGTATCGTATAAAAACAAAGATCCATATCTGATGTATATGTCTAGAGTCTAATCCAATTGCACCATGCTTTGTTTTAAAATTTAAATTGTATAGATCTATTATATATATCCATATTGTGGGAAAAGAGTATTCCACAAAGCCAAAGTTATTCCATCTGAACTTTTGTCAGGATACCCACTTTTGGGCTCTTAGTATCTAATATAATGTTAAACCAATTCATTAGGATCATCACTCGGTTCATTACAAACATTTGCATATAATTGATACTAATATGATTCCATTTCAATTGCATTGCATATTACTGTTGGGGAGTGTAAAGCTCCGGTTGCTCTACATGCTGCTATTTCATCTATTTTATAGCAGTCTTCTATCTAACAAAGTGAACCATCCCAAAAGCAGTATCCAAGGTTCCAACATGTGCTTTGAGTAAGTTAACTTGAACATGTTAGATCTCCAACAAATGAATTTACAACATTCAAGATTGCACTAATAAAAATAATCATTTATTATATATTTATTATTAAGAAATTCTGACTATATTTGATCATCAAATTTACTTACTAAATTTTATTTTATAATATTCAATCAAGTTAAAGTATAAAAGGCATTCATCTTTTCAATCTATGTCATCTTAAAGACAAGCTTGAAAAAGCATTTGCACCAGATAATTGTTAATCTTAACTTTTAAGTTTATTCTTATCCTTGAAGTTTGAATAATATTTTTCTATATATATATAGTAATAATACTTGTGATTATAAGAGAAGTCCTTATTATTTCATACATCTATAGTAAAAGTATTATAAAATAATTGATTATCAGTATTGCTCCCAAAATTTAATTCAATCGTTCATATTTCTAGACTGTTGATGTGTAAAGTTCAAAGATTAGATAAACAAAGTGGGTTCCCCAAAGATTACCTAATAATAACTTATATTTTAAATCAAAGCAGGTTTTGTCAGTTATTGATAATATTAGCAATACTCCAACAATCAAAGAGGTCAATAGCAATTAAAATATCTTATTAGTTGTCATCATCATTAAGATAAAAATATAAGCAGCATTTAATAATACAATAAAACGAATTGGTTATTAATTTCTAAAATATTTTTAAATTTTGATATGACAAATAATAACAAAAACAATATATATTGAGATGTAACTATTAAATTAATTGAGTATTATCCATCCATAAAGTTAATAATTAAAATAATTAAGGAAGTAAATCAATTAATAGGTTAATTATCTTTGAAGTTTCTAAACTAATTTCTTATTAGATTTATGATGTCTATTTTAATTAATTCTAAAGAGAGCATATACGATTAAACGCAATGAGGAAGAAGCAAGGATTAAAATAATTGTGAAGATGAGTTATCTAACAATATTATCTTGTACTTAGAATTAATTCGTTTCTTATTAACTTTTTTCAATATTCTGTATACCAAGCTGTTAAGATATAATCATTTGATAGGGGGAAAATAGTTCTACAAGGGATTCAAAATATTTTGGAGTTAAAATTTCAAAATGTTTTTGATAAGCTATCATTTAAAAGATAAACAAGATTTCAATATATTTGTGCGATTAAATAACTATAAAGTTGACTGTGAAGATTATTGCATAAACATACAACAACAGATTAAATGAGTATAATAAATAATCAAACATAGTTGTGAATTGATTTTAGAGGGTAAAATAATTTATAATTTAAATCTATTTTTCATAGATTATTGTACTATCATTGAATAGCACTATATTTAGATATTAATCAATGCATGATTGATAAAGATGAAGTTTGATGATAAATTATTGATAGCCAACTTTTGACATAGATGATTAACTTATTGTATAATTAAGCTAACCACAATTAGATGGATATTACTGATTGGTTTTTACATAAGTTAATTATAATTGTTCCTTATCAATATTAGATTCGTAATTTTTAATGGTGATATGATATTGCCTTTGATTTTAATAATACTTATCAAATTTGTTCTATTAAATTTAAAAATGCCAAGGAGGTTTATTAGTACAAGTGTTGCCACATATAAAATAATGTTCAATTAGACAATTGGAATTGCATCCATCATTATCAAGTAGATTACCATCATCACATTCTTCTTCTAATGTAATATAACCATCTCCACAAATACTTTGACATTAATTTTCGAGATATATATACCCTTAATTTGGCAGACAATTGGAACATTGATGGTTATTATCAGCGCAAATAATGCAATTATATGGATTGATTTTACAAGTTTTGCAGATAGGAGAACACTTATCACAAGAATAATCACTTTTTAAATAATATCCATCCTAACATTATACACATTCTTTCTAGTTGCAAATCTAACAAATTTCATTTTAACATTTAGATTAAGGTAATTTACATTTATGGCATCCGCTATATTAAGTTGATACTCCATTATCGCATTCTTCATTCCATTAAATTATTCCATCACCACAATTAGTATAGCAATAATGATCAATTGGTGGATTATCAAATAACTAACAATCATAACATTCTTATTCTCCGATATCATAAAATCCAATTTAACAAAGACATTCAAAATAATCCATTTGAATATTTTTTCTTCTCCTTTCTAATGTACATTTAGTACATTTATTGAATTCTGAAGAATCTTTGCATTCGAGACAAGTATAATGACAAGATTGACAAAGTTCATTGTTTAAGAAATACCCTTATTTGCATATACATTAATTTTGGAATGTCAATGTTCTGAACTACAATTCATCACAAGCAATACAAGTACCATAATCTTTACAATTTTTACATGAGTCTTAACATTCTACAATAACAATAATATTTACTTAAACATCTATCATTGATAAAATCGTGATAATACCCGTCTTAACATATGCAATCATTTTAATTAAGAACTCTATGCTAAGACAAATGGCATTCAGTACATATGAATTATTTGTATTAGCATTGTTTACATTTTGATAAGCATTATGAACAAAACTATTTTTCACTTTATTCAAAATATCCTTCTTAACAAACGCACTATCCCGATTCCAATTTTCTATGTTCATGAGACCTGCATGAATAACAATGGTTTATAGCTGAAATGCAAGTTTAACATTGCTCATGGCAAGGAATGCATTGAAATACTTCATTGAAAATATATCCATCTTAACAAATACATTTTTCTACATTTCTTACTTAATTTTGATCAATACAATATGTATAAATTAATTTTGGGGAATAACCAGGGATGCTATAAACAATGTTAGGCATATGTGCTCTCTAATATTTTTCTTTTAACTTTTGATAGCAACTACCTTAGAAAAGATAAAACTATTATTGACATTCTAGACATAATTCATATTAAGTGCATCTAGCGCAATTTGTAAAACACTTTAGGCACTAGAAGTCAGCATAATAATAACCTTATGGACAATACTAGCTTTCTGAAGTTGGTTCAATGCATCCGGATTCCACATTACATTCATCACAAACATTGTTACATTTTGGAGATATTATTAAAAGTTCTGATAGTAAAAAACTACAGAGTATCTTTAAGCAACCTTTACGTATAATTTGCAGTTTAGTGTATCCATTAGGATTATCAAATTCAAACTTAATATTCTCAATTTCAATAGCATAATCCTGAAGTTCATCAATTCCTAACGATACCATTAAAGGTTTCATATCAGATATATTATAATGGAGGGTATATTTGCCTAAGTTGATGGTTATCTATTCACCTATATTTGCATCTACTATAATCAACTTTAATGAAAGTTGTAATATTTTCTTAATTTAAACTTCTATCTGTAGATTTCTCTAAAAAAGTTGATACAGACTATTATCATATTTATAATAAGTTTCATAATACCCTATATAGAAATGATTATTTGATAAAAATTCAAGACTGTAGTTTTAGTAGGACAAAAAAAGATCCACAGAAATAAATTTCTCTTAAATTTTATTCAAGCAAACATTGTTAACTGATTTAGTTCCAACTGGACATTATTTAAAACACACTTATTGATACTTCTTATATTGGCATTACAATTTTTCAATTTAAGAAACTTTAATATTGTCTAAAGCCCATGCTGATATTTGTTGTTGTAGTGGAAATGCACCTTTAATTTAAAGATTATCTATTTGTGTTATATTATAATACAATTTTGAGAATTTGTATATTTTGCAATTTGGATATTAGGATGTGTAACAATCTTCTAAAGGTTCTAATTTTGATTAAGTTAATAAGATTTCATCTTCAAATCCATTTATTGAAAAAGAAATGATGGATAAAGTAAAATCACTGAATAGAAGATAGATAGTGTAATCTATTCGAATATATATGGGTTCATGAATACTAATGTTAAAATTATAGTATTCTATTCCTTCATTTTATATAAATGGTCCTATATGGGTCATATTATTAATGATAATCTCTTTAGTTTTATTGGTTGTGTTGTAATCTAGGATGATATTGTTGACATCTTTTATAGAGGTGGTCAATAAATTTATAGTACTTATATATTATTAATTGCCATAGTATTCATTTCCCAAATAATTTAATCTATAATAATCAACGCCAATTTAATCATTCCTGTATTGGCAATTATCCAAAAAGAGTTGATATTAGTCTTTACATTTTAAGCACACTTCCCCTACTTATTAACATAGAGCACAATTTTAGGAACATTGTAATACAAAAACTTACAGATTTCTATAAATAAACTAAACTCTTAATTATATTACTATCTCAACGAAGTTTTATTGTATTGCTTGTAGATCTAAAGTACAAATAAAATGTATATTTTCTTGAGACAGGCTTGTACAATCAATATGAGAAAAAGCTTTGATACCAGAAAATTATTGCTCTAAATCGTATTCATCTTTTAAACTATTGTTTCTTTTTAATTTCATGTCAATAACTATTCTTGCTTTGATATACCCAATATTAGGTGTTGAGATATTGTATATAGTTTGGTATTCAATTTGGTTTGCATCTAGAATCAAATTTTCATGTATTTCTTTATTTTCGATGATAGGTTTTACATCATCATTTAACAGCATCCAAACTGATGGTTTTTAGACTGATTAAAAGCAGAAAATTAGAATGGTAATTCCAACAAAAATTATATTCATTTTTAATATTTACTACACATTAAAAATATATTATTTGAAGTTTGACAAAATTAAAGGCAATCAAATTATTATACCGCCCCTAAGAGTGAAAACCCATTACAATTATTAGATTTATAAAATTACTGTTATAATTCTTATCAACTTTATTTTTTAATTAATTATTTATGAACTTTATCAACTAAACATCTTTATAATATCATCAATATGATGAATAACAAAGAAAAAATTTCATAATCACATAACGCTATTAGTGTCAAATAACTCAATTTTCAGGTATATTGCTTTGAAGCCTAATTTTATTAAGGTTGAATCGTTTTTTAGAAGTAGAATTAGTAATTTTTAATCCAGATTAAGAGTACTAAGATGGCTATCTAGGTGACCAAAATACAGAATGCTGATGAGTTTTTTCAGGAAATTTAATCTGTGAAAGCAGAATACTACCACCAATATCTTAGAGTGGTAACTCAGTAGCCGATACTCCTCTCTTTCTATCATCAGTTTGATTTTTAGGTCTTGTAATACTTATTGTCATTCTTGTATGTCCATCCTGACTAAATGGTATATCTAATATTGTTTACATAGTGGATTAAATATCATTTTCAACATTGTTAAAAATTGATTGGACATTTCCAATAGAAACTTATCTCTATTTTTAAAAGGGTTTTTTCTTCCTTTCAGATTATCTAATTTGTTCAATGAATCCATTGATGGTTTGCCTTTAATATAATGAAGATTGTTAAGAATTGGTTGGATTATTGTCTGTTGGCATAGTCTCTTTTTGATTTTTATCTAACTAGATTCTGCATTTTTAGCATCCTCTCATATAGCCTAATCTATATTATTCTTAGGCCTTCTTTTAGTTTTTCTCTACTTAAAGACCTTTTTCATAGACCTTTCCTCTTATATAATAAGTAATGGTCCAATCCTTGTTCTCTTACTCTATTTACTCAAGTAAACCAAAGAAATCATCAATACCAACTTCATTTTTTCTTAATGCTTGAAATCTTAAATTGAGCAGCTTCTAAGCGCATCTAAGATCACCTTTCATGCACCCCTACTCAAATATTAAATCAGCCATAACTAGGTTCTATTCTATTTCATCTTGTAATCCCTAATACAGCAGTTATCCTAAATCATAAAAGGCAGGCAAATAATCTTAATTCTTGGCCTGAGTTAACAGAGGCTAGATCAATTGACTGCGATTCTACTCATCATTAAATTCAATACCTTATATTGTGATTATTTGCACATAGTTAAATAAAGAAGAGCCAATTTATGTATTGCTTTACTAGAATTTTTATTTTGAGCTTATTTGTAATAAAATTCAGCATTTGGATAATCCCTCTCTAAAGTATCTAATCAAAATATTATTAAAATTCTACAATCTTATAATTGGAGTCCATTGCTATACAGATCTCCCAAGTAAATCATAGATTCTAAATGGTCTAATTCTGCAGCCCTTTTTAGGAGAGTCAAGGCAAATGCGCAGTCAGAATTATATGCTTCGCTTGAATTTTTGCTAGTTATTGTGTTATTATCATCCCTATCATAGAATTTATCATAGACTTTGGCTTCCTTAAAATAAAGTTTAATAGATACAAAAACTAATTTAGAAGTATGATATAAACTGAAGGCATTTTATTGATCAGCACTCTTCTTAAAGTAATTGAAAGCCTAGAAGATTAATAAAATGTTAACTTAATCATAATCTTTTGGACAAGTAATCCCTTCTAAATAGATTTGTCCCATAATCGCTTAAGCTGTAGCATCATTTTCTTCTGCCAATTTTGTATACAATTACACAGCTGCTATTTAATCTTTATCTCTGCCAAGTCCTGCAAACATTTCGTGAGCAATTCTTAATCTATGGTCTACTTGTGTTTAGATATTAGTCGCTTAAACTGGTTTTGATGATTCTGCTTGTTTCAGCGTCTATGATTTCTACTAAAAATTTAATTTCTGTACTAAAATGTCCAACCATTGATCTAGTAACTGGGAAATTTGAGATGATATATTCTCCTTATTAAACAATATGGGTCTATTTTCTAATATGTGTATTTATTCCCAAAAAAAAACCAATTAATCCAGTTATCTCATGTATTTATCATACTATTTTAAGGAAGCATCCTTGCCACACAATTGCACTTTTTCAACATATTAAAGTGCTTCAAAAACCTCTTAAATTATTCTAATGGTGTCTCTTGCCAAAAAGTGTAATTATTAATTGATTCTTATAGCAACCATATACTACTGAGATTGGTAATTCATTAGGATAGAAGACATCTTAGTGAAAACCGAATACGAGAATGCCTTTCTAGGTTGATCAATATTCGAACTTGTTTAAACCTATTACATTATCTCAGCTTAAATTTATATTTTTCATAGTACATAAGTATTATTGAGCAATTCCATATTTAAAGCAATCGTAGAATTGTTGATCACTTTCATTTGGCTATTATATGGCAACAAGAAATTTATACTTAATTTGGATTTGAGATCAACAATTGAATTTGCTCCACTATCTTTTGCACCAGTTTATCTTTATGCAGATGCATTTTTTCATCCCCAATCTCTGTAGATAAGTGAGAAGAATATGTATATTGTTTTTAATTCATATTTTAAACTTTTTTTTATAATAGTCCAAAAGTTTTGGTTATTTCTTTTTTTGATCCTTTACTAGAGTTTACCAAACATCGTCAAGCTTTTCTTCCAGCTGATACTTACTGACTTTTGACAAAGAACTATTTGCATCTTTTACATATTATTTTTGCAAATCTCTAATTTTAGTGAATTTATGTTCAGAGTAGGCTTTATTATTAATAACATGTGAAAATGTCTCATTAACATTGTTTAAAATACGTTAGATTTCCTGTTGTTAATTTAATCCTCTTCTGGGCAGTTTCTTTTGCTTCTATGGAGCATCCACTTCTCTGATTATGTCAAATTTTACATCTGGATAGTACATTTTCTAAACATTTTTCATTTTTAGCATTCTATCTTAAGATGAATGAACAGAAAGATCCTATTTCCTTCTATCCTTTCTTTAACTCTCTCCCTCAGATTAATGCGTTAAATTAGTAGTCTATTTCCTAGTCAGCACTCTGCTTGAAACTGAATTTGCAATAATATCTTCAATGAAACCGAATTGTTATCTTCTCCTAGGTGAAGCAAGAGCCTAAGAATTTAAAGGATATCTAAGCATTTTTGATAAGCCAATACCACTCTTTAACTACTATTGTGTGGTCTGGGATTAAGATTAAGTTTCCTTTGGTATTGGAGGAAGTCTTGTCGTGACTTTATCAAATCTCAAACTCAGCATTTCCTTCTTGGATGAACTAGATAGAGATTGGTAAGACCTCACAGATTAATCAAGGATACTGTTTAGATGCTTCTTCTTGAATCTATTAATGCGTGATTTAAATACTTTTGCATTTCATAATGCATTTATTAACTGTTGTCCAAATGGTAAATGTTATTTTCAATAAAATCGAATTTTATGCGATCAGTCTTAAGAACATCTATTTCCTCTAGAAACTCGTCAGAAGAGAAATCAAAGATCTGTTTTTTAGGGAATTGCCATCCATATTTCTATTATAGGTTGTCTTTCATCGCTTATATTCCATTTAATAATTCATCTATTTCTTGAATTGTGATTTCTTGTCTCTTAGAGGCTCTCTATTCTTTAATAAACAACCCAATTTGTTTCTATTTTTTGATCCCTTAAATTTGAAGTCTTCTAAGTTCCTTCAATTGTGATTCTCTATTCCTAATTTGAAGTATGAGTTGCTGTCTTCTCTCTACATTCTGACTTTATAATAGATTAGCTTCTTTAGTAATCTCAAGGAGATGTTCTTTAATTTCATACCAATTCCTTAATCGATCTAACTGTTATTCAAACTAAAATTTCTTGAATGTGAATCAGTTTCATACCTTAATTTTGCCTTTTGAGTTTTCAATATCTTGAAGACGGGAATTATATTTGTCTAATAAATCTTGAGAAGGAGATTTGGGTTCCTATTCATCAAAGTTCCAACTCTCCTCCATTGAGGAGTACATTTTATTATATTTTATTATACAGAATTAATAAATTAACTTACGTTTACATTGCGAACAATTATAAATAAGATATATATATATATTTAAAATGGAATTCTCATTAATGAAGGTGTGCAGCATCACAGGATTGTTTGTATATTTTTTTATAGGTAAATAATGTTTTATGTGGGTTTGGCCGGATAAAATTGAAGAAAGTAAGTATTGAATTAATATTAGAACAATGTTTCTTTGTTGTATCATTATACTTAGCTCATTTGATCACATACGCAGTTGTGAATGCATTTTACTTTGCTTGCTATTAGAGCAAGAGTAAATACATAAGCCAAGCCAAAATTGAATAAGTATAAAATACATAATGAATTAGAAACCATGGCCTTGGGATGGAAAAGATGCCAAGGTTTGGCAAGAAATGAAACGTCTATTTTGGAAGAATGTGTTCATCAATCAATTTATAATGGTCGGAGTGGCATATGCAGCTAGTTGCGTCAAATTAGACACTCGATTCGATCAAAGCTTCCCAACAGTATTCGAAATAAGTTGGCAAATAATGGTGTTTGGTATAATAGAAGATGTATTGTTTTATTTCAGTCACCGATTATTGCATACTCCATACTTCTATGGAAAAGTGCATAAAGTACATCATATTTATAATATAACAGGTAAAATTATATTAAATTCTATGAAAAGTATCTTGGTCAGCAGAATTCGCTCATCCTTTAGAATACATTCTAGGCAATCTAATTCCAGTAATCGCTGGTCCAATTTTGTTAGGATCTTAGACTCATATGATAACAGTCCTTGTATTTGTTGGATTGGCTACTCACAAAACGCTATCGGATCATTCAGGCTTCAATTTCGAGTGGGATGTGTACCAATATTTACCTTTAACAACCCATTCTGAATTCCATTCGAAACATCATAGTTTGAATACTGGAAATTACTCATCAACATTCACCTATTTAGATGATCTTTTAGGAACAACAATTAAGAAATGAATGTACAATTCAATTTAGTCAATAAATTAAACAATTTCATTTTTTTATTAAAGGATGGGTTGTTATTCTTAACAAGGGAATTCAATCAAAAGAGCTGACATCTCCATTATCATACACTTATGGATATCAAGCAATCCTTCATTATTATAAATATATAAAATTAGTGATCCGTTTTCATTATTTTTATTATTAATGTACAAACTCATCGCTTTGGCATTGATTGTTTCATCTGTATTTGCTGTTCAAAAGGACACCAAAACAATTTTGGCAGAAATAGACGCTGACAACTTTGGTAACACTATTCTCTCAACTGTCCAAATGTATTTACAATCAAAAGGAAATGCTGAAGAAATCTTAGTATTACTTAATCAAGTCTTGGCTGGATTGGTTGACGATTAAAACAAACACGACAACGTTATCAGAGTTGACAGAGCAGCCTGCACTCGTATTGTTACAGATTTAGAAAACTCTATCGCTTATCATACAGCCTAAGTAGCTGCCAATGCTTAAATGAGAGAAGATAATGAAAAGGCTTTGGCTGAAGCTGAAACTGATGTAAGATAAACTATCTAAGTAATAATATAATATAATGAAAGGACATTGAAAGCAATGAAAGAACCTATGCTTAAGAGGAAGCCAACAGAAATAAGGCTCATGAAACTTGGGTTAGAAAGAATGGAGAACATGATGATGCCATTGCAGCTGTTGATGAAGCTACCAAATTAGTCTAACATCTTTCTTTGGGTGCCACATTTGCTGAACTTAAACCCAAATTCGAAGCTGTATAAAAGAGATTAATTGAAAACGAAAGTCACGGTGCTCTCTTTTAACCCATTGTCACAGCCTTGACTGAATTAGCCACAAAGGTTGATTAAAAGGCAATCCAAAGAATTCTTTAATTGCTTTCACAACTCAGATAATAATTGGTTGAAGCCAGATCTGTGTTAGAAGTAAGGAGATGTCATAATTGTAGGATACCGAAAACAGATAAGCTTAAAGATGGGTTGAATTTTCCACTCATTTGAGCAATGAGCACAATAGATTGGTCGATAGAAAGAATCAATTGGAATAAGCAATTCAAACTTTCAAGACCAATATTGATACTGCCACTCATTTCTATGAAGTTCATCAAGTAAGAGGATTATATATTAAATTCTAGTTGGAATTAGAATAAGCCTAAGAAACCTTGGATGCTGAACATGAATGGTGTGACCTCCAAGAGAACACTTACAGTGTTTAATCTTCTGAGAGAACAAGACAATAGGAAATCGTTGAGAGAATATTGGAACACTTGACTGAGAAATTAACCGCAACATCCCAATACCTTGGTGGCAGATTCTGAGATTAATACATAAATATTAAATATAATTATGGGACCACAATAAAGTTAGGAACAAAGACCCTTAAATGACTTAATCAAGGACGTGGCTACATTTAATCTGTTGGCTAAGTATTCTGATATGTAATTCAAGATCCCCAACAATAAAGTCGAGCTTGGGCAAATAATTACTAGCAGAAGTGACCAAAAGGAAATAAGATTTATTTGATTCAATTCCATTTGTTAAAAAGTAGGATGACTTATGCATAGGGATATTTGTGGAGAAAGAATATTTTTAAATTACTTAGCAGAAATTCTACTATTGCAAACAATTATTGGAGGATTTTTCATCTATGTTAATGATTGATCCACAAAAGGAAGAAGGAACTTGTTAAATATGTTTTGAGAAAAAGATAGACAAGTTACTGCCTTGTGGACATAGTTATTGTCAAGATTGCATCGAAGGATGGTTCACAGTCAAAGAATAAGATTCATGTCCAATGTGTAGAGCCCAACTAACCAAACAAAAAATGAAAAGTGAATCGTATGTTGTACCAAATGAGGCTGAATTGATAGATTCATTTAAAGAATAACTTTTTCTATAATTCAGCTCACAGAAATGAATCAATTATTAATTTTGTTTAATTATTATTATGGATTTCGAGCACTCAGACTAGTTCACTTAGAGAGTAGAACTGATAATTAGAAATGTAATCTATGTCATTTTGAACACATTAGTTCTTACATATCCCAGAAGAAGGAGAACATAATTGGAAAGAGATTAATTAAAAATTGGATTACTTGCAAAATCAGTTGGTGGATGTACAAAAGTATCAAATACATCATTATCAAAAGGAGCATTCTTTAATATTTAAAACAGAGTTTTGAAGCTATTCGGGAATAATTGCAATGTGATTTAGAAAGCATTTATATTGAAACTCAATCTAAAAATTTATAATAAATCCCTCTTGTGAAGACTGAAAACGTGATGGTCAATGAAAGAATAGATTAAATAGGTCTGAATATTTAGGAGATCGAGAAAAGTTTAGTGAATAAAATTGATTTACTCAGTAACAAAGTAGGAACCATCAAAATGAATAGGGATGAATTGCAAGAGCAGATTAAATCATTTGATGGTATTGATATAAAATTGATTGAAGCTCGGATGGAGTCTCAATGGCAAGGTTTGGCTAATGTTTCCGATTAATTTTGGTTATTCAAGAAGCAATTTGAATCACTTTTGAGTGGAACACAGCAACAGAAAAAAAAATACTCTCTTTTTACATGAGGATTGATTTATTTGTATTATTAATAATGTACTATATTGATTAAATTGTTTGCTCATTAACCGATTAAGGCAGATGCAGTCTTTGATACACTATATGTTTAGAGATTTATGTTTACTATTTCCAATTGGATGGCAATTTTTGGGTTCTTCTATAATATCTGCTGAGTCTATGAATTCTGCTTTCAACCAAAATCAATCTGAATTTGCTTGTAATATCTCCTCTGTTCTTTTCTAAATGCTTTCTGATTTGGACTGCCTTTTTGATCAAAGCATATAAGTCTTCAGGGATTTTTGGTGCACAACCTTGATTAAATAGCTCATCCTTACCTCTCTTCTTCAAGATTCTCAAGATCTTTTGACCAGTCAAGAATCTGGTTTATGGGATTCCTTATTGATCTCTCAAGTAAACACCGATTTATGATCCATTAAGTCCTGAATTTACATTACTCTTGTACCCTTCTTTGCCAAATTTACAATCTAATCAACGATGGACTTTGATGAGAGTGTCAACCACTTTGGTGCTTTTCTCTTGTATGGAAGGGCTGATCCGGAGATACCCTTTCCTTTTCCCTTAGCTTGCATACGTCCCATAATTTATTTAAAGATTTAATTTTATTTTAAATTTTATCCATTAAATGATTAAAATCACTCATGCTTGTAGAATACCTTGGGCTTCTCGATTGAGTTGCTTTTTTTACAATTAATAATTTCATACATTCCGTGATGCCATAAAGAGGGTTCAAAATTGTTATCGTCATCAATGAAGAAGAATTTCTTATCCAACTCAGGCACGTCAAACTTATTTTCCCAAATTGGTGCCCCATCCAATAACTTGCCAATTTCTGATTATGTGCTTCTTTGATAAAAGGATCCCGCTGCGATTCTCTATTTACCCACTCTCAATACCTTGATCCAAAGAATGTAGTCGCCACTATAGCAGCCTTGAAATAAATGGCTAGTTTCTTGGCCACAGGGATCCTGTTGACTGCTTCCAAACTTAAATATGTGGAGATCAATGAGGCTTTGTTTTGGAAGCTGTTCACTCCATTAATAACATTGGAGACCTTCTGATGAGTTTCAGATGGGACTAAAGAAGTATGAGTCCACCATGTCTTATTCTGAGAGGAAAGACCAATGTACATTTTAATTTAATTTTAATATATTGTATGTACTCAATTAATATTCATTATTTGTTTAGGTTTAGAATATCAATTATATTTTTAATTATACATGAATTTCTTTAGAGAATTAGTCTCTGGATAAAAAGTTAGATTTATCAACGGACAGTATAACTTAGATCTCACCTACATTACCAATCGGGTTATTGCAATGTCATTTCCAGCCTCTGGATTTGAGAGCACCTTTAGAAATAACATTGACGATGTAGTCAAATTTTTGTAAGAACATCATGGGGACAAATATATGCTGTATAACTTGAGCAATAGGAAGTACAATTATGAGAAGTTTGGAGAGAACAGAGTAAGTAGCGTGATATTAATCTGAGATTCTTGAGTTTGCATGGGAAGATCATCATTCACCTCCAATCGACATGCTTTTTGATGTGTGCAAGAAAGTGGATTAGTTTCTGAATGAAGACATCAATCATGTTGCAATCATCCACTGTTAAGCTGGAAAAGGGAGAACAGGGACATTGATTTGTTGTTACATGTTATACAGTGGCAGAGCTAGTAATCCAGACGAAGCCAGACTCTACTATTCCAAGAAGAGATTCAACAAGGCAAAATCTGGAGTGACTTAACCATCTTAAATCAGATACATTGAATACTTCAATCAGATCTTCAAATCGCCAGATTATTGTGCTTAAGTAAAAAAGTTGTCAGCAATTACATTTGTTGGGTACTATTTGATATATATTTGATATAGACCATCTCCGAAGATGTCTGGAAATACAAGCAAACCTTATGTAGACATATACACAGTGAAGGATATGAGGAAGTAATTGGTTTATTTTTATGGAATAGAATATACAGTGGATTATCAGAAGCACAAACTAAGAATTACGAATACAAAGGGAATGAATTAGTATTATAGTTGAACACTGTGATCTATGGAGATATTCTAATCAAATTTTACCATTATGGTAGTTTGAGATAGAAGTTCATGTTTAGATTGGCATTCAATACATGCATGATAGATGAATCTAAGTACTGTGTAAATATAGGTTAGTTAATTGTTATTTTACTTACAAAATTTGGATCCTGATTCAACCTTCAAGAACAAGAAGTTTAGTAAGGAATTCTAAGTGAGATTGTAATTTCAGGATATTTGTGAAGTGTGTACTCAGAGGTAGCAATTTCAGTAGAAATGTTAAAATTGTCAACAGGAGATGTAATCAGAATTTAACTCTTGGAGTTTAGTGTATCAAATAATGAATGTATTAAGATTCTATTTAATTTATAGGAATATCCAAAGTACAAATTGATCCAGAGCAAGATTTTGTTGTTTGGAGATCCCCAAGATGATGATTTCCATGAGACTATAGCAAAGTTGTAAAATGGAGATCAAGTGGAATCGGATGACGATTCAGAGAGTGATCAAGATAGTGATGGGGAATAGAAGGAATAAAGATTATAGCAATAGTGATTTAATTAATATTAATAAAAACGGTATTTGTAGTAATAATAAAATAAATAATGAAGAGTGTAACAGGAGTGCTAGTGATTTTACTATTGAGTCAAAGTGTTTTGTGTAGTCCAAAGAAGATCAACACAGATTTTTTGAATTTGCTTAGTTCTAAGACAAATGTGATGAGTTCCTAGGATGCCATATAATCTGTTTTGACACTCTTGGAAGATTTATAAGGTGCTAATGTTGAAGCTCAAGATAAGGCTGATCTCACCTTCTAGAGATTCGAGAATGCCATCTTATAAGATATCAATGAATTCTCAGGAATTGTGAATGTTAACTCAAAGAGTGCTGCTGCTGCCTCACAAGACCTCGAAGCTGTTGAGTAATTCTTTATCCTACTTAATCAAGCTTGAAGATACAACAAACTACAGATTACTTGAATTGGAATAATAAGAGATATAAGGCAAATGAAGTTAAATTAGAAAACTTGGCTGAGTAAATCTCTTTTTTATTAAACTCTAGATAACGTTGCGAAGCCAATGCTTTGTTCATTGATACCCTTAGAGAGTACAAAAATGCACTTTCAGTACTCGATTGGGTCAGAAGTGATGCTCAAAGCAAATACACTAATTTGATTGAAAAAAGTCACGTTGGAGATTATGCTGAGAAATTGAGCAAGTATGCCAACCTTTTTGAAGAACAAGCAGTCTAAGACTTTGTGAAATTAGGAGATGATGAGGCTTCATTCTCACAAACCAGTAAATCTGATTATTCATTCAATAGGACAGAGAGGAAATGCTGAATAATTAGTGTAATTGATGACAAAGGATGTTGTAGGAGTGATTTAATAATTGATTGAAAAATTGAGAGAAACAATCAAAGGATTGGAAGAGCAAGAAATCCAATCTGCCAACGATTTCGCTGATTTCAAGACCAATCTCTTGGCTGAATAGGAATCTTTGAAATAAGAGTATGATGCTAAGGCCAAGTTCTTGAATTCCTTACAGAATGACAAAGAATTGGCATCTGATATCTTAACCAAAAAGAAGGAATTACAAGATCAAAGCATGAGAATTCTCAGTTTAACTCAAGGTTTTACATTTATTCATTACCATTTTAGAGGAATACAACTATAAAAAGAAGTTGTACAACTCAGAGAAGACTAAAAGACACGAGGAGAATCAATTATTAGAGGAATCTTTGTTGATTTACAGAGAGAAGATTGCAACTGTTAATGAATATCTTAAGAAACGAGTAAATGAATATGTTGGTGATTCTTTGATTGAGGAACATGCAGTCTCCAAATAGTAATCAGTTTCAGCAAGAAAAGGATAATGAGACAATATTCAAAAGATAAAGATTAATATTAACTAATCATATAAATATTTATAGATTTCATTTTTTGTCTGGTGATTGTTAAAATCTCCTCTATGTATTTTTTTGAGTTTATTAATGTTATAGTTTTGAGAGATCAACATCATACTGATACCCATCAAATAGTGCTATTGAAATATTGCCATTCCATTACCTTGAACTGTATCTCGACGCAACATAACCTGATTCTCAAGTTATTACTCATCATTCAATTATGTCTCTTCTGATATCTAGTTTTGGAAATCAAAATTGTTGTCCACAGCCTACCTTACATATATTAACATACTCCTGGAATATAGAGAGCTGTCAATTTCTTTTTTAAGAGATCATCCCATGGAAATCCTTTGAGCCAAGGATGATGAAGTATTTCTTCAATGCCATTGGCTCCCAATCTTCTCTCCGGTTTCCGTTAGATTAACTGCATATGATTGAATCTATACTGTATTAACAAAATCCATAGCACTTTCACTCCAATAATTAGGCATTTCTTCTCTCCTTACTTAGACTTATTTCGCCAAGATCTATTCACGAATGTCTTGTCTGGTTCTACCATTATATGGTCTACGTCCAAGCATTAATTCATATGTAATAACACCTAAGGCATAATAGTCTGCAACAATGGAGTGATCCATTCTACACATGACTTCAGGTGCCATATATCCTGGAGTGCCAGAAGTATCTCCAGCATTATTCCCCTTGTTTATACGTGCAATTCCAAGATCAGTCAATCTCATGTAGCCATCTTCCTCCAGGACTAGGTTCTCGGGCTTTAGATCTCGATGGATGATGCCATGTTGATGTAGGTAGGTTAGAGAGAGGAGAATACAGGCAACAAAGAATTCTAATCAACTTAAAAGAACAATATGTACTTGTTTGAGCTTCACTGAATCGTCTCATCTTACCTAAATGGAAACGTAAATCTCCACCGGTCAAGAGATCGATGATTAGATATAGATTCTCTCTGTCTTAGAATGCATATGACATATTAACAAGGAAGGGGTGATGAAGATGTTCTAACAAATATTTCTCATTTAGTACAGAATTTACACTACGTTTCTGAATGATCTTAGCCTTAGCCATTTCCTTTAGAGCGTACATCTTTTTATTTTTCTTCATTTCTGCCTTCCATACTCTACCAAAACCTCCCTTCCCAATCACATATAGAAATTTAAAATGTTGGCGTCCCACTATCTCTGGAGGGAGACTCTCAACCTGCTGTGCTACCAATTGAGTTTTATCATTCAACTCTGATTTACGACCATGAGATTGCTTCTCCTTTTTGGGGGAATTGGGAGCTGACTCAGATATTGAGTTCAATATCTGTTCAGATCGAGATTGTGAATTTATTGAATTTACTGAATTCGCTGAATTGTATTTGCTAGCCAACTTCAACTTAAATGACATCTAGGTACTGCTCAACATGCTTTTGCTCTCAACTTTTTTTGGTATTACTTTACTTTTCAATTGATAACTATGTTCGTACACTTACGAATTGCTAACATTGCTTTTATGATATATGATATTCTCTGCGTACGATGGTTTTTTTGCTGATGGTTGTCTATTCATTAAGATCTGACTTTGTTTCTCCCTGTTAGGTGATTGATGGGCTGATATTGAACTTCCAACCTTTATGTCCTTTCTTGAATCTGATTGACGAATCATGGGACTCTGATTCACCTTCCTACGAGAGCAGATTGAACAATTTTTTAGATTGCATTGGCATTCCCAAGTTCCAGATTGCTTCCTGACTGGTGCCTTTATTGGCTCCCCCTTGAAATGGATCTTAGAATTCAGTTATTGTTTTATGAGCAAGTCCCTCAGATTTTTTGCAGTAGATTGTTACATATATTTATTACGTTAATTATTTTTTTTTCATCAAATTATTTTTTATTACTCACATTCCCTATTCTCTCATCCTATTCTCATTCCAACTATTAAAATATACACGTACACAATTTATGACTCTTAAATCAATATTACAACTAATTATATTTTATGAATACACAAATTCAAAGTCATCAAAAAAAGTCAAATTTGGTATTAGCAATCAAGTTAACAAGAAGAAATGGCTACAAATACTCAATTGGGGTATGATAAGATGACTCTAAAAGATCAGATGCACTAAAAACCATTATGTTTCAATTTGGAATTTATCATATACATTATCAAATAATTGAATGTTCAATCAATTATTGATTCTATCAATACGCAATATTATGATTGGAATAACAGAATTTATTCAGTTGTTGAAATTCATTAATTATCATAAAGAATTAGAGCATACATAATCTACATGTCCTCCCTTTTCTAATTAACTTCATCAAAGGAGGTATATAGGTGTAAGTTAAGCATGTAATTCTAAGTATATATGTCTAAGATTTTAAAAAAAAGTATACTTAAATAACTTTACATGAGTTAAAATTGAAATTATTCACACTCTAAAATAAGATTATTGAAAAAATCTTAATTGATAAAGTCATTAATTAGATCTTAAGAAAATATTCTTATTTCCTTCATTCAAATGGTTTTGATTACAAGATGCAAATATTTTGGGTATTAATAAATTTAATTTAAAAAAGTCAATTGCAGATTGATTAAAAAATTGAATGAAAACCTTATGAAATAAATTATTCTAAAATTGGATAATTGAGGAGCACTCTATTACATAGCTAAATTACATAATTAAAATACAGAGAATAGCAGAATATTGATTTTGTAAAACTTCGCAAATCGATTGAGCTATTTTTATATTTAATTTTCAATGCTTGTGAATATAAATAATGAGTATGAATAAAATGAGTATTGGTGTTAATTTGTACATGTAATAATGCTAATCATGACTCAATTGATATTAAGCTTAGTTCTTCTCCAGTGTCTTCTCTTTGAATTATATCTAAAAATTGCAATTTCAAATACCTGATTGTATTGTCAGTTCTGTATCTGAACCAATTTGGTAATGGTCTGTTTTATTTATTGGCTTTTATTAATCTTTTCTTCATTCTCAAGGATTTGTGTGCTCCCTATTAAACAATAAGTGTGAAGCTATTACCATTTTTAAATCTTTTTTAATTTATTTAATATATAAATCAAATAATCATTAATTCTGAGTCAGCAACAATGCTAACTCTTCTAATGATAAATTAGAGCCCTATTGCTTTACGAATTCAAGTAACTAATCCTGAGGTTATTAGGGGAAAATTTAACTCAATTGTTTAGCCTTTTCTATCATATCGGTTTCTTAGGTATTTGAAATTAATAGCTTATGGTACCTTAATCGTTCATCAATGATTTCAATAAGTGTTTGTTTTAATTTTTCATCTTTTTTATAATCGTTAACTTATTTTTGAGGTTCTTTAGCCTTTACATTTCCAATTTCTTTCTCTATATTAGGTTTATTTTATTGGTAATTTGATTAATCCAAAACTATTGTGCTTTGATTTAGTAAATCCATAGAGTTTTTAATTTGATTTTCATCCTTTTCATTTTCTACTACTAGCAATTTGATTGTTGGCCATCCCATTTATTTATACAGTTTTTTCAAGAATGATAAACTGAAATCACAATTGATTTCTTCTATTCCATTGGGATCAGCTGAGAATAATTTAAATACTTACTAGGATCGATAATGGTAAATAAATGAACTTCTTTGAGTTGTGGATATATGGTCTTTATGGTTTCAACGATTTCCTAATAATTTGAGACCTTTGCTGGTAATTTATGGACTTTTCTCTTATACACGATTTTTATATTAGACATTTTCTTTTATATTTTATTAATATTATTTCATAAGTATTCTCTAATCGAATATAGATTTTGATATTAACAAACGCAATTTATCCAATACTCCTTTGCTTTCATATGAACTACAAATGGCAAATGCAATGGATATTTAAAACATAATTATAATTTATAAATGAAATAAGTGTCATCTACTAATGATTACTCAATCTTACGAAAAATTCAAATCCACCATTCACACACATAACCTAAAGAGTCCGACATCACATTGGGACGAACTACTAGTTACGAGTCAAGTCAATTCTGCAAGAGTTTCAATATTATGGCTTTCAGGAGGGCTTCCACAAAAGAAGATATTAACAGTACTATACAAAGAAAGAACTAAGCATGTACTTAAGAAAAATTAGCAATCAGTAATCTAAACTTCATCAAGTAATCTTAATTCCATTTATATTTCAGTCCATCTTCTTAAATTGAGATGAACCCATTATAGACCAAAGTGTGGAAATCTTTATAGAAATAGATGCTGGTATTTTATTTAATATTATAAAGTAAAGAGTGTATTCAATAGACATAATTGTATTATTGCAAAATTAAAATGAATAAGAATTTAAATTTGACGTAAGTAAACTTTGATGTTTTCTAATGGTTAAAGAGCTATCGAACCTTATTTCACAAGCGTATTGGGATAGAATTAATTAAACTAATTAAAAAAGGAATTTTCTACTTCCTTATTTATCTATCTTAGTTGGCAAAGTGAAAACTTAGAAACTCGATGGAGACATGAGATTATTTGAATTAGTACACATATTGCTAAATGTGCAAAGACCTCTTATTTTATAAGAATCCACCTAGCCACTTTGATTCAATCTATATTTGATAAAACAGTTTTTGTTTTTACTTAATTTTATTATTATCTGTATATATGGACTGTTTTATTATAATGAGAATTTTTGTTAATGTATTAAATAAATTATTAAAAATCACGATATGTAATAATAATCTATTCACTAATAAAAAATAGTCGAATTTACTAATCAAGGTACCAGTACATTTGAAATTTAGGTGAATATGTTTAATTGGAAGATTATATAAGAGTAAATTAAACAGCATAAATGAATTTTTCATAGGCCTTAGTTGAATGCATTTAATATACTAGAGATAGTGAAGAACACTTATAATGCATCTAATAAATTTTAAAGTAAATGTTTTCCAAAAATATCAAGATAATAAATTGATTTCAATTATAAGGATAATTAAGGAAACACTGCTTTGATCTAGGCAGCAAAAAGCGGCAAAATTAGCATATTAAATGAAATTATAAAATACAAAGAAAAGTTTGAGAAAAAATAATTTAAAGTAGCACTTGATATCGCGATATAATCAGAATAAGATAATTGGGATATTGTGGAAACATTACTTTAACTAGCCTCACTTGAAAAGCCTTAACACTTAATCAAATCTCTGCGTAAAGGCAATTTTAAAACTGCACAAAAGATTATTGAATAGTATGGAGCCTCTGGACAAGATGAAAATGGAGACACAGCCTTACATGTAGCATCTAGATTGGGCAATTTATAAATTATAAAAAGTATTTGTCAAAAAGAAAATCTCTATAAAAAAAAAAATTAACAACTTCAAACACCATTAGATGTTGCTTGCAATCAAGAAACTAGAAACCAACTTATTGAAGAAGAAATTCAATTTCAAAAATCCCCAAATAGAAAAAGAAAACAAGAAGAATTAGTTGAAAATAATTAAAATTCACAGAAATCCTCCAAATACGAGGATTATTGTGAAATTTTTCATAAACCACCAAAAGTATTCAATGATCAGGCTATCCAAACTGAAAACAAAGAAAAGAAAGACTCAGAATCATAAATTCCAGAGCATAATTATATAAATCAACCATTTTATGATTAATTGATCTCCGAAACCATCGTTACTTTACCTTAACATAGAACTACCCTAGATGACATTGTAAAGTAACTTATTAGTAAATTTAGGTAATTATCTTTTGAAATCAATACCTTCTCTCAAGAGTTGAATAAATTATTGGAAGAATAAAGGCCAATTATTGACAAAATTGTGTAGGTGGTTGATGAAGTATGAACTATTCTCATACGATTATTAGACTGTTCAAACTGTATGTTCTAAATCTCGTGCCTTTTTATACGGTTCTTGTTATACGGGTTTAAATTTGCTTGACTCTGATATTGATATTGTAATAGAAACAAATGAATAAGAAAGGATCTCTTTGTATAAGATTGCTGAATAATTCAAAGTATTATGGTATATAGTTTTAGATACAAGGCTTTATTAAGGATGTGAAAGTAATTGATAATGCAAGGAAACCAGTTTTGAAAATGCAATGCTCATAAGAATTCTAAAATAAACTGATTGATATCACAATTAGTAAAAACGATCATTCAGGCAGAAAAACTGCCAATTCAATGATTGAATTTTAGAAAGAATTTAAATAGTTTAAAAGTCTTGCTTTAATTCTGAAGTTTTACTTTAAATCTATTAATCTTTTAAATGCTTACCAAGTATCTCATTGATTTGTAATAAGGGTGGTTTGAATAGCTATTGCATTCTGACTATGATCTTAGCTTTACTATAAATTAAACGTGTACGTGATACTGATAATGAAGAGATTGGTAAGACCTTTTTGGACTTTTTCGATCTTTATAGTTAAGATATTGATTATTTTAATAAAATTATCAATATTGTTCCATCCTAGTCAGAGAATATGTAAGTTGATGAACCTAACATTTATTAATAATAATTTCCTTAATTGTAAATATTAGTTTAATTTTAGTGATTAAGGATAATAAGAATTGGTTATTCTGGATTTGCATAATAAAGGAAACAATATTGCTAGTAGTACCTTCAAAATCAAGCACATAAAAGTACCAAATAATTATTTATCTTAAGAATGCTTTGTCACTTGGGTATAGTGCTATTTTGAATTCTCAAAAATGTGAAGAGCCATGCTTTTTCTCTAGATACAATAAACCTGTTTGTTGTATTCTAAAATAAATTATTTAATAATCAAAGAACCATCACTTAACAGGAGTATTTAAATCAAAATAGCCATTTTATTTCTTTAATTATAATAATACTTATTGACATAAGATGAATGTGTAATGAATTTATTCTATTATGATGAATTTTAATATAATTTTATAATCACATTTGAATTATAATATTAATATTTTAAATGAAAGTTTAGATTAATTCATAAGCTCAAAAGAATAATATTTTAGAATAAATATTTATATAAATTATACATATCTATATTCAAGGCATAAGAAGTATGTTAATATAAAATTACATGAAAAATCATTTCATTTTATCCAATTAGTTTAAATATTTTATATGTTCTCTTTCCAGTCTTGCAATTTCATCATCAAAAGGATCCCTATTGATTCCTTGATTATTTACAGGTTTATTGGGCATACTCTTCATTGCAATATCATCTTTTTTTTTGGCCACTGGTTTTGGTATATTTCTGGCAAATTCAATCGCCTTTTGCCTAGATATATTTATAATAATACCTAGCATTAACTTCAGAAGGTTTGGTTTCTTTATTTTTGATAGTTATGATATTGGTTGAATTAAACTGCCTGACTTATTCTGCAAATTCTTATCTTTTGTGTAGCTTTTCCTTCTCTTTTGCCCATTCTTCGCCACTGATATTAGGACCCAATCCTCCTAATTTAGCATTTGCTGTCTTTTTCATCATTTCGTAATCCTTGATGGTGTATGGTTTGTACCGTTACGAATCATCTATTGATTGCTATTATTATTTTGCAGATTATGATCTTTGGTCATTCTTTTTTTGTGGTTCAGTGGCTGTTTGTCTTACTTAATAATTAGTGGAGGGTTGAAAATATTGTTATTGACTCAAATATTAGAGATGATCCTGAATTTATTACTCTGGTATGTATGGATTATGCTAATATAAAATTTAATGATTGGGTTGATGATTGTATTGAATTTGGTTTGTAAATAGTTGTACATTAACTTATTATTGCAAAGGTTATGGAATCTGAGGACATCTATTTTAATCTGATTTTAGATAAATATGATACATTCAAAGTCTTTCTTAATAGGCTATTAACAAGTATTAAGAACGGACTCCATTCCATTCCTTCCCATAACAGTTGTTTTACCCTTAAATCTTTCTTAGAAAGTTGACATTATAAATAATTATAAGTATAATAATAGGCATTTTGAATTGAATTATTATAATATGATTGTTTTATTAAAGGGAATTTCGATATATATCATACTTTCTCTAATAAATAATTCTATTAGGAATAGGCCTAAAGGAAACTTACAAAAATGAAATATAATTACTAATAATAAATTATTATTTAAAATATTACAATGTTAACCTCATAGTAAAAGGAAGACATATAGCATTTGATGGAAATTTTTAAGCGCTCTAAACTATTGATTATTTCAATTTTAATGTACTTTTAATGGGATATGGTGAGGTCGACTGATTTTATTCTGGAAGCAGGAGAATTTTTAAGTGATGATTTAGTGCCATTAAACAGGAGACAAGCAGCTTAAGCTTATTTGAAGTAAGAAGAATAAGAATTATAATAATAAATGATGGTTCATTCTCAAGGCTCTCAAAAGAGAGATACTTTAGAATAAAGTAAAGTCCAGACTTCATTGCAATTAAAGAATTTCTTAAGAAATTCAGAGCAAATAGAATAGATTGATAAACCTGATTGGATGCAAGAGAAAAATAAAAGAATAGTTTAATTAAGGGACTTTCTACAATAGTTAGAGAATTTTGAGTGGGAAAATAACACAATAATTAAAGAAAGTCAATCCTTATTAAGAAATAGGGAAAATGAGGATAAGAATAATGAATTGTAATTACGAATACATAAATCTGCAATAGGAATAAAAAGAAATGAAGGGACGGGATTCTTTAATTGCATTTATTAGTTGCTTTTCTAAAATCAAGAATTAGTGGAGTAAATCCTCAACTTGCCTAATCTTAATAATAAGGTTGATCAAAATGTAATATTTGTATCTTATTTAGAGTTAATATCTAAATGAATTGCAATATTTATTTAGCTCTTTCATTCTTTCAAATTAAAGATACGTTAAAGATTCTAACCTTTTAGTTGCAGCCAATAGACTGAACAAATTGATAATTATTGATGGTTAGATAAACTTTGCATAGCAACTTGAAAATCATATGGACATAATTAACAAATGTTTAATGGATATAAATAAATAGAACCACGTTTCAATATTTGATAATGCATTTTAATCATTTGTAAATGTCAAAAAGGGTGGATAAAAATCTATATACTTGAAATTCGAATAAGAGGATAGATCATTTCATTTATCTTTGTTAAAACAGATTGAAAATCTTTAATCGCTTAAATAAAAATAATCTTTCAAAACTTATTGGGCTTTTTAAATAAACAGAAGGGAAAAAGAATAAGAAAACAGTCAAAACAATGTGGATTATTGGTTTAGTTAAAAAATAGATTTAGAAATTTTATTTTCTTCAGCGAAAGCAGATTAAGTTTTATAAATTTTTGAGGATCAGGTCAATGAGGATACTATTAAAGAAATCAAAAAATGTATTAATAATGATTGATAGTAGCATAACAAATTTATAACTCATTACATGTAGCCAGTTCTATTCTAAGTGAAAAGGTTCTCATTTAGGAAGAAACAGTACAACACTTAAAAGTAGATAGGCAGGATAAAGAGAAGTAATTATAAAAATACTTACCGTTTAATATGAATGTTATTCCGAGAGATGATAGCTAAAATTCTAAATACATTTACTGTCTATAAGCAACAGTCATTGAAATATAAGAGGAGAATGATCACTTATTTTACATATACATCTATAACTTTCATGAAGAATAATGGTATAGGATGTGCGATTTTGAAGTGTCTATTGTGAGTGAAGATTTAGTCTTAAATGATACTCGCAAGAATGGATGTTTTTTAGTCTATGTTTAGCAATAATAGATTTAAAATTTGAGAGGGTATTAGAAGACAATATCTGAAATCTTCAGAAAGGTGCAAATAAATCAAGGAGACATATCAAGGGAAATTCTCCAAGGAAGTCAACTTTTGGATGGCTTGAATCCAAGTCATATAGAAAGGATTCAGAATACTAATAGAGAAAATATAAAGATACTTGATGAAGAGTTGAATATTGAATTTAATAATTGATACAAAAAAAATGAATAAATAAAATAAAAAATAAATAAATAATGAAATTTATTCCAGATAATGTCATCCAAGCTTATAAAGAGATGGGCTATGGAGAAGTAAATATTCGAAAGTGCTGGGAATTGGCAAAAGGAGATTAGAATAAATTTGACTCCTATCTGATTGATGGTTACTAGGAACCTCCTTCTGGTTAGATGTAAATAATTCCTCAACCTGATGTAAACATCACAAATTATGTTATAAGATTCGCGTTTAATAAGCAAATGGGTTTGAATAATTTAACATAAACTATTATTAGTAATTTTAGTAGAGTAATTGTTATTATCGACCTTCGGGATTGAGGAGAAAAGACTAATATGTTGGATTGGCTAACATAGGCAATACTTGTTCAATAAATTCTATCTTATAATATTGTCATCAAATCCCTTAGTTATTTAGACTTTCGATTGAGTGCTAGAATGGTGAAAAGGATGTAATAATTTTCTATTAAAGTAGATATTTCAAAAATTTATCTTGCATATACAAAGATTATTCCTATAACTCACAGCTTCTAATTTAGAATATGTCAATCCTTAAGATGCCTTAAATAACATGTGTTGGGATGCCCAAGAAAAACAATATATTGGAGTTTAATAAGACATAGTTGAAATTTTTAATCTAATTTTAAACAAATTTGATAAATCGATTCGTAGATTACATCTATAGAATCTAATGGAAACCAATATTTAACGAGTGGAATTGTTCGGGAATCAACAAATGAATGGACTTTTTTAAATAGTTTTTTTGAATGATAATAATCAGAGAGAATATCATCCTAATCTGGTTGCGACATTGAATCACAGGAATATTCGAACATTTTTATTAAATGAATTTACAAATAAAATCCTAGAGTTGCCTAAATTGCTAAGAATTTCTGTTAATAGAATTAATTTTAGAAATAGTAAGATAATTCAGTATTTCTAGGATCGATTATAAAGTTAAACGATGAATTTATTATCGACAACTCATTGAATCTTGAACTTTGTATATACAATAATAACAATATAAATAAAAAAGAAGAAATCTCCATTTTACAAAACAAGATTAATGAGTTATAAAAAGACATCTAGATACTTAAATAATAGCATTCATGTCTAGTAGGTGTCCTTAAAACATATGAAGAAGATGGTAGTTTTACGTATGTGATAGAGTAATTAAAAATAAGAATAGACGTGAATCTAAATAAATAAAAAATCAAAGAGGAAGAGTATAGGAAATAATAATCGATAATTAATTAATATTAAGCTTCAAGTTAATTTCAGTATAGGATTCATTCAATTGTCATTCATTTTGGATCTGCATGGGAAGGACACAATTATATTTATATATATAACTTTTTTTTGGAAAAATGGATGAAATACAATGACATTAGTGTTAGTTTAGTATCAGAACACTAGGTGTAAAATGATTCAAAAACATATGGTCAATTGGTTACTTATGTGAATCAAGAAATGATTCCTCTACTTAAAGCTCATTATTAGTTTATTTAAACTATTGGAAATACTGTTGTGTAACAACCTAATAGAGATCTATCAAAAATGGCTGAACTAAATTATATTCCTTAAAACGTGCTTGCCTCTGTGACGCAGAAAAATTTAGAGAATTGCCGCAACTAGGCTAGATGATCAACTATTGATTCTTGAATAATTAAATATTTAACCAATTTAGTTCTAATAATCCTAAAATTATATCATATACATTTATTTTTAGTATTAATCCTTGCTAAGTTAAGAAAATAAAAAAGACGGACAAATTCAAGAAAAATGTTGAAATTATTCAAAGTAAGACTCTATTGCAATTCTCAATCATATACTAGTTAAGTCCTCGTTTTGTGAAATAATAGGTTGTTAATTTTTCAAATGCTGAGGATATTTTTGGCTTGTTTAGTTATTAAAGGGATTTTCTCGATTTTCAATTCATTCCCTCACCAGAAAGGATGCACAAAAGGGTTGAATTATATGATCACTGAGATTTGAACATACTACAGTATTTAATTGAAAGCTGTTTATTAATTAAATATTATGAAGCAAGCTCCTAAGTTGAGTGATGCAAACAGCCCAAACAATAAACTCATTAATATTCTATTATCAAAATAAAAGAGTCCTTCATAATATACTATTTAGAGTCCTGCAGTATCTCCGACTTAAGCTCATATGCCTAAAGGTCAATTTCAAAGCAAGAACACATCAATTGATTTGTCTAAATTGACCACATTAATGAAACAATAGAAAGTGAAGTCCCCCTCAGAAGGACATAAAGATTCAATGACTTAGCTCCTTGCAAAGGCTCGTGCAATTGCCACATCAGCAAAGACACCAACAGGACCAATTCATATTCGAAATGACTCAGCCAAGGTTCGGAAGGAGAACAAAGAGCCACAAGTCGTAAGTCCAAAGGTTTCAGATACAAAATAGATGGGGAAAGCGTCATTTACATTTGAATATGTAATTGGAATTGGTGGATTTGGGAAAGTATGGAAGGTCAAGAAAGTTGGACACTAATACGCAATGAAGGAGATGTCCAAAGCGTTGGTGATAACAAAGAAGAGTGTGAACTCAGTGATGAATGAACGTATGCTACTCAGTCAACTCAAGCATACATTCTTGATTAATATGTACTATGCGTTTCAAGATCGAGAGAACTTGTACCTAGTGATGGATTACATGCGCGGAGGTGATTTGAGATTCCACATTGGAAGAATGAGACGATTTAATGAGGAACAAACTAGTATTAGTATTCAATCATAATAAGAGTTTTTTGTGGCCTCTATTTTTATTGGTCTTGAGTACTTACATACTAACAATATTATACACAGAGACATCAAACCTGAGAATCTGGTACTTGATGAAAAGGGTTTTGTTCATATTACTGATTTAGGTATTGCTCGAGTCATGAAACCTGAAAATTCAAGCGACACGAGTGGTACTCCTGGTTATATGGGTAAGTTGTATTTCCTAATAGGCAACTAGCTCCTGAAGTGATGTGTAGATAGAACCATACTTACGCAGTGGATTACTATGCTTTAGGTGTTATCGCATATGAGTTTATGTTGGGCAGAGTATGATTTTCGATTTATTCAAATAGAGACCATATGTAGGTCGATCCAGATAGGAGATTCGTGATCAAATACTGGCCAGATAGGTATAAATTAGAGCAAGCGAAGTACCTCCAAATTGGAGTGCAGAGGCTGTTGATTTTGTGAATCGATTAATACAACGAAAACCAGCATGTCGTCTTGGTTTTAATGGGGGCTATGAAATTAAATTGCATCCATGGTTTAAGAATTTCCCATGGTCAAAATTATAAAACAGAGAAATCACTGCACCATTCATTCCAAATCCGAGTGATGATAATTTCGATTAACGTCAAATAGTGATCGAGGATGAAGAGAATGCTGAATTGATCAGTTAGAATATGCAATTGTTAAGAGATCCCAACGTTCAGCATCAGTTTGTTGGCTATGAATATCAAGTGCATAATAATGAGAAGGCCTTTGTCTTTGATTAATAAAAATAATGAAGCTATCACTCACATTATTTACACTTCTAATATCTATTTATTGTGCCGTACATAGAGAATATTACGATATCTTGGGAGTCTCTCCAAATGCTTCAGTTTAAGACATCAAGAAGGCTTACCGTAAACTATCGCAACAATACCATCCCGATAGAAATCAAGGAGATCCAGGTGCAAATGAAAAATTCTCGAAAATCAACGTGGGTATTTGGGATCATATAATTTTAGCTTATGAGGTACTATCAGACCCAGAATAAAGGAAAAAATATGATAAGGGAGGAGTTGACGGGCTTAATAGTCAGGGAATGTAGCATCATGATCCATTTGATATATTCGGATCATTTTTTGGAAGAGAATAGTAAGGAGAACGAAAGGGTCCAGAATTGAAGGTGAAGGTTAGAGTCACTTTGGAGGATATTTACAATGGCAAAGAGATCCCAGTTTATTTGACTAAATAAATATTATGCCCACATTGTAGAGGTTCAGGAGCTGATGATCCAGATCTAGTAGAAACATGTCCAACTTGTAAAGGTGTTGGTAGTGTCTAGAAAAGACAATAAGTGGGTTTTGGATGTATGCTAATTTATTGACAATTTAAGTTTTTTAAACATTCCAAGCCACGTGTGAAAGATGTTATGGAACAGGAAAGATCATCAAAAAAAAATGCCATCTTTGTAAAGGAGATAAAGTAATAGAATATTTGTGATTCTTAGATCATTCCTGGAGCTGATAATATTAGTTTGTATATAGAGAAAGGAATCTAGGACAAATAAACTATTGTAATCTTATGCATAGATAAATTATATAGAAATATGAGAATATGGCTGATGAACGTAATGATTCTGGCACTTCTGATCTAGTCTTTTAAATTGAATAAATACCTCATGCGTTCTTTTAAAGATAAGGAACTGATTTGAGATGCAAAGTTGAAATTACATTGAAGGAAGCCTTACTTGGTTTCAAAAAGAAAATTAAACATCTTGATAATCATTTTGTGAGAATTGATAAGGAAGGCATTACAAAGCCTGGAGAAGTGTAAATCATAAAAGGGGAAGGAATGCCACAACATGAGTTTTCATCTCAGCACGGAGATTTATATGTAGAATACAAAGTGGTAATTCCAGATTTCAATGGAGAATAACTTAGATGTAAATATAAATTATTATCACTTAGAATGGTAAAAATTCTTTTAATGAATATAATATAAATGTATAATTTATATGTTTTTGTTTATATGTGTGCTACAAAGTATTGGTTTCACCTATTTTTATTATAATAATAAATTAATGTATTCAAGTTATCAGATTGTGATTGAAAATGAGCCAGAATGTGTAAATTTGTAAGACATACCCATACTGTATGTGAATTCAATAGCTTTGTAATTTAAGGATGAATAGATGACAGAGTTTAAAGTCATCGAATTTGCATTGATAATACTCTCAATGTTGATTAGTATGATTTGTGGTGCACGTTACTTGATGTGAGCATGAAATTAGTTAATGTTAGTGTGTCGATGACTTACATGTGTTAGACAACAATCAGCATATTGGCACTCCTATCATTGATGTTAATGATATTGCCATCAATCACTCTATGTTCTAAGACATTCAAGATGAGTTTGCATATGTAGAGAATAGCACAATTGTTATATTCATTGTTATTGACCTTGGGAGCAATAATATTTTTTTTTTTCAAACTCAAACTTATCAAGAATGCCGACTCTAAGGGAAGGTAATAGTAGAGGAAATCAGAACATTGCCATTTCTATTAGAAATTCTTTGTTGTCTGATGAATCTAGCTTATGTAAGTTACTTGCATTATGTTACTGTGTAATATTGCAATAAGGAGTAACCAATCAGAATGTAGATAGTGCAAAAGATTATGAACACAATAGTACCAATAATTTGATATTATATTATAATTTATAAACATGGGATGTGTAATTGCATCAGAGAAAGTCTCAATGTAGAAAACCATGATGATGGAGTCAACATTCAACAAGGAATAAAGAGAAAAAGAGCAGAGGATCAAAGCACATCTTATTTTGGACGAATATCGCCAAACTAAAACCATTAGAAAGTAAATCAAATTGCAATCCGATGTCAAGGATGCCCTACAAGAGTAACTTACAAAGAATAAAACCGTAACTCCTTAAAAATCGTCAATAGCTAATTGAAATTATATATATATATATGTTTTCAATTATTTAATTTAGAAACTTCTTACTGTTTCATATCAGTTGCGAAGAATGATTTCCTTTTTATTCTAAACTCATTCTTATATCTGTATAAACAATGTTTACTAGTTATAATAGTCTAAGATAATATATATTTATGAATCCAAAGCAATAAGACTTTTTTTGAACTTCATGCTTTGTTCGCTTTCATCAAATTCAAATTGATGAAATCAATAACTACCTCATCCTGTTCCTCTAAATACCGCATCATTTATTTGGCTTTTAATATTCAGTAAGCTTATAAAAGACACTTCAATAAATCAAATTAGCCGATTTTATAAATTAATTAATACAAATAATTCAGAAGTCAACCATCTTAATATTCAGTATAGATTATTCTTTAGCTTCTTATGTAGACTTCTTCTGTTGCAAGATTAAAAGAGTTCTAAGTTTGACTGATTCAATTCTTTAACCATATTCAAAATCTTTTTATAAAGGCAAAATCAAGTAAGTATTTATCGCATCTGAATTATGATTACGTAATTCAATTTTTACCAATAAAAATACAATTTTAATTTTTATACCTTATATTTAATCTCTTAAAATCTTAAAATCTTCTTAAACCTCTTGCTAAATATTAAATTGCATCTTTCCTGCTAAACTAGAGCTGAGGACCTTAAATTTTAGACAGTCATTTATTGTGACACAATTCCATAATTATGTGATTCTTATTTCTCAACTTAACATCATTAGAATACTTTTAATGTTAATAGTATATAGTCAACCCTTTTACAATCTATTTTTTACATACTCTTTCTCTCTCAATCATCGCACTAAGAATTAACCTCTTCTTACCACGTTTACTTCAAATTATATATTATTTTCATATTTATCATAGTCATTTATAGTATTATATATATATACACATGCTCTTATTGTTATCTCTCCTTATTCCAAGATAAAGAAATTTTATAATTCACATAGTGTTTTAGACATCAAACAAATGAAAATATTACGTACAAATATAAAATTGAAAATTTAAATAGGATGGTAAATTTTAAATATGATGAATTATCATATGATCAACTATCCTAAAATTTAATACCAACCTAAATAAATAAATTTAAATGGATTTAGAAGACAACGACTTCATGGCAGATGGTGACAATCGCAATGTAAAATCTCGGACTAGGAACAATAATAATAAGAGGAACAATAAAGTAGAGGCATAGCAAAGAGATCAATAAAAATAAAAAAGGCAGGAATAATAGCATAAAGATGAGGATTGGTCTGACGAGGAAGAGAAGAAAAACAATGCCAAGAGGTTGGAACAATAAGAAAAGAAATTAAAGCAAGCCTAGAAGCAATTAGATTATAAGAAAGATGAGGAGGAGATGTAACCAAAATTAAAGGGCAAAGAAAAAAGACAAGCTCATGTACACGATCTATGATCATTATTTTAATAATATCAATTCCTTAATTTACTTTACAATGCCTTAAACTGCCAGACCATGTTCTTCCTACTCTATCAATTGCTATAGAATAGAATTCCTAAAAATATCTTTAATTTTGATTGAATCAGACTCTAATAGATAGTATAGTATCTGTAGCAGATGTTTGAGGTTCAATTGACTTTAATCCTTCTGTATTAATAGTTCTAACAATTACTTCCGAAATAAGAGACTAAGTCCAAATTCTTTGGGCAATACTTTAACTAATGTTGGGTACATGGGAACAGTGTTATTTTTAAAATAAGCCACTAGAATATCAATATTTTTGCTAAGAGGGATGCGTTGAGTTTAATCCAGTTCTATTAGTTTAACAATTGTATCAAGTAACTTTGTAATATTTAAATTAGTTGTTAGTAATCCAACATAAATGCTGATACCCCCATTTTCTTATAGTTTTAATTTGCATCTTTCTGAAGAAGTGGCTAATGAGCATAATATACTGATAGCTGCCTTTTTCATTGAGATTTGGTTTTCTAAATCACTTGGTAATTTAAATAGTTCCAACAACAAAGGAACACCTTCATAAAGACACAATTCTTCTTATTTATCATGGTTGAGTTTTGTAAGATAAAATATAATTCTTAAAATATCTGCAATCATAGGTCCTTAATTTGGTAAGTCTTTCTTTAAAAGAGTTAAGGCTCTTGGTATGATAGCGAATCCATCTAAATGTGGTTAAAGATTAGGTTCAGTGGATAGATATCTAAATATTTTAATGGTTTTTATGAGTGATTATTCTTAATTTTAATTAAGAAAAGTGGCTAATCTAGTGATTACCTCTTTTTCACAAAGCGATTACTTAACAATTTTATCATCACATTTAGCCAATATCACTAAAATATTCAATGATTTGATCATTAAATTAACATCTATATTTTGAATTTGTTCAGCTATAAGTACAAGTCTGTAAGTGATGAATTTACTCGTTAATAGTCTACTTAGATTTCTTTAACTTATTGTATTAAGATCATAGAGTAGGATTATAGTATCTAAAGCTAAACCAATTAAATCAATATTGTTGGAGATATCTGATGTGTCAATCAATTCTAAGAGGTTATCCAATCCTCCTATTGAGAGAAGGTATCCTTCTTTAAAGTAGGTTAACTATCCCAAAAAATAGGCAGCTTCAACTCTTAGTTCTTTATGAAATTCAGAGGAAGTGATTTATTGATAAAATGTTGCTGCTCCTAAATAGCATGATAATTCTAATAATTAAGGATTCTAATCTACAACAATATTTATTAATTCAAATATCAATTTTAAAATTTATAATGGTTAATCTTATGAATTATTTTCACAATAGAGTGGCATATATCTCTCTATAATTTCCAATAATGATGTTAAACCAGTATGAATGAAATATTCTTTACATTTATCATTGGGAATAGTATCTTTTAACTATTCTAAATTTTTAATAATCTAAGAATTATCACTTTATTCTGTTAATTAAGTAATAAGATCATTAATTTCTCTCATGCTTTTGCCATCTTCATTTTAGCCCCAAAATCCATTTTATTTAATTTGATGACTGGTTCTTAATTTAAGTTATCTAAGTGAATCCAATTAAGAGTCTCTTACTGCACTGCTTTTATCAATTTTTCTAGGTGATTAACATTGAACTAATTATGGTACTTACTCGATGAATGAGTCTGTGATAAATGTTCCGAAATTGGATTGATCTACAATGTGATTTCGTATAGTATTTGTGACTTCTTCAGGCAGATTGGGTCCTTGAACTATATGCCAACTTTTAGTGATCCATGGATGTTTGAGCATAGTGGTGGCATCATCCCTTAGAGTGGGATCCTTTTGGAAACATTGAATTAGAAAGTCTCTGCATTCATTTGAGATTCCTTCTGGTAAGGGAGGACAATCCCGTTGGACAATTTAAAACATTGCAGCATATTATAATCTATCGAAGTAGGGTGGATTCCCTGTCAATAACTCTATGACTGTACATCCAAGTGACCATATATCACAGGATGTAGATAGATGTCCTGACATTTCTATTACTTCAGGTGCCATCCAATATGGAGTACCAACTATGTTATTACTTTGTGTCGTATCATCAGACAAAGTTGTGGCCACTCCGAAGTCTGCCAATTTAACAGTACTTGATTATCTCATGATTAAAATTACCCATCTTTGGTAGTCAAAATATTGGCACCCTTTATGTCTCTATGGACAATTCCTTGTTAATGCAAATACTCCAAGCCTTTCAATACTTGTTTAACATAAATGGCTACCAAAGACTCTGGAAATGATCCAAACTTCTTTAGAATGCTTGCCAAACTGCCACTTTCGATGTATTCAAGAATGATATTCAGAAATTGATCAGTCTCTATGCAATCAATGTATTTGACAATATTTTCATGCTTCAACTTCTTCAATAGATAGATTTCTTGTTGTAATGCTTTATACTGATCTTCTTTCAGTGTGGCTCTTGACACTTGTTTTATTGCCACAAGTGTTCCCTCTATTATTGTGTGTTTATTACTAATTCCAAATTCAATCCTTTGTACACAGTACCAATCGAACCTCTACCTAGCAAATCGCCTAGCTAGTAATTACCGATCTTCTTCATCTATCTAGACAATTGAGACATTTAATATTATTTAATATATATATATATAGAAGTGATTGTAAAGAAGCGTGCAGATACAAGATGCATGTAAGCTATCTTATATTGAATAATGCCATTGCTTTAATGTGGCAAAAGTAAAAAGGGACACAAATATTGTAGATTGTGTGTCCAGAGTGTTATTTGCCATAAATTAATTTAATTAATGAATTTAATCCCTAACGAGCGTCGGGCTATAGAGCAGTTAAGAGAGGTCAGTGAATTAGAACCTACTCTATTGAATTGGGGGAAAGAAATACGACTCTTCAATAGGAATCCCAACAAAAAGCGAAAGTCATCCACCAGAGATGGGGAACTGAGATCGCGTTTGCCTCAATTGAACAAGGTACCTTTGAGAATGCCACTTCAAGAAATCTCATTGAATAAAGAGATTTCTACTCCGAATTAATCTTATTTACCTCCCTTGATCAAACCAGTCAAACCTCATACGGCTAAACCCAATTACAATGGCATTGTCCTTGGTGTCAACTTTGCACACTTTGAAAGGCGGATATTAAGTAAAATCAATTAACCATGAATTATATACTAAACTATGCATTATAAATCTACACTATAATTTAAAAAATTAAACATAAAAATGCAGCCACAATAATTCTTGGATTTGGTGTAATGTGCATTCTTCGAGAGCAACACACAACGAAGTTCAGCAGAGTAAGTACTGCTCAAATACAAGGATGAATGTCCTGATGAATTCATGGTCTATTGTGCTTCAGCATTCTCTAATCGCGGCATTTAGAATCGCATAAGAGTTGCCTGCAGTACTTTAGTAAAACGACTTGTGGGATTGATTGTAATAATCTAATAGTATGATAGCATCCTCCATCTAATTAAATTATTTGGTTGGCGTGTTCTTAAAAAACTAAGAGTGATGTGAAATTGAAGTTCATGGAATAATTGATTGACCCTGAAAATGAAATTAGAAGATCCGCAGCCAACGTGAGCCTATTAAACTATCTATTAGACTATTAGTGAAATATGTGCCATAGAATTACCAAGACAAGAATGGCCAGATCTAATTTCTCGGTTGACAACAAACTCAAAGCACACAGACATTTTAATTAAGGTGTCAGCCATCATGACATTAGGTTACATTTGCGAAGCATTAGTATGAATCCGAATATCAATTAGAAAACTCATCAATCTTCAGGAATCTCTGAGAATGACTCTAAAGTCATACTAATGGGAATTTGCGTAGGAATGGATTTGAATGAGTAGACTTTAGAAATTAGATTGACTGCAATCAAAGCCTTACAGGATTCATTATATTTTATGAACAACTTGTTTAAATAATAAGTATTTGCACTCACATTTAATTTAGGAAATCTTTACTTACGTGAAAAATTTGATATTGCAAAATGCTATATGCAACATTCAGGAAGTCAAACACAAAGCATTACAATGTTTGATTGATTTTGTTAAACAACTCTTTACATTTTTACCTGTGTTCATAACTGAACTCTATTAGACGACTTAGGTTTCATTTGAAAATCAAGGAGAAATATCAATAGCAGCAATTGAAATATGGAACACTATTTGTGCAGAAATGAAGGAAGAAATAATGTAGAATGGCAATCAATAGACACCTGAAAGTAATGCAGTAGACTGTTGTGTGTAATTTTTTAAGAAGAATTACGAAGGATTCTTATTGCCATTCATGAGAAATCTCTTATTGGATAGTGGAGATGTGGATGATGAATATCAAGGTTTGTCAGTCCCTGATTCATCTTGCAAAGGATTAGCATTTATAATTGAGTTTGCTGGAGTCAACACTTATGAATTAGTCAAAAATTTCATTTAGAATACTATCACGCATTAATAATGGGAATACAGAAAGGCTAGTGTCATGGCATTTGGTGCCTTGGCTGAAGTCCAAACCAAAGAAATTGAAATGCTCATCAAATCTGCCCTGAGTAGTCTTTTCACTTGTTTGGTTGATCAACATTATAAAGTCAAAAAGGCTACAGCTCAAACATTGAGTCGAGTTGCTGAGAATTACCCACAATGTTTTCATGGGCATGATTAAGCTAATCAAATGCTGGCAACCTTATTGGATTAACTGAATAACAAAATATCAATAGTTCAACACTTGATTTGGGTATTCGTCTATCTCACAGAATAATTGCAACAATTTAACATGAGCATATTCTGTAGAGAGAAATTTACAATATTGTAACATTTGGCAAGCACCTCAGTAAGACCAGATATCAAGAATTCAGAAATAGCATTGATTGATACAGCCTTCATGGCTATTCTTAATATTATTTATAGTGTTACTGATACAAAATAATGTAATGACTATTTGATCTAATTCTTTTAACACATCTAACTATTAGAGAGTGGTACATAAGTACCTGCTGAAATTAAATTTCATTTAGAGATGGGATTGATGAGTGCTATGCATGGTTGTGTTGTTCGATTGGATGACTCAACAACTCCTGAATCTGTCTTTGAATCAATCATGAAAACTCTGTCGAATGTAGACTCAAGAGTGAAGAATGATTATTTTTATGTGCTCTCAGGAATAGCATATGCTTTTAAAAAGAAATTATCCAAATATTCATCTTAGTTAATAGCAGAATTGAATAAACCACTTTCTGAACCAGATGATATGGATAGCTTTAAGACAGCGTTATTTTGTTTAGCTGATATTGCAAGGGCTATGGAGGAAGAGTTTGTGCCATATATGAACATTTTAATTTATTTCTTTGGTTTGATTAAGGTATTAAAAGCATATTAACATTTAGAATCCAAATTTCAATAGAGAATTAAAGTTACAAGTTTATAATGCTATTGCAGATATTATATTGGGATTGAAGGAGAAATCTTTCCAATTTCTGGGTGATCTGAAAGAAATTCTCAAATTAGGTTTTGCTGCTAGTATGGATTTGACCAAGAGTCAATAGAATGTTGATTAAGATTATGCAGAAAGATTAAAAGAAACAATGACTTCATTTTACACTTGTATTTTACATGCTTATTGTGAACCTAATGTGCCTAACTTTGATTTGAGAGATACAGTAGATTGGTTCATAATATTTTGTACTGAGATGTGCAATCTAAAATTAAAACCTACAATTGTATAGACATATAAATTAAATGATAGGAATATGTTAGATTGACTTTGTGTTGTATATTTGATTGTTCACATTTCTTTTAGACAGTACCAGAGACTAAAATAAAGTTGAAAGACTTCATTACAAGTGATTTTGTGATCGAATTGATTAGGAAGATGAGTTAATACAATGAGAAAGATTATCAAGAATGTGTGTCATTTGCCAAATAGTTACTAAATGACGTTTATGGATTTTAATTGAAATTGTATTGAATTTAAATTATTTTTAATATATTAAATGGGTAATGTATGTGAACCAAGAGAAGAACTTGAGTGGAATGATAGAACTATTTAACTTCAAAGACGTCTTGAACCAAGAATGTCAATATCGAGTCCTTATTATGCAAAACTGAAACAAATAGAATCTACATAACATTGTTTGTCTCAATCAGCTCAAGAAAAACAAATTCTCAATCTAGTAGATATTCGTTAATAAATTGTGTAAGAAATGCTGAATCATGTGGTTACATGTGGTCATTAAGAATTAGTCTCAGCATAAATAATGACTGAAACTCACAACTTTTCATCCTTTAATTGGATAAATGATTCAAATAGTCATTATGAAAGTTGGAATCCCCAAGATTGTCACACACTCTAGGAAACTACTTGTGAAAGAGGAATCCATTTGAATGAGTGCATGCGTTTATGTTGTCTAAATTTGGAAGCATTTAAATATACAGAATAAGGTAGTGATTATATTTATGTTGCTTTTATTATGAAATATTGATTAAACAATCATCATTGTTTCTTTGAATTTGGAAAATACCATTCCTTGCCAGGGGTGTATCCCAAAGTAGAATACAACTCTTTACGTGTTTACATACTATAATTTATTATATTTACTATATTTACTTTTAAACTGAATTCACCTAAGACTCATCCTTCTTCAATTACTTCAAAAATTCATCAATAGCCTTACTAGCAATTCTTAATGTGGAAACAGGATAGATAACACAATTATATCCCATCTATTCAAATTCCTTTAATGAGATGTATGGAGTCTTTCCAAACTCTGTCATGTTAGCCAATAAATAAATATTTGGGTTCTTAGCCTTCAATTCTTTAGCTACAATAGCCATTTCTTCCTTTGTATGTAATCCTTCAGGGAATATCATGTCAGCTCCTGCCTCCATATAAGCCTTGCTTCTTTTGATACATTCATCTAATCCATGTGTTCCTCTAGCATCAGTACGTGCTATAATGGGGTTACAAGATATAATTTACCACAAATAACAAACTCTCCTCCACTACATTAGATACTTGCATTTTTAGCTATTTATATCTTCTTCTCCATAACATCGGATGGAACCAATTCCTTTCCATCCAAATGTCCACAACGTTTTGGGAACACCTAATCCTCAATATGAAGTCCTGAGGCTCCATGTATGAAATATTCCCATACTGTTTTAGAACACATTTCTCCTTCTCCGAATCCTGTGTCCGCATCAGCCAGAATTGGTAATCCTGAAGCTAGAGCCACATCCTTGATTGTCTTACAGAATCCATCCAAAGTTACCATGCTTAAAGACATATCTCTAAAATATACCCAATATCTGGGACTCCACTGGATGCAGTCACAGCAGCACCTGAAATGTACAGGGCTTCAAAACCATTATCTGCGCATTGTCTACCAACCATACCATTGTATGCTCCTGGCATCATTAGACATTTCTAAGATAAAAGCTTTCTAAACAATGAGCAATTTTATTTAAATAACATAATAATTTATTATTACAAAAGCATTACCACTTATAAATTCTAAAATATAACAAATTATCTTAAATTCTCTTATCAAAATTCTTCTAAATGAGCTCTTTTATTGATATAAATGAAATCTAATTCAATAAAAACATTCTATTTCCATAAAGTTCATCCATTCTTTTCATACTAAACTATATCTTAATGAATAAAAAATATTCAAATTCTGCATTGTGATGATAAGCAAGATTGAGTCTATAGCTCTATATTTTTTATAGAAAGTAGCCTACTATTTACCTTGAAATGATTAGACTCCTATTTCCTTATTTGTGAGTCGATATATGAATTATTTCAATGGTGCATCATCAGAATGACTTCAATAATTAATTTATTATTATGGGATGTTCAGAATCTACGCATTATAAGTCTTCTCTATAAATGAGCCGAGACTCTACTCTAGACACGTGCAGAACATCTCCAAATAAAACTAAACCAAAGGAAGATTTCCTAGATTCATACAACTTTGAGGATTTTGATACATCTGAATTAAACATAGATCAATCATGTTTTCATTTCTATGATATTATTCTCTAAAGAGTTGTTACAGTCCCAAAATTGAAGCCAATAACTATGTCAACCATTATTTAAAGAAGAAGAGATTAAATTTGATATTCTTTCTCATTTTTGTACTAACAAATTTTACACTTATAACATAATCCATATTAAGCAATCTCTTAAATATCGTTAAAATTCACTTAATATTAATCGCCAATACATAACCAGAAGAAAAACAATCAATTAAAAAACGATTTAATGCTCAATTACAAATATTATTCGATATCTTGATACCAGTTTTTAAAATTAATTTAACAAATTTGATCTCATTTAACACTTGTCGTTTAAATCAATGCTTATAATCTAAAATCTATTTTCTCTTTTATCTTAATCTTTTCGAATATATCAAAGATGTATTCATTGGTCCATTAATAATGATTACGTTTTCAAATATTTTCTTAAAAAAATATATCATGTCAATTAATAATTTTTAATTCTCCATTAAAAAAACAAAATGGATAACATAGAATGTCGATTGTCAATAGAATAATTTAAATTATATTTTCCTGAATGAATCACATTAAGAAATTAAAAAACAAAAGATTGAAAGCTTATCAATAAATTTTTAAAGTTGGATGAATCTAATCTATTTAGAATAAATGAAATAAATAATATTTTAATGATTTCATTATTTACCCTGAGACTATAATTCTACATAGATTGAATAATTTAGAAATTAACTCTTTTTAGTAAGATGAAAATTAACAAGATTTCCCTTCATAATAAAGTGTGTGTTAAAAGGGAGCAAAAACCAATTGATTAAAATATGTTAAAAATGATGCATATTTAATCTTTGTTAATTCTTCAAAGGATATTATGGTTATGACTTATTTTATGATTAACTTTTATTAAATTTTGTTTCCCCATTAATTCTAAATTATAAGAATTAGTTATCATTTGAATAATAAATATAAATAACAGACCTTAAAAAGTAAATAAGTATATCATATAATTTAGAATTCATTATTTTTTTAAGTTATAATATGTTGGATTTACCCATTTCAAGTTAGGACTGGATGAAATGAGCTTCTTTGTCTATTTGGATATGGTGAGGGCTGGTTCATTATTACTAAATTTGCATAGGACTATATCCATATTGAATCTGACTTTTTTCTTAGGGTTTATATTATTTGTGGAATTATGATGATTGATTTTAGCTGTTGTTTATTCATCTTTTGGTAATGATTTCGATGAGTAATCATCTAAATATTCCAGATCCTCGTTAGAATGCTTCTTATATTCTGAAATTGGGATTTCAAAAACATTTTTGGGACCAATCATTTGAATATGATTTATTATTTTATATTTCCAAAATTTTTCTTAGCCATATATTTGATAATACTGAATCTCTATAAACTATTTAAATTTCTTAAAAACCACAAATTTAATAATAAATAAAAAAAAAGAGAGGAATCTAATAAGTTCATCAATAATATTAATTACACTTTTTGAAACCTTAATATTATAGTTAATATAAAATATTAAAAACAAATAATTCTTATTAGAATAAACTACATCTTTACTGAGTTGCCGACTTAAAACAAATAATTTTAATGATGAAATTGGATGAGACACAATTAAAGAAAAAAATAGAGGTTTATTAATATTGGATCAGAGCAAAATAATTTTGTAGGCCCGAATTAATGGCTAAAGAGATTTTTAATTATCAATCAATAGCCAAAATTTTAGTAAGGTTGTGAATAGAAAATTCAATTTCTTTCTTATATCCTTATAGTAGAATCATACTTAGAAATTATCAGAATATAGATCTAAATGCATTTCTAAATATAAAAATTTTAATGCACTTATGAATATATTTTAAGCTTAAGAATAATAACTACAAGTTTGGATACTAAAAAAGAAGATCCAATATATTACAGTAATATGTTTGATAATTATATTATGAGGGAAGTGTGGAAATAATAATTCTTTGCATATAAAATGAAATTGGAAAACAAATTAATTCAACTTCATGAAATAAATCAAATTCTTAAAAAACGAAGTGATTTCGAATACAATCATATAAAAAATGGAAATTCTGCCTGATAGATGAATTGATTATATGTAATTTTATCTATTAACATGAGTTCATTAATAATTGAAGACTTATAATATTCATTATGAATGATAGTGTAAGTGTTATCGTTAATTATTCTCTATAGATTGGGAAGGTCTAGGGAATCCTTCTTCTTAAAGTATATTGTTAATCGGCTGTTTTCGTACACTTTCAATTCTTTTTATGATTGTTTCTCCATATGCTTCCAATTATGTTTCTGCTTGTTTTTCACTATTTGTAATATCCTTGAATGGAGATCTCTCTTTATGTTGAATTAACACTTTGTTCATTTCACTTTCTAAGTTGTTAAATTCTTGTTCATCTATTTTCACTTCATATTATATAAATAGATTTTTTAAGTGTAGTATTAAATTGTCCATTTTAAATTAATTATTGAATTATTAGTTTGGAATTAAAATATTAAAATAATTATAAACACATACTCTTTATGAGTTTCAAAACAGGTGATGAAAGGCATGACTTCTAAGTTAAATGTCCTTATAATCCATCACATCAGATGCCCAACTCTAAACTATTCTATCATATCTCTTAAGGATGTTAGGATAAAGCAAGATTAGAACATCTATATGAGCATTGCCCATATAATTTTATGCATGTCATTCTCAAAGCAAACATGGATGCTCATCTTAGGCAATGTTCAAATTTGAATAAGAATACGGAAGAAGGCAATTTAATGGAAGAAATGCATAAAGTAATAAAGGAATAGCAAAAAGAATAAAGAAAAGCATAATAATAATAAAAATAGCAATAATAACAAAATGCTGAAATACCAGGAGTCCTTGTACCTGAATAACCTAAGAAGAAAAAACGAGTTAGAAATAAAAAAAAGAAAGAAGAGCCTAAAACTTAAAATAAAGATGGGATGCCAATATGGGGAGAGAGTTCAGATGAAGAAAAAAATGAAGTTCAAGATGTAATTGAATAATTTGTTCAACAATAAATCATTGAATAAAAGCAGCAAGACTCTGATGATGAATGGGATTAGGTTCCAATTAAATAAAAAGGAAGGAATGGAAGAACAAGAGAGAAAGAGTGATTTTATAATTAGTAACATTTTACATTTATTTAAAATATTCCATATCATAAATTAGTGAATCTATCAATACTCTGAAAGGAGCATCTCTACGTATTAATCAAATGTCTTGTGAATGCCTTTTTCATTGACATAGTTGATCAAATCTTCTTTCTTTTTTTAAGGGAATAAATCTTAAAGCTACTTTACAATTTAATCAATATCAGATGCTTGCACTCTTATTTCAATTGGATCTGATAATTTCTGCATTTAATACTTTTTGTTTTCACAAATTACCTAAAAACATTGATATGGTTATTACATCAAATTTATAGACTCTTTCCTTTTAATTTTCGAAATGTTCAGGTATATAAGGTATATCTATAGTGACAGTTATACATTCACCACATGAAACATTATTAATTTAGTAATGAATGCCTAATTCTGCATTTTTCAAAGCTGCGTTCACCCATGAATTTTTTCCACTATTCTATATTGTAATTTATGCAGTCATCTTTTTTCCATTAACACCTATTAATAGGGGAATCTTGTATGTCAAAGTGAACCTATATTCTTGATCCTTATTTATCAATCCCAAATCTCTGATTCTTTTATCCACTATATTGGCAATAAATTGTTTGAGTTATTCATTTTATCTAAAATCAATCTAGTTAGTGTTTTGTGCATTGTCCTATTGGTTTACTTGGACTTAAGTACTAACAATTTTTTTTAAATAAATACCCCTAATGTCCAGCTGATGGAGCAATTTATTATGATTAATCTATTTGAATTGGTTGATGCAATGTACAAGCATCACGACTTTGTTTCTCTACTATTACCATACTTTAATTCAAAAGTCCCCAAGAATCTTTTAAAATTGATTTATAATCCTATGTTTCTGTTACTAGCAATTTGATAGATGGCCATTAATTCTTTTTATAGAGTGTTTGTAATTAAGAGAATTCTGTTTCAGTCCTTATCTCTGCCACACTCTCAGTCTCATCTAATGCTATTCATTTAAATTATTACCTGGATTTATAATGGCATACAAATATACTGTATTAAGTTAGTTATAAATTGACTTTATTGTCTCTATAACGCTTTGCAGATTAGTGGCATTTTTTTGAGGAATTTTGTGTACTTTTTTTGAGTAAATAAACTTGATATTAGACATTTTTTTTATAATTTAATATTATTCTTAAATTTCCATATGTGCTACTTTATATATCGAATATTTTTATATGGATTATATGTATATAATTAAAAGTATTTTAATATTTGATAATCAGAATTTGAAAGGAATAAGAGTAATGTATAAAAACCATACCTATGAGTATTATTAATGTTTCGTTCATTTATGTTTTAAAAATCAATTCATTCTTGAATTCTTTTTGAAAATAATAATAAAAATTGATAGAATAATTCATTAAATTGCATTATTCTTGATGTATCCAAAATTTAATTGAGGCATGATTACATTTGTGAATGGTGAGAGGATTTCATCATTTAACTAAAGATCAATACCTAAAGATATAAATAAGATTTAATACAAAATTATTCTGCATTGATTTCCTTGCAAATGAGAAGCAAATAATACTTTATTTTGAATGTATAATAATTTAATTTACGAATATTGAATTTTCCCTACATTTTAATTCTTTTCAAATTATTGTCCAAAATCTCGCCTTTAATAATGACCAATTCACTAGTTTAGCAATCAACAATGAAAGCTAGTAATAAATATAATATTTTCGGAATAGTATTTATGATATAATTTGGACTGACCAATTAAATTTTAGTGTTTGGATTACAAAATTTTTGTATTTTAGTTAAGGATTTCTTTAAACTTATAGTTTTACAATGTAATTCTGAACTCCATATTTTTATCATCAAATCTTGAAATTAAATTTTATTAGACAACCCATGGAATTATATTTTATCAAATGCAATATTCTCTTTTATTATCCTAATAAAAACAATTAACAATTTTAGATATTATTAACAAACTTTCTAAATTTCTTAATTTTAGGAATGGAATTTTGACGACCTTGTCTAAATTAGAATCGTAGGTTAATTTCCAAAAAAGATAGAAAAATCAACTTACATTAATTATTTATTAAATTTAACATTTACTGAATGATTTAAAATTTCCTAATAATTTGAAGAGTAATCTTATATCTTATGAAATAAGTATTGTTCAAAGGAACCATTTTCTATTTTGGCTTCTCTTAAAAAGTTAAGAACTTCTTCTTTTGATTGGATTGCTTGTGAAAATGTTGATGTGACACTCTAGTATTACAATTTTTCGATTTAAAAATTAATCAATATAAATTTTGAATTATTTAGAATTTACTTTAATATATTTTCCCATCTCTAGTCAACCTGAGTTAAGAGGAATTGTGATCTTATTGCTGTATGATATAAATAGACAATTAGGAGCAATGACAAATTAGATCCGATGGCCAATATGATGGATGTGATTTCAATACTTCCACTATTTTAGATTAAGTGTAGCAATCTCAATGAGTACAAAACAGTAAGGGACAAAGTTGAATCTATAAACTCAGATCCTATGATATTTATAACATTTATAATCATTTAATGAGCTCCTCTGAAATACATAGTTGGAGCATCCGAATGGGGATCGAAAAAGAGCACGTAAATTGTAAAACAAATGTTGATATACATGATTAACGCTCGCTAATGATTTTCTTTATTAATATTAAAGAGTTTTGTAAGGGCAGTGCATCCCATCATTCCTAAAATAGGATAAGCTACTGAATAATTTTAAATAATTAAGACTATAGCAAGCTTAATAATCTAAAGAACAATGAAAAACGACATAAATATTTTTATATGAGTTCTTCTTTTAGGAATTTGATGTTCTTATTAATATTTTCGTTCAATTGACTAATCTAAAAATTTCAATGTTATTGTATGCATTCAATTAATATATATATTTAAAAAAATATTAGATCGATTAGATAATTATTAAATAATCAATATAAAGAAAATTAAATTTAATTATAATTAATTTAATATCATAGAAATATGTTTCATAAGGAAATTTTCTATTTTGTTAATTTTTCTAAATTTGTTTTTAAACACTGTTGATTAACTTCTTCCAATTTAATAATCTATTTTATTCTCTTAGCAAATCCCCCATCGATTGACTCTCCTAGTTTTTTATGCAATTAATGTGACTAATTATATAACATATCCAGATTGACTTCATAAATTGATTACAATGATTAATCATCTGAATATTAAGATACATCATTTTAGCACTGCTCAGGTGCTGAATCTCTTTTCATTTTATTTAACTAGTACTTCCTTTATTCAATTTAAATTTCCAGTTGAGCATTAATTTCTTATTCTTTTTTACTTTCAATCATTGTGTGAAACTTATCTGAAATCTGTTTGAGTTAAGGGTTTGATGTATATATCTTTTTGTTATGAATGTAATCATATAGTTTGAGATCAAACATAGTAATAAGTCCATGGGCATTTCTAGGGTTTTTATCCTGTTTGGCTCTTTTGGTAAATAGGAAGAAAGGTTTCTTAGCAATTACATAATCTTTGAGATTTTTGTAGTCAATTCCAGTTTATGATACATTAATTTTTTCACTTGGGTTCCTTTTTGGAGATGCAATAGTTACATCAATTTACCAGTCAAGAGGTTATGATTTATTATTGTTATTTCTATTGCTGCTAAATCGAATGTTTTGTGATTCTAACAATTTTCTAACTTACTTCAGAGCATCTTCAAATCTTTTCTATTTCTATTGTTCAACTTCCTGCAGATACTCTTTGCTTTGTTAATTCATGGTGTCTTTTAAAATAGCAATTGATGGATAACTATATTTGTCGAAGTGTTTGCCTTAGTGTTTTACATACGGTTGAACATTGTCATAATTGACATAGATCTATTTAAGTTTTTTGGATCCGGGCACACTCTTCTTAAAGTAATGAGAATCCTCTTCTAATTATTCTTATTATTATTAATGTTTGAGACGATATTCATTGGAAATATCATAAAAGGTTTTAATAAAATGAATATTCTTAATTTCTTCCAATCTTTACTGTTGATTTGCCTTTTTTCTTAATTCAATCTAAAAATAGAAATATTTATTATTTTTACTCTTTCTTAGATGAAATCTCTTAAAACTTGAATTTTTCTTTAGGTCTATTCATGTAATTGTTATTAAATTTACTGGGCTTCTGTGAATTTCCCCTCATTCATTAGATGCTGCTATTTCATTTGCATAGTATGTATAGAATTATCATAGATAGGAACACTATGGTGATTTCGAAAGTTTCGCAACTTCTGGACATGATGCTTGATATTTGTTTAGTCTGGGCTTATTTCTTACTCTTGTCCAAGTATATAATTACTTTCAATCCAGGGAAATTGATAGAATTCATCATTTCTTACACACTTTATTCACCTTCGAGATACTTAAATAATTCCAACTTAAATCTTTGAGTTGTACAAGGTATGAGAAGAGGATTCTCTTGAACCAAGGGATCTTGAAGATGCTAACATAATTATCTTCATTCTTTTACATTCATAGTCTTCTCTCTCTGATGCTTCTTTTTTAACGAGATATCATGTAAAAAAGTACCAAACATTTCCTTCCAATTATCAGGCGAATGTTCTAATTAAGGCTTCCGAATTGTCATTCTTTTCGTATTACTACGATTGACTAGATACTTATTCTTGAAACGAGTAACTTGATCTTCCATCAAATTATTATATATTTATATAAGTATAAATCAAGTCATATTCAATTTTGGAGAGAAATCATTCTCATTAAAGATTCTATTTTGATATTTTTCAGTCGTCTTCAACCGAGGTCTACTCGATTTTAAATTTATCACTTCTCCTTTTTTATTCACTTGAATCTACATTACACGTTGTAATGCATTGGTTTATGGAATTTGATTTATTATTTATTTTACAGAAACCGAAGGCCGAAATGGCAAAGGAAGGATATTATTTAATGATGTCTATTACACATTTAGAGGTACGATGGCCTAATTAAAATAATTGATTCCTCCTTACGATTATGGTAGAAAGCCTTATTAAATTTGGGGAATTGATAATTCAACCTTATTTCTTGGAATTACATATCTTTGTTAGATAGGATTTTCTTTTATCCTTGCATCTATTGGAGAAGTAGAGACAGCATGCTATTAACTGCTTGGTCTATAACTCTTTCTTATTTGTTAAGATAATGGCTAATTTTGTTGTTCGGTCACAAGTTGAATGTACAAATGCAATTAGTCCATGATATTTTATAATGATGTAGGGTTTATTTATATTTGATTCAACTTCGCTTTGATTTAATCCGTAAATTGAAGAGACATCTCATGTTATTGAGAATATATATCTTCAGGTTTACTTTGTTTATAACATTTTATCAGAGTCTTTAAACATTTGTCGGAATCCAATTTCTACAATCTTGTTTACAAGTGGTTCCATCTTTCATAGGATAATCGATGAAATTAGTTGACTTAATTGAGTAAATAATCTATTTGTTTTTGTGATTGAGTATTGAGAGTACTTTCGAGTGTTGATAAATAATTATCAATAGACTAATATAGCTTTTCTTTGGCTTCAAGAAATTTATTTTTCTGAGTTTTATGATGCTCATTGATAATTGTTTTTAGTTCTGTTACATTTTGTATATCATCAGCCAGCAAATTGCATATATCGACAATTTTATTCTATTATTCTGTCAAACAAGTTGAAAGATGATCAAATGTTGGAGCATACTGTTAGTTATTATGATCTTCTTAATGAATATTTACACAAGCAGGACAAAGAGGAAGCAAACAGTCACTTAGAAATGATAAAAATTTTGATACAGATGTTTACAAAAGTTTTGAATAAATTAATCAGGGTGGTAATGACATTAAACAATAGGGGTAGTTAATTGAGTATTGTGTGTTAATTGTCTAATTTTATTATTGGTTGATTATTATTATGATGGAGTAATTGGTCTGTCAGATGGTCTCTATGAATCTTATTCGAATATACGACTACGAGGTTGTCTTTATATTGAACTCATTTAGTTATTAATATTATGTGTCTAACTGAAAACTAAAGATGAAGATCAAATAATTAAATATTAACTACTTAATTAAATGAAGTAATATGAATGGGACTTGAAATGTATATCCACCAGAAGTGCACAGAAGTAAATTAGTGAAAATTGGTTTCGCACTCCCAAAGCTACTCACAGAACTTAAACACTTCAATCAGACAACAAGATTCAAAGTAGAAAAACCCTTGAAACTAAATTAACAACTCAACCATGCACATCCTTCAAAGAAGAATTCTAAAAAATATCATCCAAAATTGGAAGCTTTGTTACTCCCACAAGTGAATTCCAGTCTCCTATGCAATAAATTTACGAACATCAGGTTTAAGAGTTGAAGACTATTGATATGCAGAATGAAAACGTTTCTTTGTAAGTAAGTGTTACTACAATCTCTAGTAAGAAAATTTGACTCTCAAATAACAGGTGCAAATTCAGAAGGACTAAATTAAACATAAGGATATGGTTATTAAGAAATTAAACTTCACCATCCAATAATTAACATCTTACAACCAATAATTGAAATTATCCTTAGGTTCAGATACTGATTTAGCAAAGCAAAAATCACAGATTAAAATGTTAGAGAATGAATTGGCTGATAAAACTAATTAGATTTAATAATTCTCTAAAGTAATTCCATTCTAATTATGTAGATTTAAGATGAAATCAAATCTTTAGAAGATTTTTATGTTAAAATGTTATCCAAAATGAAATCTGATTTACTATTCCAAAATAAGGAGTTGTAAAAATTGCTTAATCATGTTCAATGCATGAGTCAAATTGCTGTTCTCAGTTTGCAACATGAAGAACTTCCAATTGATCTCCTATTCAAATATAAATAGTATGGATTGTTTGAAGAAGAGCAATAAATTAATTAGAAAGTAGAAGTCTTTGAATTGACCAAAGAAAATGGAAACTTATTATAGAAAATATTGGATGACATCAAGAAAACCTTTGAAAAGATATCTTATCATCTTGTTGAAGGATTTTCATTATTGACCAAACATTGAATAAGTTTATATTAATTTATTATTATAAAATATACATATTCTTCTTCATTTTGAAATTATTCTTAAAATTTTCTTCTTAATAGAGAAAATAAAAAATCATAAGTTCTTTTATTCTTACTCAATAGTGCTCTAATCATAAAGAGATTGTAGTAACTATAGATTGATTTCTATAGAATTTTAACAATTTCATTTTCGTCATGAATAGTTATTTGTAGAATAATTACTTTTTATTAGAACTATGTTAATATGATGTTGTGTAGTCCTTATCTATAAAATGTAAGATTACATCTATAGCAGTAGTTGGGTTTTAATAATATTACATTAATTTTATTATATGTAAGTATATGAATTTTCTAAAATCACTTCGAATTCAATTGGAATGAACATCACTCTAGGAGATTTATTGGATTAGCCAATCCAAACCAAAACAGCCAAAGTAATGGAAGTGTTCATTAGTAATACTTGTGCACATCATTATAAGATGAAGGTGATTACGTGTATAATTGTTATATTGCTCTCAAAATTTCAAATCAGGGAGAATTGATGGAACTTTATAATAGATGGCCTGGACAAATAGATGAAGTTTTCATAAAGGAAAACGACTTGATTGGGCTTGATAGTATACTCTATAATATAAAGAGTGAATTTAGGTAGGATCAATAAGTCGAGTTCATTTAGTATGGTTTTACTCACAAACGCAATTAGAATATTAGGATAAACATTATTAAAAGTAAAGAAGATTTTGTGTCTAAACAAGGTGACACAATCCCTTTGGATCCAAAAATTATACTTGGACACAAAGAAAATGTTTTTATAGTTGAGATGAATGATGGAAAAACAGATGATATAAATATTTTGGTTATGAAAACGAAATATCCTCAACTAGTAGTCTAATATTTAGAAAAATTGTGAATCACTATATATATACATAATATAAAGATCTTAAATTTAATTTTAGATGAACTAATCAATAATATTTCATCAAAGTTTGAATTTCTATTAGATGTAGTAAGAGAAATATTGTGTTTATGTGATTTCTTTTAAAATTTGATCCTAAGTAGAGCTAAGTATTTTATCTAAAATTTCATTAAGATTAGTTTCACCATCAACTTCTGGAATCAGAGGAAATAAGTTTTCTTCTATATAAGTTTTAGTGTCATCTAATATTTTAAAACTCAAATTAATTGTTGTATCATTATTATCTGCTAAATAGTGTCCAGGAACACTTAATTGGCCTATTTATTAGTAGGTTTTGAATAATTTATCAAATAAAGTGGTGTATACTTTACATTCTGTAAGATTTGAAGCCAAATTATAAAACTTGAGTTTGTTAGCGTCAAAGAATAGAATTTGAGATTATTCATCACAAAAGGAATCAATGTCTTCAATACCCAAATTTTGTAATCCCTTTTCATTGTCTTTGACCATTCCACAAATTATTGGAACAGGAGAATCAAGAATTGGCATCAATTAGGCAGTTAAAACATGAATGGTAGGTTGTATGTGTTGAAAAGGTTTAATCATATGCGGCAATATCATCCTATAATATATACACATAAATTACAATAAAGAGCTCAATAATGTACGATTACTACTTATAATACAGATGTGCTATTCCAACATCATATTGATTAATAGAATTAAATAATGGGGCAATTCCATGTTTGAAAATGCATAAGTAATGGCCCATTCTATTTCATAGTTTTCAACATTTGAACTATGAATGTGTTGAAACTCTATAGGAGTTTATAAAAATTAGTATTTGCATTCACTTATCAACTTTGAATATTACAATTCTGTTAAAAAATTATATAGTTCTAGTTTGAATGACTATTAATATAGTAATTCAATATTTACTGTATAGAAATAATTATCAATATCCCCTAGAGTCTCCTCGAATTCTGAAACCATGGAATAGATCTCTGCTTTTTTATATTTTAATGTGCCTATTTAAGAATAATAGATACTTATTATAATCTTGATGGTTTCAATAAAAAAATCAATAATTGGTGCTTTAGTAATGAAGCAATAAGTTTTAGATAATGAATAAAAGTATTTCTTCTATAATTTAGTGGTGTTGTTGCCAACATTATAATCATAGAAATCAGGCACATCAACACAAACACAATATAATTAATGATTGATATTTGCTATTGAGATTAGATCACTTATATTATCTAGATTTATTTAAGTTTTATTAATAAGCACCCCACTTTTATTGAATGTTTATTCTGATTACATAGTAATTACATATGCACCAGCTAATCTATCATAATTTTGACCGCCCATTAGAATTCTAAAATATTAATTATATTGATGTACGAATTCAAATTACTCATTGATTGAGTTTTCTATTCCAATTTCACTTTTAAACCATATGGATGTATCTATTATGGCAATAACAATAATTATTCCTTATAACAGGACTCAGCAGATGAATGTTGAAACAAAATCTCAGGCATTAAATTTACTTCTCTTGCTTCTAAAATATCATTAGTTAATCCATTCAATGTTGATTTTGAAATACTGATAATAAGGAATTCTTCAAATAAAGAATATTTATTCAATTTCAATTATTAGGATTATGATAAATCTTATTTGATTATAATAGATTCTGATAATAATTAATATGGAGTAAAATTAGATTCCTCACCTTTAGCTTATTCTAATCCAAATTTAGAGTAGTTTTGTATAATCTACTTTGATTGAGATAAATTTTCATAATTAAATTCTTTAGCATCCTATCCCAAGACTTAATTTAATCCATTATCAATTTATTTTCCAAATTCCCCTGCTTCAGGGCTGATAAAGTCTTCTTTCTCATTACTGCATTTCTTTGGACTTAAGTAATTCATATGTAATGTTGTCATCTTGGTCTCAAATATACGTTTCCCTATATTGAAATAAATCTGAAGTACTTTAAGGCTAAATTGTTGAAAATGACTTCTTGTATCGATCTAACGTTACTGTACTATATAAGTCTTCTTTTTTCAAAGCTAACTTTGATTTTTAACTTATATACTTTCAATTCAAATTTCAAAGTTCCATTTTCTTTTCTCAAGTAATCAATTTATGAATCCTTCTCCCCTAATTGTATTTGATATTGTGTTATTTCACGTATTAAATCGCAATTCTCCTAAGTCAATTTCTCCTACTTATTAGTTTGTGACTTACATTCATCTCTTCTAATAATTTTATCTATTTCTTGTATTCATCCGAATCTAAATTCAACGAAACATATTGTTTTGATTTCATTATAAATTTATTTATTTATATATTGATAATACAATCCTAATATTATATATTTATAATTTAACAGCTACAATGTTTGGATCTACTCCTAAAATTAAGCAATATTCATCCTTACTCTAAAACTCGGTATAACACAAGCCCATACAGCAACCATTATAGACAGAAATGACTCCCTCTACACCAAAAAAATATAATATTCTGAAGAATGTCAAGAAACTTAATATCTCCTCCCAACCCACTGAAAATAGTTTCAGATCAAATAATGCTAAAAGGTTAATGACATAAGATAGTCCATAAACTAATAAAGAAAATGGCAATTTTAGAATTGAGTAGCCTGCAAGCTTAATAGAAATTTAACTTAAACATTTCATGTAAGAGAATAAAAAATTGTCTGATTTGATTTTAAAATTAACAAAGGAGAAATAAGAATTACTCGATTAAATTACTAATGCCGATTTCAACATTATTAAATAGAGAATAGAGAGGTTAGAATTTGTAATTGATCAACAAGCTCATGAAATTGAAGGTTGGATATAAAAATATAAAGCTGTATGTTAAAATGATCAAAGTGCATCTATTATTGAAACTACAGTATTTCAATTAATCATCATTAGGAAAAATCATATATTAAGGAAAATAAAAGATTAAATTAAGTTAACTTAAACCATGTATCAAAAATACAAAGCCTAGAATAAATAATCAAAGATTTAGATTATAAAGTGACTGATTAGAATAATTAAATTATTGCTTATGAGGAAGAAAGAGTAAACATGTTATAATAAACAAAAAAATAAACTAAGCTTGATAATTGGGAATACATATAAATTTTAGATGAGGTATTTAATACAAATATTCTTAGAATGTTACAGAGCTTTAGAAAACTTAATGTGATAATCAATAATAATATGATAATTTAAAGGTGCAATTTAACTCAATAAATAATAAAATGAGCTAAATGAATTTGAAAACATACTATGCAACACTACTTAAAAATAACTTAGATGAACTGAAAAATAATCTTAAAAATTAGATAATTGAATGATTATTATNCATCTTGGTCTCAAATATACGTTTCCCTATATTGAAATAAATCTGAAGTACTTTAAGGCTAAATTGTTGAAAATGACTTCTTGTATCGATCTAACGTTACTGTACTATATAAGTCTTCTTTTTTCAAAGCTAACTTTGATTTTTAACTTATATACTTTCAATTCAAATTTCAAAGTTCCATTTTCTTTTCTCAAGTAATCAATTTATGAATCCTTCTCCCCTAATTGTATTTGATATTGTGTTATTTCACGTATTAAATCGCAATTCTCCTAAGTCAATTTCTCCTACTTATTAGTTTGTGACTTACATTCATCTCTTCTAATAATTTTATCTATTTCTTGTATTCATCCGAATCTAAATTCAACGAAACATATTGTTTTGATTTCATTATAAATTTATTTATTTATATATTGATAATACAATCCTAATATTATATATTTATAATTTAACAGCTACAATGTTTGGATCTACTCCTAAAATTAAGCAATATTCATCCTTACTCTAAAACTCGGTATAACACAAGCCCATACAGCAACCATTATAGACAGAAATGACTCCCTCTACACCAAAAAAATATAATATTCTGAAGAATGTCAAGAAACTTAATATCTCCTCCCAACCCACTGAAAATAGTTTCAGATCAAATAATGCTAAAAGGTTAATGACATAAGATAGTCCATAAACTAATAAAGAAAATGGCAATTTTAGAATTGAGTAGCCTGCAAGCTTAATAGAAATTTAACTTAAACATTTCATGTAAGAGAATAAAAAATTGTCTGATTTGATTTTAAAATTAACAAAGGAGAAATAAGAATTACTCGATTAAATTACTAATGCCGATTTCAACATTATTAAATAGAGAATAGAGAGGTTAGAATTTGTAATTGATCAACAAGCTCATGAAATTGAAGGTTGGATATAAAAATATAAAGCTGTATGTTAAAATGATCAAAGTGCATCTATTATTGAAACTACAGTATTTCAATTAATCATCATTAGGAAAAATCATATATTAAGGAAAATAAAAGATTAAATTAAGTTAACTTAAACCATGTATCAAAAATACAAAGCCTAGAATAAATAATCAAAGATTTAGATTATAAAGTGACTGATTAGAATAATTAAATTATTGCTTATGAGGAAGAAAGAGTAAACATGTTATAATAAACAAAAAAATAAACTAAGCTTGATAATTGGGAATACATATAAATTTTAGATGAGGTATTTAATACAAATATTCTTAGAATGTTACAGAGCTTTAGAAAACTTAATGTGATAATCAATAATAATATGATAATTTAAAGGTGCAATTTAACTCAATAAATAATAAAATGAGCTAAATGAATTTGAAAACATACTATGCAACACTACTTAAAAATAACTTAGATGAACTGAAAAATAATCTTAAAAATTAGATAATTGAATGATTATTATAGCACTTTCTATTAGAATAAATTTCTTAAATTGAAAAAAATCTTCGTTTTTATAAAAATATCAAATCGCATTTCATTCATTATATCAATTAAATATCAGATTTATTTAGTTTTAAGATGTATTAAATCTAGCTGTATCAATTTCTACTTTATTATATTTTTGTGATTACTACTATAATAATAGTTAATAGCCTGCCCTTCTTTTGGTTTAATTTATTGAATTGTATATATCATCTAGATTATCTTTCTCATAGTATATACATTTCTCTTTTTTCAATTCATCATTCTTTAATACTTATTCAATGTCAATCTAGCTGTATTATGATGAGGCCCATTATTATGAAGCTTTTGGTTGAGTTTATTGCAGTAATCAAAGTGTCGCAAAGATCTAAATATTATTGATTACCAAGTTAAAATTGAAATGGATTAATATTTTTAATTCTTTTACTTTAGCTTCAGCTTCTTCCTTCTCTGCAGCTTCTTATTCTTCTATTGGTGCTCATGCTTCCTCTCTTTTCCTTCTTCTTTTTCTTCGCATCCCCAATTGATTTGTATTTTGAGCCATTTTCTGAATCTCTAAAAATCTTCACACCCCTCATATTTGTCCAAAACCAAATTGTAATCTCTTTTTAATCTTTCTTTCTGTCTTTCAACTCTTAAACTTTTCCCTCAATTCTAACTTTCATTATCAATTAATTGATTTGCTTTATTGACAATTGAATTTAAGCGCTATTCTTTAATTGCTCATAATTTTATTTATAATGATTGATTTCATTATTAAATTCTACTATTATATAATGAATTCATAACTTTTCCAATAGCAGATGATTAAGTTTCTCAATATCTTGATTTCCTTTTCTAGTGGTTCAATATATGGAAGTGATCTCTCTAATGCGCCTACTTGTTGTACTATTCTTTTTTCTTCAATTGCATGTAATTTATTTTGTTTTAGCCATTGATAATCTATAAAATAATTCAGTGAAATTATAGAATAAGTAAGAATCAAATACTTATTTAGTGTATAATGATTCTTTTAATCATGCTAATTATCAATTATTTACATGGATATCTAAAATTCTTTATTTTCCAAAGACACTCTTAGGCTGAGTTGAAAGTCTATATATTTAATCCTTAATCTCATCATTGTCATTCCTCATTTCTTAATTTATTCTTGTTTCTCATGACCATTTAATTTTGTCTCCAATACTGGGTTCATGTATAATTTAATTTATAAAATATAAATATTTTTATCATTTTAATTATATGTAAATTTGACATTGTTATTTTACTATTTATCAAATATTTTAATTTTTTTTTTTTNAATATTCTTAGAATGTTACAGAGCTTTAGAAAACTTAATGTGATAATCAATAATAATATGATAATTTAAAGGTGCAATTTAACTCAATAAATAATAAAATGAGCTAAATGAATTTGAAAACATACTATGCAACACTACTTAAAAATAACTTAGATGAACTGAAAAATAATCTTAAAAATTAGATAATTGAATGATTATTATAGCACTTTCTATTAGAATAAATTTCTTAAATTGAAAAAAATCTTCGTTTTTATAAAAATATCAAATCGCATTTCATTCATTATATCAATTAAATATCAGATTTATTTAGTTTTAAGATGTATTAAATCTAGCTGTATCAATTTCTACTTTATTATATTTTTGTGATTACTACTATAATAATAGTTAATAGCCTGCCCTTCTTTTGGTTTAATTTATTGAATTGTATATATCATCTAGATTATCTTTCTCATAGTATATACATTTCTCTTTTTTCAATTCATCATTCTTTAATACTTATTCAATGTCAATCTAGCTGTATTATGATGAGGCCCATTATTATGAAGCTTTTGGTTGAGTTTATTGCAGTAATCAAAGTGTCGCAAAGATCTAAATATTATTGATTACCAAGTTAAAATTGAAATGGATTAATATTTTTAATTCTTTTACTTTAGCTTCAGCTTCTTCCTTCTCTGCAGCTTCTTATTCTTCTATTGGTGCTCATGCTTCCTCTCTTTTCCTTCTTCTTTTTCTTCGCATCCCCAATTGATTTGTATTTTGAGCCATTTTCTGAATCTCTAAAAATCTTCACACCCCTCATATTTGTCCAAAACCAAATTGTAATCTCTTTTTAATCTTTCTTTCTGTCTTTCAACTCTTAAACTTTTCCCTCAATTCTAACTTTCATTATCAATTAATTGATTTGCTTTATTGACAATTGAATTTAAGCGCTATTCTTTAATTGCTCATAATTTTATTTATAATGATTGATTTCATTATTAAATTCTACTATTATATAATGAATTCATAACTTTTCCAATAGCAGATGATTAAGTTTCTCAATATCTTGATTTCCTTTTCTAGTGGTTCAATATATGGAAGTGATCTCTCTAATGCGCCTACTTGTTGTACTATTCTTTTTTCTTCAATTGCATGTAATTTATTTTGTTTTAGCCATTGATAATCTATAAAATAATTCAGTGAAATTATAGAATAAGTAAGAATCAAATACTTATTTAGTGTATAATGATTCTTTTAATCATGCTAATTATCAATTATTTACATGGATATCTAAAATTCTTTATTTTCCAAAGACACTCTTAGGCTGAGTTGAAAGTCTATATATTTAATCCTTAATCTCATCATTGTCATTCCTCATTTCTTAATTTATTCTTGTTTCTCATGACCATTTAATTTTGTCTCCAATACTGGGTTCATGTATAATTTAATTTATAAAATATAAATATTTTTATCATTTTAATTATATGTAAATTTGACATTGTTATTTTACTATTTATCAAATATTTTAATTTTTTTTTTTTGAATAGTTTTATTAAGTACATATATAATTATCATATAATCAAATAAACAATAGTTCAAGATCTTAAGAGGTTGGTGGCTTTTATAGAATTTTTTCTGCACCAGCACTAAGACATGTTTGTTGAGTCTTCATATCATTGAAAGCAGTCAACATATAGATCTTTACATCTGGATTTATCCGTTTTATTTCTGTAATACATTAGAATCCATTCATGCCAGGCATATTATAATCTAAAAATACGATGTCATAACATTGAGTTCTTATCATATTGATGGCTTCCATCCCTCCAAAAGCAGTATCCACCTTATGGATCCCTATTTTTGATAATTATATTTTTAGTAACATATTATTAAATGACTAATCATCAACAATTAGAACTGATAATTGATCTCTCCTGTTAATCTTTTTATACAAAGGAGTAAGGTGGTTGGTACTAATGATATTTTTGTATGGAGAATGTGCTGAAACATCATAATCAATTGAATCGACACTAAACTAATCTTATTATTAGTGATGCTATTTATCATAATTTTTATAAATGACGAATTAAAATTTTGAACCAACTCCAACTTAGGATTATAGATATATGTACTACAAAGGTCCAATGTACCCGCACAACTACTTACATATTATTAATCCTAAACCCACACCATTTCTAATATGTTATCCTAATACTTTACATGTTTGTATTGCTATCATTGTCATAAGTAGCAAAATTTCTGAAAAGTCTCTTCTAAATTTCTTGGCTCATCCCGCTACCGTTATCAGAAACTGTACATAGAATCAATCTTTACTGGTTTTTCATGAGAGTATTAATATCAACCACTGATTTATTTGTTTAAATCTATTCCTCAACATTTTGAGAAAATCTGCAAATATCTTAAGGATCATCAGAAAATGATATTGATATTTTTCCTTTTGAAGTGAATTTGATTGCATTTGAGAGTAAATTAAAGAGAATTTGCTTAATTCTTAAAGGATCATTATTAAGAGATTAAGCTGACTTTAGATTTGAGACAATATCTAATTGCAAGTTCTTTTTTTGAATTTAGATTTGAAATACATTCTTAACATCCTAAATCAATTATGCAATATCAAACTAACTAATCGATAATTTTAACTTCTATTATTTAATTTAAGCGAAATCCTATAAATCATTAACAAATGATTATAAAATTTGGACATTGGTTTAACACATTTCCAAATAATTGCAACAAGACTGTATCTTCTATAGGTTATCTGGATTAGTACCCATTTCAGACAATTCATATAAGCTATCCTACACTAATGTTATCATGGATTAGATAACACAAATTGGATTCTTTAAATCATGACTGACTGTAGCTAATACATTATCTTTATATTGATCCAACTTCTCCAGTTAAGATATCTTGATCCTATCTGTTATCTCAATTAAGGACACTATGTAGCTTTTTTGATGTTTCCATATGCATGGAGTAACTAATATATCGTATGTTTAATGATGATGATTACTCATCAATCCGGTTAACTTTAAGGGAAAATTTTCTTAGATTTCTTTGTTTTAAGAGTTATTAATATATTGATAAAGGATTTAATTTAATGAGTAAGTTTTTTCAATCATATTAATTTATTCACCTGTGGATGCTTTTAAATTATTCTAAGGCAATTCTTGACTGAAATTGATTTTGTAATTACATTAAGAAAGATTAGACTCATTGCAATTTATTATATGTATTTGAGTTGTTCTTTAATATATATTTTCAATGGTAGCAAATTCCTTCTTACAAGCCTAATTAACAAATAGGACTTCGAATTAATCTTCCATTTTCATATCAGAATTCAACTTAATTACAAATAAATTCTATTGTAGACTGTGATTGAGTACTACCTCTTAATATGAGAGATCATGGCTGAAATTGAATTTCTCAAAGAAATAAACTAGCTTCCTTCGCTCTCTCAAATATATACTGATGGAGATTGCAAAAATGAATATCCATTAAAAAGGTAAAAGAATGCAATCAAAGTCATTATCAAAATACATATAAGTAATTTACATTATTGCAAAGTAACAAATTAAGTATTTCTTATTATTTAAACTTTGAGTAACATAAATATAATATAGTTGCACATATCCATTGATGAGAAACTATTCACTATGAAAACTCAAAAAGATATGAAGTGCTAAAACGTGAATTATTTTCAAATAGTCATTAAATTTTGAGTTCCTTTATATACTCCATATTTGGAACAAACTTGACAATGGAAAAACTATCAGAATCAATGAATATGTTGAATAAATCTCCTAAACTATAAAGGAAATAGTCAATGCTATTTCCAAACACATTTTAAAAGTTTCCATAAACATCATTGTACTTTGATTTAACTTCTTCTAGAAAGTTTTAAAACTTTTCTAAACATTCTAATCTCTGAAATTTAGATTTGGATTCAAAACAACATTCTCAGATTGTAAATTTCTTGATAGTGACAATAGATACTACATCTAGAGTTATTAATTATATTTCTTATTTATATATTATATTTATAAATATTTTATAAAATATGCTGAGTTCTAAGATATATCATACTTAATCATCTAATCGGATTCAACTCATACCATTTAATATCTGCCTTACTCATTTTGGATAGAAACGATTAGTACTTAATTAATAATAGATTTAATTTGGCCTGAAATATTATTTATTTCATATGAAGTATACTTCGGATCAAATTTTGTTCATTAATATAAATGATTGGGAGATTTTTTTCTGATGAGGATAGACCATATGCTTATGAATCTGAGATATAAAGTTAAGGGAAATTAGAATATGTAGTATTTGAAAAATAAAAAGCAATTATATTAGTTGGTAATATCAAAATGAAAGTTGTATGCTTTTTACAGATAAATATTCTGAGAAAAAAAAAAGGTGGTGGGCGGGCAGATTTTGATATTTCATATTTGTGCTTGTGCCCTGGCAAATCATTCTAATAGATTATGAAAGAACAATTAGCAGATGAATAAAAAATACATTATTGTTATAAATTAATAGAATTGGCAATAAATCATAAAAACTAAAACCTTACCCATCTCAGTATTAAACCTTAAAATGTTATATTCAATAAGGATGATTTTTGATAATTAGAAGATAAACCATTCGAATTTATATTTAATTTAAACTACCTCTACAAATACCATAATAACAATAACATAAAAAGAAATTTATTTCCTTATTTAAATGATTAATTTTTGTGTTATATTAAAGAAAATATTGATAGACCAGAGGAAGCAAAGGAAAAATAAAACTAAAATTGTTAAATATCCAAATAAATGATCGATACACATTAGGAGTGATGATGTTAGAATTATTTGTGCCTTTTAGTAAGATGAATTTTGATATAGATACTTGCTTTGCTTTAGCAAAAAATAGGGAATAGGAGTTAGAAAAGATCAATAGTTACTAATAAAATTAAGGCGAAATTTTTTCAAAAGAATTAAATACTTTAAAGAAATAATACCTAATTATGGGGCGAAGTTCCATAAATTGAAGAATTAAAGTAAATTATCAGGAATATCCAAGAAAAAAAGTCAATAACCAGAAATAGCCCTAGAAGATAAAATGGTACCCGATCATAGAGAATATGTCATAAAACCTACAGAGAAAGATATACTTTAATTTGATCTAAATAAGCAGGAATCAAAAAAATAGAACAGTTAGGAAGATAACATTAAAGATTAAATTTAAGAATTAAATTCAAAAGATCCAAAGAAATTTAAGTTTAATTAAATTAATTATGGGTTAAATAAAACAAAGTTCAAACTGCTTTTAAATGATAGTTATAAAACAAATTCCAAATATAATGCGCTTTTTGGATAATAAAAATTTATTAAAGAAAAAACAACATTAAGAATTAAATTTTAATGGTGAAGAAGGGAAAAATGACAATAATATTTTATTTTTCTGCAAAATTGAGAAGAAGGAGAAAATTTGGACTATATTTGTAAAACAGAAAAATAAAACATATATAAAAAATTATTTATTGGAAAAAAACAAAGCTGATTCTAATTTCAAAGGAAGAGTTATTTAAGAAACCCAGTACTAAATCTTAAAGTATAAAAATGTAAAACATAATTTTTAACATGATGAAAATTCTGGTATTTATTTATAATAAATCCTTTTTTCATTTGATTTCAATCTATAAAGGAAATCTAAATGGCAATAAATCTAATGGGTAAGGCGAAATTATAAATTTGAAAGAAAATTATAATTATAACGGATAATGGAAGGAGAGCAAAAGGAATGGAGAAGGAACATACATGATACTCAATATAGATGTCTTGTAGAAAGGTGAATTTTCAGAATTGAAAGTAACCTATTAGGATGATTATTTAAAAAAAGGAGATACTCTTCCAAATAGTCAGATTTAGCAAAAGTCATTTGATATAATTTAGATTATGCTTAAGTAGTATATCAGTAATCTATTAAATCATAATAATAACTGCAGCCAAATTATTTCAAAAAAAAAAGGCAAAAAGAGTCGTTATTTATTAACTTGGGGAATAGTTAGAGACTTTAATATTCATTAATTTTCAAATTTTGAGCATAGTTTTATCAAACTTACTTCATTCTTTTCGAATCATTAGAAATATCTTTCATTAATGGAAATATCTAATATCTGTTTCAAAGGATTTTACAGTTTTGAAGTCTTTTCCAATTTTTGTATATTTTGTATTTAAATATTTTTAAATAAAACTTTGATCCCTAAAAAATCGTTAATTTATTAAATTTATNGAACAGTTAGGAAGATAACATTAAAGATTAAATTTAAGAATTAAATTCAAAAGATCCAAAGAAATTTAAGTTTAATTAAATTAATTATGGGTTAAATAAAACAAAGTTCAAACTGCTTTTAAATGATAGTTATAAAACAAATTCCAAATATAATGCGCTTTTTGGATAATAAAAATTTATTAAAGAAAAAACAACATTAAGAATTAAATTTTAATGGTGAAGAAGGGAAAAATGACAATAATATTTTATTTTTCTGCAAAATTGAGAAGAAGGAGAAAATTTGGACTATATTTGTAAAACAGAAAAATAAAACATATATAAAAAATTATTTATTGGAAAAAAACAAAGCTGATTCTAATTTCAAAGGAAGAGTTATTTAAGAAACCCAGTACTAAATCTTAAAGTATAAAAATGTAAAACATAATTTTTAACATGATGAAAATTCTGGTATTTATTTATAATAAATCCTTTTTTCATTTGATTTCAATCTATAAAGGAAATCTAAATGGCAATAAATCTAATGGGTAAGGCGAAATTATAAATTTGAAAGAAAATTATAATTATAACGGATAATGGAAGGAGAGCAAAAGGAATGGAGAAGGAACATACATGATACTCAATATAGATGTCTTGTAGAAAGGTGAATTTTCAGAATTGAAAGTAACCTATTAGGATGATTATTTAAAAAAAGGAGATACTCTTCCAAATAGTCAGATTTAGCAAAAGTCATTTGATATAATTTAGATTATGCTTAAGTAGTATATCAGTAATCTATTAAATCATAATAATAACTGCAGCCAAATTATTTCAAAAAAAAAAGGCAAAAAGAGTCGTTATTTATTAACTTGGGGAATAGTTAGAGACTTTAATATTCATTAATTTTCAAATTTTGAGCATAGTTTTATCAAACTTACTTCATTCTTTTCGAATCATTAGAAATATCTTTCATTAATGGAAATATCTAATATCTGTTTCAAAGGATTTTACAGTTTTGAAGTCTTTTCCAATTTTTGTATATTTTGTATTTAAATATTTTTAAATAAAACTTTGATCCCTAAAAAATCGTTAATTTATTAAATTTATACAATTTAATATTTAAAAATAATCAATATTACATTCACTAATAATTTTTATATAATATTTTCATAAAACTCCCCCTTAACTTTTATCTCCCATATTAGGAGAGCTAATTAAAATTAGATAATTAGAATATCACTCAAACTAATAATTTTCACCACAAATTAATTAAAATATTTATTTCATTTACAAGAAATGATTCCTTATTTAGAAAATTTGAAAATTTTAGTACTGTTTAGTTTATATAAATATCTTTGTAAAACAACACTTAAAAGTTATCCCAATAAAATGATTAAAAATTTTCAAAAAGAACTACAACTAAAAAGCTCAAATTAGAAAATATACAGATGCATTTTTGAATATTCATTTTAGTTTTTCTAATACTTATTAGAGAACGAACATTCTCATTTTGAATTAACAGCGCGATTGCCAAGATTAAAGATAATTATCCAAAATGGAAAATACACCTACTCTAATCGAAGATCCATCAAATTAACCCAAAGAAAAATGGACTTTACTCTTTAGAATATCTATCCAGACGTTATCAAAAAAGATAAAAAATTGATTTATAGATTACAAACAAACCTACTGTTTTATGAATTTACCATATAATCTTAACAGTTTATTTCTGTTAAACTTAAACAAATGCAAAATTCATATCAATAGGAGATGTTTACTTTTGCATTTATCTAAATATCATGAAATACTCTTCAATGATATATTGGAAAAACAATTCAAAGTAAATCAAGTACAGATCTGAAGAGAATGGAACAGTAAATAATATTAATAATCGAATTTTATCACTTTTTCTATTTTATATATACATGGTTAAAATCTAATCGATGAATAGATGTAACCAATTAAGAAAGAAAGAATAAGTCAGAATCAATGACGAGTTGAAAACAAATATTAAATACGGATGGAAAACAAAGTTTACCAAACAACTAAGACCTGTGGATTTTAGTTGTAGTTGTTTTTTAAATTTAAAATATCTATAAAGCACCTAATAATTACAAATAAACTAATTTTAATTATTCCATAAAAATTTTAATCTATAATTTTTTAATGGAATACTTGAAAAAAACTTCCTTTTCACAAAATGAATTATTCACTTAATGGATTTATATTTATATATATTTTATTATAAAGAAATAATTATCCTAGATTTATATTATTTGATAGTGCTAGGTTTTGCTTATTCTCAATTTCTAAATAATTGAGTTATTAACTATAATGCATTGATAGCAGTTTACAATTAATCCAATATTTGAAATACAAAATCATTTTACTGATACTAATTTCTAAATATTTTGAATAAATAAAATATATAGGTATTTACCATATTATTGAGACTAAATTTGAAGAAATATTTTATAAAAGTTCAAAATTAAAAACTCATTAATACAGATACTCTAATTTAAATGTATGTAAAAATAAAATCTATCCAAAATATGAAGAGAAAACTAATATTGTATTATTAAAAATGTAGTAATCAATTCACACCAACTTTTAAGTATATTTATTGATCCTCAAACTTAAGGATATTTAATCATTCGATATCTTAACATAATGCGCTTTATTAACTATACTTTCTGAGTATAGTTTGATAAATACTCAGAGCCTGAATAGATTGCCTTTTAATTCAAAACTCTCTTCATTGTAGCAATAATAATAAGAATTTAAAAGTAAAGATTATAAATATATTTAAATATTTTGGTGTGAAAATTGATTGATTATGCTTCATAGCAATGACATTTTTCAAAAATTATATTAATAAATAATATTGGCTTCTAAAGTGCTTTCTAGTAGGTTATTTTAAACTCCTTATAGTCATAAGAATTAATATTTTAATATCAATACTATTGATCGGTATACCAACAGTAATATAAATTAAAAAATGAGCGCCATATAACTAATTTAAAAGTATAAAACTATGATTTTAAAATATTATGAATCTTTTTTTTTTTTTAATCAATGTTTTTATGTATTTTTATCTTGCAAATATCTAATATCATAATTATCTTTATTTGATGAGCAATACTTTTAACAATTATTTGTTGGATTAGAATTCTTCATAATAAAATCTCAACCCCTAGTCATTTGAAACTTAGAACGTAATAGCTCTTAATACGATACAAATTGAAAGTTTATATAGTATATTTTCTTTAGATCAAAGTTAATTTTCTGATTCTATAGTAAGAGCTTAATTTTTAAGGAATATGTATAGCTTTTTAACATTAGAATTCCTATTGAATTTAGTAATGATTGCTCTGGCATTTTATACACCAATGGGATTTTGGTTGGTGAGTATAAATAAAGGATGTCGCTATGAATACAATGAATACGAAAACTGTAAACTTATACCATCTTGGTTATTTTATGTTTCCTTATTTACCTCGATAGTTTTGTAATTCACAATATACTTCGGTGGAATCACAACAAGAAATGTAATATTTAATGATCTTATGTTAGGCTCCTATAAATTACTTATTATTAGTTTTATATCTTATATTCTATGGATTTACATTTTCAACAATATGTATTTTTATGCTCATTAGTTTGGGATAAATTGGAGTTTGGGCAACCTGGGGAGTAGAGTTTCTCATCATATTTTTTTAATGATTGCTTATTTAAACAAAAGTGAGATTTCTCTGATAAGTATTTACCATTCCATATAATAGGTAGAGCCATTATTATTTTTGGCACATCGATATTATTGACAATAATTTTATTATTAGCTACGAGAATTTGGTGGGTCTTGTTAACTGCATTTATCAGTATAATTTATGGATTTTACTTAATTTTGGAAGCAAGGCTAATTATTGGTACAGGAGTAAAATTATATAATATTAATTAGAGATTAAATTTATAACCTGACGAATATTTGGTTGGATCTTTATTACTTTATGGACTTATCTTACAACCATTAGTAAGAATATTTGATATTGTTGACAGTAGAAGAAATTGAAAAATTATAATAAACAAGGAACATTATATAAACCGTTTTTATTAATTCTAAGGTTAAATTAAATGAATCTTTCTTTAATAAAAAATTAATAGTTTGAATATCGAAATTAATATTGAGGAGCAATCTATCTCTTAAAATTAATCAAATTACATGAACATTGTTTAAGCCAAAGCTTAGAAATTAACTTTATGGTTGAATTTTTAGATAAACTTGTTCTGTTGATTATTAATATTAATGTAATATTAAATAATTTTTTAAATAAAAGGTAAGCTCTTTACATATCAATCAATAATCAAATTTTTATAGCAAAGAACTGATTAAATTACTATATTTAATATTATAATATCAAATCTATTATAGAAGTAAATTTAAAAATTCAGTTTATTTGATTGTTGTTGAGCGCAGGACTAGGATGTTAGATTTGAGATTAATTTAATATTATTGTTAAACTGATTCTAAAAATAAAATTTTGCTTTGGCTATTAAGTATTATTTTATTTTCTTATTTGGAAAAGAAATAACACTTGTTTAAGTATTTCTATCTAATAGCAACCTTTTGAATATTGAGTATTTTAAATCCAAGGTAATTTAGCAATAATTCATTTTTTAATTGAATCAATAAATTACGCATTTTCAACATAAAACTAAGATAAAATCTCCTTAACAAAATTTTAATAATTTTCTAGCAATAAGCTTCTTAAGCTTTAATTTCGATTTTTGGGTAATATGCTTTTGATAATACTAATTAGTTTATATCAATTAATGGTTCATCTTAAATTTGAATTGAAAGATTTTCATATTGATTTGATCTGGATTTCCAAAACCAATCAATGTATTGATATTTTAACTTAACTTAAACTCAGTTGATTAGCATTTATAACTACTAAAGCAGGAAATACCATAGGCTTTCTGAATAATTAATTGATCAATTTTCAAATCCAATATTTCCAAATAAATTAAGGCTTAATGTAAATTTCAAAGTTGATTAAGCCCTGCATGGAAAGTAACAAAAATCGACATCTATTTAATAATTATTTGTTTATGCTTTGGTTAGTTGGAGTTATTTTAATAAATGCAGAATACTCACTATGTTTGTTTATTGTAATAACTTAATGTATTTTAACAATAATTAGAATGAAATATTCTCCGAATAGATATTTTCAATTTCAAACTTTTATTTATTCATGATTAAAGAATTGTTGTATTTCACAAGAATCAATTTCAATTTACCTCATTTAGAATTTACCATTTGTTGAATTTACATTTGATTAGAAATGGCATTGCTCATTTTAAGAAAGAAAAATATATAGAAGTGATATNATAATTTTATTATTAGCTACGAGAATTTGGTGGGTCTTGTTAACTGCATTTATCAGTATAATTTATGGATTTTACTTAATTTTGGAAGCAAGGCTAATTATTGGTACAGGAGTAAAATTATATAATATTAATTAGAGATTAAATTTATAACCTGACGAATATTTGGTTGGATCTTTATTACTTTATGGACTTATCTTACAACCATTAGTAAGAATATTTGATATTGTTGACAGTAGAAGAAATTGAAAAATTATAATAAACAAGGAACATTATATAAACCGTTTTTATTAATTCTAAGGTTAAATTAAATGAATCTTTCTTTAATAAAAAATTAATAGTTTGAATATCGAAATTAATATTGAGGAGCAATCTATCTCTTAAAATTAATCAAATTACATGAACATTGTTTAAGCCAAAGCTTAGAAATTAACTTTATGGTTGAATTTTTAGATAAACTTGTTCTGTTGATTATTAATATTAATGTAATATTAAATAATTTTTTAAATAAAAGGTAAGCTCTTTACATATCAATCAATAATCAAATTTTTATAGCAAAGAACTGATTAAATTACTATATTTAATATTATAATATCAAATCTATTATAGAAGTAAATTTAAAAATTCAGTTTATTTGATTGTTGTTGAGCGCAGGACTAGGATGTTAGATTTGAGATTAATTTAATATTATTGTTAAACTGATTCTAAAAATAAAATTTTGCTTTGGCTATTAAGTATTATTTTATTTTCTTATTTGGAAAAGAAATAACACTTGTTTAAGTATTTCTATCTAATAGCAACCTTTTGAATATTGAGTATTTTAAATCCAAGGTAATTTAGCAATAATTCATTTTTTAATTGAATCAATAAATTACGCATTTTCAACATAAAACTAAGATAAAATCTCCTTAACAAAATTTTAATAATTTTCTAGCAATAAGCTTCTTAAGCTTTAATTTCGATTTTTGGGTAATATGCTTTTGATAATACTAATTAGTTTATATCAATTAATGGTTCATCTTAAATTTGAATTGAAAGATTTTCATATTGATTTGATCTGGATTTCCAAAACCAATCAATGTATTGATATTTTAACTTAACTTAAACTCAGTTGATTAGCATTTATAACTACTAAAGCAGGAAATACCATAGGCTTTCTGAATAATTAATTGATCAATTTTCAAATCCAATATTTCCAAATAAATTAAGGCTTAATGTAAATTTCAAAGTTGATTAAGCCCTGCATGGAAAGTAACAAAAATCGACATCTATTTAATAATTATTTGTTTATGCTTTGGTTAGTTGGAGTTATTTTAATAAATGCAGAATACTCACTATGTTTGTTTATTGTAATAACTTAATGTATTTTAACAATAATTAGAATGAAATATTCTCCGAATAGATATTTTCAATTTCAAACTTTTATTTATTCATGATTAAAGAATTGTTGTATTTCACAAGAATCAATTTCAATTTACCTCATTTAGAATTTACCATTTGTTGAATTTACATTTGATTAGAAATGGCATTGCTCATTTTAAGAAAGAAAAATATATAGAAGTGATATATTCGAATAATAATTATTTTTTGAGTATATTAAGGCTTATTAAAAATTTTTAATTCAATCTTTAAGTCAATTATTTCTACTTGATCATTTTCTTTTAGATCAAATTCAAATACCTTTAAATCTAAAAACTCACTATTCTTAATGCTAATATTGCTTAATTTAATTGCCTGGGAGTTACATTTATTTAATCTAAATAAAAGCTTAAATGGAAAATTTTCTTCTGAAATCTTTTATCCAAAAATTTTGCATAACAACATTTTTTGCATTTTCCATAATAACATAAAAAGTAGTTAAGTCATAATCTTGTTAATATATCAACCAATTCAACTGTTTATTCAAAAAGACTTAGAAATTTTATTAAACTTGGGCCAAATGAAAAATAGTCCACTTCAATTTATATACCTTCTATGCGAATTCTTTTGAAATTGACAAAAAAATAGTTATTTTTAGACTTGAATGATGTATGATTTTTCTAGAACTGAATTATAATGCCATTACCATAAATTTCAAGTTCTACATCTTTAAATTAAAAAATTATTATGATTACATTGCTGAAAATATATTTGTACTAAAACTCTATGAAATCTGGAATTCATCATTTAAATAGCACCTCTAGTTTTATATACGGAATATCTTTATTAAAACTTGCTTAATTGATTTTTGATAAGCCATTTAATAAAACTCCTATGTTTTCAAACTAAAATTGTTTTAGGAATGATTACTTGTGAACAACTTGTAGTAGAAAATAATTGATAGCTTTTAAATATTTTAAAGGGTAAATCTTCTTTTCTCCTCCTCACTTTATAATTGGTCCAGTTATTGATAATATAAATCTTAACTACAAATTCAATTTAAATTGATTTCAATATATTGTGAGCATGGACCTTCTTCACAATCTAAAAATAAGCCTAATTCCGAATCAAAATCTCCACTAAAGCCGGAAATACAATAATAAGAATAATATTCATATTTGACATTGATAAATAGTGTATTAATCTTATGTACTGAACCCTCATCTCTTTTATTACACAACTAACAATTATTTGGACATTTAACACAATTATTATCTATTAAGCTACTATTTCTTCCTCAAAAACCTTAAGGACATTTAAGGCATACATTTTATAATTCACGACAGTGCATTCTAAACAAGATTCATCTATCTCCATGAAATTCATACCCAATATCACAGAGGGTGCAGAGCATTTCATAGTCAGAATTATCTTAACTAATCCAAATTCAGTANGAATGAAATATTCTCCGAATAGATATTTTCAATTTCAAACTTTTATTTATTCATGATTAAAGAATTGTTGTATTTCACAAGAATCAATTTCAATTTACCTCATTTAGAATTTACCATTTGTTGAATTTACATTTGATTAGAAATGGCATTGCTCATTTTAAGAAAGAAAAATATATAGAAGTGATATATTCGAATAATAATTATTTTTTGAGTATATTAAGGCTTATTAAAAATTTTTAATTCAATCTTTAAGTCAATTATTTCTACTTGATCATTTTCTTTTAGATCAAATTCAAATACCTTTAAATCTAAAAACTCACTATTCTTAATGCTAATATTGCTTAATTTAATTGCCTGGGAGTTACATTTATTTAATCTAAATAAAAGCTTAAATGGAAAATTTTCTTCTGAAATCTTTTATCCAAAAATTTTGCATAACAACATTTTTTGCATTTTCCATAATAACATAAAAAGTAGTTAAGTCATAATCTTGTTAATATATCAACCAATTCAACTGTTTATTCAAAAAGACTTAGAAATTTTATTAAACTTGGGCCAAATGAAAAATAGTCCACTTCAATTTATATACCTTCTATGCGAATTCTTTTGAAATTGACAAAAAAATAGTTATTTTTAGACTTGAATGATGTATGATTTTTCTAGAACTGAATTATAATGCCATTACCATAAATTTCAAGTTCTACATCTTTAAATTAAAAAATTATTATGATTACATTGCTGAAAATATATTTGTACTAAAACTCTATGAAATCTGGAATTCATCATTTAAATAGCACCTCTAGTTTTATATACGGAATATCTTTATTAAAACTTGCTTAATTGATTTTTGATAAGCCATTTAATAAAACTCCTATGTTTTCAAACTAAAATTGTTTTAGGAATGATTACTTGTGAACAACTTGTAGTAGAAAATAATTGATAGCTTTTAAATATTTTAAAGGGTAAATCTTCTTTTCTCCTCCTCACTTTATAATTGGTCCAGTTATTGATAATATAAATCTTAACTACAAATTCAATTTAAATTGATTTCAATATATTGTGAGCATGGACCTTCTTCACAATCTAAAAATAAGCCTAATTCCGAATCAAAATCTCCACTAAAGCCGGAAATACAATAATAAGAATAATATTCATATTTGACATTGATAAATAGTGTATTAATCTTATGTACTGAACCCTCATCTCTTTTATTACACAACTAACAATTATTTGGACATTTAACACAATTATTATCTATTAAGCTACTATTTCTTCCTCAAAAACCTTAAGGACATTTAAGGCATACATTTTATAATTCACGACAGTGCATTCTAAACAAGATTCATCTATCTCCATGAAATTCATACCCAATATCACAGAGGGTGCAGAGCATTTCATAGTCAGAATTATCTTAACTAATCCAAATTCAGTATAGAATAATGGATAAATTTTATTGTAAATTTATGATATATGTCATATCTCTAAAAATAATCTCGATAAAAGGGTTGAATCTCTTTTTCCCAATTATCTTTAGAATATTTATTCTAATGATAGCAGCTCAAGCAATGTAATCTAAAGCGCATAGTTTAAAATAACCAGTTAATTTTTCTGCATAATAGCCATTTTCATAAACAAGGCATGTATAAGAAGAGTTTAAATTTAATTTCCAACAGTATAGAAAATTAATTAGTCTATTAAGCAAAGAATACAATTTAATTTAAGATTCTAGCAATAAGAGAATTTTAATCATATGGACCAAACAAACAAACTTGATCAAAGAAATATGCTCATACTTATTCATACGACTATAGGAATTTCAAATTGACCACAAAAGCAATTTTAATAGTAATTATTAAATAATAACCATCATTGCACTTAGCACATTTAGAAATTGTTTTCACATAAGAAGGAGTAAACTTATAGTCCAAAAAATTAGTAAAGAAATCTTCCTTATCTACTTCAAAGGCAGATAGACAATTTGGTATTTAGTTCTTTTACAATTTTGTCCATCCAAAGATTATTAATATAATTGATTATCAATGCAACTTAGAAACTACATAATGTCGAATTTATATGAATATCTGCATGTCTTGCAAAAGTTACCAAATCTCACACATTACTCATTTTAAAGTAACATTTTACTTTAGAAGAAAATTGAGAGCGTTGTTAGTTGTTTCACTTAATCTAGTATAGTAGGAAATGTATTTTTGGAGAAAAAATGTTTTGCCTTTATGATGAAAAATTATGCAAAAAGCTTAGACATAGTCAAATAATACATTACTCAATTGTTCATCCTGAGATTTCATTTGAAGCAAGAAATATTTTACAATTGCAAAATTTATAGTAAAATGCCAATACCTTTGTCCATTTGTTGATGATGATCTCCAAATAGGATTTTAGATAAAGAATCTAATTGAACAGAAAATATTGTAATACTCCCCATAACATTGGGACTCGTCCAAATGTAATTTTTATCGTTTAGGTCTCTTATTAAATTTATTATTTTAAAGTCACATAAATATGATGAATAAGTTATTGAATGATTCCTTTAGACTATTAATTCGAGAAAATATGTTCAAAAGATATTTAAGCATAAAAATGGGATTCTGATAATGTTAAATTAGTTTAGTTAAAAATTCAAATCGTATTTATTTCAGATAATGATATCAAATATGTGTAAGATGGTGTAGTCTTGAGGATGTAAAAGTTAATTTGTAACTAAATAGCGAAATAAGTTATCGATACATCGATATAGCCAGAAGTATTGACTATATGAAAGTAATTCAAAATGTTGAATGAAAGGCGACAATAAGACGAAAATGAGAAAATGTTTAATGAATTTAGTAAGAATTTTTTGAATTTATTCAAATTTATGATTGTGGAGGAATACTTTATGAATCAAGAAAAAGGAGCATAGAAATATATTTATAGGTATAATATCATCTGAATTCTTAGTTTAATCATAAGTGGTACTGGATTTATAACTCTTAAGGTTCGCAAAATGGAAAGTGGACTGAGTTGAGTAATAGGATCTTCAAATTATTTACAAGTTATTCATTAAGGTAAATATAAGAATGGGAAAAAATAGGAATTTGGGATATTTTTTGGAAAAAGGAATAGCATCCAATGGCTAAAAATAAATTTTGTTGTCGATTAGTTACCCTGATTCATAAGCAACCACATTTTTATTATAACCTCTTTTTAATGCTTTTATTTTCTTCTATCTTTAGCAATATATAAAGTTGCACTAACAATAATTTAAATTAAATGGCAAAACGATTACAAAATTTGATCTCCTATACAATTTTACTTGATTTTCAATTAAAAAATTAAGTCTTGAAATTTATTATGAAATGTTTTTCATAAATTTAGAGAGCTTTTATCATACTTTTCCAATACGAAATTTTATGAAAATTAAAATACTTCTTGTTTACTTAAAACAATAAAATAGAATTTGATTGATTTAGAATTATAATTATAAGAACGATAAAGTAACAACTTTGAATGAAAAATATTTTGATTAACATTTTAAAATAAGATTGAGATAGTTTAAATACAAAATTTTCAATAAAATAATGAATAAATTTTCCAGAACCAATCAAATAAATAAAGGCAGTAAATTAATATATTAGAAGGTAAATTTTATATTTTGTAATTATTTCAAGCTTCATTCGATTAAATAATGTTTCAAAATTACTTTGAAAATATTTGAAAGAAATTTCTTCTAAAATTTTGAAAATTTTCAATTTAAAGCAATAATGTTAATGCTATTTATATTCTTAATATTTATTTAAATGAACTCTCTCGTTAACTACTTTAAATCTATAGATTTTTTTGGTGCCACTTTCAATCAAAATATAGATAAAAAGCAGCAAAGCTTTAAAAGTGTATTTGGAGGAATAATGACATTATTCATTTTTTCAGCAAGCCTAGCTTATGCTGTTTATGTATTTTATAAATGGCAAACAAATTAATACAGCCCTAAGATAACAACTTTTGTTAATACCTCAAGCTTTGAGCTCTTAGATTTGGATTACGATATTATCAAACTTAGTTATTCAGAATATAAAGCAGGGTTAATAGATCCTTTTGAAGAAAAAGTACTAATACCTCTCTTAATTTATACAGAGAATTTTGAATATGGGACTCCTACTGTTTTGACATTGTCAAATTAAACCTCATATTATGGTAATAAATACTTAATACCTAAAATGTAATTGGGATTTTCTTATGTGAATGGTAATTTAATGACTACATCGGAGATGTATGTATAAATTGTTAAATGTACACCAGACTTATTAGAAGAAGGAGAATCATGTGCTTCAGAAGAGACTACAAAGAAATTTTTCAATTAGCCATTAAATTATATTATTTTGCAGGTCAAAGGAAAGCAGCTAAATTCAAAAGATGGCTCAGTTTAAACGAGTATATAGGAATTTTATATTCAAATTGAAGAAACAACTTGCTACACTTTTAACATATTTCTTTAAAGTAATTTTTATGAAGTTAATGATTCACTTTTGTTTGGATAATCTAAGTAGAATGAATTTATAAATGGGGCACTAATCCAATCATAATCAAATTCAGCATAATATTGTTATTAGGCTTATGGTAATATTACTTATGCTTCATTTTATATAGCTATGAAAGGAGATCAAATAAAGACGATATATGAATATCCAAGTGCAGGTGATTTACTTGCTAATATAGGTTCAATAGTTTCTGTATTATTCATGGCTAGATTCATGATATTCTTTTTAAATGATTACTATTTGAATGAAAAAATAATAAATGATTTAATCGCATTTTACTACCCATAATTTCACCAAGTAAGATTTAAAAGAAACTGGAGAAGATAAATAACGCAAGTGAAATTTCGAAATTAGAAGATCGATGTTGATAAATTTAAGAGCTTTTATGAAAAAGTAAAAAGTAAGATGGAGCAAAAACTTACATTCGAAAATCTTATTTATGAGATATCTAGAATTTACATTTTAATAAGAGCAAATATGACAAGGGAAGAAATTAAGAGGTCTCATCTTGTTGGCTTAAGGTTAGATTATCTGAAAGAAATACCAAAAAATCTGACTTCAGAATGCGAAGGGGATATTGCTCAACATGAGAATGATGTGAGACTTTTAAATGATGATGATATTGCACTTTTGAGTTTGTATGAAAATAAAGTTGCCTTAAAAACAATGATTTTTGAAGAGAAGTCATAAAGTACCTTTTTTGATATAAACAGAGTTAAATTGTGATCTTCATAAAATAATTATTATTATTATAAAAATAAAATATTAGTAAAAAAGGAAATTAATATTGATATATATTGTTTCGAATTAATACAACCAAGTTCAGAATTTAAATAGATACTTTCAAGTGTTTGGTCTTATCAGTTTATAAATCTTGGTGATATGGACTCTCTACTTCAATTGTTAATTAACTTTGATTGAGTTCATAAATCTTTTGTTGAACTCCTCCAAAATGAGAATAAACAATACAAGTAGCCTCTGAGACATATTATATAATATGATTTCTATTTTAATAAAAATTCAACATTATTCGAGTATTTTTCAAAATATAATCATAATATTAGAAATAATTTAAATTCAACACCACAATGGATCATTAATGCTCAAAAAATCACAATCTCCCAATCATCCAAATAATTCTTAATCCAAAATTAAAACCTGAAGACAGATATTTATGCTCTTTATGCATAGAAGAATAATAACATTTTGGAAATGTGATTGGATATAAGAAAGCTTTGGAGATGGTGGACTAAAATAAATAGGAGTTGAACACAAAAATATTTGGAATGATTAATGAAGAAATTTTAAAGGTGAATAAATGGAAGAGAGATATTTAAGATTAAAAAAATTACACCATAAGCATTTATGATTCTTTGATAAAAACCATTGATGAATGGGTTATCAGTATTAAAGATTAACAATTTTCATAAGAAAATAAGAAATTTTTAGAGGTATTAGACGATATGAGTGATAATCAGGAAGGTTGGATCAAGTATACCATATACCAAACAGTCTCTTCATTAATATTAATTGATAATATTACACAGAAAAAACTTTAGACCCTATTCGACGAACTGAATGCAATTCTTAATAACCTTGCTATGAACAATTAATTTAATGAGATCTTTTCATAAAACCTTAATATATTTTGGAATTCATACAAAACTGCTGAGCAATTTAGAAAAAACCAATTAAATGTATTTCTTTATAATCAATTAGAATATTGAAAATATTTTCTGTAAATCCCATAATTTACCTATAACCTCTGTTAATATTTAAAAAAATGTTCCTTTGGAATAGAGAGTTAACTGTAAGAAATGTAAGGGAAAAGGAGAATCTATTGAAGAATTGAAGAAAGGTTTAGATTAGTATTTTTTAGATCATAGTAGGTAGTTGTAAAATAATTCTCAGAAATTTAAAAAAGTGATTTAAAAGTATTGGTTAAGTTTAATAAAAGACCTTTAATTTTCCTTTTTTTCACAATTAAATAATTTAACATACTAATTGTTAAATTAAGAGTAAAAATCAATATTAGAATTTATTTGCAAGGTTTAAAGATCTGAAAGCTGCAATCTTAGCAATTGCTAAAATTTATGCTAGATGTTAAGCGAAAAGGATTAATCTATTCCAGAATGCTAAATAGGTGATTAATAACTTAGAATTCTTGTGTTTGTAAAAGATTTGGTAACAAAATTATAAAATTCAATGAAGATAATTTAAGAAAAACATCTCTTTATTTAAAAATCTAAAGATGATTTACCAAAAATCACAGACTTGTAAATACAGAGAGAAATATATTGGAAATAATTGCCTTTAAACACCATTTGGAATGATATTAATGTTAAACCAAATTGCGCGTTAGTTACTGATTTAGATTCTATATTAATAAAAGGAGTAAACAATTGCATAGAAATACATCATTCAATAAATTAGCGTTTAACAAAGAAAATTCTATTTCTTTAACCAAAACAATTTGTAACTTGTTTTGCAGATTGTAAAATTGTTAATTCCTTCTTAGCTGGTTATAATGATGGAAAATTGTAATATTGGAAAATATTAAAGCCCTAAATGAATTTTTATCAAAATATTGATATATAAAATCAAAATGTGTAAAATTTTCACTTTGAAACACCACAATATTAAAATCATACAGATTAAATAAATTTTATATATATGAAAAAATCAAAATAAAATGATTTTATTACAGATGTACTTACAGCAAGTTCAGATGGATTAATAAATATTTGGGAGTTTTAATTAACTAAGAATCGAATAAGCTTCCAATACTCGCTGAAGCGACATGAAAAATCCGTGATGGCTTTAGCTTTAAATGAAAACGAGGATATTTTGGTTTCATGCGGGTAAGATAACAAAATAATAATCTGGGGTAAGAGATAAAATTAGACAACATAATTTTAAACATGGTAGTTTTTATCTATTGTTAAGTAATCTATCTATAGTTTTGTGAAAAAAATACAATTTTTAACCAACAACATTTTCATTACAGTGCACCATGATTAGGAATATGTTCATATATTTTAATAAAAGCAAGATATTTTTGAAGAACAAAAATAGAGAAAGATCAAACTATTTCCTTGCTCAAAAGATAATTTTGAGTTTCAAATGACAAAAATCTAGAATGGTGTGGTATGTTTTGGTCACGGTTAAACTGTGTATATTGTATCTTTAACAAAAAATCAGGAGATAAAGTTATCATCAGATCCAATATGTCAAAATAAATAGAGTAAGTTGGATGGTTATTGCGGTGTCGTTAATAATAAAAATATAATAATTTGGACACCAAATTGTAAAGTATATGAATTGATTGTTTGAGGATTATAATTTGTCATTATGATAATTCATAATCAATATTTATCAAGAATAATTCTGTTTTAAGGCATTGTTTAGATAATAAAAAGAGTATATAAAAATTAAAATTATTAATTAATTTATATTTATAAAGTTCACTATTGTCTTAATAGATATACCCAAAGTTTAGTATTTGCAGAACTAATAAAATTAAAATAATTTTAGCTCTAGGTTAAGAATCAAATAAGATTTATCAAAGGGATTGTGAGAACCTTATTAATTATGTATATTTTATGAATGTGATAATTTAAATTTTTTAATAATTTAGATGTGATGCTTATTTCAATGTACTTATATTTTAAATGATTTATAAATTGGTCTATCAAAGACATTACAATTATACTTAAGACTATACTTAATTAGACCTTTCCTGCCCCAATTTTACCCCCAAGAATTTTATATTTCTATGTAATCTTTGTCTNTTGTTAATTCCTTCTTAGCTGGTTATAATGATGGAAAATTGTAATATTGGAAAATATTAAAGCCCTAAATGAATTTTTATCAAAATATTGATATATAAAATCAAAATGTGTAAAATTTTCACTTTGAAACACCACAATATTAAAATCATACAGATTAAATAAATTTTATATATATGAAAAAATCAAAATAAAATGATTTTATTACAGATGTACTTACAGCAAGTTCAGATGGATTAATAAATATTTGGGAGTTTTAATTAACTAAGAATCGAATAAGCTTCCAATACTCGCTGAAGCGACATGAAAAATCCGTGATGGCTTTAGCTTTAAATGAAAACGAGGATATTTTGGTTTCATGCGGGTAAGATAACAAAATAATAATCTGGGGTAAGAGATAAAATTAGACAACATAATTTTAAACATGGTAGTTTTTATCTATTGTTAAGTAATCTATCTATAGTTTTGTGAAAAAAATACAATTTTTAACCAACAACATTTTCATTACAGTGCACCATGATTAGGAATATGTTCATATATTTTAATAAAAGCAAGATATTTTTGAAGAACAAAAATAGAGAAAGATCAAACTATTTCCTTGCTCAAAAGATAATTTTGAGTTTCAAATGACAAAAATCTAGAATGGTGTGGTATGTTTTGGTCACGGTTAAACTGTGTATATTGTATCTTTAACAAAAAATCAGGAGATAAAGTTATCATCAGATCCAATATGTCAAAATAAATAGAGTAAGTTGGATGGTTATTGCGGTGTCGTTAATAATAAAAATATAATAATTTGGACACCAAATTGTAAAGTATATGAATTGATTGTTTGAGGATTATAATTTGTCATTATGATAATTCATAATCAATATTTATCAAGAATAATTCTGTTTTAAGGCATTGTTTAGATAATAAAAAGAGTATATAAAAATTAAAATTATTAATTAATTTATATTTATAAAGTTCACTATTGTCTTAATAGATATACCCAAAGTTTAGTATTTGCAGAACTAATAAAATTAAAATAATTTTAGCTCTAGGTTAAGAATCAAATAAGATTTATCAAAGGGATTGTGAGAACCTTATTAATTATGTATATTTTATGAATGTGATAATTTAAATTTTTTAATAATTTAGATGTGATGCTTATTTCAATGTACTTATATTTTAAATGATTTATAAATTGGTCTATCAAAGACATTACAATTATACTTAAGACTATACTTAATTAGACCTTTCCTGCCCCAATTTTACCCCCAAGAATTTTATATTTCTATGTAATCTTTGTCTTATTCATCATGAAGAGCTAAAACCTTAATAATTATAGCATGATGATTAGGTTTCTTATCTAAAAAGCAATCATATATTCCATCCTTGTAAAATTGCCATCCACTGATATCAAAACCTGCTACGACTGGTCCATTGCTAAGTGAATCAATCAATGTAAACATATCACGTTAAATAGTTTCAAATTAAGTCAGAGCATAAGTGTGTTATCCTCTTATTCCTTTGCATACATCTTATTTTCCAGTTTAAGGGTAGTAATCTAACTCAGAAATATGAGCTTGATTAGCATACTCAAATGCATTAATAATATCATTCATCGATCTATATTCACAACCATAATTCCCATCCACACAATCTATCAATTATTACTGTGAAAATTTTTTAAAGTATGCTTATGCAGATTCGATAATAAAATAGCATTCCATGATCTCAGCTGTTGCAAAAGCCCATCCTGCTCCACAACTGCCTTAATCTTTTGGTGACATGCAATAATCACTCCAATCATAAAGAACCACTTTTTTACCAGTTCTATTTGTAAGTATTCTATCAGAATTTTTGTTTGAATTAGGAAGTTCTTCATGCACTTCTTTGGAGGCATATATTTCTAAGAATTCTTCATTCGTGAGATCCATAAACTAATTTTCTCCTAAGGTATAAGAATAGTTATTGTCAGAATTATGTTTTTGAATAATTTCCGAATTAGCAATATAAATTTAAAATCTATAGATTTCTTCGTATTTGGATTAATAATTTTTGTTAAACTAAGTTTTCCACTCTTAAAATTAATTTAACATTGTTTAAGATGCTAAGATAGAACCTAATAAAACTAAAAGTATAGATGTTGACAAAATCATTAAAATAAATTATCAATTAAAAACAATTATGTAAATGAATTCTAAGAATAATAATTCCAAATAATATAATAATTATTACTGTGTGGGAATATCATTCAAATTGCTATTGATATTTGATAATTTATTCAATATTAATCTACATTATTCTTCAAGAATTATTAATTTTAACGATCTTAATTAATATTTATACTGACTTTAGTTTCTACGTATCATTCAAATAGACTAGTAAGAGTTGTGTTAACGAAAGTAAAGCCAAAACATAGTTCTGTTCCTTGCAATTTAATATCCAACGGTAGTGAAAATAATGTGATCAATTTGTTTAGAAGATATGATTAAATATAAATGCAAGTCATGAGTTATTTAGGATTGGCAAATCTTAATTTTTAATGGTTGTACAACATTATTAAAGCATCAGATTAATAATCAACATTTTAGAATGAATCCTTTTTAATACTCTTTAGTTGTTGTGATATCAACTGAAGCCATTGCAAATGAAATGTAAATGGATGTATCATCTATCATTAGAATAAAGATAATAAATTTAATCATATTTTAAAATTTCGCGCTCAATGGAAAACAATTTAATTTGGTTAGAAAAGTATCGCCCAAAAACTCTGGATGAAGTTCATGGCAATAGTGATATTGTTGATAAACTAAGAGCAATAGCAAAAATGGGAAATCTTCCTAATATCATATTGGTTGGTCCTCCTGGAATAGGGAAGACAAGTAGTGTCCTATGTTTAGCGAGATAAATATTGGGAGATTCAATAAAAGAAAGTGTGCTTGAATTGAATGCATCTGATGATAGAGGTATAGAGACAGTGAGAGAACAAATAAAAGGGTTTGCATAGAAGAAAGTAAATTTACAGGAAGGACAACATAAAATAGTAATTTTAGATGAAGCAGACAGTTTAACAGAAGGAGCATAATAAGCATTAAGAATGATCATCAGTGATTATTCAAATTCTACGAGATTCGTATTATCTTGTAATGATTCAACTAAATTGATTGATGCAATCTAAAGCAGATGCTGTATTTTGAGATTCAATCGATTGGGTGAGAGTGAGATTAGAGAAAGACTGTTGGAGATAATAAAATAAGAAAGTATTACTTACACAAAAGATGGATTGGATGCATTGACATTTACAGCAGAAGGGGATATGAGACAGGCAATCAATAATTTATAGGCTACATTTACTGGATTTGGATTAGTGAATCGAGAGAATGTATTCAAAGTTTGTGATGTTCCTAATGTTGATGATTTGAAGAAGATTTTAGATTATATGATGAAAGGGGAATTCTAACCTGCTTAATCACTTATGAAATCGATTTTTGATGATGGCTACATGGCTTATGACATCACCAATACATTCAATAAAGTTATTTAAAATCATAATGGAGACAGAGATCTTCAGTTTGAATTCTTACGATAAATAGCCTTTTTGAAGGCTAGAATTTTAGAAGGATTACCTACTTTTTTGTAGATGTCTGGATTCCTTGCTAAATGTTGCAATATTTCAAAAGGATATCATAACAAATGATTATATATATTGAACCCAAATTATTGAATTTCTTATTAATAAAAATTTGGCTGTTAGTCATGCAATAATTCTAAGTCTCTAAAAATAAACAAATAGGTAAAGTATTCCAGTATCTGAATTAGCTAATCCAACATAATTATACAATCAATTCTAAGTTCGTTCACCTTTCACGAATGTTGAGAATAAGAGCTTAGTGTAAAAGACAGCCAGTGATATGGAAATTGTCAACAAACCAGTGGCACCAACCAAGCAATTGACACTTCAATAAACTCCGAATGCATCTGAATATAAGATATAATTCAAGGTTGGAGGAGGAAAGCAGCAATAAAAGGAAGATCCCAATTAATTTAATTCCCAAACTGCTCCCTTCATTCCCATGAGTCCTTAATAAAGACATGAGAATGCTTAGATTTTGTAATCTCCTCAAAATCGTCAACCCTATTTGCTCTCACCTCAACATCAGGTTTAGTCTCCTTAAATTTAATTCTAATCTCCAAATACTCGAGATCAGAAACAACAACAACATTACTTTTCACAAGTACAAGCACCATAATAGCCTAAACATATTGCTCATTCATCTTCCTTTGTTTAACCTACTTTGGTGCAATAAAACTCACAAAAAGTAGTCAATTACACCAATACATTCGTTCTCCAAGAGGAATTGAAAACTTTACAATAATAAAGTGTTAAAATGACTTAAGAAATCTAGAAGTTGGAATCTGAAGCATAGAGAGTTCAATCAGCTTAATTAATAAAGGAATTGGATGATAAAATAAAATTACTAAATTAGATGAATAAATAATTGTAAATTGACAATGCAGAATTAATGAAAGTACCTGATGTGATGGCATTAAGAGATCTCATAGTCAAATACTAGAATGACAGAAAAATGGCCTATAATTAATTGGCTGCTATAAAGACTGAAATCTAGAATTATAAAGTACGTTGTGAAGAGTTAGAAGCTAAAATTAAGATTGATACCTCTTAAGAATTGAATGATTTGGTTTAAGAGTTGGAAAATAAAGTCTAAACCTTGATTTTAGAGAATGACAGAATAAATATATAATTGAAAAATTCTAGTAGTCTGGCTAATACAATTTAGAAATAGAAACAAGAGAATGATCTTGTTAAAGAGAAATTAATAAAAAGTAGAAAAGAAGAAGAAGCTTTGAAATAATCATACCAAAAGGAGGAAATTAAATTGAAATTATATGAAGAATGTAATGATAAGTTGAAATTGCTTCAAGATGAAAATTAAAGATTATAAGGTGTGATAAATGAATCAGAATTAACATAAAATGATCTAAAGAGTCTCAAAGAAAAAGTATTAAAATAATGTTAATATAATAGATATTAGTGATAAGATAAGACAATGAAAGAATGAGGAAATAACTTAAGAATAGATAATGATTTAAATATATATTTTATATTATTATTAAACCTAATTTAGTACTTTGTTTTTTTAAGTAGATGTAAGAATTATATTATTATAATATATTTCTTGTATCAAGATAACAATAAACTAACAAATTGAAAGATTAAGAGTTGAAAGCATGATATTTTTTATTAATCTTCATCAGAAAGTTAACTGATATTGGGATTGGAAAGATATGCTACTTACAACGGTTTTGAAAATCTTATTAATTACAACAACTATTGATCAACCCAGTCTAATATATTATTGTTTAGTGCAAGGAATTATATGAATCCAATTCAAAATTAATTGGAAATTTGATTGAATTCCTGTGAGATTTACTATTATTTTTGCTCAATTTACTCCTCTTTAATACAAAGTCAATGTATTATTTTCAATTATTATTCAATAAATCAACTCTTTTATCTTCATTTTAGAGATAGGTTTGTTTTACACAATTTTCCTTAATTTATAAAAGACCTCATTAACCTTAGTAAAAAAGTTGCAACTACTATTGATAGATTTTAATTGCTTGCATTATAGAGTCTTATAGAAAACAGAGATGCCTAAAGAGTAGCAACAATACTTAGCAATTAATATTTAAAACCCAAGAGAAGGATTACCAAAGTGTATTTTTAATATAATACATCTAAATCTTATGATAGTTATATAAAAATCTCCTTTCATAAAGTATTAAATTAATTTATCATTTATAATTGTCTTAATAAGTTATTAAACATATAATGAACTCAATTTTATAAATAAAAAATTAATTTTAATTATCATTAGATAAAGGTTTGAGATGACATTAAATTAATAAATATAAATTAATTAGAAAACAGAGTAACACAGATAAATGTAGATTTCTAGAAACGAATGAATTGTGAACTTATTGTTACCAATTCTTTCATTGTAATAAAGTCGTAAGTTACTCTTTTATTCAAATTCCTATTAATAATTTCATATTTTAATTCTCTATTTATTTACGCTATATTGACAGTCATAATAAGATATTTTAGCAATATCATTGTTTTAAGATAAAGAAATTAGTTAATTTAATTATGCAATTGTAATAATCAGAATTAAAGCTGGAAATTAGACAAATTTAGAATCTCATAATTCAGTATTAAATGAGAGATTAATAATCAAAATTGATGTGTCTATAGATTAAACAGAAGACACATAGATTATTAAATGAGAATTTGTATCATATTAGTGAATCTTTTATTTAATGACTTATTCAAATTTCAAAATAAGATAAACTATTACTGATTATTACGTTTAAATTGGTATTTTTGATTATTCTTAAAATTTCTCACTTTAAAAGTATTATGTTTGGAATAGATTTCACAATCATAAGGATGAATATGAGTATTAATTTGAATTGAAGAAAACTACATGATTTTGATCATTATTATAAAAATTAGTATTTGAATTAATTATACATATTTTTATTAAGTTTTCAAATCTTTAAAAATGAGCACCAATATGTTTAATGTCCTCAACATTTCAGATGATGAGGATTCTAAAACTCAATAGAAAACACAATAATAACAATCTAAAAAGAGTAATATATCTTTCATTAATTATTAGATAAATAAAAACGTGAGTAGGAATAAGTGATTCCAGTTGAATTAGTTAAGAAAGAAAGCACTTAACATCATAACCCAGCTCCAAAATAAAAGGGATTAACAGCTGATCCTCATCCAAAGGACAGACACTCTGGAACAGGAATTGGAAAGGAACTTCGTAAAGAAGGTGGAGGAAGAAGAAATTGGGGAAATTATAAGGACGATTTAAAGTAGGAGAAATACCAGGGTGCAATTGAGGGAAAGGAAACAACCTAAGAATAAAATACTGAATAATAGGCTGAAGAATAATAGCCATAGGAAAATGTACCATAAGCACCACCTGAGAAGACATTAGCAGATTATTATTAAGCAAGAGGAGTGGTAAAGAATGATTTATATTAATTTATTTAGAATGTAGAAGAAGTCCTTAAAAAGTAGTAATAGAAAGCATAACCAGTAGTAAAGATTGATGAGGAGGCATTGAAAAAGGAGAAATTATAGGTGATGAGAACAAGAGAAGATGAAAAGAGAGAGAAGGAATAGAAGGCAACTAAAAAATAAGGTGGTTAGTAATAGGGATACAGAAGTGAAATGAGTACAGAGGGATAATAATATTTCGGATTTACAAACGATTCAAGAAGAAATGAAAGGAACGATAGAAATGATAGAAATGATAGAAATGATAGAAATGATAGGAATGATAGGAATGATAGGAAAGATCAGAATAATAATAATAATAAAGGATAAAAGAAATAAGTAAATATTAATATTATAATTAGTAATAACCAAATAATGGAGTTCAATTCGATGATAAGGATTTCCCATCATTATGAAATGATCATTCCAAACACATAAAAAAGTGAGAAATTTGGTATATATAGTACATATATCAATTATAATTTCACTCTCTTCTCATTAATGATTAAACTTCACTTAATTTATTAGAGACAGGCAACCTAAGATTCATCTCTGACTTACTGTGTCTTATCAATTCTTATCTAGTTGTAGTTTAGGTTGATCTGAAAATATCATCCATTTTAGAATTAAAGCTCCTCACAGTTTATGGTCTCATTGGATGGACATATTTAGAAACCTAATTAAACATAGGTCCAATTTCAATATTACGCCTTCTTTTGTTATCTCTAGAACCTAGACTCATTTGTCTCATCTTGTAAAATGCACTGCTTTTAATTTTAGTAGCAGATGCTCCTCTTGAAATGAATTATGAAACTGGAAATAAAATCTATCTAGACGTAGTTGTAGTTGCATCTTCTACTTGAACATCTGTCTTCTGCTTTGATACATGAGTTGGAATTCGACTGTATTGTAATTGTTTTTCTGATTCTTGTTCTTATTCTTAATCATCTTCTTTTTTTCTATGTATTTTTTGTAAGTAATCAATAACATTAATAAATGGTGTTTCAATATTGCGTGGAGAACGTAATTGTTGAATCTAATTTAAGATGTGCATTGAAAACTTCTTACCTGTCATTTTTGATTTGAGTTAGCGATGCTTACAATTTTGACATAGATCTGACATAATTTTATATATATTTGTTTATATAATTAATATATATGATTCTTACTAAAAAAGAGAAATATAATTAATCTGGATGTTCTACTAAAAGTGAAGTACCTAAAGGTTCCTATTGTTATAAATAGAGCACTTTTGAATAAATGTAAAGTGAAAAATGTAGTATAATTTAATTTAATATTTTTTAGATCAAAAAAAAAAAGTAGAATTATTATTTAAAGGTTTGAAACCTAAGAAGTATTTGATTATATTGGTATTTAAATGAATATCAGCAAGGTTGTCCTTTGATACAGCTATGGAATAATTGTCAGTAATCAAACTTCTATGGCAATTCTATTACTTTAATTGCTAATATAATATATTCTAATATGTAGAGCATATTATATTAGCAGTATATCGATTGAAAATAGTTGTTACTAAGCATATTGATTGCAAAAAAATTACAAAGTTCAGATTTGATAATTATCTATTTTCTATATCTATATAAGTGAATCTGAAAATGGTATGTAATTGATTTGTTTATCTTCATATATATAATATATTGATATATTAATACTGATTTCACTCACATGCAAATTTGAAGTCAAAGGATGTCACGCAGATTTAGAATGCTTGAAGAGGTGATAGGGGAAAACAGAAGTCTACATTGAACAAGAGATCATCGACTCTTCCAAATTGGAGATAAATGAATTAATGATTATCTGGTTTGACTAATTGGAAATTTTTGACTGAGGGTTGATCTACTCTTCCATAAAAGTTTAGAACATGGGCTTTCATTTTGGTATCCCATCTAGGAGGTTTGTTGACAAATTCCTCAATGAAATCACGCTTATTATATTGGTAATCATATTGTATGCCTTCTTTATCATGGAGGGGTTAGAACATTTTAGGAATATTCATTTCTCCAACTTTAGGCAGTAAGACTTTCATTTTCCTAGGACATTTATTCTACATGATATGACTTTCATAATAGACTACTCCTAACTAATTTCTAATTAGAGTAGTGTCTTTGCATTTTTTGAAGTTCTTGCCTTCATCCCAAAGAATGAATTCTGTTCCTAGGAAATTGGATCTGACTTTGCCTAAGAAGCATGGTTTTCTGGTTGAGAATTCTTTCTTCTCCATGGAAATCACATAGTTGGAAGAAGTGTTCATGACTACTTTCTTAGCACTGAATAGGTAGACATCTCCATCGGTTGTATAAACATGATAAACTGGGTAAAGTCTTGCAAGACCACTCTTATCTCTTTTGATGTAGCATTGCAAGGTTCTATTCTCTTTCAATGGGGTTGTTAGGAATTGTCTCCCCTTGTCTTGGCCTTTCATTTAATCTCTTACGTAATCGATTTCAAGTTTCTGAGGGAATGGATTAACAGTGACATGCCTTTGAGTATTTGATGATTGAGGAGGCTATTATTATGATAACTAAATTTCTTGTGATTGAGGTTGTTGATCATTATCTTCTATTCTTTGCAATTGAAGACTTTAGGGTTGTACTTGCTGATCTATATCATCCACCTCAACTTGTTCCCCCATCTCTGATTATAGGTTTATTATTGATTGATTATGTTCTTCTCTTTCCTCAGTATTGTTAGAGGATTCTTCAGATTGGTGTTCTCTTGGTTGTTAGATTTATTCAAACTAATTTTACGATTATTCTGATTGTTTTATTTTCATTTCTTATCCAGATGTTTTAGGTCTATTCAATCTATATTTAGTCAATTCTTATTCTTGTTAATTGATTTGTTGCATCCCAGGTTCGTGAATGATTTCTTCATCCTCTGACTCTTTCCTAATTTTGATTGGTTGTTGTTTAGCACTTGTTGTATTTTGGTTGTCTTATTGATTATCATCCTCGTCAAATTAAATGATACCCTCATCCTCACTGTCCTTTCTACTCATGAAAGTATATTTAAATTGATTATTATTATAATTAATTCAAAAATAGAATACTAATCTTGTGCCTTTTTGAACACTACATAAATATTCTCCAAATCTAAAGAGTATTTTAGATAGTTACAAAATTTAGTTAATTAAAATTAAATTATACGACAGATGAATAAATAATCAACCTTTGGGAAGGCTGACCGGTTTCCAAAACTCCAAATATATTCTGAGAACTTTGTAGTTGGAGATCCAACTCACATTTAACAAATTAAATTTGGTGGTCCCTCGTTCCCCAAAAGTCAACGACGAATATTTGGTTATCAAATTCAAACTCCAGGTCCAGGCAATTACAACATTGCTGATTTTAAATCCATCAAACAATAAGCAGACAAACTCTATAGAGTCAATAGAGAGTTCATGGATTACATGAAATCAAGACCTCGTTCTGTGTAGCAAAACAATCCTGGACCTGGTGCATACGATTTGGGATCAACTATTAGAAAACGAGGGATTTCATTCACCAAAGCTAGAGTCAACAGTTTTCACATTGAGCAATCTCCAGGACCAGGATAATATACAATTAGTAGGCCAATATCGAGAGTATAATGATTATAATTTTATCATGGATAATTTTCTTATTGAAGGCAAAACTGATGAGACTTACTCCTTGAGGAAACTATTGAAATATTATGGCTACCTATTTGTCACCTCCATGTTTGTGAGCTTCTTGGGATCCATCATTTATATAGTCCTCCTTGTAGAACTATATACAACATGCAGTGCGTAGACAGGATAGCAAGTGGCCATCACTTAGTTAATTTCTTATATTTTGAATGGAGTGTTTTCGTATGCCTGTCTACATTTGGTCTCGCAATCCAAAACCATATGTTATGTGAACTTTTCAGTCATGTTGACATTGATTTCAAAAGTAATAGCCTTGGTATTTGCTGCAATTCTGAAGAATCGAAATTGGGGTGAATGTTACATAACTCAAGCACAGGGAGTGATGCTCATCACCAATATCAGCATAGAGTTTTGCATATTACTGGTGTTATATTACTTTACTCGCAATTTGTACTTCAGATTAGAGGAGAAACAATTGAGAGTGTCATTGAAATTGCTGTTTGAATGATGAGATCCCTTATATATCTATATAGACGACAAACATAAATATAATTTAATCAAACAACCCTGGCAAATGTCCACCCTACTATTCTATTTAATTTATAATTTTCCTCTGTGTAATCGGTGTCCCCCAAATTCTACATAAATTCAATCAACAATTTACATGAGTATAATTCTTAACAACGCTGGCCAAGTTCTCTTGAGTCAATCCAAAATTGACCTTCTCCTAAGGGTTATCCCAATCCAACCACTCGTGCTGTTTAATGATATTCCAATTGACTTAGGACGGAATCTTACACCCAATCCTCTTATTGGCTTCCTTCTGCAACAAGCTCTACAATAAGGATTGGCATGGTTTGCTCAACCGTGTTGGGATCTCCAAATTATCATTCCTGATGTTGTTATACAAAGTGTCCAAATCCTCACTAAAATACGGGGGTTCGCCAATCAATAATTCATACAACACTGTCCCTATCCCATAAACATCAGTTGCTTGTACTGCTCCCTTCTACGAAAGGACTTCTGGTGCAAGATAAGCAGGTGAACCACAAAAGGTTCTAGCCTTTCCAATTTCAGTTTGTTTAGAAAGTCCGAAATCAACTAACTTGATCTTACTTTCATTGTCAATGAGGACATTCTCAGGCTTTAGATCTCTGTAGATGATATCTTTGCTATGCAAGTATTCGACTGCCTTCATCAATTACCTGATAATGATCTTGCATGTGGCTTCATTGAAGGTTTTGTGTTTGTACAGATGAAAGGATAGATCTCCTCCACCACAATAGTCCATCACTAGGTAGAGATTGTTGAGGGTCTAAAAAGATTGGAACAAATTGACTATGTAAGGTGAATCTACCTATTTCAAGATGTCACATTCAGTGACTGCAAATTTGACTTGCTTCTTCTGCAGCAATTTTCTCTTGTTTAATTGTTTCATAGCATACACTTAATTAGTAGGGTTGTATTTCACCAAGAACACTTTGCCAAATGCTCCTTATCCAATTTGTTTGATGATTGTATAATTTATTAAATAGTGTTTGTTTTATTCATTCCCATGGTTACCTTCTACGGGAGAAAGAGTGCGGACTGGCGATGATTATTGTTATTGTTGTTATTATTGCAATTATTACTATTATTATTACAATTGTTCCTAGACTTATTGAGCCTCCACTTTTAAGTGTTAGGCAGCATTTTCATTCAAGGATTAGCATCGAGAGTCTGCAATTAAGTTGAACTATCCACCCCCACTCCCTATGTATTGATTCAACGCCATTATGTCTCCTTATATCGACAATTGAGCTATCTTCCTTTCAGTCTCTTTGTAATACAGAATCGAGTCTTCAAGACTCTTCTTCCAACTCAAAATCGTAGTCTTGCTCTTTGAACAAAACAACAATATCTCAACTCCACTCTTTTTAAAAGAAACCTACGATCTTATAATCTATTTTAATTACACTCAAGTATTCGTGATCACTCTTCATATACCATTCCCTCTTAGGATTCCACACCGTAACTATAGTGGACAAAGCTATCGTCTCAATTGGATTAAGAGGACAGTCACTTTCCGTTTTGTATCTACACAATGTACCTGCCTCTGGATCTAATGTTAAGTAACGCTTATAATGAAAGAACTTCATCACGTTCACTTTTTTGATGTATCCCTTTTGAGCCTTGGGTTTAACCAGTTCTTGGGCCTTATTCAACTTCTGCTAACAATGGTAGGTGACCAACTGAGTAGCGTGCTGATCTCCTTTGATTTCACTTAAATCAACTGCCTGAGCATCGAATTGGGGGTGTTTGAGAATCAGTTCTACTATGTCTAACTCACCTTTTTGGACTGCCAATTGTAAGGCACTCTTGCCTTATGAACAATAATTCACATCGCAAACCTACTTGCTAAGCAGAAGTTTAGCACATTCAATTTTAGAGTTTTTTAAAGCCAATTGAAGTGGGGACTGTCTATCTTTGGTACAGAAATTAATATCGGCACCTTCCTCTATGAGATAGGCAACCAGTTCTTCATGGCCTTATTGATTAGCATAGTGGAATCCACTAAATCCACAATATTATCTGTCGTTGATAATATCGAAAGACGGACTTTTGTGATTGCTCACCATAGCCTTAACTGCAGGGATGTCATTACACTTGACTAGCTGATAAATTGAGACATAATGCTTACCTTAATGAATTCAGCAGCGATTTCCATTTAGGATTTGTGCATTCCTACAGATTTCTTTCGAGTGTCATCTTCTTCTTCGGAGTCCTCATGCACGATGCCCAACTTCTCATATCCTTTCATACGATTGTAGCCTTTCTGAACTTCCAAAACCTCTGTTTCAGGAGCTTCTTCTTCGACTGCTTGATTTTCCCTATTCACATAAATGAATTGGCAATCTTCTGGGTTGTAGCTGAAAAGATGCCGATCGTCCTCAAGAGTGTGTTCGTTTAGGATCAATGTCTGATCCTCCTCTCGAATATCAGTGAGTTGGGCGATCTACTATTTCAATTGGGCCACTTTGATGTTGGGATTCACAGTACACGTTTTGGTACTCATGTTACCCCATTGCGAACAATAACGAATGATGATTTTCATTATCTAATGTAGAATAATACTAAAATTATTATGAATGATGTTTTTAATAATGTAATGTACATTCATTATAATATATATATACAGATCAAATTAATCACTTCTTAGTTAAGTAATCCATCCACTTCTGCCTAATGCTCTGAGCATAAATGGAAGGCAAGTTACGCTAAAGAGCCTATTGCAATACCTCTCCTTCGCCTAATTTCTCAGCTTCCTGAAGCGCCTTCTGTAATACAAAGGTTCCAAACTTATTTTTCATCAATTCCAAACAAATGACGTCTTGTGACAATTGCTTGATGAATCGTTTCTAAGTTTTTGCCGTCGTTTCTAACATGCATTTCTCCACAACATTCGAAGAATATTTATGGATCGAGAGTTGTACCAATTTCTACAAAATTTTATCAATTATAGGAGTGCATTTCAAATCTCCATAGACCTTATATATAGATATTTATAATTTACATCGATTACATGTTGTACACCATAATTACCAAAGGGATCTTATACTATGTCATCCAATTGATCACGCATCTTAATTAAAATAAAGTTGCATTTCTCTTGATTGTTTTTAAATTTAGTTATGAGATCCTTCAACACACAAAGTCCAAACTGATGATTGACAACCTAAATGAATTTCTCCATTAATTTGCTAAATATCAAATTCAAACGATCCTCCGAAAATCTCGCTATGATCTTCTTGATCAAATGTGTTCCTTGACTGTCTAAAGTGAGATTAATTATGTGATTCTTTATGCTATTTTCAACCATTTCCTCCTCTTATTTTGATGATATCAAAGAAACCAAAGATTAAATGGCATGAGTACCCTTTTTATCACATGCAATATCAACCAAGCGATTGGAAATCTGAAAAATATATATTTATAAAATGTTACTGTTTGTAAAATATATAATCGTTAATGGGGAGCACAACTTTAACTCAAACTACCGAACATATAATTGGCATAAGGATCAATCATTAAATCCCCTATATTTGGACCTATCTCTTGCAATAATTGATCCAACTCTATTTGAGTACAAGTAGTGAAATGTTTTTGGATCAGACGACTCCCCTGTTAAGTCTTTACAAAATTGACTATGTTGCCCCGTATTTACTCAAAACTTTATATATCTTCAGTCCATTCATCTGGTTGTGTCTACTCTTCCAATTGGAATGATTAGAAACGAACTCTTTATTGAGTAGGACCCACTTGAGGAGTGAAATTACGTGTTTTGGGTGAGAAAAGGAATGAATCAACAATGGGAGAGGACTTTGGTGATTGCTTGGTCAAATATTTAGCAATGTCTGGGGACAAGTTGATTTAAAGTGATTTTAAACACAACAATGGTTGATTGTGTTCATCTTCCCTCTACATCGAAATGCATATGTCATCATATCCAATACAAATGTAATCGCTAGAAACTTTGCTTGCATTGTAGTAGAATTCATAACTATGGACATTCTTTGCTTCCTGCATAAGATTACTATCCATGATGTGAACATCAATTTGAATACGACCTTACATCAATGGTACAAGGTGCTTCTGTCTTTTTCCAAAATACTCTCTCAGATTTGCATAATCTATCAAAATAGAAGTGTTTTTCTTCTATTTGAGAGTTGTGGAGTGAGTGAGGTTGAGATATGGCTGTTGAGCAATAGTGTGAAATATTCTGAATTCTATGAAGACTTTGACATTCAAATCCAATAAGTCATAGTCTACTGGCACTCTCTCCATTATTTGAGCATGCTTGATTTAATCTGTTAACAATGCAAGTTATGCTGTTTTATGTTTGCATGTGAGGGCACATTGAGTGTGCACATCAAAATACTGGGAAAGTAGATTGGAGTACAATTGAGTATTGCCTTATTGTACATTTTGATAACAGAGTGGGCAGATTGAATTTTCATTTTGGCTTCTTCCTATTATCTCGTAATCTTCGTCAACTACTAAAAACATACATATAACTCAACTACTTAATGATTCTTCTAATGTGCTACTACACTTTCGGGAGTCTGACTCACTAAAAGAACAATTATCAATTAAACTCTTACTTGGTGCACTTGGAGAAGATCTCCTTAAATTCATTCGGAACAGGGTCTTCCCATCCGAACAATGGGTAAATATCCTCAGTCATAGTCTAAACTTCTAGTATTTTTAAAATAATAAATTCCTGATGAAAGATTGTAAAATTTAATTGGACCATTTCTAAATGCGTCATATGAGATATTAAATTGCTATAATCTTTAAATTGGAATTCTAGAATATTTTACATAACCCATAATCCATTAATGAAAGATGGAGCAAATTGAACTAAAGAAGGTAATTTGGAATTATTTAGGGAGCTAACTATTATTTTATATCTACTATAGTCTGTTCTGCTTTAGAGGAGATTCAATTATATATTCATATCAAAATTAACTATGAAATTACAAAAATAAGTACTTTGGAATCAATGGAAAGTATTAATATTCACTATACCTAAAATATTCTCAATTATTGGAATAATATAAATAACATTAATATATAATCTAGATAAATTTTTAACTATGATAATATACTAAAAACTTTTTGGATATACAGAACTTGAATTACAACTTAAATGAATATTAGACAATCATTAACTACTTGTATATTATAATATGATTTTACATTAACTTTTGGATAAACTGTTGTTTTGTGATTCAAATTTAAATCAATCATTCTTGGGATGAATAATTATGCTTGAATGCTGATTTTCGTAAAGCAAAATAGTCATTTAGCTTTTGTTTATAAGGTACCTTTATTCTTTTAGTGAAGAGAAACACAAGTTAATACTTATCACTAAGATTGAGTTATGTATAAATTTTATCTTGTTATTGCCTGACTCAAATTATATAAGAATAGATGTAACAATCTCCATCAAATGAATTAAGCTATGCATTTGAGATGATTTATTTTCTATGATAATTGTTCCTGATAATATCTGCTTCTTTTGATTAGAATATAATTAAAATTAAGGTTAGGAAAATATCAAATCTGGTTGTAAATCCCCACCCACAAATTTCAGAATCTTTATTGATTGAGAGGATCTATAAGAATATCAAATTTCTTTTTTTTTAAATTTCATTATTTGTCTTTATTTATCACGCCGCAAGTGATTGCTTAGAAAATTAAATATAAATTTGATCTAATTCTATGAAAAAATGTGATAGAATTAGCATTTTTCATTGTTATATTAAATTAATATTGACCAAGAACAGTTTATATAATGACTTCAAATAAAGCAGTTAATAATGAATTTCAATTAACATCATAAGGTTCTAGCAGTCGGTTCCCAAATGGATAAAGACAAGTCTAAAAGGAAGTTAGTTTGAATTAAGTCATATTTATAGCAAATTTTTAAAGGCATTTGAATAATATTGTGATATTATAAAAGTTTGGCATATTCCATCAAGCTTTATTGGTAGTTACTTCAAATAGAGGTGACTAGTTGATAAATAGGGATAAATAATATCATATTATTGAATACCAAGATGATAGCAGAGTTAAGGGTTACTAAATAAATTTAAAAAAGATATATAATGCACAATTCATAAAAGATTTGAATAAATTTGAGGATGAAGAATTTATTTGGGAGAAAATTTCATTAAAGAAATAGTTTGATATAGATACTTTAGATCTCACAGCAAGTTAAATTATGGATAGGATGCAAAATATTGCAAATTTAAAGGGGTCTTATTGTGTTCTTACAAACAACTGTTAACATGTAGCAAATAAATTGACACAATAACTTTTGCTTGAAAACATTTCTAACAAAAATGTCGTATTTCTAGCATTGGCTGAAAAATAAAGTTACTTTGAAGAAGAAGAATCACAACCTCATTCAGCATTACTGGTGGTTACTAATTATTATAATAATGTGTCATAACTAGAAGATTAAAAATATTATATTATTGAACATCTATAAGATGGAAAAATAAATGCTTATCAGTTTTATATAAGGGATTAATTGTAAAACTTGGAGAATTTGAATTTATTTAATAATGGGAGAAATTTTTGGTAAACAAAGGAAAAAATTTGTAACTTTTATATCAAATAAACAGTATCTAACATTATTGATATAATGGATAATATGAACTATCATAATGTTAGGAATGTTAATAATAGTTATCGTATAGCAAAGTATACTTTTGACCAAATTAATTAAATTTAAGAATAAGAAAGATAAAGATAAAGATAAAGTAGTGAATTTTTTAGTGAAGAAGGTTTACGAAAATTTTGTTAGATATTGATAATAATAGGGTTAATTCTATATTTCATTTTAATTAAAAATTGAGATTAAAATTTCTAAACTTTTCCTCTTGATTTTTTATTTCATATTCCATTTACAATCATAATATTCAATATAATATTAATTATATTTTTAACTCTTCCCCACATTACATTTTCACCTAAAAATTTGTTAAACTAGTCTAATATATGAATCTACTTTTGGAAGTCAATCAAAAAACTTTGCAGATTACTTAATAAGATTTAAGAATGAAATTCTAATATTTTTGAAAGATAGATTATATCAGGATAGCAATTAAATTTAGTCAAATTTAAAGATAAGGTTTGAAAATAAAAATTAGAATGATTTTATACTAATTAATGTTGTTTTTAAAAGATTTAACATTCAATTAAAGGTTATATTATATTAAAAGTTGAGCATACACTCTATTGTTTTGTGGCTATAAAGTCAGAAAAACATTTTAAGTAAGTATGAATGTTTAAATACACATATGGTTATAAGAGTTTAGGAGATACTATGGTTTAAAATGTTAAACATCAAATTCTAATGAAATTTTGTGAAATTCCTTGCTTTTATGTATTGGATTAAACAAATGAAAAGAAATTATGATTGTAATTAAATAAGGAGGATCTACTTATTTCAGAGGTGACGATAAGACATACTTATCTATATTCATTAGATAAACATAGAGTAGTTCTATATTTGAAGTTAAATGGAAAGGTTATCTATTAAAGTAAGATTCTAATAATCAGGTAAGACAAAAATTGGAAATGCTATGGACTTTTAGCTAAGACTAAGTCGGAATTACCTAACTTGAATAGTTTAGGTCATGATCCACTAAGTGATTTTAGGGTAGCATGAGTGATCAATAGCTAGAAAAATACATTTAATTTATTGGGCATAAGCAAAATTTATATTATTAATTTAAATATTTATTAATTATTAATGAAAAGTATATAATCACAATAGATTATATAAATTCTTCAACTAATGAATTTGTAATATAAAATAAGTATATTTCCTATGGTTAGGATGCATATTAACGATAGGAGAATTCCTTTATTGTAAGATTGCCGATTCTTAATCATAGTTGCATGTCTCTAAGTCATTTTGACTCCAACTTGAATTTCTTTGGTCTATAATATTTGAGAAATACAATACATCTTCGATGGCTTTGAGTAGCTTCTCTTTTTGATTGCGTATATTATCTAAAATGGTTAATTAGGTATCCTCAGCTTCTAATAAACGAGAATCTAGAGTGTCTAGCTATTTCACTTATGTATGTAGATCTTAATTGGGTCCTCTGATTGGTGATGGAGCTTATTTTTTACTATTGCTACTAACATTTGATAAGGGCATTTTATCAAGATTGGATTATAAATCTCTAAGTTTTTTTTGGCATTCCACAAAAATGAGTTTGTTAGATTTCATTTTTTAAGCAAAGTCTTTTTAATGTAGATCCGTGAAAGATCCAAACTCAATTTCCATAAATTTGAACTTTAAAATATATTCAATCTCATTACTTATTGTTCAGCCTAAACAAAAACAAGCTTCATCTTCTCAAAAACTAATTGTTTGCTTTAAGTAAGTGCATATTATTTATAAAGTTCATTGAATTCCTCTACTTTGTTTTTGAAGTTGGCCTCATTTTGTTGAAACATGGTTGTTGCCATTTTAATTAATTTTAAACTCAAAAGTTATTAATAATAATTTCAGAATAATTTTCAAATTAGGAATAGTGTTATAATAATTTATATATAATTAATTAATGGATCAATTGGATTAGAAATAGTTAGAATAGCTTAAGTAATAATAGGCATAGAAGGAACAAATGGAAGAAGTCAAAAAGTCTATTCTGACCCAAATATTGACACCTGAAGCAAAGCAAAGATGTAAATACATTGAATATTTCATATTTAGTGGCAAATATCAAATTGGTTAAACCAGAGAAGGCAGAGTTGATCGAAGTCCAGCTTTGTTAATGGGCCAAACAAGGGAAGATTACAAATCAACTTTCTGAGGATGAATTGATAAAATTACTCGAAGCAGCAGAAGGATAGAAAAAACAAGAAACAAAAGTTACTGTAAATTTACAGTCTAAATTACATAGTTTAAGAGAAGAAAATTGTCTAGTGATGATGAAGATGATATATGATATGGGTTATTACAATATAAATAAACAATAAAACAAAACTCCATTTAATAACTCTCCTAATTGATCAAAAAATCCAAATTAAATAAAGTACTTCAAATAATCTAATGAGTGAAATCCAAAAATACCCATAATAATATAACAATCCCTCTTTCCTCATCTTTTTTTAAAAATTAAAGAATGAAATATTTACTCTTTAATCAAAATCCGATTGAATCAATTATTCTACAATATTTTCAATTGGATTAGTAAATGGAAAGCAGCGATTTTTGAGAAGGATCCAAATCCATAAATTTTTGTTAATTTAACCCAGATATAATTAGATATTATTATTTCTAATTGTATAAGATCTAATTTGCAACAAAAATACCAGCCTCTCCTATCAGAAGTTTGTGACTGTCAGGCAATTCCAAAATATTCATCATTGCTTCTTTTGTTTTTAAATAATACATTTTATCAGCAGACTATTGAAATGCTAATAATTCAAGATTTTCTGGAAATACTAAGTTTATTTTCTCTTCGAATAACAAGTAGACAAGATGAATTTTCTTTGCAAATCGATTGATATCTTCATCTAAAAAGATGAATAAACTAGATATAAATTTTAATGATTTGGCAAGGAAGAATTATAAACATAAACAATGTAATTACTAAAAATTACATATAAGTATAGGTTAACTAATTATATTATTGCTTCATTATCCACATTTACGCTATAAAGATCCTTTACATAGTAGTATGTTGGTAGATTTTAAACATTATAAACTTAAAGCATGTATTTTTATCATCATCATAACATAGATATGATAAAATCAATTATTAATATACTAAATTTATCTATAGGATTTTGAAATTGACTTTAATTAACGAAATTGGTATTGGAAGGCTATTTTAATCATTTGAAATTATTATTACTTCGTTTATATTGGTGATAAATAATAAGATGACAATAATTATGTTTTCACAACTATTTATATTGGATTGAATTGTATATTATTGAACAATTTATTTATTGATGATTAATTTAAAGTAAAAGTAATTTTTAAAATCAAATATCATTATTTCAACTGTTTTATTTAGTCTAAGTAGTAAAATATTATTATAGGTGACTAAAAAATTTGAGAATTTATCTCTAAAAGTATACTTTGAATACCTAATTATACTTTTGGTATTGTAATAATAATTAAACAAATATATTGTTGTATTAGCACTGAGCCCTATTATTATCATCATTGAAGGATAAAAGTTATAAGCAGCTTTTAAAGAATTTGCATTTATGCTAATGTTGATTGAACATATTTCACTGAATTAGTTGGATTGGTTTTACTCGGAGTAATTGAAATTCAAAATATAGACTAACTAATTATTAATTCCTATCAAATATTAGGTGAGTTATTAAATTTGTATTGAAATAAATTAATCTAATTAATAACTCTACTTAAGTTTACCAACAATTGAAGATGTTAATAATTTTATGTTAAAATTTGTTTCATTTTAGGCCATATTGTAATTTAGGAATTGTCCTGAATAGTCTTATATAGAAATTGTTATATTATTATTATAGTAAACTACATAAACTTTAAACCTGTAGAAAAAAATCTAATTGTTACGCATACATAAATATTTGTATCATTCATTGATAATATTTAAAAATAAATCTTAATCAAACTTAATAAAGCAGGGTTAAATTTATCCAGGCATATTCAATAAAAATGTTCGTATTATTTTGAAGGTTTGACATAGTTAAGTTTATAGGTATGAAATCTTATAAACCACAATTTCTTAACTAAATTAAAATAAATCATAATAGTTGATCTAGGGATATTAAGAGAATATCATTTAATTAAAAAATTTGGATTTATTTTCATAATAATAATTAACAAAATCCTTTTCAATTAATACATTTATATTTGAATTTTTAAGTTAGCTGATTTACTAATTTATATTTATTATATAATAACTAGATCTAGAAAATTTGCCACTTTACAGTATCATTGTTCAAATAAATAAAGTACTATTTGAATTAATTTGATAAAACCAATAGTTTGGTTGTTCTGTTAGTTTTAGTATAATTACCTTTTATTAATTGTTATATAAATTAAAATACAGTATTTTAATATATCTTGAAAGAATCACAAGAAATAAAAGGACAAAACTGTTTAGCTAAAATATTAATTTGCCCTTCACATCCTAAGAAACGACCATTTTTTTCTGAGATTTAAAAAATTAAGTGAAGAATCAATTTTCACAGATTCTCCAACTTACTCAATTATTTAATTTTTCCATTCATACATTATTACTTCATTTTCATATGACAAATTAATAAAGTGTGCATTGTTTGATGACATTGATTTAAATTCTATTATAATAGACTTAAAATATTACCATTTACTTGTGTTTGGAATATTTCTTCACATTAATTCATTACTTATACATTTGGAATTTAAGGCTCAATTTTGCACATTAATTCATCAAAATGGAGAACCGTATAAAAGTAGTTTTGATAAAGTTCTCCTTCTGTAGGGTATATATAATGTTCAGGCTCTTATAAATCAATAGTATATGCGGTGAGGACATGAATTAATAGGAGTAATATCATCTATTTTCTAAATTTATTTAGAATTTTAATATTTTTATAGAATTAGAATTGTTAAATATAAAATATATTTAATATGATCTTTTTATTGTTTTTATCATAAAATACGATTGATTATCTTGAATATTCAAGTTAAATTAATCGATAGTCGAATAAACTTGATTAAAGTTTTTATTAGAGATTTTCTAAACGATTTAGAGAATTTAATTCATGATTTGAATCCATGTAAGAAATTCCCATCTGATTTATGAGGGAGCAGATCATCAAATAAATTATGTTAATTTGTTTTTTCGATTCCATAAACACTTTCAAATAGTAATAATTTTTAAAATCACATTTGTAAATATGTATTTTATAAAGGTGTTTATTATTTTATTGTTAATAAATAAAATAAATTAATTATATTAGGTAAAGTAAATAGTTTCAATATTAAAAATCATTTAAGGTTAGACAATTACATCAAAGCCTTTTCTTTTTAGATCTAGGCTGAATTCTTATTGTGAGAGGATACTGATTAGTTTCTCATGATTTTCTATTTTATCTTAATTCCAGTAGCTATATATTTTTCCTCATCTAAGTCACCCAATAAACGATTAGGAAATTTGGTTGGACTGAATCGGGTTTGTGGTGTCATAGCTTAAATGAATGCAATAATAGTCTATACGATTTCACTTGATCTTTGTTCATTATGATTACATTACAAAACAACCTATCTCTTAAGTCCTTAATATCCCTTAAAAATTGTATCAAAATGATATTAAGGAATGAGACTGTCTTGCTTTGACGACAACAAAAGCATAGGACAAGTGATATTTAAATTTAATGGCAATTGAACTTTATTAATTTGAAACTAGAACAATTTTGCAATGCTTCCTTGATTATGTAGATGTTATACTTCTGATCAATAGATATAATCCTTTGTTTATTATATCTGGAGTATGTAGTTTTAGTTTTATTAAATTTATTACTACGTCTTCCAAAACTAAAAATGGACTATCCAAAACCAAACATTTTATATTCTCATTCTTCTGAGTATACATCAAGGCTGTGGTAGCTCCCATAGATCTTCCCCACAAAATAACATGCAAATATTTCTCCTTCAAATGTCGAACCACCACTGCTATGTTCTCCTCCTCTTTAAGACTTCATTAAAATCAATAATTACCCAAATGTTACAAAGTCTCCCAAAGACTATCCAGCTGCCTGAAAATCAAATGAACAAAAATCGAAATCATTTTTACATGCTAAGGGAGCATATTAAACAGCTTCCAACCTTGATCCATTATAACCATGCAAATACAATATGCATGATTGGGTATATTAATTACATTTATATAGAGAACATTGTAATCCTTGCAATTAGAAATCCTATCTTGGAAATCCACATTCTAAATCTGATTTATTATACATCACACGATTAGGCTACATTATTTACCTACAATAACCATCAAACATTTTAATTCTTTTTATTATTAATACATCTGTAATTATTTATTGTTATCTTATATAGAATAAATATAATAAATCATGTCAAATAGATCATTTATAAAAACCCCTTGAAATTTATTGTTTGAACTAACACTTTAAGTTTTCAATCACATTATTAATTATTGTTATGCTATATTTTTATTCTGTTTACTTCATTAAGTCTTATTAGTAATATTAAATCACAGAGTCAAATTCATTATCATGAAAAGAACTAAAACTTATATATCTTCTTTTCTTATTTTTGAAATCATCATTACTATACTAATTGTCTTAATTAGCTTTTGAGAATGCAAGCAATTAAATTAAAAATTTTAATTCGATATCCCCATTAAAAATCCCACAACCCCATTTACCAGTAGATATATTTTCACTATCTGTGTGATCGAGAGCCAAGGAAAAAGCAATATAACTCTTCACCAATTCTCTATTAATAAACGATTCATCAAATTACATTTGCCAATTTTAATAGAATATTGCATCCATACACTAAATATTAAATCTAAATATTACTAAGATATGATTTATTATAATTTTCTTATTTTGAGAGTCTTTTTAATTGTTTAATTCTTGTTGTCTTTGAGAAAACTCATTATGTTATTTTATGGAAGAATCAGAATTCTATTTAAAATAATCTTCCTCCTTTTATCTAAAAGTTAGTCCATATCCATCATAATCATTAAATTTAATTAGATTTTTAATGAGAATGGCTTCATTGTCATTCATAGGTTCCATAAATAACATGCTTATAAGTGCTTCTGGATGAGTTAACATCAAAACCTATTAGAAAGTTAATTTAAATCATTACTTCCTCTTAAGCTATGTTTAGCTAATCTAAACTTAAGCCACCTACATTTTTATCTGCAAAATTCACTAAAATAGAATTTTAAAAGTCCTCGCACCTTCCTTTATTCTTTAGAAACTGACTCAAAGAACACTGTTAATCATTGTATATTTCTTTATAGTTTCGAAACTCAGTTCTTCTAATAAATGTAACCAATTCATCTTGATACTACTTTTCTGATTATTCCTTTGGGTTATTATTTAAGAATTATCTACGAATCATTTGTATCCTTTGATTTAATTATTCTATTTTTTTAGCATGGTGTTGTTATTCTTCCTAAATCTCTTTTTCGATATTTTAAATTTGCCTTTGAACTTCATTTGAATCATTGCTTACGACATCATTTTCTTTGAAAAATCTGTTGTAAAAATTAATAAAGTAAGAATGAATACACTTGAGCTTTTCTTAAGATTATTTTGATTAACTCTATTTTATTAATTCCATATTAATCTGATAAAACCCTCTCGTGTTTTGATTATCCTTATCTAAAACATTCGAATACATCATTAATAATAAGACAAAGACTTCTTTTCTAGTAAACTCAATCTTTTTTTCTATAAAGGGTTTTTCCTAATTATTTCCTTTATATTATGAATTTTGTAAGATTGATCTTTCTTCCTATTAATAGTATTTTTTGTCATAGTCTTTGATATTAGTTTGATTTTATTTTGCAATAAATTCATTTATAGAACTAATTAGTTTGAGTTGGTAATCTTTTATTAATTAATTTGCAATCTTATTAAATTAGACCATAAAGTGTTTATCCTACATATAAATGATTATTCCTCACATTCGATATATTTGAGAAGTCAAAGTACTCCTTTTTATTTGCTTTAACCCTTAGTTGCATTTTTAATTCTATTAGAATACAATTTTTTAGATTGATAATAATATTAATAAAAAGCAAACTATGAAAGAAGTTTTTTGTTGATTCTCATTTATAGTAAATATATAAAAAAACAAATCATTAGCTATTTATTTATACAATATTTTTGTATTACAGAATAACCCTAAACTCTAAAGTCTAAAGATAGAAGAAAATTTGGAAATGCAAATTAGAAATAATAAAATACTATATTATATGTAAATAAAGGCTCCTTGAGTGGAAAGGAAATTAATTTAATTTGAATAATAAGTCATAATAATAAAACGAACTTAGTCGGATGTACTAGTTATCAAGTGGAAGATAAATTAATTTTTGGAAATTTTGGCAAGGACTAAGAAATTCTATACATTTAAATGGTTTTATAGGAGTGTTTTAGGTAAATTGTGGTTTTATTATATAATGTTTAATATGATTTTCATGAAAGTATTATTATTATATCATAAATATTCATTATTATTTGATTCATATGGACAAATATAAAAGTAGATTTGAAAAATAATTATTATTTAAATAAAATATTTATAAAATAAATTAGCTGTCTAGATTAGTCAAATGTTCAAATAGACAAAAGTCAATGATGGCTTCAAACTTCCAAGAATCGAGAAGTCCCATGCTTATGTTCCTTAGTCTAATCGGGATTCACTAGATTTCCTTTTAGGGAAAAATAGGAATGATTGCGTTCCATAATTAATACCTGAAAAGAAGTTGATTACTGAGCTACCCACAAATCGATTGGCTCGTCGAGGCAGTTAAATTTTGGATGGTTCTTCATAGGTGTTTATGCCAGTGCAGTAAACTTAGAGAAAGATCAGTCAAATGGATTGTAAATATGATATTGAAAATTTTTTTACTTTGGAACCTAAACCTGTGGTTAAAAAACCAATGGTTATTGCCAAAATAAATCGAATACCCAAGCATTACCGCTTATAAAATTTTACTGATTGGGTCGAAAAGTTATATGGTTAAGATTGGTTCAATGATTAAATATGATCACAAATTTTTACTTAAACTTGACTTAACTTATCTAATCATAGGTTCCTTAAACTCCTTCTATTTTGGATACTCTTTGGTAATTAGTTTTATTGTTATTTATTCTCACAATTTAAATATAATGTTCCTATTTTCATTATTCTTGAGCAATTGTTGAAAAGGTATTCTCTTGTACAAGAAATGTTTGTCGCCAAAGCTCTTCCAATGTTCCTAAGGATATTCTTGATATTTAATGATAAGTCTTGTTTTATTCTTTCCTTTCTGGTTGAGATTATTAAGAAAATACAGAAGATTTTTCATTTAACTTATGAATACTTAAAGGCATAATTATTGATTAATGGTTGTGAACTTATGATCAAATTTACAGCCAAAAGCAGCTGCAATATATTAGAGTATAGAAAATTTTCATCATTATCCAAATACAATTAAAGACGAGACTTTAATTTTTTTCCAATAGCAATTGGAAAACTCTATCATAAGCTCATTAATGATATTTTATAATCTTATTTCTATAATCAATAAATTATGATTTAGGATTAATTCAAAATAGAATGACGAACTTTGACGAAGTGCGTTTGACAATCAGAAGGACTTTCTTAAGGGAGTTTTTATAACCAGATGTGATCGGACAAAATCTATAGGATTATTAGTTTTTTAGTGGTTTAAGTATATAACATATATGGAGTTATTAGTGAGCTTCTCGAATATTGGAATAAGACTATTACAAAAATTGAATGAATAACTAATAATAAGTCTTCTTGATTATTTTTGACTTATTATTTTATTTATATATATTTAATCAAGAATTAGAAACTTACGCATTAGTTATAGTAATCTAATAGGTAACCAATCATTCTTGCTTAGAAAACTATAAAATACAATTCCTTGAACTTAAAACACATTTCAAATAGTGTATAATTGTCTCATATCAATTTATTATCCTCCTATTTCTTAAATCTCTATATTTTCATTGTTATTAAACATATGCTAATATTAAATTGATATATGTCTTCAATTAGGGTTTGATTCTGCATTTCTCAATTAATACACATTATAACTTAATGTAATCAATAGTCCATTTTAAATATAGGTAATAAGTTCATCCTTTAAACAAGTGATCTTTTATTTAATTCTTGAATAGATTTTTTTATCAGCGCTGTGTTTCCATTTTCTGATTGATTAGAATTGTGATTTGATCAATTACATTCCGATGGTTTTAGTAAGGGTTCCAAAATTTGGTTTTGATTATTATGATAGATTAATTTATCATTTTCCTATTTGTGAAAACAATACAACCTTAATTTATATTGGATTAAGTGCAAGTTCTGAACCACGAATTCAATGAGAAGCTCGAATTGAATCCACTATTCAAGCGAAGTTGTCTAAATGATCGAGAACGTTTATGTAAACTACATTCAGAGGCCTTATCACCATAAGTTGAGGAGATGATATCTATTGTACGATATTCAATTAAATAGGAAGGCAACTGAGTACCTGAATTACTTTGGAGCTGAAGATCCTGATCAATACTAGAGACTCATGAATTAAATCATCACACAATATGTTTATAGACAAGATGAATATTAAGCATACGCACTTGCATTCTAAGGGTTGAGAGATGTGGTATAGAGTTCAGTCAATATATCAATTGGGATAAATTATAAAGAAAGAGAAATGATGTTTGTGATGGAGAATGCAACAAAGTAATTTGACAATCTAATTACGTTTGAAAATCTCTACCTTTCTGCTGATGGCAATTTTATATACACAAAAGAACAAGAGGGCATGATTCATTTCAACTCTTCTGTGAATCTTGGAACAATAAAAATGAATTCAACTTAAATAATAGCAAGTTATTTCAACAAATAAAAGACTCTTTTCAAAAGTCGATCAATGGTTGAATTATTTGGTGGTGGAACATAAATCACAAAATTAAACATAAGTGCTCATTCTCAAATTGCATACATCACATTTATGATAGAAGCAGAACCTTTAAGTCCTGAAACAATCAAAAATAAGATTCATATTGCACTTCAATAAAGATATAGACAACTTCATAGAATTAAGGATGATTTTATAGAATAGTTTATCAAGCATTTCATTCCAAAGTATATGCATCCAGCATTGCATGATATAATATAAAATATGATTGAAAACAAACCAGTTTAAACTCAATATCAAGAATTATAATTTATAATAGATGAATTGAGGACTACGAAAAGTGAAAAATTGATAGAACTTAATAAATTGATTCAATAACTTTTATAATGATGATCAATCTACATCTAAAGACTGACTCTTCTTTAAAAATCCCATTTTTGGTGTTTAAGCATTTAATTAAGACAATTAGTTATCAATGCCTGATGATTCATCATCAATCACATAATCATCATCTTTACTTTTTTGCTTTTGTTGATAACTGTTTTATAACGCGAATTTGTGTAGATCTTGACGATTTCTCTTTTTATGAGAGCTCTAATTATTTTAAACCAGCCCTTCCTGTTTCATTTATTAACAGAACTAACTGAATTTAGATAGGTAAGGCTACTACTACTTGTCAGCCTTATTATTCGAACTGATATTGGAACAATTAGACAAAGATCCTATTGTATCAGTCTAACCATTCCATTATTATTATTTACTCAACAATAACATCGAACCTTCTTAACTATCTGAGGAACTAAAAATATAAATCTATTTATAATACTTCTTTCTTAGTAAAGGGGAATTGAATTCCAATTCATATTTTTGAAAATTGTCCTTGTTATCCATTAAATCATCTTAATTATAGATTTCTTAAAAGTATTCATGTTTCAAACACTCCTCTGCAGTGCATCTGTCTGCTGGATCGGCCTTTAACATTAATTTTATCAAACTCTTGAGTTCTTAAGGGCACTATCATAATATTCAGCAATATACCTTGTTTAATTATTGAATATCATAATTAATTTGACAGGCCTTGTTTGATTGCAATATCTCCTTATATTCATACCCTTTAAAAGGCTGAATACCAGTAATCATCAAATAGAATATTACCCCTGCACTAAACACATCGCATTTTTCATTATAAAAGGGACCATAATCGTTATACTTCAAAATTTCAGGAGCTACAAATCCTGGAGTCCCGCATCTTTTATAAAGTGGCTATTGATCCATTATATGAGCAAGTCCAAAATCAGCTATAACAATATCTGTATCATTATCTTTATTCTTCAATAACAAGTTTTCTGGTTTCAAATCTCTGTGCATACACTTCTTAGAATGCATATGAAATAGTGCTTTTAATAAGTTGTACATCAATTTTTAGATTTTCTAAGCGGTGTAAATTTTTGATTGAGCTCTTCTCATTAATTCCCCTCCTTCCAATAAATCCAATACAAAATATACAGAGTTTTATGTTTCATGCACTTCATATAGATGCAGAATATTCTCCTAATTCAATCTCCTCATCACTCTTATCTCATTTTCTAAACCTTCTCTTCCTCTAAACTGACCATGTATATAGAGTTTGCTAAAAGCTTTCACTGCGTACTGAACTCCATTTGATTGCCTGTTGGCCAGATATACATTGGCAAAACTTCCCTTTCCTATCATTTTGAGGACTTAAAAATCAGTATGGAAAGTCGTCAAAATACACTTGTTAATTAAGACTTTCTTCAGTTACTCACAGTTTTCAAGGACAATATCCACATACTGGCCATTTCTCTGCAATCTAATGTATTCCTAGTCGTTGTATCGTTTAAACACCATGACTGTAACAGTCAGCTAAAGCATTCCTTAAGGTTATTCATTTTTGAAGGCATATAAAGTTTCCTAACCAATTTAAATGCTTAATGGTTTTAATTCCTTATGAGATTTGCTCAATCTATTGCAATCAGTCTGGTATTCTATGCTATCATTCTAATTCATTTTTTAAACTGATTACTTTATACTAAATTTTGCAAAACTTCATCCAAATCTTATCCTTCAATTAATCCTTATTATCAAAGAAAGAGTGAATTTCACTAGTCATATTTAAAGAGCTAATAAATAAATATAATTTTATTGATTAAATTATCTTTATTAGCTACTCTATGCGGTCTCATTAATTTCTGGGATCTAAGTGCATCCTGCAAAGCAACACAAGAAATTTAATTATACAATATATAATCATTTTTTTGTATTATTGGAATAATACCTTATTAAATTTTAAATTTAGGGACTATTTAATATATTTGTTCATATTAATTGTTCATTGTATTTTAGAATTCTTTCATAATGTACTATTTATCTTAAATTTCTAATTAATAAATTTATATCGATACAATAAAGCCCTATTTAACACAATTAATATATATCAAATCTATTTCTCAAGCAATTCAAAACCCTTTAACTTTTTGACAAATATTTTTCTCTAAAATTTACATTTGGAACAAGTCTTAATAATAAATAATTTTTTGCAAATTTTTTTAAAATTCACTTCTCCAAAAACAATCGGGCTTTAACATTTCTTACAGTGAGTGTGCTTGATTTAAGGAGTCATTCTAATTGGTACCTTCTCAGCTACCTTTTACATTTATTCCTTCATTAATTATGCATACTCAATATTTGATTCAGAAAACAAGAGCGAAGCCTAATAGAGATAGTTGAGTCTGAAATATGCATCATTATCCTTCCTTCTGTGAATATCCTCAGATGTTATTACGTATTAAACCATCTTAATGGAATTTATTTATTAATTTATACACTCCTTATTGTAAATAAATATATTTATCACCCAAATTTTTCATCATTTCTGTAGAAATCTATTATCAGTACTCGTTAATTTATTCTATACCCATGATATTCAATGTTCATTAAGTAGAGCGCTAACTCAGAATTGAATATTGAATTTGAGTAAATTTCTGTGATCACATTTTATCTTATTTTACACTAGTTCATTGAGGTACCGTCTTTTAACACTAACATTCAACTTAATTAATCTCTTAATTATATGGTTAGAATCCAAAATGTCTATATGAACTAAACAATATATTATTAAGGACGAATATTATTGGCAAATAGGCTCAGTTTATATAATAGTTGTCGAAAATACCCATTTACTTAAAAGTTTGGACAATAGACTATATTGATTTTTTTCTAATAAACATTGGGATTTAGAAGGAAAAAGTAAAAAGGAATTTTGTTTCAACAAAAAAAATTAACATAGAATGAGATCAATTAGATGCAATAATATCAATAGTAGAAATTTGACTTTTATCATATTGCAATAATTACTCAGATCATAAATAAGCAAAGGAAAAGTGTAATTGATTCTTTTATGGTACTTTAACATATTATTTTGGGGTAATTTTAAAAACAAACATAAACAATTAAATAAATTAATCTAATTTGTTAATGACTCTGCTGAAAGTTTTAATAATATTAAGTTTAATAAATAACTTAGAGAGAGCTACAAAATTATTGATTGATAAACATATTCTTATGTATTGTTTGTTAGAATGTAATATGAATTTAAGAAAATCTTGATGTCATTATTATAATTCAACCATTTCATAAGCACAGCATCCCATGGTAGCAGGGTCTAATCCCTCATGTTCTTCTTCCAATGTTACTCTCAAAAATCCTATTTTATCAATAAATAGAAGTGTTATCAAATGAATGAGAGCAGACCATCCAATATATATGAAGGATCCCAGCATTTGAACAGCGAATTAATAGCCTCCTTTTCCATAGACAATTCCTGTATCCATGTCAAACCATGATACCAAATTGGCTCCCAACATTCCACATGCCTAAATAAATGAAAATGGATACAAAGTGGATTGAAATAGCATCAACAGGATCATCTATCTACAGATTGAATAGGACTCTGTTGGCAAATACCATCATCATACCTCCAAGTATTCCAATAACAAATGCAGCCCAAGCATCAACATTATCACAAGGTCTAAAATGATAAGAATATCAGATTACCCAGTGATGGCTACTAGTCCAGCAAGGTTGCCGTTGCAAATCATGACTAAGGAATATTTATTACCTTGGTCGATGTTCATTAAATAGAAAATAAAGAAAACTGTTAAAGCTCCTGAAGCTCCAGCGATGAATGTATTCATAATGGCACGACTCATAAAAACACTAGCTCCATTGGCAATACCTAAGGAGGATCCTCCATTGAAGAAGCACCAACAGACCCATAAAGATAGACAGGCTAAAGTGATATAAATTGGGTTGTTAGGTTCAAAGTGTTCTGCATATTTTGGATTAAACCTTTAATTTCTTGGTTTTAACAGCATGGTTGTCATCAAAGCACCCATACCAGCAGAAGCATGAATGGTACCACTGCCAGCATAATCATGATATCCTAATTTCATTAACCATCCATTTCCAAATCCCCAATGAGCACAGAATGGGTATATAACTGAAGAAAACACGACTGATAATATAAAGTATCCGATGTAGGTCATACGACCAGCAGCACCTCCTGAAACTATGCTAGTAGCAGCAGAGGCAACAGCTGTCTGAAATGCAAACTCTGCCAAATGTTTAGAATTTTTCATATCGAATCCCACAAAAACAGATGATCCAACGAATTCTTTTGAATCACTTCCAAAGGCAATTCCATAGCCAACAAGCCACCAAATTACAACAGTAACACAGGTGTTCATAAATATTTTGAGCATTATACTTTGCATGTCCTTATACCTAAGACATCCACCTTCAAGGAATGCAAATCCAACTTGCATCAATAAAACGAATGCAGCACAGATACATAGGTATCCCTAAAATAACTATTGTATTTACAATGTCTATAGATTCTTTGAGTTGTTCCATACGCTCAATTGCTATTCCTAAATCCGTCATTTTTTTAATATATTTATAAAAATAAGTCAATATCAATTTTATTTCTTATCCAAGATCTTTTGTATCAACTTCTGTTTCCAATATCTATCCTGCACAATCGGTTCTGGTACTTTATAAGCAAAGGAACTAATTTGCAAATGTGAAAGTTACTTTTTAAAAGTGGTTTTGAATTATCCATCATAAGACCCATTTCCTTATTGATGAGCACTGTATTTTTTAATGGGTTGTAATTCTTCTATCTAGTAACCTGGATAGTGGATTTTAGATAAGGCTTCTTTGAAGATCATGGAGCTGCCTGAAGCAAAGGGACCTCTGAAATATACTAATATTGAATACAGGGATTTCTTTTTGGCGGATTCCATAGGTTCGCAATTGTTAATCCGGTAGTTCTCTTAATAAGAGGTTTTGCCAATGAAGGGCAGGGCTCCGGTGCTTTATCCTCTTTCAGGTCCCATCCTATCTGTAAGACATGATTTCCAATTGATGTAATTTTGCTTATAGCTTGTGAGAGTGAGCATTTCAGCCTTGTCCCTAGTGTAGGAGGGTTTACAATTGTCCTGAGGGTTAATTTTGGGAGTACGATATGAAGTCTAGATATTTATAAAAATGTAAACTTCGTATTGCGTTTGTAACTGAAGAGATTAAGCAACTGGGACTTAATCATACATCTTAATGTTGAAATGTTATTGATCAAGAGCATTAAGTTTCTTATAGACTTGGTCGTAGGTGGTCTGCTTTTTCTAGGGCAGAGACACTTTTAGTTCTTGTATTCTGTTTTATTGTCTCTCCTGCATGTACAAGCCAAGGAGATTAACGAAATACTCTTGATTATCCATAATCAATTTCTCGAGGTTGAAGTTGGGATCCGATTGGATTTCAGGTGGGATCAACTCCAACCAAAGGGGATCGTCAATGGGCACTAAGTCGAAAATGGTGTTAGTTTATAATTTCACACTTTCTGAAGGAGTAGGAGTAATAGTTCGAGATTTAACTGAGTGAGCAGGTTAAGATTGATGAGAATGTTGGGATTTAGCCAATTTCTCTTGGGGCTCAACTATTTCCCCTTTGTGGTTTTTGTATACAATTCTGTTCTTTCCCTTGCTCTCATATCTGCTGTAACTCTTCAATGAGCCTTCAGTTGGCGATCGTACCAAAAGAGTTTGTTGAGATGGCTACAATAAACCTTGCATAATTATTAATTAACATGAAATAGAGGATTGTTTTAATTAATATGTATTTATTTCATTGTTATTTGCATTCTGGTTTCTCTGCTTTTTTATTATCGCCTCCTTTACTGCCACTCGACTTCTTTCTTTTCTAAAACTCATAATGATTCATACCGATTTCTTTTTATCATCCTCGTCATCCTCATCCTCATCATTGTCGTCGTCATCTTCTTCATCATCCTCATCCAATCCATCGATTTCTGGTTGCAATCCCAAATACAATTCCAAAGAGCTAGGAACGATAGAATCTAAGAATTCAGTGGCTATGTCAAAGTGTTCATTCATTAAGTCTTCCTACTTCTATAATTCCTCTTCATCCAATTCCTTCTGATTGGTAAGATCAAAGTCTTTGAAGAAATTGAAGAAACTGTCAGCATCGACTACTTTTTCAACGTTCCTTGAAGCTCCAGTTTTCTTGTTCTTCTACTTCTTGGAAACCTTCTTTTAAGTGATGTTTTTTCCTTCCTTCCAATTAATGTGAGTGGATTCACTCTTTACTGGAGTGTCTTCATTCTTTTCAAAAATGAATCTCTTCTTAAGCACATCATTAGTGAAATATTCATTTGGTAGGAATGTCAATTTAACAGTGAAATTGTTATTGTTCTCTTCATGTTCCAATTCAACTTTCTGAAGAAATTTCAACACTTCCCAATCCTTCTCATTGTCATGACAAACGTCAGCTTAAATATTAATATTGTAATGTTACATATCAAAGTTGAGTTTTTAAGGACTTTGTACCAATATTCTGACAAAGGTTCAGCGACATTGTTTTCATTGACTTGTTATGTTTCAGTGTCATTTACAAATTTTGCCAAATCAGCTAATTCGACTTCATTTGGAATTCTCTATCCCAAAATGATTTCATTTTGCTTTCAAATTTATACTTTTTCAATTACCTTTTCGTATAATGGTAAATTGAGTCGATCATATTAATTTGTGATTTTGTTAATTTCTTCTTATAACTCTTCATCATATTTTTATTTTCGTTTGAGACTATGGAATAGAGCTACTGCATGGACTCTTTGAGCAAGAGGCAGAGTTTTTATCTTAGCAATGACTTCGTCTATATTTGAGTTCTCGTGATCACTCATTAAAAATTATAATGAATTAAGTAAAGCAATTCAAATTCATACTCTAATATCTAGAATTCAGTTCCAAATCAGATCAATAGTAGTACGAATTAACCATCTTATTGAAACGCAGTACGGCTGCTGCTCAATAAGTTGTTACCAAATTGCAAATTAAGAATCCTGAACGCACCATGACTATTTGTCGTCTTCCCATTGATCAAGTTGTTGAGTTTCAATAACGCATGACCAAAAAGGATGGAATCTATGCTGACTATAATGTAATATACTCCTTGTCTAATTAGATCAAATTCCTTTTCTATTTGGCTGGCAATCAATTGCTTGGGGACTGCGTAATCAATCTAGCCTACTTTCTCGACGGTGGAGCACCTCAAGATTAAAAACAGAAAAAACCACTCACATCCACAACAGATAAAAGAGCTGCCCTCCTCTTCAAAGTCATTAAGGATTCAATATACGAGTCTCAAGAATTCCCAATTGCAGACGTTCCTGCTCCAGTTCTTGGACCTGCACCTCAGACTGCACGAACATCCAGTACTAGGAAGATAGACTCCAGAACAACCAGGGCACGTAGTCAATCTCCGCCCAAGGAGTTTAAGACTGCTATAATCGTAAGTAAAGCCAATGAATAACCAGCCGAATCAACTGTTTCACAATCCTCATTCAAACAACAATAACATCATTAGCAAACATAATAGGATAATCTCACCTAAAAGTTTGTGTAATTGGGTGAGAAATTTCAATAACAAAAATAACAATAAATAGTTTAACCACCATTACCACCACCTCCTTAAGAATATGATAACTTCAAAGAAATCACTGATCTTCTCTCTTAATAAGAGGCTGAATTGGAAAAATAAATTGAGCAATTAGACATTCATATCAGATCTGATGGAAAGTTTAAGAAGATTTTCGATGATTCCACATTCAATAATTTTGACGTTAGTTCTCAAGATTCAGAAATCTAACTATGGAAATAAAAGTGTGCAGAGCTTGAAGATAAATTTAACAAAGTCCAGGATGAAAATTAACATCTTACTGTCATTATCAGATAATAGAGTGAACAATTAAAAAAGATGAATCAAAGATCTCAATCTGGCTATAAGTAAATTAATGACAATGCTCTCAATCAATCCACTACATCGAATCAAGAATAGTATGAGAAAACTATTGACAAGAAAAATTAAATCATTAAAGAATTATCCAATTAACTATTAGAGTTAGAGAAGAATGCTAATGTCAATATAATTGATTAATTGAAGAGTTAAATTGTGAGATTAGAATAATAAATGCAAGAGAAAGAAGATTAGTGGTTGGCATAAGAAAGAATTTATAAGGATAAGATAATTTAATTGTTATAAAATACAGAATGAATTTATCAACCAAAAACTTTGTTTATTTGTTTACATTCTGCTTTATATTCACCATTTACTTACTCAATAGTTTGATTCTCTTTTGTCTATCATGTGAGAGATATTTTATAAAAATACCCCAAGTAATTTCATCTAATAATTACTATTTTATAAAGAACTGATGATCTAGCTGAAGCTCCTATTATGAGATAAGTGAAATTGCAGGGGGTTTACAATATTCTTACTATTTCCATTTTAACTTTGATACACCACATATGGCCCATTTTTAGATTAATTGTATTTTATTGTTGCCCTTCTTTTATATTATTTTTGCTTCCATTCTTATTGTTTTCTTTTTGAAGTTGTTTATAACTCATTAGTTTCTCATGAATGTGAAGCATAATGTTATCACTTAAATCAATTTTTATCAATAAAACAAAGGTTTTGATTTCTTTAAGAATTCCAAATTATAAATATTGGAAACCACAGTGGTTAGCCGAATGTATTAACTTTAATTTCTAATCCTGGGTAAATAGGTAATTTTTGCAATTCTACACTATCCGCCATTTATTATATAAATATAATACATTTCAAATATAAATTAATGAAGGAATAAAAATATTTGAAATTACAAGTCAATCGAATTTGCTATAAGCACAACTCAGATAAGAATACGGGTCCTCCTTATTGGTTGGAGCATACTCTTCAACCTCTTCACTTGCAAATATTTCGTTGAGGATTTACTCCTATGATTCTTCTTCTGGAGAATCAATCGATTCCTCCTTTTTTGGGACACTCAAGAATTTATCATAAGGTACTTCTTTCTTCAACTCAGCCTTCAAATTTTGAATTGCCTGGATGTAGAGTTATTTAGTTGATTGATCTTTAATCTTGTTGTTAAGAAGTACACAGATGTCCGCCTGAGTACTCAAGAAATCAATCCATTTATTCTGAGTCTCCATCTGGATGATCTTGGTTCGTGGATTGATAGCACCGAATAATTTCTTGAGATCTCCCAATTCAAACTTTTATTACTTTGAAGTCTTCTTCTTGTGAATGGCTCTTAGATACCCATCAACCTATTTGTATCCCATTTCTTCTGCCCAATGCATGAATTGATTCATGAAAAAGGGCACTATACGCCTTTAAAAATTGTGCAACTTCTTAACTGAATAAGGCACCTCTCTTTGTTTTTGCTATGGTTTTATTTTTAAATGAGTATTGATAACATCCAATAATGATTCGTCCATCTAAATGACTGCTTTACCATTACATTTCTTTAGAATCTAAATAATCTTATTATAGATCTTACTTAATATGTGTAGATTTCTTACATTTTATTAATAATAGTCCAGGTTCTTTGAAAAAATTTCATTTAATGATGTTTTCATTACAAAGTTCAACAATAATCATGGAATTTTCATTATAAAAATAATTAATCACTCATATTCAGTAAATGTGAATACTTGTCTCATTGAGAATCCATATATTTCTGAGATTAATCCTTTTTGACCATACTATGTGAGTGAATCTTTATTCAAAGCTTTTCCTTCTTAATTTTACAATGACGTATTTACGATTATCAAGCCGTAATAAACTTCTTTCTATATTTGTTATTCACTAATTATTCAAAGTTTTCTTTGATCCGAATGGCCTTATTGCAAAAGTATGATCATAAGATTACTTCATCACCTCAAACAAACATTAATAGCTAGCTCCTGTTGACTTTATAAAGAGTTGGATTATATTCTATATTTTTATATCTTAACTACCTCTATTTAAAATAAAACTGGTAACTAAAAACTCAAAACTCCTTAAATTCTTTAAGAATCAAGCACTAATCTTTAATCTATTATTATTACTTTTTGCTATAATACAATAGAACAGGAGGCATTAAAGATTTTATCATCCTTCCGGTTACATGGCTTTGAAAAAATATCAACTTTTTTTAGGATTTTTTTACATAAGTTCTTATGTTTTATTCCTATAAGTTGACTTAATTCTACATTTGCGTATTTTTAAACTGGAAATGTCGAATTTAGATTACTCTTTAAAATTCTTTGTTTATCTTTCTTTGAGATTCGTACATCTGATATGAAATTTGGTTAAGTAGTCAGTAGCTTTATTTTGGTCCTCTATTTGAAGTAGATTCCTTAATAATAACATAATAATATATATGATCTGATTTTATAAGAATTCTGACTGATTGTTTTAGGATTATAAATAATCTCATGATAATTTAGGAAACTCCTACTCGTTGGTAACGTCAACCTTTTATTCTTGTTGTTTGACTACTTTTTGAACTTCCTTTTTAACAAATTCACTTTCAGGTGCATTTTCATAAAAAGTCCTTTTTGCTTTAATCAAATCTATAGCCAAATCGATTTAATTTGAATAAAATGGAGCTGCCACTCTAATTTGATCAAAATATTGGAAAGTTGCCAAATCATGTTATAAGAATGAATCCTATTATATAATATTATAATTATTACTCCTTCCTTTTTCTCAATCTTAGTTAAGTAAGAAACCAAACCATCGCACAACTCTAAAAGGGTATAACATCAAATAATTTACTTATTAAGTCTTCTCTTGCTGTATTACCTCCAGTAGTATCTTATTCTTCTTCGCTTTGTTCTTCTTCAACTTCAATATCTTCAGGAGCATCAGGATCTTCTACTTATATTTTATTGAAATGTCTTTCAATCCTTTTAGTATGCTTTTCTTCTGTCTTCTTGATCTTATCGATCTTCTACAAGATGTAATCTCTGTGTCTTTAGAGGTCTTATTAATTCTCATGTTGATCCTTTAATTTAATGTAGGCTTGAATGAGAATTAAAACTCTTTAAGCAACTCCAAATTGGAATTGAATCTTCTCTCTCTCTTTTGTAATGGTGTATTTGAAATTTTCTTGATCCCTTATTATCTTTTAAATGGCTTCATTCTCCTCAGCACTTTTATCCTACTTACTAGTCAAAACCTTCAATTTCTATTTGATTTGATGGTATTTAGAGTGTTCATCAGAATATTTTGCGAGCATCTCTCTCAAGCTTTGTAACTTGAAAGCTGCAAATTCATATTCATCCTGAACCAATTTAAAAGTTCCTAAACTAACTAAATGTTAAGATATCGAAGCCTCTTTGAACAGAGCCTCAACTTCATGCTTTTGATATCAATAAATAATATACAATAGACGATTCAAATTAATCGATTTCCTTCTGGATCGCAGCAGTCCATTCTTTACTTCTTAATTCTTCAAGAGTTTTGTTTGGTTGAATTTCTGGGTGTTTCGAAACAACTTTAGAAGGTTTCTTTGATTTTTGAGCTGTCTTTGGTTATTGAATTATATGATTCATAAAATATATTAATTGGATATAGTTATTAAAATCAACATATTATATTAAAGAATTGATTAAAAAATTCTTTAATATAATGTCCAAATTAATCGTAATATCTTAAATTTGTATCAAATGAGAGAGTTATCCACATTCTTCTTTTAATTGATTATCGCTTTTCATTTCTGAATAATTTATATTATGATATTCAATAACTGATAAAAAATTATGGTAAAATAAAGTCTAAGTTGACAATTAAATTAAATTTTTTGCACAAAGAATGTACGTAATAAAGTTAAAATAAAGTAGAAAAATAAATTATATGATGAAAGTACATCAATTGTATTATCTTATTTATACGAAGTAAAAAAATCTCAACTTATCAATAGTGAACTTAATATATTTATGTTGTTAATATTAATTATATATTCAAATAAATTTTTAATGAAACATGTTATTTATAAATTATTCTGATCATAAAAATTCTAATAGGAGTAAATAATAAACATTAACTTCAAAAGAATTAGACCTATTTTCATTATCAAATTCAATTTAAATATTAAAATAAAAATCAATATTAAATTTCATAATAATCTAAAATGAAAATACTTTTCTTAGTAATCGAAGTGATTTAAGTGATCTGCTTAATTCCTTCATTTTAACTTAAATTAGATTAAGAAATTTCTTTGTACCCAACAGAAGGAGAACTTTATTATTATTATTTTTAGCACTGGGTTATCTAGGATGAATTAATGTGCAAAATTGAGCCTTAAATTCCAAATGTATAAGTAATGAATTAATGTGAAGAAATATTCCAAACACAAGGAAATGGTAATATTTTACGTCTATTATAATAGAATTTATATCAATGTCATCAAACAATACACACTTTATTACTTTGTCATATGAAAATGAAGTAATAATGTATGAATGGAAAAATTAAATAATTGAGTAAGTTGGAGAATCTGTGACAATTGATTCTTCACTTAATTGTTTTAACATCAATTTATCTTTAAATTTTTCTATTTTAGTAGATTGTTATTAAAATAATGAATTCCTTTTAATTTAATTATTGGATAATAAATCAATCCCTGCTTATTAAGTGTAATCATCTATGCCTGCTTCAACAAAAATATAATCAATTGTTAATGGAACCAATGCTTTTATAGTATATGCCTAATATTTTGAAGATTATTCGATACTTTCACTGTTCTCATCATCATTTCAAAATTAAAGTACCTTAAATAATTAATTTATTGATTTTGACATCCCCATTACAATAAGTCCTAATATTTATGCAATTACTTCTCAAGACATTTTCTAAATATCCATATCTCCACAATCTCAATTTTAAATCAAAATTAATTTTAGTTAGGAAAATATAAATACTTTTACTACTATTGATGTCTATAACGATTTATATATGTATTCTTAATGTGATCAAATATTGTTAGGGTGTTATTATAATGAATTACCGTATATTATTTAGCTCTTAGGATGTGAAAATTAAATATTCATGATGTAATATATGTATGGTGATGCATAAGAACCCATTTTGAACGTCATATAAAATAGCAATTTTGTAATATTTTAATCAAATGATTAAATAGTAATTTAACAATAATATGCAAATAATAACTTTTAATATTAACTATATCACTAACAAAATTTCCTAGTATATATCAATTCCGATAATGAATTATTTATATTCAATGAACAAATCCTAGCTTATTAAATTAACATTTTTTCTTTAAAAGTCAACTTAACTAATTTAGAATCTGCTGGAAATAATTATACTTTTATGATTTTATGTCAGAACAAAAATTAATCAATCTACACTTACAATAAGGTTTATCTTTCAGTATTAACTAAGAATGATACAAATATCTATGTAATTTTTGATTAAAGCTTCCCCTAATATTAAATTTCATTGAATATTAATGTTACAAACACCTTTAACAGTTTTTCAGGATAATTATTACAATATAAACAAAATCCAGATGGAATACCTTTAAATTTTGCATCAATGGCCTAATAACAAGCTGGTCAAATTAATTAAATTTATTACTTAGAATAATTTTTGTCGACAATTGAACAAGACAACTTTATTTATTTAATAGGATATAATAATTATTCAATTGATATTTTGTAAAGTCAAGTGAATCCTACGTCAACCTTCTAATTCAGTTAAATATGTTCAATAAATATTAGTGTAAATGCAAGTTCTTTATAAGTTGCTTATAGCATTTAACCTTAAATGATAATATTAGGATTTAGTGCTAATAATAAAATCTATTTGTTTTAATACTATAATTCTAATAATAGTATAATTAGTTATTCAAATTATACCTTTAACTCATAATTTTCAGATTTTGTAGTCACTTATGGTAATGTTATAATTCTATTTGCAAATCAATAAATTGAAATAATGACATTTGATTTTACTAATACTTTTACTTTAAATTAATCATCAATAAATAAATTGTTCAATAATATACAATTCAATCCAATATAAATAGTAGTGAATACATAATTATTGTCATCTTTATTATATATAAACAATTTAAATGAAGTAATAATAATTTCAATTGATTATAATAGCATTCCAATACCAATTTCATTAATTAAAGTCAATTACAAAATAAAGTAGATAAATATAATAAGTTAATAATTAATCTTATCATATTTATGTAATGATGATCAAAATACGTGCTTTTAAGTTTATAATGTATAAAATCTACCAATATACTATTTTGTAAAGAGTCTATATAGTGTAAATGTGGATAGTGAAGTAACAATATAATCAGATAACCTATTTTTATATGTTACTTTTAATAATTACACTGTTTATGCTTATAATCCTTCCTTACCATATCATCAGAGTTTATATTATATGCTAAAATTATCTTCCCCAATTAAATGTGCATATGCAATTCCAAGCTACTATTTTTATGTGCCAGAATTTCAATATGAAAAATCAATCATACTTCTTTCAAACAATACGATTTATTAATTGAATAGATTTTAATTATTTTAGATATCTGTTGAATTTTACAATGAACCCTTTAACAATTCAGTATTTTACCCTTAATTTATCTATAATTATAATGTAACTTCGATACTAAATGAGAAAACCTTATACTAGACTCCTAATTAAAGTATTATTTTGTATTCAAATTTCACAGTTTTTCAAAATTAAACAAATTAATCTATAAATTTAACAAAACATAATATAATTCCTGATTCGAAAAATTTCTCATATCCAATGACTTTAATTGTTGATAGATAAGTTGGATATTGCACATTAAAAAATCTTGCTTAAACTAATGATTTAAACAAATATTGTAGTTTGACTCAAGCATTGTAATATAAATCTACGAGCATTCCAAATTATAGCAATTTCTCTTTAATTACTTCAATAAATAATGAATGTTTTGCTTTATAAAATAGCTCTTACATATAAACAGTAAATAGCAACTTAACATAAGTATCTAATTCAAGTTATTCTAATCTAAATTTAACCTAATGTCTAAAATCAACATCAAACAATTACACATTATATTCAATTTGTGGAAATAATACTTCATAATATTTGCTTAATTTTACTTTAAATTGTGATGGTAATATAGTATTAAGTGAAACTATATAATTACCCAAAACGTTTTAACGTATTTCCAAACTCAACGTCACTTCAAATCAAATTTTTATTTTAGGTACTTTGGAAAATTCATCGTTTTAATAATTGTATTGGTTTAATTAATTTAAACATAACTTGTAGATAATTAGTGCAGCTACTGATTTTTCTGTTGCGTAAGTACCAAAACAGTTTGAGGATATTTAAGCACAATTAATAGTTATTTTCTTTACTAATTATTATTTATAGTAATAGTTTATGTTAATTAATGATTCGAGGGTCTAATTAGGATAATAAGCTCAGATTGAAATTTAATTTTGCGAGGACCTGTATTTTTGTTATTTACAATAAGACATAGTTTATAATTCGGTTCTAATTATTTAAATATAACTTAAGAGTGTAACAATACTTGCGAGTTCTAACAATTTTAGTTATATTGCAGTAGTAAAATTAGAACAAAGAAATTGTTCAAAAAATGAGAATTGCAAAGGATAAGGAATAAGAACTATTCCAATATATGGTGATTTAATTAATAAAGGCAATTCTTTTTATTCGAATGGTGTTTTGACACAACAATTTATAAATAATACTAATTACATAATCGGAGTCTATTATTTGAATAATCTCTTGATTAGAAATTTAAGGGAACCTATTTTAATGTTTGGTTCATTTACCGCTACAGTGTCCAGTTATGCAATTATTGCCAATCCATATCAAAATGGGATAGCCTTATATATTTATGATTAATATATACTTAGTTACCCAATAGGTACTTGGAATATAACGTGTCTTTTGAATAAAAAAACCTAAAATCAACTTAATGTTTCTATATTTTGTAACAACGAATTTTCAAGTGGAATTTATAACATTTCATTCAATCCACCTCTACTAGAAAGAAATAGTAAAAGATGGATATACACTCTTATTTCAATTATTGTCTTGTTGTTATTGTACTTTTACCTCAAAGTGAGATAAAAGACAATAGAATTAAAGTATATTCAATAAGAAGTTGAGTTATGATGTATTAACAATATTGGTTCAATAGATCAACAAAATTTTGGTGTTAAATTATGTCATATCTCCTTGTTTATTTAGTACTTTATATTTTATTATGTTATATTATTATTTTATTAAATNCTTAACATAAGTATCTAATTCAAGTTATTCTAATCTAAATTTAACCTAATGTCTAAAATCAACATCAAACAATTACACATTATATTCAATTTGTGGAAATAATACTTCATAATATTTGCTTAATTTTACTTTAAATTGTGATGGTAATATAGTATTAAGTGAAACTATATAATTACCCAAAACGTTTTAACGTATTTCCAAACTCAACGTCACTTCAAATCAAATTTTTATTTTAGGTACTTTGGAAAATTCATCGTTTTAATAATTGTATTGGTTTAATTAATTTAAACATAACTTGTAGATAATTAGTGCAGCTACTGATTTTTCTGTTGCGTAAGTACCAAAACAGTTTGAGGATATTTAAGCACAATTAATAGTTATTTTCTTTACTAATTATTATTTATAGTAATAGTTTATGTTAATTAATGATTCGAGGGTCTAATTAGGATAATAAGCTCAGATTGAAATTTAATTTTGCGAGGACCTGTATTTTTGTTATTTACAATAAGACATAGTTTATAATTCGGTTCTAATTATTTAAATATAACTTAAGAGTGTAACAATACTTGCGAGTTCTAACAATTTTAGTTATATTGCAGTAGTAAAATTAGAACAAAGAAATTGTTCAAAAAATGAGAATTGCAAAGGATAAGGAATAAGAACTATTCCAATATATGGTGATTTAATTAATAAAGGCAATTCTTTTTATTCGAATGGTGTTTTGACACAACAATTTATAAATAATACTAATTACATAATCGGAGTCTATTATTTGAATAATCTCTTGATTAGAAATTTAAGGGAACCTATTTTAATGTTTGGTTCATTTACCGCTACAGTGTCCAGTTATGCAATTATTGCCAATCCATATCAAAATGGGATAGCCTTATATATTTATGATTAATATATACTTAGTTACCCAATAGGTACTTGGAATATAACGTGTCTTTTGAATAAAAAAACCTAAAATCAACTTAATGTTTCTATATTTTGTAACAACGAATTTTCAAGTGGAATTTATAACATTTCATTCAATCCACCTCTACTAGAAAGAAATAGTAAAAGATGGATATACACTCTTATTTCAATTATTGTCTTGTTGTTATTGTACTTTTACCTCAAAGTGAGATAAAAGACAATAGAATTAAAGTATATTCAATAAGAAGTTGAGTTATGATGTATTAACAATATTGGTTCAATAGATCAACAAAATTTTGGTGTTAAATTATGTCATATCTCCTTGTTTATTTAGTACTTTATATTTTATTATGTTATATTATTATTTTATTAAATATATAAAATATTGATTTATCAAAACTCTTTATTTAATTTAATTATAAATTAACAATATGTTCGTTTTATAACAAAGAGTGCTAGAAAGTAATCCAAGTGATTATTATTGTAGAGTGCATAATCGACATCACTAAGAAAGCATTTGGAGATCAATTAGAAATTGAGAATAGAGGTGCATTCCTTAATCGGATAAAAGAAATCACATTGGAAGCATTTTAACTTAATTATGGAGAAGAGATCTTCTTACTTCAATAAGAATTGAGATAATCTTAGGAGGTGATTGAAAAGGCAAAGCTAGATTATTTGGATAGAGAATAATAGTTAATCATGAGTCTTGAGCAAAAGTTGCAAGAACAATAAATATTGCAATTAAAAGAATTGAATAGCCTCTAAGAAATGCATGATGAACAAATTCAGCTTAATAAAAAGCTATCACTCAATCTAGATAGGGTAAATAGATAGAATAGTGAACTTGCTTAATAAAATGATCAATTGAATAAAGAAATTTCAAATTTGAAAGAAACTTATAGTTAATTTGAATCGTAATAAAAACTTAAAAATCAAGAGGTTTTTGAATTTAGACAAAAGTTTGAACAATAATAGTCTTCTAATTAAGTACTTGAGTAGTAGTATAAAACTATGAAGTAAGAAATGGAAAAAGTAATTAAAGAGATGCATAGAAAGAATCAATTATAAATTGATGAGAATGTTATAGTGGAAAATGAAGTATAAAGATTGAAATGGGAATACGAGCAATTAAAATCAAAGAAGCATTAAGAATATCAAAAATACAAGGAAGCTTTAGAGTAGCTGAAATTAAAAAGTTCCAATAAAATAAGGGATTATAAATAGAAACTAAAGGAAGTTTAAAATAAAGATGCCTTCATTGTGGAATTATAGGATTAAATCAAAGAATTATAAGAGCATATCGAATTTCAATAAGGGTAACATAAGTAAACAATAAAAGTTTTAGAGGTGCAGTATAAAAAGCAATTTGAAAACTTAGAGCAGAATATGGAGTAGGAGAAATCCTTAATCTAGCAACATTTAACTAAAAGTTTAGAAACCACCTTAAACGACAAAGATAGAGAAGTATTAAGTTTATTCTCTTAAACATAATAATTGAAGTAATCTCTATAGAATGAGCAGGATAACAAATAGAGAAGCATCTTAAAATTGGAAGATCAGATTAAATAAATAAATTAATAGAGAGATGATTTGAGTGATGAGATTCAAGAATAACAATTAAAGATAGAGCATTTAGAGTAAGAATTGATCAAGAAAGATTAAAATATAAAGTTGTTATTGAATGATATTGATGAATTGCGTCAATTCTCTGAATAGACATTGAATACTTTAAGAGAGAACTAAGACTACTTGAGTGAATTGGAAAGAGAGAAGCAATAATAACATGAGATAATAGAAAATATCTAGAACTAATTAGAAATCGAAATTAAGGGTTCCTTTTCATATAAGCGATTAGGAGAGGAATTGGAATAGAGATGTAAATTATTTAAACAAGAGCATAGTTTAATGTTGGAGGAATAATTAAAAAGATAGGCTTCTTGTGAACAAGAAATTGATAAACTCAGCAATGAAAATTAATAAAACATTCTTAATTTTGAAAACCAATAAAAGAAATTAAAGTTGGAGTTTAAATTGTAATCTGAAGAATAAATGAGACAGTATAATTAATTAGAGAAAGAATCATAGTAAATGAATGAATAAATCGAGAGCTTAGAAAAGTAGCATTAAGAATTAATCTAAGATTTGGAGTCATATATAGCATAATACACAAATGCTTTAACTTAAATAGAAGAACTTAAGAATAAGGAAAATGATTTAATCTAAATTTAAAGCAAGAATTAGAAAATCTGGGATAATGAGAAATAAGTGCTCTCTTCATAATTGGAGGATCAAAAAGTGTAATTTAATAAGTTAAAACAAAAAGTAATTAGATCAATTTGCAAATAGAAGGAATAATTAAAATAGTAATTGATTGAGACTAAATAATTTATCTAACACAGATTTAAAAGCTATGATATTGATATTAGGGAGTTCTTGTCTAGTTAAATTAAAAAAATCCTTTAGGTAGTAATACATATTTATATTAAGTTATCGAATTAGGAGTTATATTTGGAGAAGAGAAATCATGAAGTTATTTTAAAAGAATTTGAATTAGAATTCGACAGAAAGGTTGATTAAGTCAAAAGAGAGTATAAATTGATTTAAGAGGAATCAGATATTGTTATAAAATAAAAGATATAATAGATTTACTAGTGTGATCAATCAATCAATGATTTAAAGAGGCAATTAAGTCTTAAATTGTAGGAGTATGATAATTTATAATCGCAATTCTAAGTTTCTAATGAGCTATGCAAAGAATTACAAAAAAAAGCAGAGATTGAATAAATACATTCCTAGAAATTGATTTCTTCTTTATAAGAAGAATTGTAAATAATTTTGAATACTATTTAGAATCCAAATTTAGCAAACTGTAGATTTTACATAGAAGGAGAGATAATACTTTGAATAACGATATAATGATTTTAAAGTTATGTCAGAAAGGAAATTGGATTAGGTTTCTCGAGAATACTAATAGTAAATTCAATAATTAGAAGTTTTGGTATAAAAAAACGAAAAAGTTGATTAATCACCTGTTTTCCTTAAGCATTCTCTATCATCTAGTTAAGGATTCCATCGATCTCCCAATATGATTAAACAATAGTGTAGAAATTCATTTATTTACTTAGATCCTTATTAAAAACCACCAAATTATGGATCTCCTACTCTACGAACACCTAACAAATCTCCAATCAACGAAAGAGCTGATAAAACCATAGAGGAGTTGAGAGTGGAAATTCATTAACAAAAAGAAAAACTTTCTAGAATGAAGTTAAACTTTACGGAATCTCAGAAGAAATCCAAAATTGCATCAAAGTATTGATATTAATTTTTATATTTATATTTAACATTCTGCAAAAACTATGTAAGTTATATTCTAATCAACTTAGGGCACCCAAACATTAGTAAGTTATTCATCTAACACCATTAGTGCATTCTTGAGTAACATATCCATGTGTCTCTACATTTGTTGTTGGATGTCTCAATATTGTTATTAAGTTCAATAAATCAATGAAAACAGCGAGGAATTTAAATTCGATGATTACTCTACCTATCTTGCACTAACAATAAGCGGAGGGTCTCTATTCATACTATCCTTTTTCCTTGGATTGTTCAGAACCTGCAAAGAGAACACAGGAGTATTTTGGGCATAACTATGTTGTCTTGTTTTCGGATAAACTCTCATTACTATTGGTATGGGTTTCGGTTAGTCTTCAGAAGATGTGGTAGTAAATAAGATATATTCTTTTAGTATGGAAAAATTGATTTTACTTTTAATTACCCTGTGGCCGAATTTGTTGCTATATGTGGAATCTTCGTACAAGCATTGCAAAACTGTTATGAACATAGTTTGAGTCCAGAATCTAAATGATTAATCATATTTATTCAATATTTATTCATATTTTCAAGAATCTCATTCCTCAACATACAATTCTAATTTTAGTGCACATGCAAATTTTAGAAAATTATCAATCTTCTTTTTTATTATGTTTTTGAACCTCTAATACACAAAATGACGAAATCAAATATTCAATAATTGTTTTGTAAATTTAAAGTATTCATTAAATTTTTAATAGTACATTAAAACTGAATGATTAATTTACTTAGATTCTTTGATCTCATTTTTTGTGATAACAGTATAGAATGTTACAATTAATAATATAAGGTAATAATCAAGATCATGCCTCTCCTTAATAATTGAACTTTATGTTAAACTTAAGATTTAATATTTCCATACTTTAAAGTCATTAGGATAGGTAGTAAAGAAGAATTGTTAATAAATAAGGTTATTGGGAAAGGGATAATTTCTCAATTATGATGAGACTTCAAACTTAAAAATAAAGATAAGTTTAACTTATAATAACAATTTTTTAATTGACATAGTTTATTTCAGAAATAAAATATATAAAAAATTTAAAATATAAGACATTTATTTATTGAAAATGAGTTTGAAAATCCTGAGAATGTGAAATTTTTTCTTGAGAATTCATTGAATTAAGAAATTAATATAATTTGATAATGAAATTGTATGAATTAATAAAGAGAGAAATTAGATTAAATGTAATGAAATAAATTTCTTCGCGTCTTCTCTTTTTCCATTTTTTCTTAAAGAACTAAAATGGGATGAGAGAAGATATTATAATTCCATATCCTATATTTAAATTTCTAAATTTTCCAAAATCAAAATTTGGAATTTCATAGGCGTAGCATATAATTAAACAATAAATATTTTAAAATGTAGAAAAATTTTTGAGTTGAAGAAGATTATAAAAGATCTCCAGATCAGCTGATCAATTAGAAAAACACAAATGCTGTCAAATTTAGAAGATCACCTTTAAAAAAAAAGACATCATAAAATCAATATGTTAATAGAGTATATGGTAGTTATTCTGCTAATCTAAAGCTTAAAGCACTCTTTGTAAAATAACTTAAGGCTATTAAATATGGAATTATGTCAATTTAAAAATTGAAAGAAAAAAGCGTCTAATGCTCTAAAAAATTATAAACTTCAGATCTTAAGCCATATTTCTATGTAAAAACCTTGTGATAAGATATTTTTTAAGAAAGTTATTGAATGCAAATACGTTGATTGGAATTATTTTTCAAAAAAAAGCAAGGATCAAGTTAGCTGGCAATTAGTTCCTTAAAGTTTATAATTCCTCAAATATATAAATACACTGTATTTATCCATTTAATTTGTTACCCAACTTACCCTTTTAAAGCCAGATTTGAGTAAAAGGGGTTCTTGTGAACCAATAACTGGATTGCTCCTATTCAGTTACTTGTGTTTGCTGAGATAAATAAAAATTTCTAGATTATATACATGTAATCGGTTGATTCTACTTGGTTTGCAATTAAATTTAAAACTTCTTTAAACTCAACCTAATTTTTATATATAAAACAAACTTATTATTTTAATTCATATAACTGTCTAGTCTAAAGAGCATTCTGATAGGGTATTTTGACATAATCTTGAATTTAGGACTTCAAATTCATACGTCATAAGCATTCATATCGGATGATAAACATAGTATAGTTAGGAATGCTTATAACAAGACCTAATTACAGAGTTTTAGGATTTGATTTAAAACAAAATCAAATTCATTCTAACGAATCAAACTTATTTTATTCGTATGATTTTTAATGATTGCAGAGAAATTGTTAATTAATATATGTCAGTGAAAGTTGGAATAGATACAGAAAATAAAGGATGAAGAGAAAATAAGTGATGAAGCGATCTGGAAAAAGGATAGATTTTCAATAAATAAATTAAATTTTATTGAGCTAGCAAATTTAAAAGAGAATCAGATATTATTCTTATTTATATTTAATTAAACAATAATTATTTATCAAATGTGAATTATTAATCATAATTCTATTAAATAAAAATAATAATTAGATCTACTTATCAAGTATTCAATTCAATCACTTCTAACATAGTTTTAATTTGATTATAGGTTTATACTTGTGGAATAAATGTGAAAAAACATAGTACCCATTATTAATTCAGCATAAAATAATTTAAAAACAAGTCAGAATTCATCAGAAAATATGAAAGATTTGAATATTAAATGAGTATTTGTTTTGCCAAAGTTCAATATTTTTAGTATTCTAACCTTATGAACAATAATTCTAACAATGATTTGGCGGATTAGAATACTTCACAATAAAGTTTCAATATCTAGCCACTTGAAACATCAAAAGGAATTGCAGAGAGTACGAATCAAGCTATATGTTTTTAATTTCATATATCTTTTAGATTCAGCTGATTTTTCTGATCCCTATGTTAGAGGTGAATTTTTAAAGAAAATGTATTGCTCTTTGATTGGATAATTCCTATACAATTTATTCATGATTATTCTAACATTTTATGCAGGATTGATAAATTGGTTGGTGACTGAATAAGACTGTGGTGAAAGAAACTCAGAATATTGTGTAGTAACACCAAACTGGTTGTTTTATGTTTCTTTAGTTGTCTCAATAATATTTTCATTCGCAATCTACTTTGGAGGAAGCACTGTAAGAAAAGTAACATCAAATGATCTATTATAGGGTCCCATAAAATATCTAATATTAATTTTCTACCCATTATTCTATGGATTTACATTTTCGGCTATATTCGCTTTTATGATTTACCATATGCATTCAATGGGGGTTTGGGAAATTTTGACTAGTTTATTTCTAATCTTAGTTTTTTTAAATATTGCTTATTGCAACAGAAGAGAGATTTCTTGCATATGTATAAACCATTTCATATTTTATAGGCAAAACAATTGTTGTTATTGTCCCACCCATATTGTTAGCAGTAGTGTTTGTACCGATTAAATCAGTTTTATTTGGTATCTTTTTGTAAGGTACCGTTATCAGTATGTTTTATGGATTCTATTTACTTTTGGAATCAAGCTTCATTATGGACAGCAAAGTAAAATTTCTTTAAATATTATTTAGAGATTAAATTTATAACCTGAAGACTATTAGATTACATCTTTGTTACTTAATGGTCTTATTGTTCAACCATTAGTCAGAGCAGTTGATATAATTCTTAGTATTGTAATGTGAAAAATTATAATAAATGAGATTAAATTAAAAAATAAAAATCTTTAAATATAAATAGCATTATTTATTCAAGGTTTAATTATGTAAATCTTTCTATTAGTGAATTAAGACTTTGAAATATCCTTTCATAAAAAATAATTCGAATTGAGTAAGATCTTTTACGTAAGGAATGAATGCAGTTTTCATAGGATAATTGCTACTAATCTTCATTAAATTGTTAGCAAAATGGCAAACAAAACAAAATGGATGGGTACCAAACTAATAATAATATTATAAAATTAAAAAAGTTAGTTCTGGTAGTTTTCCAGTATTCCAGTATTATCCATTTTGTTTTTTCCTAGAGTTAGTTAACATAATCACATAATCTCATAGGTTTTTGAATATAAGCGCTTTTAAGAGTATCTATTTTTTTTTCTTTGAACTTGATTAGTTTTAAAATGTAGCTTTTCTCCTACTATTTGAAGTGTCTTAACAAGATGATGACCTCTAGTTTTATCTAAATTAATCCAACACTGATTGCTAAAATAAAAACCTGCTAAAATGGCTTCAACTAAAATACATTTTGTTAGTTTTATTATTTTTAAGGTGAATTCATCAAATGAAATCTTGATTATCGTTCTGTCAATTTTTTTAACGTAATAGTGTATAATTAAAAACCATAATATACATTACTAATATAGGTTGCAATAAGTGATTTAAAAAAAATTCATTAATAAGTCTATATTTGAAAAATAATCACTTTACCCCTCAAGATTATCTTGTTTCAGTTTTGATGCTATAATCTGTTATCGATAGTAGCCTTCTAACATCGTATAAACTATAGAAAGGGAAGATATTTCTTATTTAATAGTGTATTATTTGGCTATAGAAATTAATAATATATATATAATTATTGCTTATTCTTGTTATTTCCTATCCATTTACTATAGAATGTAGAAAAAATTCAGAGTTTTTTTTAATCGTTTCCCTTAAAATTGTGGCAAAAATGTATCTATGATTAAAATGTGAGCTAAACACTTAACCATGGCAATGTAGAATATGACTAATTTTCATCTTGAGTTTTTCATTTGAGTAATTTATATATTTCAAACATGGATAAAATTTACAAGTAAGGAGAAATAATTGTCTTGCAGAAACTATCTTATGAGCAGCATTTTATCAAGTGGCCTTAATTTCTATTGTAGATTTTGATTTTAGAGGAAAAATGCCAATTAGTTTATTCATTGATAGCTGGATGGAAACAATAAGAAGAAAATTGGGAAATGGTTAACTTTCTGGCAAGGAAAAGTACTTTTCAAAATTGGTGGATAGATCTAGATAGTAGAAAAACTACTATACTCTAAAAATGGATTGAAATAGATTAATGGAATGAATTTATTAATAATTTTTGGAGTCTTGCTCAAGTTTATGAGTGTGGGGAATACTTTATGAATTGTAAAAGTAGCAATATATTTATAGAGATAATAAGATGTATTCTTAGATTAATCATAAGTAGTGGTAGATCATACAACTCTAAAGTTCAATGATATTTTGATATAAAAGATTAAAACATTTGAGTATATCCATGCTAAATAGATGATTGCCCAAAAATAATGAACTATTTAAAGTGTTGAAATATATTAGAGAGAGTTTTTGGTTTGGCCCCTATATTTGAATTTTGAAGAGAAAAAAAGGGAATATGTAGAACTCTTGATTACATGCTCCTGAAATCCTGATATAATCTTAATGCAAGAAATGCTATAGAATGGAAAACCTCACTTTAAAACACCAAGAGATACAAATTCCTATTGCTTAGTTATTATTTCAAATTTAGTCAAAAGTCTGATGTTTAGAATTCTAACTTTGATTATGCTAAAAGGTCTAATAATTTTTATTATACTAATTGCACTTGATAGCTAAAAAAAATAAATGTCAAAAAGACTCAAAGAATTAAGAAATGATTAATACTTTCGAAAGAAATGATAACTCATTTCTTAACAGTAGTGATTCTAAAAGTAATGTTAATCATAGAGATCATGAAATAACACAGCTTCCGTCACTCTTTTCTAATATTAAATAGAGATTGTTTTTTTATGAGATTAAGAGTATGTTCTTCTATTGATCTATATACACTATTGGCGAAATGGAGGAATCCTCTTTGATCTTTGGTAATTTAAGAGTCTTTTTTAAAACCTCTTAAAATTGCTCATTCTATTCTTCATAGACATAAACATTATCTTGAGCATCTAACTCTCCTGAAACTAAAATAAACTAAGAATCTTTTAGAAAGCAGAGAGCATTCCCAATATCTAAAATTGATTATTTAACATCATATTTGTATTCCCATTGATTATTTCTATTTAAACCCCAAATGATGAGTTATTTATTTTTGCTACATGATACCAATTTGTTTTCAGATTTATTAATACTCATAGCATTTATTGCCCATTTGTGTTATTTCAAAGAATATTAAAAAGTCAACCATTTCTTTTGCGTATAATTCAGTCTCCAAATGCTTATAACATTTTCGCAACTAATAAAGAGATAATCCTCATTTCTGTTAATAATCATGCAACCAATGCAATTATCAAGTTTTTAAGATTCAAAATCACTTTTCCAATATATTTCATTAATTCTTTAGGAAATTTTAATTGTCATGTCTGCAGCTGTTAGAATGCAAGGATTTTAATTGCATGGTAGAACTGCACACTTAATTTGTGACTTGTGAACAACCCAGGAAGCTTACTATTCCAAATTGCCATTAGCAAAATTCCAGACTCCTATTTTACCTTCTTTGATTGTAATCATCATCGATCCTGTCTTATCAAAAATAATATGTGATATTCCTTTTTCTGACTCTACACTTTTAATCTCTTTCAAGTTTATTGAAATTGGAGTTTTATTATTATTAATTTAATCATCAAAATCAGAATGAAGAAATTCATTGTTCAGCATTTTTTCAAAATTGTTCAATTTTAATTCTATTTCTTTGAATGGGTCTTCCTTAATTATTGATAATTAGTTGATGATTGATTTTGAGTAGGTTTGATTCAATTTGTTAATTTGATCTAATATCACTTATTACATATTATCCTATTATCTATACACTAATGATTCTAATCCAGCAAAGAAACTAAGAACCATTGGTTGCTTGGAAATTTGTTATAACTCCATCTTCCAATCAGCAGTGAATTTGATGATTGCATCTAGACTATTCAAAAACATATCTCTAATAGATTATATTTCTTATTATAAAGGTTCAATAAACTTTATAGACCTCTCTATTAAGAATTGCTATGAATTGACTCTGCTTTAATAATTGTCCCTAATAGTGGATAGAGTTTTATTGAATCCCTCTACTTTAGTTGATACTTGAAGAGAATCAAGGCATTTTTGACAAAGCAATCTCTAATTCTTTTTAAGAGCTGGATCATAGGAGACCATTATAATTTCTGCGTTTGAATGATTTCCAGAGCAATGAAGTTCACTTTTTTGTTCAATCATCAGAAATTATACTTATTTAATAATTGGTTTTCTACAATACATATGTGAGATTGATTTTGTTCATAATTTATTGAATATAATTTGACAACTTTATTAATAATAAATGATAATTTTGTTTTTTATAACAAGTACTTTAGCATCTCATATTTATCCCATATCTCAAATACAGGCAACTCAAAATTTTCAATTAGAATATGAATCAGGTTCTTTGACAGTTGATTTGAATTCTGAAATGAGCTATTTAAGTAAAGCAGGAGATAAAATCAGATGCAATTCAGCTCCTTTTGGAGAACAAATATAATGCCAACATTGCTCTCCTGATTGTATTGTTGAAAATGCTTAATTGATATCATCCGAAATAACCTTGGTGGACATTTTTAATGAAGAGGAAACAGAATCAATCATATATACTAGCACCAATGAATCTGAAATTTTGGGATTGGGATTACAAAGGGGAGGTATGTGCATTTATAAATAATGAAAGCTAAGTATCCCCAGAATCCATTTGTGTCAAAGGTGTTTCACATTTGTTTTGGTTATACGAGAGGGTTCGTTTCAAGAGAATTTAAGAACCCTAATTTGAGTGAATTGAATTATAAGGCAAACGAATCCAATTACCAAGTAGATTTGAGAATGATCAAAGTAAATGATGAGATGGTTGTGGATACATATGGCAATATCACATATGTCGATAGTAAGGAACCCTTTATCTTATTACCAGATAACGAATATATAATGATGAGAGACTATCTGTAAGAGTATGGCGTGGAGGAGGAAGGAAAGTATCTGATTGTGAAGGATAAATCAAAGGGATTGCCGACGATTGAGTTGATTTTTGAAAAGGATGAGAAAATAAAATTGGAAAGGGATGCTTACTCTTATAGACTAATAGATGGAAGAGAGATTGTCACATTTTACAGATCAAAGATCAATCGTATAAAGTTGGGATTGCCTTTTTTAACTTAATAATTGATTACTATTGATTAAAACAATTAGAAATTATTCATCTCCAAATACAATTGCTAAGATCAATTTAAGTAGTCACAATAGAATGCTCCTTACTTGAAACATATTGTAATCCCATTGATTTTGATGTGCTTAACATTTTACTGTCTCTTGAGTTAAAGAGCAAAGAACGGTGTGAAGAGAAGGTAATTAGAATAATAAGAGTTGGTGAAACTGAAAGAAGAGGAAGAACAAATATGAAAACAAAACTATGTTATATCATTTAATCAATTAATTTTTACGCCAAACTCCAATAATTGAACCAAAAGTGCCACGACCATCAACATAATCTTGATAGAATTCTCCCTTGTAACATTCGCCATTTGATAAGTATAATGCTCCTTGACCATCCTTCAACTCATTCTAAAAGTTGCCAACATACTTGACCCAATAACTAATTAGTTATCATTCAGTCTTACTTCCCAATGAGATCAAAATTAGAGCAATCAAATGGACTATCCAGTTTGGTTGGTTCTTTATTGTACAAGGTTCCAAACCCAGAGAATTAATCATTTTCAAATTGTCCTTCATATGCCTTTTAACCAACTCCATAGAATAGAGTTCCATACCCATGCATTTTATTCTATTTCCATTGTCCTTCATAATAACCCCCTTCTACAAATTGATATTTTCCAAATCCATCTCTTAATTAATTATACATTTCTCCAACATATGATGAACCATCTTAATATTGTTCAGTTTTGAAACATCTGGATCTATTCAACTCAATCATCTACTCCATTTCTTATCTATAATTGATGTCCTTCTTTGCAATATAACTAATTGGTATTTCAGTATAGCTCAATGGGATACTATTACAAGATGGGTGAGTATCTATAGTGATTACACGAGGATTTGATTATTACGTAGTTTTACTAGTTTCAGCAGAAAAAGGCTTAGAAGATTCCACTAAGGAGATCTAGGGTTTTATAGACGTAATTGGCATTATAAGAGAATCTATGGAATATGATTACATCCCATATCCAAGTAACTATTCTATCTTCTCCTTATCATTAAATTGTTTGGTTTGTGGAGAAGAATTAGTAAATTAAAGTGACGAATTCACTAATTTTTTATTGGATGTATAATCAACTGAAGCGTAACTATATAAATTCTATTATTAAATAGCAGATTTGCTTGGATCTCTTATGACCATTTGTTCCTAATAATTATAAAATCCCAAATCCTTCTTTTAAGTCTTCTTGATCACAACCTTTGGTTTAATCCTTAATTCCTCTAATTCGACCATATTTTTGCTTGGCTTGCTTTCAATTTGTTCTTTCAATTGATTCAATGGCTCTGGTAAACTGTCTTCCTTTAACTTCATAGGAGAATTAGTATCTAAACATATACGCGAACTATTAATCACAGAGTTCTCCAAGAATTTAGATATTCCTGCATCTGGATTGCCTTTCATAAAGCTCATTAATTGTTTAAAATCAGGTCTGGATTCTTCATCCATTGATAACATGGCCACAATCACTTACTCATACTTAATTGAATAATTCTTGTTCAATAGTGCTAGTTTCCTAGACACATCAACACGTCCTCTTTCAAAACTAATATTATTGATATTGATCTTACTCAAAACAATCTCGACAATAATCCAACAAACTGGCCTATAATATGCACATTCCCAGACTCCACACATCGCTCTTATATAGATTATGCCTAGGGAATTAATTGTTCTAATTGATTGCTTCCAATAACTTTGGTGACAATTCAAATAATTTCTGATTCTCTGGATTCTGTTAGGCCATTTGAAACGCAGTCGATTGAAATAAATTATCACACAGTTTCAAAGTGTTTTCATTAATGTAACTGATAGTCAATGGCCTTATATTCTAATGAACCAAATGAGCTTCTTGCATTTTCATCAATAACTTCATTATTTAATGATAAAGTACATCAACAAGTCCCAGCAATTAGTTCCATAGTTCTTATTCTGTCCAGAATGCTCCTCTACCCCTTCTGTTTGCAATCTCCTTGTGAAATGAAGTAGAATAATATTCGCTTATAATATACATCATGTGATAAGTAGTGCACAATTCCTGTTCCTTCTGTATTCCACTCTCCAATATTTTCACTAAATTAGGATGCTCAATCTTTGCTCTCTTTACAAATTCATCATGTTGACTTCCATCCTAAATGAATACTTTCCTCGTCGCACAAATCTAATTATATTTCCTAATCAATGTAGCCTTCCCATATCGCGAGTCCTATATTAATCCTTCTTGTTTACTCTCTTAAGAACCCATTAGAGATTTTACAAATAATTATTTATATCTTGTATACAAATATTATTAAATTTCACCTCTTTATATACTATTCAATGAAGCACTCACAAAACCATTCTTCATTAGACAATTTAATGATCTATTTATGGATTTTTAATAAATACAATCTATTAAATCTTAGGGGAAAGGAGGATCAAAAAATAAAGAAAAAAATTTTAACTATAATTTTAAAATATTCTTATATAAAGTAATCTATTTTTCATATTTTGATTTAACACATACAGTAATTATGTAGGTCATCACCCACAGTAACAAAATATCAATAAATTGAAAAGCAGATGTGAGGTTTCAAAAGAGTCTTTAAATTTAGCATAATATGAAAACTAAATATAATATTGCATAAAAATACATGCTTGTTATAGTAAATTGGATAATGTTCATCTTTTAAATAGAATAAAGTTGAGAGTTTTTCTTATTTCCTATTTACGATCACGAGATAATCTTGATTTCATTAAAAGGTTCAAGTCTGAAGAATAATAGGATATTTTGGGATCTTCAATTAAAATAGTTATTTTTCAGGATATATCTATTTATTTTCAAATTAATCCTTTAATCAGAACGTTAATGAATTAGTTCACTAATAGTATGAGATGACACTCTATTTGATAAACATTAATTTCGATTTACTCATAAAATATTATTATGATTTATGTAGCTTAAGATATAAAATTTGAGTATAAAATTAAAAAATAGAATTTAGAACTATAAAGGCAATTTCTCTTGAATGCGAGAACATTTTGTTATTTGATGTAAAATTGATAAAACGAAATTAATAGTTTTAGGGTTGAGTTTGATCATAAAATGATTAATTCAATGGTTATGTACAGAATGAGACAAGGTGCTATTTGCATCGATAGTTCTGGATTCGTATGAATTTATAAGCATTTTTGGAGGTTTTTTGTGGTATTTAGAGACGGCAGGTAACTTTAATCTTGGACTGCAACTGCGACGATGTTGATTAAAGTATTTAATGCCTGAATCATCATTTTGGAAGTTGTTCAAGTTATCAATCTTCTGTTTAAGTTTCTCTTGTGCTTTAGGGTGGCGAGAGGAGTTATATCTAATAGAAGGAGGAGATTTCTCTACGACAAAGGCTGCTCTCACTACGGGATCAAGATTCTTGATGTAATTGGCTATCTTGGAGGACGCTCCTCGATAATTCTTGTACCTACCAAGACTGGTTGGGTCGAAAAACAGTTTCTGCTCTTCCAGTCTTGGTTGAATAGATTCAGAGATTTTACTTTTCAATTGGATATCTAGCCAGGATGGTGCTGTTGATGTAATTGACTCTGGAGAGCACGTCTGCTTCATGGAGGTTGACATCTAAGGTGAATCGATTTAGTTCTCCCTTGTTAGAGACATACATAAAATAATATAAATATAAATGTTAATCTTTTGAAAGAAGTAATTATGGCAGTTTGCAATAATACAATTTTGAAGCTGATGCCAAATATTTTGATAATTCATGAAAAAGTATTAATATTAATAATGGATAAAAAGAAATTAAAAAAGAAGGTGGACGATTCTGACAGTAGTGATTTAGAGCAGCTATTAGAGATATCCAAGAAATACAAGTAAGAAAATGGATTGTGATATTCTTAAAGAAATCGCCCAAGGCCAGAAAAATAGGAAATCCCAATATTAAAGAAAGTGAAGCCTCCTGAGCCTCCACCTCAACCACCTCAGCCTACGAGTCTGCCGCAATTGTCATCCTTTAAGAAGAGTGAGAGTGGAGCATACAAAGTACCTCAACATCTGCATAAAAACTATCCTCATGCAGTGTATATAATTGGATTAAAATAGTCGACTCTATTTGGGGAATCTGCCAGATAATGTCGATAAGGATCATCTCCACAATTACATCAGACAATAGATGGAATCTCATGGAGCTGTACTTGACCCTGGAGATCCAGTGATACAAGTGCAATTGCAGCCGGGTCAGAAATATTGTTTCGTGTAATTCAGAAGCATCGAAGAAACAGAAGCAGCATTACAAATAGATACCATAAATTATCAAGGCAAGCCACTCAAATTCAAGAGAGTCAAAGATTATGAAATCAGTCCACGTATTGAGGGGGAAAGGGAAGTACCCAAGATTCAACCTAAAGAACCTGCATAGAAACTGTTTGTTTGTGGCTTAGCACCCGACACTGACAACGATGCTTTGGCTAACATTCTGAGTGAATATGGCAATTTGAAATCATTAAATGTTGTTAGAGACATAAAAAATGTATGTAAGGGTTTTGCTTTCTGTGAATTTGAAACTGATTTGGAAACACAGAATTGTGTAAATGGGTTGAATAACAAAGTCATTGGAGGCAGATTATTGCAGGTTAAGAAGAATGCTCAATTGCCAACTCCAACTCAGGATTATATTATTGATACTATTACATTGGGAGAGCAATCAGCATTCGAAGCTAAATTACAATAGATTAACTAAATGAAAGTGAGTAGTGTTGTGGTGATTAATAATGCAGTCAGAATTAAGAACATTGAGGACGATTATGAATACAATTTTATCGTTAAGGATTTAAAAAAGGAGATCGAGAAAATTGGCAGATTGATTAGTATGGTTGTGCCAAGGAAGAAGGATGGTTATTAGGAAGGAATAGGAAAGGTTTTTGTTGAGTTTGAGAATGAGCAATTTGCTAAGATTGCTATTATTCTGTTGTAAAATAAAAAGTATGATGGGAGGGAGATAGACATTGCCTTTTATGATCCAAGATTGTACGCGGATAAACAATATTGATTTTTATATAGATATCTTAATTGTTAATGACAAGAGTGTTATTCTATTTGTTTTCAATTATAACAATTTTGGTGTCTAAATTTAGTAAGGGAGTATTTAAAATAATCATTAAAATATTTATAAAATTTCGCGCTTATGGAATTTGAAAACGAGAATTCTCAGGCTTAATCCACTAGTTACTTTTAGAATCCAATGTTCTATACTCCTTCCCATAATCAGTAGGCCTACACAGTACCACCAAATACGATTAATCATCCATAATATTAAAATCCATAAAACCAATTGTGGTTTGTAGGAACCAATTTAATAAATCAACAATAAATGGTTGTCTAGAAAACCGTGTTCGATTAACCACCGTTATAGATCCAAACTTAATAATTTTTCCAATAATCCCAAGAATTAAATGATGATGATCATGATCAAGACTACTAGCCAGAAGAGGATCAAGGATCAGATTCTACCAGTAGTGATGAGTAATAGGAGGAGCTACAAGAGGAAGGTAATGAAATAGAATAGTAATTTTAAGAATAATTTGATGATCCTGATTTTGATTTACAAGCATACCTAAAAGTTCGTGATCAACTTTGATATTTATTATGAATTAAATTTAAATTCAAAATCGACCAAATTCTGCTCGTGCTACATCCCAAAGAAAACGCAATACTTCCCAATACACCTAACAATCACAAGTGCTTGTCAAAAACAAGTGTGTGTAATTTTAGAAGATCAAATAAAATAATCTGCTTGAATTATTACTTATGGATACTGGAACAAGAATGCCCTCGCCAATATCTAGTTAAATTAGTGTAGGGATCGGAAGAATCCCAAAGGACTTTTTTAATTGATTTAGTTATATGTATATCTACATCGCCATAATGGTAATCTTTGATCAATATTTCACATCTATCATTCTTATTTAAATTAAAGTAAATGTTAAGAATTCAAATCGAAAATAAAGAGAGGGAATGCGAATTCTAGGAACAATTAGGTTGAACCACTTTTTCGAATTTTATCTCATTTTCTTAATTTGTAGCATTTGAGAGAGAATAATCACTAAAGCAGGTATTGTTATCATTCTTGTTTAGAATAATTGTGAACCACTTCATACGCGGATAAAGAGAGAGAATTATGTTCCCTCCAATATATTTGAATAAAAATTAAAGAAAGTAGTGTTGGCAATATTATTAATCATATTGTATATATATATATGGATAATGAATTCACAATAGTAATCATGAAAGTAAACAAATAATTATGAGTAATAATGATTAATTCGAAACAACAGAAATAACTTAGATATCTTATTTAGTAGATGGGTAGAACAATAAAATGATGGGAATACATATCTAAAGATTTTTGACATAATAAATTTAAATTTAATAGTGTTGGGAGTGTATTAAAGCAACAAGAATAGGGATGATACAGATTGAAATCAAGTAGTTACACTGTTCCAAATATAGAGTAAAACAATAGAAGTGAATTCAAGTGGTTTAGAGAGGGATTTCGAATTTGGCATCATGCATAAAAAGATATAATTATTATGTTTAAATTAGAAGCAGAACGAACTTGATAGGATTAATGAATTAAATTGAGTATATAACAAGTAATGCATATCGCCATAATCTCTATGGTATTGATATAAATTTATGCGTTTCAAGCCACTCTCATTCAGCAATACTCTAGAATCCATCCTTAAAACATCAAAAAGAAATCTCCTACAAGTTCTGATAGAATATCCAAGTCAATGGACAAAACGAAGCCAAGAGTGGAGAGACAATAAATTAGATCGGAAACCATTGATGTAGTGATGAGACCCACGGATCCTATTTTGGAGGAAGTCCATTCTCAAAAATAGAAAATCATAAATTAGAGAGTCGTTGCTGTTAACACTTTCAATCGAATTCTCAACGTCGATCGAGTTGGACATCGAATGCAGAGAGGATAGCTTTTGAGATATTTGAGAGAATTCTACAGTCAGATCATCGTCGAACAAATAAATAGAGTTCTTAAAGTGCCAGATACATTGACACTGTAGATGTACGAATAGCTTATAACTTCTTTGTAACAATTAGACAGATAACAATACTTGAACTTATGTTTTTAGATATACGATTTATCAGGATAAGGTGTAATTACTAGTACAAACCTGCTGTCTCTTCTTTCAGTAGAAAAAAATACTTCAATTGTAGAAAATGACATTTTGACCATGATTAAACTTCGATCGAGTCTACTTAAGTCCTAATTGGATAAGAGTGAGTCATCCAGACTACCCAAACTTAGAACCATAGTAATCAATCACAAAAGGGCTTCCAAGGGCAAACGGATAATGATCTCCCAAATCGAGGAAGAAGAAGTAGATCAAAGTGTTATCCATCCCATTAATAGATTGAAACTCATTGATAAAAATCAGTTTTTTAAGATCTGGAACAATCATCTCCCTGGAATAATTTAAGACCTCTTCAAAAACTTGAATGATTATTATTATTAATGAGTACAGAGACGACTGAATTTATTCCTAAAAGAATGGCTGTTGCTGTGGCCATCCTCATCTTATTCGTACTCCACTATGTTACTCTCCTTATTAATGCATTCTTAAAAGGCCCAGATCAAAAGGAGTACATCAACAGAAGAGTGTTCCTATTCGGAATTGCAGGTCTGCTAATCATTCTATCAATCATTTAGGTTTGTTAAGTATGTCCACCATTCAAAGCAGTGTGTTTTCAGCTATACTTGCTTGGCTAACCTTTGTCCCCCTGGCTGTATTACATTTGAGCATTTATGAAAAATTTCAAAATTTGAACAATCACAAAGACACTCTCTGGCTGGCATACTATGGGTTACAATTTGTTTGGTTCCTAGGAATTATCATAGACTTCTATTCATGATGCATATATTTAATCATTTATCAATTCTATTCACTCAATCTCTGAATAGTATTCACCAATTTATTATCATAACATGAACTATAAAATCAATTTATTTTCTTTGAATTCTTAATTACATTATTGAGTTGCTCAGCAAACAATCTCCGAATTCTAATCTTCCTTGGTTTGTCCTGCAAATCTGCTTCCTCCTTTGTGAATCTCCTCAATTTTATTACCACCTCCTAAGTTGAATGTATTTCATCATTTGATTGCTTAAGCAACTCAGCCAATTTAATTGAACTATGCTAAGAATTCATCCCTCTCTTCTTACTCACCTAGGCTGTCATTATCTCCCTCGAAAAAAAACTTTGATCTGTCTACTTCATTGGAACACTTTGATTTCTCGAAAGGACACGGCTATCCTTATACGTCTAATCCAAAGTGGCCTAATCGTCTAGGTCATTGAATGCTTTAGACACTTCTCCTCTTCTTAATTCCATTTCATTCTGGCATTTTGATTTCACAAACTGCTTAAAGTATTATTCATAGTTCTACAATTGTTCCTCAGAATTCAACTTAATCTTCTGCAATTACAACATTTATGACAACTCTTTGAGTCTCGATTGATCAGACACTTAACTTACTAATTTATTTGACCACAACTCATTCGTCAATATGAACCCTTTGTTCTTGTGCAATTTATGTACAAATTAGTCTTACATCTTATTGTTGTGTATTTTTGCTATCACCTCCTTGTAATCTGCCTTTTAAGATATACTCCTTGCTATTCCCGATGCCTTCTTCAAGTGCATATAATATAAATCTAAGTTGGCATTCTTCGTGAACGTCTCAAACGTCTTCCTTCGCTACACTAACTTAGGATCAGAAATGATGTTTGGGATTTGGAATAAGTACTTAAATTTGTCTGTCTCATTTTACATTATTTTGCTTCTGTCCTTTTTGTGTATTTAACTGATATCTTGAAAGTGAACTGAATTCTTGGGTCCTTTCCCTTATTTTATGCGCGTTTAAGATGGAGACTCTATGGAATCCCCCATTTTATATTAATAATATAATCTTTAATATTATGTTAATTATAATAAATAAATTTTATATTTATTAATTATATTTATAACTATGTGTGTTTTAATCTTTATTTTCACATTACTACTTCTTATAACTACTTAGTTATTCAAATGAATTATATCACTTATTAATAATACTTGATTAAAATTAGATATAATAATTTGCTTATTACGAGAAATATTTATAAAATTATCAAAATTAAAATGGATCAAATTATAACAAATGATTTCATCATCAATTCAAAACTTTGAAATTTTATATTTGTTTATCAATCCACAAAATTGAGATTCAAAAGTTGTGATATCATATTTTTTTCATTAGAATCTATTTTGATGATATTTTAATTAATTTAAAAAAATTATAATAATTTAAATTAAATGTTAAATAAACCTTTAACTTATATGATAATAATAATGGAATACATTTATGAAAATCGAATATAGTTTAAGTAAGATCATTTGTAATAATTATAATAACTAGAACAAAGTTATCTATATTCAATTTCAAACTTCTATAATATCATAATTCAACTTCTGAATAAATAAACCCAACCCTCTTTGTCCGTTTTCTAAATCTAAAGTAGAAAAATATAAGCAGTATAATAATTATTAAAAATAGGATATAAGCAGATGGACCAAAGTTAAAATGAAATTCAGGAGGCAGATAAAATTTAATGTTGTAGATACCATTTGAAAATCCGTTTTAGCAAAATATAGAAATATTTATTTAATTACTTTTTGTATTAGCAATACAAGTTACATTCCAAGTACTTATTGGGTAATTATATATTTTTTAGTTATAAAAGTATATTGCTGTTCCATATTCATATTATTAATTAGTAATCATCGCATAATCAGATACTGTCGCGTTATATGAACCTTACATCAGAATGGGTTCCTTTAAATTTTCATCTTTGAGATTATTCAGATAATAGACTCCGATTATGTATGTATTCATGTATTTAAATTGCTGCATCAAAATCATATTCTAATAAAAAAAATTTCCAGTATTATTTAAATCGCCAAAATTTGGAATAGTTCTAAAGCCTATGCCTTTGTAAATGTTTTGATTAAATTATTAATATAATCGTAACCTTACTTCGACGATGAAACTAAAGTACATATCGCTCAAAAGTATCATTATACTATTAGTTGATGCTTGCATAATTAGAACCAAATTATATTCTATTTGAGTTTGCAAAAAATATTAATATTGGCAGGCAAATTAAATGTTAATAATAATTATATTTCCTAATTCGATGACTTAATTATTAACTACCATCATTCTACTATAGACTATAAACCTCTAAATATATAAAACAATTATTTATTGTAATTAATCATTTTGAGGCCTATTTGGTATTTATGCTATAGAGAAATCTTGGCACATCCCATGATTCTATTTGTCTATTTCCAATAAGTTGTTGTTAGACTGATTAAACCAATACAATTATTATAACGATGAATTTTTCAAAGTACCTAGAATAAAAATTTGATTTGAAATGGCGTTAAATTTGGAAATACTTTAAAACGTTTTGGGTAATTATATAGTTTCACTTAATACTATATTACCATCACAATTTAAAGTAAAATTAAGCAAATATTATGAAGTACTATTTCCACAAATTGAATATAATGTGTAATTGTTTGATGTTGATTTTAGACATTAGGTTAAATTTAGATTAGAATAACTTAAATTTAATACTTATGTTAAGTCACTATTTACTGTTTATATGTAAGAGCTATTTTATAAAGCAAAACATTCATTATTTATTGAAGTAATTAAAGAGAAATTGCTATAATTTGGAATGCTCGTAGATTTATATTAAAATGCTTGAGTCAAACTACAATATTTGTTTAAATCATTAGTTAAAGCAAGATTTTTTAATGTGCAATATCCAACTTATCTATCAACAATTAAATGCATAGGATATGAGAAATTTATCGAACCAGGAATTATATTATCTGAAATTAAATTTATAGATAAATTTCTTTGATTCAAAAATACTGTGAAATTTGAATATAAAATAATACTTTAATTAGGAGTCTATTATAAAGCCGTTTCATTTAATGCTGAAGTTACATTATAATTAAAAATGAATTAGGGGTAAACTATTGTATTGTTAAAATCCTAATTGTAGAACTCAGTAGTTATCTTAAATTTTTACATTCTATAAAGTTGAAAAATTTTATTGTTTGAAAGTAGTATCATTGATGATGTAAATTGAAATTGAGGCGCATAAAATAAAATATTTTTAAACGCCTAAGCACATTAAATTGGCGAAGTTAATTTTAACATATAATATAAACTCATATGATATGGTAAGGAAGGATTATAAGCATAAACAGTGTAATTACTAAACGTAACATATAAGAATAGGTTATCTGATTATATTGTTACTTCACTATCCACATTTACACTATATAGATTCTTTACAAAATAGTATATTGGTAGATTTTATACATTATAAACTTAAAAGCACGTATTTTGATCATCATTACATAAATATGATAAGATTAATTATTAACTTATTATATTTATCTACTTTATTTTGTAATTGACTTTAATTAATGAAATTGGTATTGGAATGCTATTATCATCAATTGAAATTATTATTACTTCATTTATATTGTTTATATATAATAAAGATGACAATAATTATGTATTCACTACTATTTATATTGGATTGAATTCTATATTATTGAACAATTTATTTATTGATGATTAATTTAAAGTAAAAGTATTTGTAAAATTAAATGTCGTTATTTCAATTTATTGATTTGGAATTAGAATTATAATATTACTATAAGTGACTACAAAATCTGAAAATTATGAGTTAAAGGTATAATTTGAATAACTAATGATACTATTAGTAGAATTATAGAATTAAAATAAATAGATTGTATTATTAGAACTAAGTCCTATTATCATCATTTATGGATAAATGCTATAAGCAACTTATAAAGAACTAGCATTTATACTAATCTTTATTGAACATATTTAACTGAATTAATAGGTTGACGTCGGATATACTTCACTTTACAAAATATCAATTGAATAATTATTATATCCTATTAAATATAAAAGGATTTGCTGCTCCTATGTCAGCGACAAAGGTTATACTAAGTAATAACTTTAATTAATTTGGCCAGCATATTCTTCAGCCATTAAGGTAAAATTTAAAGGTATTTCATCTGGATTTTGTTTATATTGTAATAATTATCCTGAAAAGCTATAAAAGTTATTTGTAACATTAAGTTCCAATGAAGTCTAATTTTAAGGAAAATTTTAATTAAACATTACATAGATATTTGTATCATTCTAAGGTAATACCTAAAGTTAAATGTTAGAGTAAGTGTAAGTTTTGTATCCTAGATTCTGACATAAAAGTATAAATGTATAATTATTTCCAGCAGCTTCTAAGTTGGTTAAATTGACTTATAAGTAAGGCACTCGCGTTTTATAAATTCTTATCTGCTAACTAAATGAAAATAATTCATTATCAGAATTGAAATATAATAAGGAATTACTTTAATGACTTAGTAAATACATATACTATCCATTTGACTGTTTTTTGTAAATAAATATTTTATAATCTAATTAAACTATCATAAAATAGCTATTTAAAAGAATTTTTAGAATGGACTCAGATAGAAACCCACATTATTAATTTTATGTCAGAATTATAGAATTTTCACATCCATATAGTTAAATAATGCAAGATTCTTCTTAAGTTAAATAATATGCCAAAAATATTTGATCACATTAAGAATAAATAGATAAATCATAATAAACATTAATAGTTGTTAAAGTATTGATATTCTCATTGCTTAAATTACTTTTTATATAAAATTGAGATTGTGGAGATATGGATATTTAGAATATCTCTTGAGAAGTAATTGCATAAATATTAGGACTTATTGTAATGGGGATGTCAAAATCAATAAATTTATTTTATAAGCTGCTTTAATTTTGAAATTATGATGAGAACAGTGAAAGTATGGAATATTCTTAAAAATATTAGGCATATACTAAAAAAACATTGGTTCCATTAACAATTGCTTATATTTTGGTTGAAGTAGGTATAGATGATTACACTTAATAAGCAGGGATTGATTAATTATCCAATAATTAAATTAAAAGGAATTCGTCATTTTAATAGCAATCAACTAAAATAGCAAAATCTCCAGATAAATTGATATTAAAACAATTAAGTGAAGAATCAATTGTCACAGATTCTCCAACTTATTCAATTATTTAATTGTTCCACTCATACAAAGTTACTTCATTTTCATATGATAAAGTTATAAAATGTGTATTATTTGATGACATTGATTTAAATTCTATAATTGTATTTTTATATCTTACTATTTCCTTATGTTTTATATATTTCTTCGCATTAATTCATAACTTATACATTTGGAACTTAAGGATCAATTTTGCATATTAGTTAATAATCAGCTTAAGCTGAATCAATATAGTATTTATAAAATTCTCCTTCTGTTGGGTACAATGAAATTTCTTATTCACTATTGATATAAAATAAAGGAATAGTATGGATCACATTGATTACTAAAAAAATAATTTTCATCAAAAATTATTAATCAAATTTTATTTATGTTACATGTTCATATAGGAATCATCAGAATTACTATTTATATACAATCATACGAAATACAATACTATTGTGAATAAAAATGTCCTTTATTAAATTCCTAGAAGACCATTTTAAATTTAAATGATTGAATAGACGAGTTTCTATCCACTTATAAAGAATAATTTCAATTGATTTTTTCAATTATTTGGAGATAATAAATTTGATTGCAAAACTTGAACCAGCCAAAGGATAACCAAAATACGATGATTATGATATTGAAAACTTCCTGCCGTATGAATTTTCACTTGCACAGGCAATGATTGTCTTATAAAATAGCTAATTATAAGCCAACTTATGTTACTGCCATAAACTAAATAAGGCAGTTATTTATTCGAGTCAATTGTTGTTAACTGATACCAAATTTTTTAATAATCTCATTTTAATTGACATAGTTTTTGGCCTTCTGTTAAAAAATGATGAATAAGTTACCTCCCCTTTTATCTTGCTATTATAATATTCACAGATTTGCTTGGAAGAGATAAGAGAATTTTCTTATTGTCAAAGAAAGAATTAAACTTTATAATAATCATAGAAATTGCATTTAGTGAATATTGTTATATATTTCTAGTTGAAGAGATAAAACAATCAAATACATATTTATTTATACTGTAAAATACTATATTACAAAAATAGAAAATAAGCAATATTCAGTTTATTATCTAACAATAACAACTTTTGATTTACTGTTACTTTGGTTGTTTTTAGAGATTTAATAATATTGAATATATTTAAGCAAGCATCTTTTCTTTAATTATACTTTTATTAAAATATGATCGTTTGGGTATTTCTTTGATTTTTGTTTCTAAATATTATCCATCATTAGCAATAGTATCATAAATGTAATGAATTCCATAATTAATGATATAGGGATGTATTCTCTCGATTCAATATGTAATTAACTGTGTTTATATTGTATTGCGATTATTGAAGATTTTTTCATTTAACTTTTATGAAACATCATAATATCCTTATTCTTAATGTTTTTAAAATAACTCAATACTCTTTGTTGTTTTAACTGTTAATTAATTATTATTTGTCTTATGTCAATTGATTATTATTCGAATCCATCTTTTTTGATATCATTGTAATATTATTGATAATTATATGAATTTTTATTTTTATGAAATTAAATATTTAGTGAAGGTTATATTATATCATGATAACAATCTGAACTCTATTGAATTAATTAATTAACTAGTTTAAAAACAGGTAAATAAAAATGTAATTAATTTTTGGGATTTTATGTATATATTAACTGTGTATTTTATCTGATAGTTAGATTTTTAATTTTTATTTGTAATGTATAACATATATTGAATTGTAAAACTTAATTATTGTGATTGCTTGAAGGGATATAATTACATAAATATACTCAATTTTTAATTTAGACAGTTAAATTAAATTACTCATCATCTTTGTTGGCATTTTTGTAAAATAATAAATTTTATTAAAAATTCACATAATAATAGTATATAATTTTATTCTATTGTCAATATATTTAAGGTTAATGAGTTAGAAGTAAATACAATATTATAATGAATTCATCATCAAAGAATGGATCAACTAACAATATTAACTCTGCTGATAATAGTTAAAACTAATAATAATTAGTTTCAACTTAAATGGAATATTAAAAATATGCATAAGCATAAGCATAAACAGAAATTCAATATTATATTTATTAAGACCTATAAAACACAATAAACTTAATGTATGCAAGAAAAGCTGTTCTTGAGTATTTCAAAAATAATCCTACCCATGAGATGATTACACAGAGTAATAATAAATTAATTTTATAATTAAATTTATCCAATACAATCCATTTCGATTAATAATAACAATATAAGGAACAACCCTAATTGCTTAAATTTTTAAAGGAAGAAAGAAGTAAAGCTTATAAAATACTTGAAAAGATGATTGACAATAATGGTTTATTTCTAAATCGTAATTAAAGCAATGATGATGTCGTACCAAAATACTTTAAAGAATACAAATAAAGATACGCAAAATAAGAGTTTAAGATGAATGATTAGATTCCATTATAATAAACAAATTAAGTAACAACATTTGATGAAGGAGTGCTATCTAACATTATTTCATCAATTTAAAATACTGATAATCAGATTGATTAAATAAGAAGGAATAAATCTTATAAAGTTCCTGATCCAAATGAAATTCTATAAAAAGCAAAGTATTAATTTTATATTAGTTTAGTGATTATTACAAGAAGGCTTAAGGATAATTAAAAAACAACTTTCCAAATGATTAAATGAGTCTAGAAAATTCAATCAGTAAAGATCAAAAAAATGGCACTTGTGAAGATTTTATGAGTGAAAAATTGGAATTAATAAATTATTTAATGTTTTCAGGTTTTTTTAATGATTAAACAATTTAATGTAATAGTTAGAATGTCCTGCAAGAATGGATTAATTCAGTAAAAGATTAATTAATACTATCTCAATCCTAATATAATTGGGTTAAGGAATTTTATTAAGAGAAAGTGGACTTTGAGTACCACCTCAAATTGTATTATTTTTTCTCCATATTTTTTGAATATTAGTAGAAATCTAAAGGTGGTTATGAGAATTAAAAAATATTTATATTTCAAAATTGCTTAATGAAGAGTCGAGAATAAATTATGTACAAAACTAAAAAATTCCTTTAATATTTAGGACAAATTGAATTCTCAATGGGTTTAAGTCCTCAAAAACCAGAAATTCTTTAAGATAGCAGTTACATTTATGAATTGTATTAAATATTCTGTGATAAGAGAAAATGTTATTGATCTAAGATTTAATCATTTATATTTTAATCAGAAATTTTAACTAATAACTTTATTTATTTTAAAGAAACGAGTTTCAATGGTTTGATCTAATGTTTCTATTTAGGCAACTAGTAAAATTCAAATTCTCAATATATCCAAAGTTCCACATGTTTATGTTTGGAGTTCCTTTATCATTTAAATTTAATATTATATATTTAGATTAAAACTCTCTCAAAAAATTAGTATTTTATTACAGAAAATATGAAAAAACTTTTGAATATTTAACTGAAATAGTTAAATATGCACAACTTTTCTTTCTTTGAATGATATTAGAATCTAATTTTTGTAAGAATGTAAGATGCTCAAAAAATTTAAACATTATTGAGAAAATATTTCAATTATTCAAATTTTTAAGAATCGATAAAAATTATTATTCTTAGAGACTTTTATATTCTTCATTCCCACTACATTTAGTACTAGAAGTAAAATATATGAATTATACTTGAGTTAGTAAGAAACGAAAATTTCTCCTCTCACTTTTTGAATTTATTTTCTTTTTCATATGTTTTCATTAATATTATTGAGGTTAAAAAACGATATTCTACTTTCAGAGATTAATTTAGTTAATAAGAAATGCCGAATTAATTGCATCTGATATGAAGGATCGATTCAAAATCATAACAAATTTAAATGCAATTGGTTACTAAATTACTAAATGAAAGTTTATGAGAAAAAAAATTGGATCCAAAACTAAGTTTCTTCTCAATGGCTCTTATTTAATTAGTATTGGCGGATGAATAACTTACTCATAGTTAATTTAAGTAGCTGAGTTTAAAATTTGGATGAAATATATTAAAAGCCGTATAATCATCTACTCTTATGAAACCTTACATGTATTTGAATTACTCAATATTGATAGGATCTGAATTAATTCATATTATTTTTCTCATATTTAAAATTATAAGTTAGATTTTTAAAATACTCATTCTTTGCTATTAATTGATCTCAGGCACAACAGACCAGAGAGAAAAGCAATAACTTGCAAATACAACAAGTGCTCAAAAGGATATCTTAATAATACTCTACCTTTTTCTTTATCAATTGCTACTTTTTATCTTGTAGCGTTATATTTCGAGGATGCTATATTTTTTATTGTTTAAATAGTCTTATACTTAATTTTTCTTTACATATAAGTTATCTAATGTTATATTTCTAACACATAGTATCTCTAACCAGCATGGTGCCTTGCCATTTTCTGATTTTTTGTAAACTTTTCACCCTCTTCAGATATTCACAGATCTTAAAGAATTTATTTTATTTATTAATGAGATTATAACAATAATAATAATAAAGAATTATATAATTAAAGACAATGAGATAAAAATGGCTTTAAGAATGTAAAAAAGAATTAAAAAGGAGTATTGAGTTAATTAGAATAGAGTGGCGGACTTCAAGAATCATGATGAGAAAATTAATGGAAGAACCAAAAAGATAATTATTTCTACTAATATTTTATTTAAATTGGTCTTATTAATTCCTTTATTTAGAAAAATCATATTAATTAATTAAAATTTTCTACGCTTTTATTCTAAATAGTTTGCTTGTTCATAATCTCTAAATTAATTATAAATGAGTCTTTGAATATCTCCACTAACCTTAAATTTGGAATAATGAAATATTAATTAATTTTACATATTATTTCTGTTAATGAGCTGTTTTAAATTAACTAAATAAAACTGAAGGGTTGTTATATAAAAATGAGAATTTAGAAAGAATATTGATCTAATGTAAATTGTGTTGTATCTTTTAGCCAATCTTAAACAATTTACATATTTAAAATTTATTAATATCCTTTAAAGCAAATAATATTATAAATTAGCTAATAATTGATATTCGAAAATTGCAATAATCTTAATTTGAATTATTGTAATTACATAATAATAGTATATAATTTTATTCTATTGTCAACGTTTTAAAGATAATGATTTACAAATAAATACAATATTATAATGTATTCCAATTCAAAAGGTGGATCAACTATCTATAATAATGGTGTTGATAAAAAATAATATTAAGGGTAATTAGCTTAAACTTAAAAGTAATGTGAAAAATAAGAATAAGTAGAAATTCAATATTTTATTTATTAAGACCTATAAAACTTAATAAATATAATATATTAAAGAAAAGCTGTTCTTGAGTTTTTCAAAAATAATCCTACCCATGAGATGATTACATAGAGTAATAATAAATTAATTTTATAATTAAATTTATCAAAAGCAATACATTTTGATTAATATTAATAATATAAGGAACAACCCTAATTGTTTAAATTTTTAAGGGAAGAAAGAAGTAAAGCTTATACAATACTTAATGAGATGATTGACAATAAGGATTAATTTTTAAAAGGTAATTAAAGCAATGAGGTTGTCATACCAACATACTTAAAAAAATACAAAGAACAATACAAAACATAAGATTTTAAGATGAATGATTAGATTCCATTATAAGAAACAAATTAAGTAGCAAAATTTGATGAAGGAATACTATAGAAAATAATTTCATCAATTTAAAACACTGATAATCAGATTGATTAAATAAGAAGGAATAAATCTTATAAAGTTCCTGATCAAAAAGAAATTCTATAAAATGCAAAGTATTACTTTTATATTATTTTAGTAATTATTATAATTGGACGTCATAATAATTAAAGCAAAATTTTTCAATGCTAAATCCATAAGATAGTTAAAATACAAAATAGGATAATTCATAGTATAAATAAAGTAGAATATAAAATATAGGTTAAGAAATGGATTAAAAAATCCCCTAATCAGTTTATGACGAAAAACAGAACCATAATTCTTAATAGGGTAAAGGGATTTTTGAGAAGGAAAAATTAATAGGTTTTATCAATTTCTTAAGATAATAAAATCCCATCCCATCCAATAAATACCCTTCCCATAATAAAACTCATTTCCCTGAAACCCCTTTGAACAATAAATAATAACATGATAATGATTAAATACAATGGGCAGTAAAGTTTGAAAAGTAATATCTATTGTAACAATTAAAAGATCTACATAATTATTTCAATTTATTTACGGAATATTAAAAATAAATCAAAGGTCCAGAAACTGGATAAATAGATGAGAAAGTAGTTAAAACTCTAATAAACAATGATATGAAATAAAAAAAAGATGGTCAAACTTACATCTTAGATTTAGATGGGTTTATGAATTATTGTAAAGATCAAATCGAACCATCAAGTAGTTCTAATTAAAATTACCCTACAACTGATCATTAGAATTCAGGAAAAAAGACAGGCCACTTGTAAAATCAATAAGTAAATTAAGAATATGATAAAGATCAAATTTACAAATTTTATGAATGGTTTTGTGCTTATTATAAAATAAAATGAACCAATATAAGAAATGAAATAATATTAAAATATGATATAATTAATGAAGCAGATAACAATAAATTAGAATATTTAATAAATTTTTGATTAAATTTCAACAACATCCTTCGTTTTTTTAGTTTTATTTCTTAGTGTCTTTAACATCTTTAATTTATAAACCTTTCTTTTTCTTACCTTTACTTTCTTACGCTTGAACTTTGATCGAGATACCTATGATTGAATGTAAGTATTACTCTCTCCCAAAGACTTGAACATCTCATTGATGCCAATGCCTGATTTGGCTGAAGTAAAGAAATGCTTAGCTCCAATCTTCTTGCAGTACTCTTCGACTTCATTTTTGTCAATCTACATCTGATTTTTCATGTCACTTTTGTTACCTGCAACAACAATAGAAATATCTTTAGTTCCAAATGATCTTAATTCCTCGACCCATTTCTCAACCTAAGTTCTCATATAAAGTCCTTTTACCTTCATAAATGATTCCTTATATGTCACATCATAAACTAACACCGCCCCATATGCATCTCTATAATAAACAGTAGTCAAAGCATGAAATATCTCTTGTCCTGCAGTATCCTATTATTAAATCGCACAAATACCCAAATGGCCAATGTTATATCCTTGCCTCCACCTAGATCTACGCTCTTCTCAAAGAATGTAGCATCAATAGAAGATTGCTGATTCTCATTGAATTAATCTTTACAATATTTCAAAGTCAAACAAGTCTTCCCTACTCTACCTAATCATTATTTCATCTAATCTAACCTTCCCCTAACATAACTATCTTAATCGGAGCACTCATTAGATTTTATTAATTTTAATATATATTTATAATATAGACTGCATATTAAAAGTAGAATAACTTACTTAATCAATTAGATGCGTTTAAATAATCCATTCAAATCAATATGAAATGAGAATTAACCGAATCGTATATAACTACTATATTAAAGAGCTAAGAATATTTATAAATAACAACTAAAAAATAATAATATATAATGTACTATAACAATTATGGCAATTGTAATGCTCTTTCAAGATTAAATACTGGATCATAGTTCTTAAATCAAAAGATATCTGTAAAGTAATCAAAAGCCTAGGAGTATTCAGTGCCATTTAGTGTAACAATGAGTCCAATTAAATAATAACGAGAATCATATTAACCAATAATAGAGAATTATTTCAATTTGCAAACAGAAACACAGGAAGATAGAATTTGTTTCGATTGTTTAAATAATTTCATTGCCCTCATGACTTAAGGTACAAATTTAACAAAATAAATTGTAATTGAAAACTTAACAGGATTGAGAAATCTGATTGACTTCATTTTGAATTCACCACAGGATCAATCTGGAATTTTATAGCAGAACAGTGGTTTATAAAGTATTCATTCATCTCAAATTGAATAATCAATGCATAATTAATTAAAAATTCCAGAGATCCAATTACTAGAGTAAAAAAGGTTTCCAAATGGAGTCAATCGTCTTTTAGAAGAGTAAAACAAGAGCCTACAGAGTTATTTGATCATACATTAATCTTAACAAAGTGAAAGATCTCTTGCAAATCAATCAGAACAATAGAGCGAATCAGTTGATATATCAAATTAGAGTTATTATTCAGAGTATAAACGTCAAGCTTAAAATATTGAAATGGATTTATAAAGTTTTCTAAAATAAAAATGAGTCTAATATATATATTCAATATTATGATCACTATTTTATTCTGATATTAGCATTTTGGATGCTATATCGTGGAGAAAAAGCTTGGATTGAATGAGTATGGAGATTTGAAAAATGATGACTAACTGACTTAGTCTTGTCTGCAGTTCTATCTCGACTGTATTGAATTAAACGTTCGTTATTTTTGATTCGGAATTAACTGAGAAGCACTGGAGGTAATTCACTTTTTTTCACACTTCGAGTTGTTAAGGCATTCCTATCACACAAACAATTATCTTTAGTATGGATAGATTTAATCATTGCTGGGACTTCGATTTTCTTGTAAGAATGATCCTTCCAATATTTCACTGTTGTCATCATGATCGAAGCTCTCTTCACAGCCTTACGCAGTGTAGCCTTATTGTCTGTCTTTGGTTTCTACTTAGCATGTTGCATACAAATAGTTTGAGGGTAGAGACAATTTAATCGGCTCATTTTCTAACCTGAAATACCTTCTTAATAGCTATTTCTTCGTTATTTTATTGGCATCTCCTATAATTCAGGTACAAATGATTTATTCATATTTTTTCGATTAGGTTGTACCAATGAGACTAACATTGAATTACGCTTCTCATTCACCATTTTATAACGGCTACTGCAATTTTTATGATTCTGATTTATGTCTACTTCTGATAGATATCCTTATTGATTTTTCATTTCTTTTTATTATATAATTTATTTAAACCATATTTTTACAATAATGTAAATATTTCTTTGAGAATTAGAATAAATTGTAATACTTAAAATGATTTATCATTTTGGATTAAATAATAAATCATCAATTTAGTTCTTATAAGTTCAATTAACCCCACTAAGGGTTTGTTTTAGTAATTCTTCATTCTTTCATACTTGGTAATCTTTACCTTATATAAAAATCTGGTTCTTTTTAGAAAATTTGATTTTTTGGAAAAGGGGAATAGCTTTTTTAAGCTTCTTTTTTCTTAATTGAGGTTGTTTTCTCTTGTGCTAATTTTTTCAATAGAGTTTAGCAAATAGAATATTCTTTGAATGAGGAAAATTAGTATAAGTTCGACTACAATTTGGGAATCCATTTCATATTCAAGGGTTTAATTTCAATAAGCAATTGATCAATTTCATGCTTATCCTCAGAGTCAACTATTCGTTATATTTCATTAGCAAAGTTATATTCTATTTCTTTGTAATTTTACAAATCTTTCATCCACATATTTGTAATTTCAAGCATTTGATCTAGCTTGTTTATTAGATGGCTCTTTAATTAAATAAGGTTGTTTTTGATCTATTCAATATCCTTATAACAACATTCAACAACTATTTCTATTTATTCTTTTTTCTTTTTATAGTTGTCTTAAGTTATTCCAATAGCTTTATTTAATCCCATATTTCTACTATTCGGCTCTAATTCAACTATACATTAAGAGCATTTTAGTCTTTCATGTGATTTTAAATTTGGATCAAGTACAACCATTAAAATAGATTTATCATGATTCGGACAAGCACATTTGAAATTTTCAATATTTATTTAATTAAGAATCTAGTTTAAATTCTATTCTTCTTTAAATTCATCCTTTTCTTTTTTTTTTGGAATTCCCTTAAACTAGTCAGGATCATAGTGTAATTATAACACTTACTAGTCACTAATTTTTCGTTTTACTTATTGATCTTATGCATTTTTCAATGGCTAGTTAGAACAAGCACGTAATTTCCTAGGGTTTACCCACATAATTAAGAAAATAATAAAATGATTTTTGATAAAATATAAATCTTTCATTGATCATATTTAGATTCAGTTTTTTATTAACCGTCTATTATGTATTTAATTTGGAGTGGCGGATGGTCTTTGAAGTTGTTGGATATTTTACTTTTATCCCTATTACTAATTATACTCTTATTTTTCCTTTTGTTGGCTTTTTTTCCTTAGAGTTAAATTATTCAATATATTTTGACAAAGGGAATATGTTTGAAATGTAGAAAAAATCTCTAATTTATCACTCATTTTGGAAACCCATTACGTATTCAATGGCTTTATTTCATCAATCATTTACTCTATTTCAACTTTTTAATCATAATCAATTAACCATTATATTTCTTTATCTAAATTATATTCTATTTTTTTGAAGTTTTACAAATCTGTCATCCACATGTTTGCATTTTCGATCATTTCATCTAAGTTTTTGTTTAAGAAGCTTTTTAATGTTAATAAGTGTTATCTTAACTATTCAAGTTCTCTAAAATGTTATTAGGCAATAATTTCTCTAAAATCCCTTTTCTTTTTATAATTTTCTTGGGTTTTCTCCATAACTTTTTTTATTCCAATTGTTTTTGTATTTTACTCGCTTACACTTATGCATTCTAAACACAAAAGTCTTTCATGGCACTTTAAATCAGGATCAAGTACAACCATTCTAACAGAGTCTTGATGTTTTTGATTAGCACATTTGATAATTTAATTATTTAGTTCACTAGATTTCGAGGTATAATTTGTCTTTTCCTCATTTTCATTAGTTTCAGTTATTTTTGTGCTCATCTTTAGTTCTTTATTCTAATTTAAAAATGGAGATTGGAATAGATCTGTTTTCTAAAGAGGAATATTACCAGACTAATTAGGTTAAGGTAGATTCTATTTTAAATTAAGATTTTTAAGGGTGAAATTTTAATCTCTCAATGGGGTGAAATTTTTATCTTTCAATGGGGTGAAATTTTTATCTTTCTATGGTGTTAAAAAAGTATCTCTCTATGGGGTTAAATATTTATCTCTCTAGGTGTGATTTTTTTCTTCTGTTTATGTCTATTAATCGATTTCCAATCTTCTCATTACTTTATATATATTAATTTTGATAGAATTATAAAAATATTAATCATTATTATTTAGGTTTTGAGGGTGTATATGTCAATAGATAATGCACCATTTGTGCAATGACTTCTGAATCTAATTTTTTGAGTGGGAAAAAGAATCCATCTTTATCAGTCATAATATCCTCAAATTCTTTAATTAATAATGAAAGATACCTGCATCAAGTATCTTTTCTTGATCAATGAATTGATTGCAGAGATGAGATCCCCGGACAACAATAATAGGTAATTTATTAATGATAGCTTCTCTAATCTCATCAAAACAATCATTAGAATCTGCAAATAGGATATTAACAATTTTGCATCTTGGCCTTCCTTAAGTCTTGCTGATCTTACCAGTTGCAATTCTGTAATATTATATATAATTTGATACGCTTTGCATAAATTAATTTTGAATAGTGCTTCAGTTCCCAAATCAACATGTTCACCTCCAATCAGGAAGATGTGTGTATGACCATTACTTAATTCATTTTTTTCAATTTTGGTGGGATTCAATTTGGGATAGGAGACAACTGACTCAGGTGCAACTCCAATAAGCTATGTATACTTGAATAGGATAGGTACAGTGCAATTTCTTCTAAGACTAAATTTTTCAATGCCAGTGGTGATTCCGTTGTCAATGATAACAGCGTCAGTATTATGACATGCTCTGGCAATACCAGCATAGAATTTGCCACGATTAGAGTTTGGATTGTCAAAGTTGTGTCTGCAACCAATAAAATTGACAACAGGCAATCCATCATCTAGTTTCAGTTTCGTAAGTATTTCAGTCATTGGAAATGTTTTTGGTTGCATATAATTAACTTTGATAAGTTTGGCTAGTTTCCCTGCTGGGAACAAGAAATCAAAGCATTTCCACACTTGATTCTACTCTAGTTTTTATTGAGTCATGAAGACATTGGCATCCTCAGGAGGCTTAATAAAATGAAGAATGATAGTACAATTTGAGTATCAATTTGAAATGGCTGTTAATCTTGTTATTACTATTCCTCTTGTTGTTCATCTCCTAATTACTCATCTCCTTGTTATTCTTCTCCTTATTCAGACATTAATGATAAATAATATAATTATATAAAAATGATTATAATACTAATCCTAACATCAATAGTGTGTGGTAATTTCTTAGGGAAGGTTAATAAGGTTAAAACGGATTATTTAAAAGTATTCTTGTTTCCTCATTCACATGATGATGTTGGATGGATAAAGACCATGATGGAATATTATGAAGATTCAAATGGAGTCAAATAAATTATTAGCTCATATATGGAATAACTAATGAATGACAAGACCAAGTACTTCTCTTAAGTTGAGATAGCTTACTTCTCTATGTATATGGAATTCATTTATGCATTATAGTTGGTGGAATGAATAGACTGATGCAACGAAAGAGAAAGTGAAAGAATTAGTAAGGAATGAGCAGTTAGAGTTTTTGAGTGGAGGGTGGTGTATGAATGACGAGGCTACATCATACTATGAAGATATAATAGATTAGATGACTCTTGGACATAAATTCTTACTCTAAAACTTTAATTATACTCCATCAATTGGATGGCAAGTAGATCCATTTGGACATTCCAATACTCAAGCTCTGTTTTCAAACATGATGGGATTCAATGCTTGGTTTTTTGGGCGTATTGATTAGGAAGATCGTTCAATCAGAGAAAAAAATAAAGAATTAGAGTTTGTTATTCATCCAGATTCCGATTCAAGACATTCCATATTGACACATGTCAACTATTATGGCTATTACTCATCACCTAGAGGCTTTGATTTCGATGTTACCAATCCCAATAGATAATAGGTTACAGATTCTAATTTGCAATAAAAAACTGATGAACTTGCTGCCTATTTCAAATAATAGCAAACTGTTTACAGAGGTAATATATTGGCTCATACCCTGGGGATGGATTTCTAGTGGTCAGATGCTGCATCCTATTTCAGCCAAATGGACAAAGTTATGAATTAAGTCAATAAAAATAAAGAAAAATATTAAATGATCATTCAATATGGAACTCCAAAGTAATACATTCAAGCACTAAATGATTAGAATATCACCTATCCTTCTCAATAAGAAGACTTCTTCCCATATGCTGATTACCCTAATCAATATTGGTCAGGTTACTTCACTAGTAGATCGGCATTTAAAGGTTATGTGAGAAGAATAGGCAGATATTTCCAACAAGTCAAATTGCTTTATTCCCTAGTCAAAATCAATAACCTTTGTAAGTCTATTTGTCAAGAAAGAAACCTCTAAGATCTGGCTGAAGCATTAGGTACTGCTTAACATCATGATGCAATCACTGGGACTGCCAGATAATATGTCAATAATGATTATGTTAAAATGATCAAGACTGCTCATCTAAATATGAATAAACAAGTTAGTACATTACTCAACAAACTATCAAATACAAAGTCAGTTAACCATGTTACTTGTAATTTTAATGGAACCAATGTCTGTCACTCCTTATTTGATCCTTTAATCAAAAATTAAACAGTCATCTTAACTATCATCGATACTAAAGTTAATAATGATGGAATCAAAGAATACCTTAAGATATCTGTACCAGATAACTTGTACATCAAAGCTACTGATGAATAAGATAATCTATTAAATGGAGAAATCCTCTGTATTGATGGATAATGCATTCTGTATTTATAAAGAATTGTTGATAATTCAAAACTCCTTCATTATTGTAAACTAAAAACTGTTGCAACAGAAGACGAAACTAAGATAAGTAAAATAGAACCTGAAACAATGTCTGTTGATGCTGATACTCAACTATTTAACAAATTTAAACTTAACTATAATTTCTATTTTTCTACCTCTGGTGCTTATGTCTTTAAACCGTTTGGTTAATCACACCCATATGGTGATTATATCAAGGCTTATAAATTTACTGGTAGCATAGTAAAACAAATTTATATTGAAAAAACAGCCATTAAGGCTTGGATTACAAACTTTGATAACGATGAAAATATATTCTATGTTGATACTTTTGTAGATTCCATCAATTTCACAGATTAGAAGGGACAGGAAGTTGTCATACAAATACTTACAGATATTAATAATCAATAAGTATTTTACACAGATAGTAGTGGATTGACATTTTAAAGACGCCAGGTCAATCATAGAGATTCGTGGCAAATGAAAGTATTAGAACCAGTCTCAGGTAATTATTTCCCTGTTAATGGTGCCATCATGATCAAGAATACAGAGGGAGATCAAGCTTGTGCAGTCATCAATGATAGAGCATAAGGAGGTACAAGTCTTAGTTACGGTGTTATTGAATTAATGTTACAGAGACGATTGAATAATGATGATTAAAAAGGAGTTTATGAAAGACTTGATGAATAAGAAGATGTCGACAATAAAAGTGTTGGAATGAGGTAGATGATGTCTCATACTATTGTGTTCTATAATTCAAAGTAGAATTCTAATATTGTAAGACGGTTGTAATATCAATAAGATCTTAAACCACTAATTTATTTCTCAACTTAGGATTAAATTCAATATAAATAATTAGAAAATAAATTTGCCGAATTCATTGAAAAACAAACTGATGATAATTTATCCAAATTCTACATTGAACCTTGGATAAATGAGAATTAATATTTAGTTAGAGTGCACAATTTTAGAGAAGAGGGAATCTAAAAACTTAATTTTCCAGAAGGCATAAGATTCATGTAAACTACCTTAACTGGAAATTAAGAATTGAAGAAGTGGGAATTAAATAGATTTAGTAAGATTTTTATATAATCAATTACTAGAATGGACAGACTCATACACCCAAGAATAATCTCAATCAAATTATAACGATGACTAAGTTGGACCTATGAAAATTAAAACTTGGATTGTTACAATTTGAATTATTATTATGTATCTTAAAATAAAATATTTGACTTTTTGGTAATGCAAATTCATTAATTAGAATTATTATACAAGAAGTATGAAGAAATCATATTTAATCATAATTACAAATGTTAACTAATTATCTTTGAGAGCTTTATGAAATTGTTTGAAAACAAATAAAATAATTACATTGTATAGACTATAATTTTTTATTAGTTATGTATTTTATTTTTAAATTCAATTCTTAACAATGAATTACTTCAAATATACTTTATATTCAAAATTACCTATTTACTAGTTTATAAAATAATTTATATAATAAAAAATAACGTTATTATTGAAAGTCGATAAAAACTCATTATGCTATTCAATATTCAATGACGACAGTGACCAAGTGTTTAATATCAATTTAATTTGATAATTGAAAGGAACTATTAATTTATTAAATTTTACAAAACGCGACTTTTTGCTTCAGATAAAATCTATTTCATATGATTTTAATTTAATTAGTCACTGATATGAACATTTAACATAAATAAAATTTCATTAAATTTTTTTTTTGATGAAAATAATTTTTTTTATAATCAATTTGATTAGTTCCATCCTTTCATATTCATTCAATAAAGAATAAGAGATTTCATTGTACCACACAGAAGGAGAATTTTATAAATATTATATTGATTACAATTTACTAGATTATGAATTAATATGCAAAATTGATCCATAAATTCCAAACGTTCAAATTATGAATTAATGCGAAGAAATATCTCAAACACAAGGATAAAGTATAATAATAAGCATATTATAATAGAATTTAAATCAATGTCATCAAACAATACACATTTTATAACTTTGTCATATGAAAATGAAGTAACTTTGTATGAGTGGAACAATTAAATAATTGAATAAGTTTGAGAATCTGTGACAATTGATTCTTCACTTAATTGTTTTAATATCAATTTATCTGGAGATTTTTCTATTTTAGTGGATTGTTATTAAAATGACGAATTCCTTTTAATTCAATTTAAGAATGAATAATCAATCATAGCTTATTAAAGTTAATCATCAATACCTACTTCAACCAAAATATAATCAATTGTTAATGGAACCAATGCTTTTGTAGTTTATGCCTAATATTTTGAAAATTATTCGGTACTTTCACTGTTCTCATCATCATTTCAAAATTAGAGTACCTTAAATAATTAATTTATTGATTTTGATATTACAAATACAATAAGTCCCAGTATTTACGCAATTACGTCTCAAGAGATATTCTAAATATCAATATCTCCACAATCTCAATTTTATATTACAAGTACTTTTAGTGAGGAGGATATTACGAATTTTACTAATATTAATGTATATATCGATTTATCTATTTATTCTTAATGTGATCAAATATTGTTGGCATATTATTTAACTTAAGAAGAATCTTGCGTTATTTAGCTCTTCGGATGTTAAAATGAAATAATCTCTACATAAAGTTAATAATGTGATTTCCTAACTGAGACCATTTTAAAGATCCTTTAAAACAGCTATTTCATCCTAATTTAATTAAAGGATAAAATATTTATTTACGAAAAACAGTCTGATGGGGAATATATGTACCTACTCTCTCACTAAGGTAATTCCCAACTATATTTCAATTTTTATAATGAATTATTTTCATTTAATTAGCAGATAATAACTTATAAAATTTAATTTCCTTCGTTTTAAATCAATTTAACTAACTTAGAATCTGCTGGAAATAATTATACATTTATACTTTTATGTCAGAATCAAGGATAAAAAACTTACACTTACTCTAACATTTAACTTTAGGTATTACCTTAGAATGATACAAATATCTATGTAATGTTTAATTAAAATTTTCCTTAAAATTAGACTTCATTGGAACTTAATATTACAAACAACTTTGATAGTTTTTCAGGATAATTATTACAATATAAACAAAATCCAGAAGGAATACCTTTAACTTTTACATTAATGACACTGCAACAATCTGGTCAAATTAATTCAAGATATTACTTAGTATAATCTTTGTAGTTAAATTCAATTTAGAATGAATTGGTTACCTAATATTTGATAGGATATAATAATTATTCAATCGATATTTTATTTACCAGTTTCTAGTACAGTACATCTATCTACTAATTCAGTTAGATATGTTCAATAAACATTAGTGTAAATGCTAGTTTTTTAAAAGTTGCTTATAGCATTTATCCTTAAATGATGATTATAGGACTAAGTGCTAATAATGAAATCTATTTGTTTTAATACTATAATTCTAATAATAGTATAATTAGTTATTCAAATTATTCTTTTAATTCATAATTTTCGGATTTTTTACTTACATACAATAATGTTATAATTCTAATTGCACATCAATAAATTGAAATAATGACATTTGATTTTACAAATACTTTTACTTTAAATTAATCATCAATAAATAAATTGTTCAATAATATAGAATTCAATCCAATATAAATAGTAGTGAATACATAATTATTGTCATCTTTATTATATATAAACAATATAAATGAAGTGATAATAATTTCAATTGATTATAATAGCATTCCAATACCAATTTCATTAATTAAAGTCAATTACAAAATAAAGTAGATAAATATAATAAGTTAATAATTAATCTTATCATATTTATGTAATGATGATCAAAATACGTGCTTTTAAGTTTATAATGTATAAAATCTACCAATATACTATTTTGTAAAGAATCTATATAGTGTAAATGTAGATAGTGAAGTAACAATATAATCAGATAACCTATTCTTATATGTTACGTTTAGTAATTACACTGTTTATGCTTATAATCCTTCCTTACCATATCATATGAGTTTATATTATATGTTAAAATTAACTTCGCCAATTTAATGTGCTTAGGCAATTAAAAACTAATACTATTATTCGCCTTAAAATCAATATCTCTCATCAATGATAATTCTTTCAAACAATACAATTTTTCAACTTTAAAGTAAATAACAATTTAGGATATCTGGGGAATTTTACAATGAAGACTTTAACAATTCAATAAAATACCCAGAATTTATTTTTAATTATAATGTAACTTCTGCATTAAACGAGAAGGCCTTATAATAGACTCCTAATTAAAGTATTGTTTTATATTCAAATTTCACAGTATTTTTGAATTAAAGAAATTTATCTATAGATTTAAATTTAGATAACATAATTCCTGGTTCTAAAAATTTCTCTTATCCAATGAATGTAATTCTTGATAGATAAGCTGGATTATGCGAATCAAAAAAATTAATTTAAAATAATGATTTAAACAAATATTGTAGTGTAACTCAATTAAATTATCAAAATTCTACCAGCATTCCTAATTATAGCAACTACTCTTTAATTACTTCAATAAATAACGAATGTTTTGCTTTACAGAATAACTCTTATATTTAAACTTTTAATTGTGACTTTACTTCCATATCAAATTTAAGCTATTCATATCTAAATTTTAATTAATGTCTAAAATCAGTATCAGATGGCTACTCATTATATTCAATTTGTGAAAATAGTACTTCATAATATTTGCTTAATTTTACTTTAAATTGTGAAGGCAATATAATATTAAACGAAACTACTAAATTGCCCATATTATTTTAAAATCTTTCAAAAATAAACACCCTTTTAAACCAAATTTTTATTTTAGGTAGATTGTAAAATTCATCATAATAATAATTGTATTGGTTTAACTAAACAAAGAATAGCTTATTGGAAATAGACAGATAGAAACATGGAATTTGTCAAGATTTTTCTATTGCATTGGTACCAAACAAGCTTCAAAATGATTAATTATAATAAATAAGTGTTTTATATACTTAGAGCTTTCTAGTCTACAATCGAATGATGGTAATTAATGATTCAGTCATTGAAATAGGAAGCATAACTTATATTGATATTTAATTTGCCTGCCTTTGTGAATATTTTTTACCAACTTAAATATAATATATAATGGTTTTAATTTTGCAAGCACAACCCAATATTTTAATGATACTTGTGAGCAATATTTATTTGAGTTTCATAGTTGAAGTAAGGTTACGAGCATATTAGGAATTGAATCAAAATTATTACAATGGAATAGGCCTTAGAACTACCCCAAATTTTGGTTATTTAAATAATACAGGGAATTTTCTTTATTAGAATAGGGTTTTGATGCAATAATTTACATAGAATAACGCATACATAAATGGAGTCTATTATTTAAATGATCTCTTTGATGATAATTTAAAGGTACCCATTTTAATGTAGGGTTCATTTAATGCGACAATATCTGATTATGTAATGATTTTGAATGAATAATATGAATATGGAACAGCCATATACTTTTATAACAAAAGTATATATAATTACCCAATAGGTACTTGGAATTTAACTTGTATTGCTAATACAAAAAATAATTACATGAACATTTCTATATTTTGCTAGAATGAATTTTCAAATGGTACATATGAGATTCAATTTCACCTGCCTCCAGAATTTCATTTTAACTTTGGTCCATCTGTTTATATGTTACTTTCCATAATTATTATACTGCTTATATTTTTCTACTTTAGATTTAGAAAAAGGACTAAGAGGGTTGGGTTTATTTATTCAGAAGTCGAATTATGATATTATAAATTTTAAGTATTTCAATAAATTCAAGATCCTTAACCTTTGTTTTAGTTATTATGATAAAGATTAAGAATGATTTTATATTCTTCAACTATATTCAATTAACAGAATTATATCTTATTATTATTTGGAAAAAGTCTCATTTAAACATAACTTTTATTTATTATAATTTATGGACATCATAAAATCCTTGTATCAAATCACAGCTAGATATTGAGATGATGATTTATTTATATCTAGTTCCTTAATCATTATCAAGTATTATTTCATTAAATAAAAAAGTTATTTCTGAAAATTACAAATTTACTAATAATTATGTTCATTTCAATTTAAATCAATTATTTTAATTAAAATAGCATTATTTTCGATTATTTACATTTTTATGGTATGTTCAATTTATTTTAAATTGAAATCTAATTTTATATTTATTAAGTAATTTCATCTAATAGTTATATCATATTATTATTATAACATATATAGATATAGCTGAAGATATCAGAGCAGCAGCTTTATTTTAGGGAAATAATAACACGTTGATTCAAATATATGGGATGAAATGTACTTGAATAAATAGAGGAATGAGTTTTCCAATTATGAAAAATTATAACTTTAATTTGTCTCTAATATAACAGGATTAAATATTAATAATGATTAAAATGTTAGTATAATCATTGTTAATTCTTAGAATTATTATTACGCATTGTGATAACAATAGTTTTTGATAAATACGAAATGCCAATCTGGAGATTTTTTAAAATGGACTAGAATATCAAATAAAATATAAATTTATTTAGTTTTATAGGAATGAAACTCTTAAGATGATATTTGAAAATGCTAAATTGTTAATTTTTGACAATATTTCTTAATTTTTTCATTGATGAAATATGTACTTAAATGAATATGACTTAGTACAGAATTAGGACCTTCCAGGTTAAATTTTATTGAGTAAATTTTTTTCAGAATTGAGAAGTCTGAAAATGATAAATGAGACCAAGAAAATAAATTTAAAAGAATAAAATATTATTGATATAATTGCATGAATATACAATTTTTTGGATTAAGAGTAACACAATTAATATGGTAATATTTCACAAAATTATGATCACTTAGGCTAACTTATTAATTAAACCCTATAATAGAGTTAGATGAGATTCAAGATTAATTTCTTTTAAATAAATTGTATTAAAAATCATTTGAGGAACAAAAAGGAACAAGAATACAAAGTTTCCTTTTTACTGCCTTCTAAAAATAGACCAATTCTTGAAATTATGAGAATCACCAAGATGTTCTCAATTAGAGTGAAGATTGAAGTATTATAAAGAAATTTCTTAGAAGATCATACAAATATGTAGAATAGTTTATAAATATAATTTAATAGTGTATTAACATTTTCTTAAACAAACGAAATTGAAATAACAATTATAATGTTATAAATTTAATAAATTTTTATAATATTTTGTTATACGAATTATGATATATATTTCAACACCTTAAACCGAAAAAGTGAGGTGCTACTACTACTAATTGACTCCGCATAGGCGGAGAGATAAAAACAATAGTAAAATTGAAAAAACAGTGATGGCTATTAAATTATAATAAAATTTCGTTTTAATATTAGTCAATAAATTTAGTATGAAGTCAACAAATGAAGAATAAACATTGAAATTTACATAATTTGATTGATTAAAAAAATCATAGTTTATTTGTGTTATTATAAAATGTTAAATTAAATATTAAGGTGAGGTTGGCATAATTCAAATTGATGACATCAGTATTGAATTGGGGAACATCATAATTTATGATTTATAAATAATTGTACCGTATATATAAGTATAAATGGAAATTATTAAACTGATTTAGTGAAAAAAATCTTTGAATTTAGATTCATGGGTCATATTTTATTGTGATAAATATTAAATGTAATCTTAATCTGTAAAATCTAATGGAAGTATACTTCTGGATTACTTCAAGAGTCTTGGTTAGGAGGAATGGAATATCAATTTGGCCCAGTATTCAAAACTAGTCGATTTTAGATTAACTCAGAATGTGATAACATTCGCTGAAGTGCAAAACTTTTATGCATTTGAGGATCAAAAGTAAGGATCACACATAATGTAGGAATTTCCTTTAAATGCACTCACAAACCTAATGGACAGACCAAGAATGGAAAATATTGATTTGGATTGTGATATCATATTGCACGATGAATAAAATGAATCTTTTAAAAATGGTAATGGAATATTGAATATTTAGAATGATTGGGAGATGGTTGAGACGTTGATAAAATTCAAAAATCGATTAAATTGTTAATATAAATGGCTATGTCATGTGATTGCAAGAGAAGATAGATTGCAATGGACTTAAGAAGAAGAGCAAATGTTGAAGGAGGAAGTAGAGAATAGCAAAATATTGAAATGGCACGAAATACAATTTTAGATATTCATGAAATCAAATGGGAGATATTTTAAGAAAGCCAAATAATGTCGAGAAAGATGGAACAATTATTTAGATCCTCAAATAAATAGGTAAATTCAAAAGAGAGTCTATTTTTAGGAGCAATTGGAAACCAGAGGAAGATCTCTGTTTGATGAAGTTAGCTCAATCTGAAGGTCTGAAATGGTCCAAGATCTCTTATAAAATGAAGAATAGAACTGAAAATTAAGTAAAAAATAGATTTAAGAGTCTAATCAATAAGGAAACGAAGGGATATTAATAATAGCAAGAAATAGGTGTTCTAATAAACAACATAATATAAAAGTTAATTCTCCAACAAAGTAGTACTACTTCTAATGGATATATGTAGGAAGAAAAACCATAAAAAGTAATCTGTCTAGATGGGAACATCAATTACTTGTAATAACAATAATATTTGATATACCAATATTAGTACTACTTGGCACAGCAACAATATTAAATGTGTTATAGTTACTATTAGGGTGACTAATCAGTGAAAAGTGAAGAGTGCCAATCCTAAAAGATATCAAGATCAAATAGCTTTTGCGGCTTATTAGATAAACTATCGTTAGATTCAAAGTCTTTGACTCAAGAATTGAACAAATAATATGCATAGGAAATTGAAGTTCCTATTAATAATATTACAAAATCATAGTAGTTGATTACTATTTCTAATTTCATAACTGATAATTAAGGGAAAGTCAAATCTAACAAACAAAGATTCAAGTTCTCCTCTGGAGATTAATGATTAATTATTAATATTTTTTATTTAGAATTAAATCAAAACATGTGGTTTTTCAGATCGCTAAGAGCTCTCTAATTAGGATACCCAGCTTATGTCTGTTGGATGATTAAGGGAACATAACCCAGTCATGCCCATGAAGAATGAAAAATTTAATCATTTGCATCATTAATATAATCATCTATAATTATCACTAATATTCTAAATTCAAGTCAACATCAAAATTAATAAAAATGAGACATATGATATTCATAATATTCAAAACATATCAGCAGAATTCTTAGAATATAAAAAATAATTTAATATATTTGAATTATGAATGATTCTGATCTGATAGTGACTCAGGTGAATTGGACATCTATTAAATATTCTCCTACAATTATTAAAAAGGCATTAATCAAAAAAGAATACCAAAATTTTAAATATAAGATAGTTCAATATAAAAGTATATTATTTATCTCAAACAATATTTTATAAAAATAATTTATTGTAAACATCCTTAAAAATACGAGAAATTAGAAGTGTGAAGGTTTTATTTATCAATTATTGCTCCTTTAGAATGCATTCATAAAAAATGATCTTGAAAGCAGATAAAAGGGCTGCATTTTATTGCACTGTTTCTCGATTAATAAATTGGGATTTAAATTTACTCAAGTTCTAGTGAAGCACTTATAAATATGTAGACCTATTGTACACTTATTAACTACCTAATTGTTTTATCGGATGTCACAATTGAAAAGCAAAATTTAATTACAAAACAAGATTTATATATACTCAATGAATTATACGCAAAAAGTTAAGCTATTTGCATAGTTTTGAAATCTAGAAAATAAAGATAAAAAATAATTTTTATATACCATAAACTGCTAGTTCCACTTATTTGAGATGCAGATAGAAGACTGAAAGCAAATTAGATGAATAATTATCAAAAAATGATAATTCTATCAAAAAGAAATTATTATTGATCAAATCAATAGTGATAAGAAAATAAAAATATATATACAAATTTGAGTCAATGTCTGCTAAAAGTTAGCTCTAAATAAAAATGGATAGGGACAAACCCTATTTCACTAGTTTACTTCATTCTAGTATAATAAAAACTAACTTTGGCTTTTGTGGTTTCATGATCACTCAAGGTTTATGGATTAAACTTAGAGTATATTTTTGCTTTGCCATCCCTCTCAAAGTTTGTATTCCAGAACCAGATGAACATGAATTCAAAAATATTGAGGAAGCTCAAGCTAAGATAGAGAAAATTAAGGAGGCCCTAAATATCACTTGATAAGTTTCATCCATTTTAAAATAAATATGATCTTATTAAACTATATGTTGTGTAGGTTTTATCTTAATAGTTCCAAAGATTTGTTTATACTTTTTTTAAATTATCTCTAATTCTATCATAAAAAAATAAGTATTGAAATATGCATACGAAAATAGCTTATTATTAATATTATGGAAATATCTATAGAAGAAGAACTCTTGGCGCGCATGAATGAAAGTACATATATATTTACAAGATTGCGTCATCGAAGCATTGAAAAAACAAAGAATGGTGTTTATGGCTTTTAAATAACCTAGGGACTTTATTATAAATTAAGGATTTTTCTATTAAAAAGAGAAGGAGAAGACAAAATATTTGATATTGTATTTGTAGATTCATTTTTTTAAGAATAAAAAGCAAAGGACAAGATGCATGAACTTTAATAAAAATATCTAAATTAACAAATATGATTATTTAAGTTCATTCCTTTATAAATTATTATAAATCTCATTTTTTTAAGTAAATTTTGTAATATAATGTAAAATTATATTGATTGATATGAGCAATTAAAAAATGAATAACACTAATTAATTTAAAAATTAAAATTTTACCGTTCACATGTATGAAATGAGAAGACCATTATCCGAAAAGAATTTGGGAAGGTATATCCCAGAACAATCGAGGCCTAGTTCGGTTAACTAAATAAAATAATTAACACAGATGAAGAGTTCAACTCAATTGAGCAAATAACATTTTTAGTATAAGGATCAGAAGGAGAACATGGAAATCAGATCCAATCAATAAGATACTATTAATCAGAAACCAAACACGAAAGAGATCTTTGAGTATGGAAAATTATAAGACAAGTTGTCATATTTAGAATAGAAGATCATTAATATCAAATCTCATATCGATAATAGTTAGAGACAAACTTAGCAAGGTTTGGCGTCCAGATTTTTTAATACTAAAACTACTGAGCAATAATAACAATAATAGCAGAACATTAATAAACCAAAAATCAGTAAAAATGATCTTGATTTAAACTAAATGCAAAATAAATAAAAATCAAGCACTTTAGTACATGATCCAAGAGCAATATCAAATGACAATCTCAATAAGAAGCCATCCCTTTCAACCTTTGTAACTTAATAGAAAACAAGCGCTGAAACGAACATCTAAAAGATAATCTAAATTCATCCTGAATCAGCTAAGGGATTGAGTTAGAGGATAGCATTTTCAAACAATTACAGAGAAAGATCAACGAGGTCTGAAACTCAATTTCTATATTATATTTCATCTGTGATTAGGTGTTATATGACACCAGAAATCACGAAACCAATATAATAGGTGAGGGAACATTTACTTTAATCAATATCAGCTGCTCAGTATTCAAAGATGATGAATTCTTAGTAGTATGAGGAGAAGAGAGTAAACCTGCCTTCGATTTCATTAAAAAAAACTATAGTTTTTGATTTAGATGAAACTTTAATTCATTGCAATGAGTCAGTAAAAGTGCCAGGAGATGTCATTTTACCTATAAGATTTCCCACAGGAGAAGTGATTGAAGTATCATATTGGTTTGAATTAGGCATCCATTAACATAAGACCTTATGCGCAATAAGTTTTATAGACTTTGAGTCGACATTTTGAATTGATTGTATTTACTGCTTCACATTCTTGTTATGCAAATGTTGTGATTGATTATTTGGATCCAACAAAATAATGGATATCGCATCGATTCTTCAGAGAGAGTTGTGTATAGACTGAAGAAGGAGCTTATGTTAAGGATCTAAGGTATTCAGTGATTGTTTTTGGTTAGAGTCATTGGAAATAGACAGTTATCGGATCTGGTACTAGTAGATAATGCTGCATATTCATTTTGTTTGTAGCAATTAAATGGTATTCCGATCCTGAATTTCTATGATAATAAATCTGATTAAGTATGAGATATTATGGAGTATTCATAGGAATTACTTTATTTACAAAATTACCTAATGGCTATGAAGTATGCAAAGGATGTGAGATAGTTTAATTAACAGTATCTGAAACTAGATAGATTTGGAGAGTTCAAAGATCCAATTTAGTTATTAGAGACCTTGTTCAAAGAGTATATACCATGATTAATTAAATAATAATTAAGATTATATTATAACAAGTTGACTACTCTAGTAGATCAATTATAATTGAGAAATACGAGAAGCCACTTCTAGAAACTATCAAATTAAACTACTAATTTTGGTAGTAATTATAAAATCTATCAAAATTTTAATGTTTAACTCAAAATTATGCCTAGGGATAATACAATTCAATTGCTATTGGTCTAATAAATTTATAATAAATGAAGCATTTGTTGACTCCTCTATTACCATAAAATTACAACCAGAAACACATATTTGAACTACAGACTTATTATATATAAAACTCGATGATATATTATTTAGGAGTAGATAAATATAATAAGTTAATAATTAATCGTATCATATTTAAGTAATCATGATCAAAATACGTGCATCTCTGAAGAATATGATAAATATGAAATATTTCAATCGAGAAAATCTGAGTTGATAATGATGAGAAAGTAAAGGAACTTACAAATAGAGTAGATAAGCTAATATAATGAGAACCTAACATATTAGCTATTGCTTATAAGGTGATGATAATTTATATCTAATCATACTAATATCTCGTAATTATTAATCTTTTTCTCGTGGATTATCTTTTGCAATTCTTGAGTTAATTTCTTATTGAAAGGGTTACTAAAATAGAAAGGTATTCTTACACTTTAAAATCAAACTTCGCTATTAGCAAAGGAGGCAATTTAGTGAATTCATTTATAAATATTTTAAATGATTCATCGTTAACTCCAATATCATAAGCAGATAACCAGAGTTTGCGTAATCTCCTCATCTCAGGCAAGGCTTTGGAAACAATTACAAATCCTTTGTTTCCAATTGGGTTGCAGGAAACATCCAAATTTAAATCTTTTAAATTGTATAGGTGTTTGAAAGCATGCATTAAAGCATCGATTCCTTCCCATGTAATTTTATTGTTGTAAAGTGAAACATCCATGAATGATAAGCGATTCAGATTGGTGAAACAACCAGCTAATTGTCTAGCTCCAACGACAGTCAATGAGTTGCTAGAGGTATTGGGATAATTGTACCAGCCTAAGTTTAGCTTCAAATGTTCAATGTTATAAAATTGGATGAATTTTTTCATAAAGTGTTCCATGTTATTGTCAGTCATGCCTTATGATTTGAATTCAATCGATAGGTTTTGCACTTATTTGGCCTTTTTGCTATCATAGTACAAGAAATCTTTGAGATGGTTAAACTGTATTAAATGTATCGTATTACTTTGAGAGTAGTTTCGCCATCATCCTATTGCTTATTATGGAACATGATGACGAGACCTTTTTCTTGTTCCTCCTTTATTTGTTCTCGTTGACATTCTTAACCATTAGTGCCCTAATTTAGTTATGTAATTTACAGTTAACGGTCTCTGATATTGCTTATTGATTGAATGCTTGTATTGTTCTTCCAACTCTTGGTTGAATTCGTTCAGTAACTCTTTATTGATATGATAGAGAAATACTCTACATAAATTGTTCAACTTGATTGGCAAGGGTTTGAAATTGTTTTGCTCCAAGCAATGATAACTTTGTATCACTACTAGCAGGTAATCGATTCAAAGATGAATCATTGTATGTTTATTTTAAGGTGCGAATCCTGGCCACCACAATATTTGAGACTGAATCAAGGAGTCCGTCTAAAATAGATTTATAGGAAGCCATGCGAATGATTATAAATTAATTAAATTATTAACCCGCCCTTATGCAAAAAAAAATTGCCTCATTCTTCAAATCAAGTAAGAAAGGAGATGATTCAAATGATTAGATCAAGGAACAACAATTTATCGAGGAAAACCTCAAGAAGGAGAAACTAATGCCAGAACAAAAGCTGGGCGCCTCAAAATCCAAATCGCATAATATGGAAATCAAAGGGGCTGTTCTATTCATCGATATGGCTGAATTATACGAACAAGTAGAGTGTGCTTTCAATATTAAAGGTCGGAGAGATTAAAGGGCAAAATTCGAAGGATGCCATCAAAGAGTTAGTGGCTAAATTGTTCATCAGAATCATGAAAGAAAATAGGGAAGAATTTGTGCCAGCATACTTGTTTAGCATTTTGAAGTTGGGACCCGATTATGAATCATGGGAATTGGGTATTGGACAAGGAATCATCGTGAAATCCATCAGTGCTGTGTCTGGGAAGAGTGTATATAAAATATAACTATGAAAAGGAAAAATAAGTGAGAGAACTAATGAACACATTGGGAGATTTGGGTTTGGCCATTGAAAAATCGAAATCAACTCAAACATCCTTGAATAAATTTTTTGTTTCTCAGACAGTCAAGGAGGAAGTTAAATTAACAATGATTTAAGTATTTAACACTCTCCAGCAATTGTAAAAATAAGAAGGCACAGGAAGTTCATTGGAGAAGGAGAGAATTCTGACCAATCTCCTAAGAATGGCCAAACCGATTGAGGCCAAGTATATCGTAAGATTCATAGAGAAGAATCTCAAGATCGGAGCAGCTGAGAAGACAATGCAAGCTGCTTTGGCTCGAGCATTCTAATTGTATCATAAGGGAAATGTGGAGGGGGATTATGAAGGCATAATAAATTAAGCATTGTGTGAGTGTCCTAATTACAAGAAGATTATCGACACTCTGTTCAGCATTCAAAGTTTGAAGGAGGTCCCTGAATTGTGTCACATAATTCCAGGAGTGCCTTGTAAACCAATGTTGGCTAAACCAATGAAATCTATTTAGATGATATTTTAGAGATTCGAAAATATGAAGTTTACATGTGAATATAAATACGATGGACTAAGAGGGCAGATTCACTTTGAAAATGGGCAAGTGAGTATCTTTTCCAGGAATCTAGAAAACATGACACAAACATATCCAGATATTGTCAACTATGTTCACACTCATTATTAGCATTTGGATGGTTTCATTATCGATTCTGAAATTGTTGCCTATGATGTGGCAAATAATAGGATCTTGCCATTCCAAACACTCACGAGTAGAGCTAAGAAGAATGTGGATTAGAATCAAATTGAAATTCAAGTTTGTCTATACATATTTGATTTGCTGTATTTGAATAAGCAAAGTTATTTGAAAGAGACTTTGGAGAAGAGAAGATAGACTTTGAGAGAGACATTCAAAGAGGAGGAAGGGAAGTTGAAGTTTGCAACCTCAAGGGATTCAGAAAATTTTGAAGAAATTGAAGAATTTCTATTGAATTCAATCAAAATGGGATGTGAAGGTTTGATGATCAAGACTTTGGAGATCAATTCGCAATATGAACCAGCTAAGAGATCATTTAATTGGTTGAAATTAAAAAAGGATTATTTGGATAATGGATTGTCTGATACATTCGATTTAGTACCTATTGGTGCTTGTTATGGAACAGGAAAAAGGAAGGGATTTTATGGAAGTTATTTGTTGGCTTGTTACAATGAAGATATGGATTAATATGAAACTACTTGCAAGATTGGTACTGGATTCAGCGATGAAAATTTAGAGAAGTTCTTTTAATTCTTTTAAGAATACTTGATTCCACACCCATTATAAGAATACAAATGTGATGGAGTGAATATGGATGTTTGGTTTAGTCCTGTGGTTGTGTGGGAGATCAAGAGTGCTGACATTCAGATATCACCTATCTATAGTGCTTGTTCTACCATCTTATAATTGAACAACAAAGGAGTGGGATTGAGATTTCCTAGATTGATTAAAGTGAGAGAGGACAAGAAACCGAATGAAGCCACTAGTTCGCAATTTCTATATGATGTATATAAATAATAGGCTGTTGTTGCCAGCAATAATACGTTTGAGTAGGATGATGATTTTTATTGATTTTAAAGTGTTTGGTATTCAAATTATTAATTTAATCATATTTGGGATGAAAATATTTAACAAAGCTATTTGCTTTACGTTTAGGTTGTGAGTAATAGTTGGACAATTTGAATACTCCAAGAAACTATAATTGTGATTGTCCCATAGTAAGCATTTAATCGATTTTATAGTTACTNTGTGTGAGTGTCCTAATTACAAGAAGATTATCGACACTCTGTTCAGCATTCAAAGTTTGAAGGAGGTCCCTGAATTGTGTCACATAATTCCAGGAGTGCCTTGTAAACCAATGTTGGCTAAACCAATGAAATCTATTTAGATGATATTTTAGAGATTCGAAAATATGAAGTTTACATGTGAATATAAATACGATGGACTAAGAGGGCAGATTCACTTTGAAAATGGGCAAGTGAGTATCTTTTCCAGGAATCTAGAAAACATGACACAAACATATCCAGATATTGTCAACTATGTTCACACTCATTATTAGCATTTGGATGGTTTCATTATCGATTCTGAAATTGTTGCCTATGATGTGGCAAATAATAGGATCTTGCCATTCCAAACACTCACGAGTAGAGCTAAGAAGAATGTGGATTAGAATCAAATTGAAATTCAAGTTTGTCTATACATATTTGATTTGCTGTATTTGAATAAGCAAAGTTATTTGAAAGAGACTTTGGAGAAGAGAAGATAGACTTTGAGAGAGACATTCAAAGAGGAGGAAGGGAAGTTGAAGTTTGCAACCTCAAGGGATTCAGAAAATTTTGAAGAAATTGAAGAATTTCTATTGAATTCAATCAAAATGGGATGTGAAGGTTTGATGATCAAGACTTTGGAGATCAATTCGCAATATGAACCAGCTAAGAGATCATTTAATTGGTTGAAATTAAAAAAGGATTATTTGGATAATGGATTGTCTGATACATTCGATTTAGTACCTATTGGTGCTTGTTATGGAACAGGAAAAAGGAAGGGATTTTATGGAAGTTATTTGTTGGCTTGTTACAATGAAGATATGGATTAATATGAAACTACTTGCAAGATTGGTACTGGATTCAGCGATGAAAATTTAGAGAAGTTCTTTTAATTCTTTTAAGAATACTTGATTCCACACCCATTATAAGAATACAAATGTGATGGAGTGAATATGGATGTTTGGTTTAGTCCTGTGGTTGTGTGGGAGATCAAGAGTGCTGACATTCAGATATCACCTATCTATAGTGCTTGTTCTACCATCTTATAATTGAACAACAAAGGAGTGGGATTGAGATTTCCTAGATTGATTAAAGTGAGAGAGGACAAGAAACCGAATGAAGCCACTAGTTCGCAATTTCTATATGATGTATATAAATAATAGGCTGTTGTTGCCAGCAATAATACGTTTGAGTAGGATGATGATTTTTATTGATTTTAAAGTGTTTGGTATTCAAATTATTAATTTAATCATATTTGGGATGAAAATATTTAACAAAGCTATTTGCTTTACGTTTAGGTTGTGAGTAATAGTTGGACAATTTGAATACTCCAAGAAACTATAATTGTGATTGTCCCATAGTAAGCATTTAATCGATTTTATAGTTACTACCATCTGTTTTGGTATTTCATAACTACTCACGATTTCTTCATACTTCTAATTAAATTGACAACATTCCAGTTTTATTTATTTCCAGTCTGAATCATCATTCTTATGTGTCATTCTAAAATACATTTAGTAATAATAGTACCCAAATTGCTGAATGAACCAATCTACTATGATTTCTTTCTGATTGTTTATCCATAGGCTGTCTATAAATTCATCATTTGATTGAATTGCCATAAGATAACCATACTTATCAACATAAAACTATCATTTAATTAAAGAGTATATTACTGCTTTATAATCTCTCCTCACATTGAAATATTTTTCAACAATGTCTGATTTAAATGATAATCCAGTGTTTTAATTCCAAACTTGATTGAGGTGACAAAATTAGATTTGTAATTTTTGAAATCTTTAAGAAATGAACTCATTTATTATATTGTTAAGGTTTTCTAATTAGGTGATTATGATGATATTTGTGGGCTCTTAGAATTCTTCTTCAATGGATGCCAATTTATTCAGGATTATGAGTATTTACTTCTCAAAATCATCATACAAGACAAAGAGTAGGGTGTTAATTGTAATTTTGATGGATTCATCAAAATCCATCACCTTCTCATTTATTGATATCTAATAATCTATGCCATGCTATATATATTTCCTAATTAAATCCATACCATTGGCAGAGAGATTCTAAGTTTTGATCTACTTAAATTAAGTGATATGTTATTCTTATTGTTGTTTCAATAGTCTTAACTCATCCAAATTCTTGATAGCGATGGATTTATTATGTAATTCATACATGTCCCAAAAGACGAATGAATCTCTCATTAGATTGGTCCATTCCACTTTATCCTAATCACGAATTCTCATTATTTTGCTCACACTTTTATAATCTGTCTACCATTCAATGGTTCTTCTTTTAATCAAGAACAACTTCAATTTAAAGTGGAACTACGAGGTGAAATCTTCAAGGAAATCCATCAGATCTATTTTGCTGAAGGTGTACGTATGAGGTATGGAATATAGATTTAAATCAGGGTCCTACATTAATGCAAACATTATACTTTCCATCTCAATCCAATTGATTCTTTCAATTCTCTACAAGTTTCTGAGAGTATTTTCTATTTTTAAATGGAAGCTGCAGGATATATGGAAGGCAACAAATAAGTTTTTGCGACCTCCTTGAATTTCTGCTAATCAAAATCATAATTAAAATAGGTCTGCTTAATGAGTTCAAATTGAAATGGTTCACCTGGATGATATTTGGTTAATATCTAAGGCAAACGGGCACTCTTAAACAGTTATTTAAAATCTTTGTATTGCACGTCACTGATGGTCTCACTTGATTAGAATATCTGCTATTGCATCATTTGATATTTTGTTAATGTGTTTTTTGGTGTTTATGGTTTATTCTTGCTGATATATGATGAATAATGGATGTGTAACTCTTTCAGTAACTTCTTCTCATACTTGATCGCTTTGGATTTCTGAGAACTAACATCGTCGAACTCTTCACAGACTTAATCTGGTTTTTTGGAGATGTAAAATTCAGGTCTTTCTGCTCTGATTACTTTGCCTTGTGGATCTATGATAACGAAGATGTCTTCTTTGGTTGGTTCTTCGATGTGAAATACTTGGTTGGAGTTGAAATCTTTAATTAATGAGTGATAATATATACACTAATGATGTTCAGGCCCGTTATCGCTTATATCTATGAATTTCATACACCATCCATATTTATTTATAAATTTTTATAAATCTGCATATTTGTGTGTTGAAGTCCAGTGTATCAAACCATAAAACTCAAATCGAGCAAACTTAAATATTTTTGATATCTTGATGGTGAAGATTTATTGGAATTTGTAAAATTGTTTAAGACTTTGTAACTTGTACAATTGCAATTGCAAGAAAAAAGTGTATTTTCCATTGTTGCTAAAATTGATTAATTATGCTTGTTTGACATCCACGAATTTCACGAATATCTGTTGGGGAAAGAAATCGTTTTTCATGAGGGCTGTGTGTACTGTGGCTGAGGTGATGAGAGGCTTGAAATTACGAAGAGGTCTCAACAAAATAATAGATTCTGGATGTGAATCCAAGAATGAGTGAATATAATTTCGAGATTCCAAATTACACTTGACCCACTTATCCACGCTCTTTATGATTCTCCTCTTCTGCAATATCCAATCCTTTCTCTACTTAAAGTAGCAATAATTGTAAACGGATGTGGAGATGATGATGGTCTCAAAAAACTGACCCTCTCCCAATTGATCCAATAACATACGCAAACTATCAGATGACGTCTTTTCATCATTCAAAGGACGACTACCTAAGCATCCCATCAAATAATAAAATTTAATTTTTTCATATTCCCATATCATCTTAATTAAATGGATCCCGTTCCACCTAAAGTTATAGTTGATATTCCTAAATTCACAGTCGTGGGAATTAGCAGAAGAGTGCATTTTGCAAGTGAGGCCAATCCTGAAACAAATGTCTATATAAAAACCTTTAAAGAATATTTTGATAAGAAGATCGCAGAAACAATCCCTAATCGTGCAATCCCAGGAAGAACTTATTGTCTTTATTACGATTTTAAGGATGTGTAAGACAAATCGATATTTACTCTATCCATATTGGTTGGCGAATTGGTCACCGCAGTCGATTAGATACCTGAAGGATTGTAAGCTTTTGAGGTCCAGGATGCCACCTATGCTTAGTTCAAGGGAGGCCCAGGTGCCATACCAGAGGCTGCAAGGGATACATGGATGAAGTTGTATCTTATCAAGTTGGACGAATGGGGATACAAGAGAAGCTACATAACCGAATTCGAGTTGTATCGGGAAGGATAGAATGATATCGGAAATATGGAAGTTGAATTGCACGTTGGAATATAACAGATATAAAATTGAGTTTTATTTATGGTTTTTATTGAGTAATATCAATATAGAATTTGTTAATGTTGCACTCAAAATATATAGAATGAGTGGATTTATAAGGGAAATTGCTCTCTCCATTTAACATATTAATAAATTGAAGGATTGAAATGGATCATACACATAAAACTAACCCCAGAACTACTGTTGAATTAGCCTCTTTCACTCTGGTAGGCGTTCAAAGAACAATCATTCAAAAAGATGAAATTGACCCCCAGACTGGATAGATTGGAAAGACATACGAAGAATACTATGGAAAATAACTCCACGACAAGATACCCAATCGTTTACACCCTATGAGGACCTATTGCTTGTATTATGGGTACTCCAACGCTTAGAATTGGTAAGAAATGAAGTACACTATGGTTTTGGGGGAAATAGTAAGTGATGCCTCAAATGTACCTGAAGGAATGGTTAGTGTGCAAGTCCCAGCTCATCGTTTTTGTAGATTCGACTGTGGTCCAGGTCCTATCCCAGGAGTAGTAATTGATGCTTGGTAATCATTGTGCAAATTGACCCCAGAAGACTTTGGAGGAGTCCGTACTCATGATTACGAATTAGAAGTGTACCCAGAGGATTAGATTGACAAAAACAATATGAAATTTTAATTATTCATTGGGATATCATGATCTATTGATCGAATAATCTAACAGTATTACAAATAAATTAATAAAAATACAATAGAAATTAATTAGAAGTTCTAATTATTTACTATTTCCCTTATATTTTCAAAATTTATCATTTACTTATTTATGGTATTTTCCATATTATCTCATTTTATTGTTAATATCCTTAAGAATCACATTAAGGATTTTTGAAAGGATAGAATCAAGGAGAACATGAGTTTGAATGTTCAAATTACGATTTTCTATGTTGAGACAATCATTCACTATTAAATTAGGTCAAAATAATTTGTGAGTTCAACAAATGTTAATTATCCGAGCTGAAATTGTAATTCCATAATCATTGAGTATTCTGACTGTGATAACCCATTGATCATTATTATGATGTTTAAAATTAAGTGAATACTCCACAGGTTAATAAACTTTTAAGCTGTTAAAATTAAGTCATTAAATAGAATTACTGTTATTTCTTATTTCTTTTTATATATACAACACTGACTATCTTGAAGTAAAATAAAAATCTGATTATAATGACGACACTAATCTATCTTCCATATTTAAGAAACCAAACTAATCAAAGCTATTTTTGGAATGTTATTATTCATGCAATGGAGATCAAACATCTGTGAGGTGAGTTGTAGATTTATCTTAAAATTTAGGGAATGTGAATGGCCTTTTCATTTGATTTTATGTGTCATTAATATTAAAATATTATAAAAATGTCAAGTGGTGGTAAGAGTTATTGATAATTGAAAAAGTGAGCAATGAGTAGATAGGAGAGTTGGTGGATCACCTAAACTAAGAGCATGACAGCGAGGATGAAGGCATGGAAGATTACAAGATAGGAGGTTTGTGAAATATGACTATAAGAAAGGATATCACCCAGTTCATATTGGAGAGGTGTTGCTGAATCGTTATGTTGTCATTCAGAAATTAGGGTGGGGGCATTTCTCGACTGTGTGGTTGGCAAAGGATTTCAAATATGACACATATGTGGCGCTAAAAATTCAGAAGAGTGCATCGCATTACTTGGAAGCAGCATACGACGAAGTAAAAGTGATGGTCCAAATTTTGTTTAGGTGGAGATCCTATAGAAGGTGGCGCAGAATGTGCAAAATCCTGTTTGGATCCAATCATTAAAAGATTATTANGGGGGAAATAGTAAGTGATGCCTCAAATGTACCTGAAGGAATGGTTAGTGTGCAAGTCCCAGCTCATCGTTTTTGTAGATTCGACTGTGGTCCAGGTCCTATCCCAGGAGTAGTAATTGATGCTTGGTAATCATTGTGCAAATTGACCCCAGAAGACTTTGGAGGAGTCCGTACTCATGATTACGAATTAGAAGTGTACCCAGAGGATTAGATTGACAAAAACAATATGAAATTTTAATTATTCATTGGGATATCATGATCTATTGATCGAATAATCTAACAGTATTACAAATAAATTAATAAAAATACAATAGAAATTAATTAGAAGTTCTAATTATTTACTATTTCCCTTATATTTTCAAAATTTATCATTTACTTATTTATGGTATTTTCCATATTATCTCATTTTATTGTTAATATCCTTAAGAATCACATTAAGGATTTTTGAAAGGATAGAATCAAGGAGAACATGAGTTTGAATGTTCAAATTACGATTTTCTATGTTGAGACAATCATTCACTATTAAATTAGGTCAAAATAATTTGTGAGTTCAACAAATGTTAATTATCCGAGCTGAAATTGTAATTCCATAATCATTGAGTATTCTGACTGTGATAACCCATTGATCATTATTATGATGTTTAAAATTAAGTGAATACTCCACAGGTTAATAAACTTTTAAGCTGTTAAAATTAAGTCATTAAATAGAATTACTGTTATTTCTTATTTCTTTTTATATATACAACACTGACTATCTTGAAGTAAAATAAAAATCTGATTATAATGACGACACTAATCTATCTTCCATATTTAAGAAACCAAACTAATCAAAGCTATTTTTGGAATGTTATTATTCATGCAATGGAGATCAAACATCTGTGAGGTGAGTTGTAGATTTATCTTAAAATTTAGGGAATGTGAATGGCCTTTTCATTTGATTTTATGTGTCATTAATATTAAAATATTATAAAAATGTCAAGTGGTGGTAAGAGTTATTGATAATTGAAAAAGTGAGCAATGAGTAGATAGGAGAGTTGGTGGATCACCTAAACTAAGAGCATGACAGCGAGGATGAAGGCATGGAAGATTACAAGATAGGAGGTTTGTGAAATATGACTATAAGAAAGGATATCACCCAGTTCATATTGGAGAGGTGTTGCTGAATCGTTATGTTGTCATTCAGAAATTAGGGTGGGGGCATTTCTCGACTGTGTGGTTGGCAAAGGATTTCAAATATGACACATATGTGGCGCTAAAAATTCAGAAGAGTGCATCGCATTACTTGGAAGCAGCATACGACGAAGTAAAAGTGATGGTCCAAATTTTGTTTAGGTGGAGATCCTATAGAAGGTGGCGCAGAATGTGCAAAATCCTGTTTGGATCCAATCATTAAAAGATTATTATGCAGAAGTAAAAGTTGATCTACGCAATTAATAAGGAAGGACGCACCCATTTCAATCGAGATGATACTCACACAGTGCAACTGTTAAATTCATTTGTCTACAAGGGACCTTATGGACACCATTTTTGTATGGTTTTCGAGATTTTGGGTGTGAATCTCTTGGAAATAATAAAAAGATACAACTACAAAGGAGTACAATGATTGAATATCAAGTTAGTGTCCAATGGACATCGTGAGGAAGATGGCCAAGCAGATATTGATTGGGTTGGATTACTTGCATAGAATTTGTGGTGTTATTCACACTGATTTGAAACCGGAGAATGTGCTACTCTGTCTGTCAGATGAGGAGATCAAAGACATAGTGGAGAATGGCCAATTGACATCGAATCAACTGTTTTCGGATAGAATTCACATCTATAGAAAGATGTTGGGCATAGTGAAAGACGAGAAGAAGAAGGAGGAGGAGAACGAGCATGAGCATGAGGAGGAGGAAGAGACTCAGATGAGCAAGACTCAGAGAAGGAAGTTGCAGAGAAAGAAGAAGAAGAAGTAAGGAAATGTGAATTAAGAAGAGGAGGAGGAGATGCCTAAGTCAATTAAGGATCTCTTCAAGTAGGATAATCAAAAAAAGTAATATGCCATTATTAAATTTGGAAGGATATCATTTAAGACTCAGAAGCCATTGCCTGACAATTTCAGAGTGAAGATTGCAGATTTGGGAAATGCGTGTTGGATTCATCATCACTTTTCCACTTTGATTTAAACCAGACAATACAGATCTCCGGAAGTGTTATTGGGAATTAAGTACAATCCAACAGCAGACATATGGAGTTTCGCATGCATGATATTTGAAATGCTTACAGGAGATTATTTGTTTGAACCCAGACAAGGGCCAAACTTCTCAAAGAATGAAGATCATTTAGCTCAGATCCAGGAATTGCTAGGCAAGTTTCCTTATGAGTATGGGACAAGGGGAGCTAAGGCTAAAGTAAGATAATATAGAATTAAAATAAGCGATACTTTTCTTAGAGTGGCGTGATGAAGAGAATATAACAATTGCATTTCTGGAATCTATATAATGTGTTGACTGAGAAATACAGATTCAAAAGCTAGGAGGCTTTGTCATTCTGTTCGTTTATGATGCCAATGTTGCATCAGATGCCAGAGTATCGTACGACTGCTCAGGAAACACTTAAGAGAGAGTTATGTTGCAATGCCAGTAGCGAATAGGTCTTGAAACGCTATATCGATCAAGTGTTTTAGTTCTAGAATTTCAGAGAGTGCATTCCTCCTTCAGGATGGTTCAAACAGACGACTGATGAGAAGGTTGGACATAAGATGAGTGAGGAGGAGTACAAGAAATTTACTGCTCAGAAGAAGATTAATCAAGAGCAGGAAGAATTGGAATAGGGGCAGATTTGCGAAGGGATTCAACCCACTCTCTTGACCAACTATAGAAGAGTACTTATACTAAGTATCAGAAGGCATCTACGAGGTCTTATGAGGGATCAACTTCATTGACTCCTGAAGTAGAAGTTCTACCAAAGAAACAAGGGAAGTATGTTGATCATAGGGTGATTGATAGGTCATTCACTGATTTGGGATACATAGGATATGGGGAAGGAATTAATTTGGAATAATTAGATAGTACAGGAAATTGGTAATTTAGTTGAGTATTAAAAACACATATATTGATTTGACAGAATTATTAATTATTTTAATGAGTTGCATTTCTGTTCAGAAACATGTCAATTATGGAGAGGTGATTTTAATTGTGGGAGATTGTCACAAGATATAATGGAATGTCTAGAATGGAATTTAAATGCAATGGAATTAAGATGATATTTGGACTGTCACACTGGACTCCTGTTGTCTGCCTATGAACTATCGTTACGTAGTTGTTAAGTAAGTCAGCAGACAGATTGTAGAATGGGAAGATGGAATCACCAGAGTGTTCAATTCTCATCAAGATGTCCAGGATATTTGGGGTCATATTCGCATATCACTCAAACTCATGAACTATCCTGATTCCAACTTAACTCTTCATCTCTACACCTAAACTGGAAGACATAAGATCCCACTTAATAGAGTTGAGGGAGAATGCACATCTAATTTCCAGGTCCCGAATAAATCTATTCATTAATTGGCTTATAAATACCAATCCAACGAAAAGTGGGAAAGAAGTGGTGTCCGTGTGATCCATTCCCACCCTATTATCAATAATGTCATTCATGTGACTGACTCTAATGTAGATTTCAACTTTAACTGTAATCGTATTTTTGGAAACCTATACGTTGGTTCATTTATTTATATAGAGTAATTAATATTGTAATATATTTTAGTGAAATCCGCATTCTATAAGATTTTGGTGTAAATGCCATACTCAACTTACAGACCGTTGAAGATCTGATTAACAAGGATCTGCCTGAAGATTATTTTGATGAACTCAAATCTCAAAGTCAATCTTTAGGTATCACATATCTACAATGTCCCATAAAAGATTGTAATAAGAGATCCTATCTCTAATATGGACTTCACGCTTACTAGATCCTCAAGAAACTGTTGGATCAAGGGAAATGCGTGTATGTACATTGCACTGATGGGATTCAAAGGAGTGTTCAAACTATTATACTCTACATGGTTCAGGATTTGCATTACTCTCTCGAGTAGGCCATCGAATTAGTTCAAGGCATTAGACCAAGATCGAAGCCGATTCGTGAAGTACTATAAACAATTCTGAACCTTTGATATCCAAATTTTATGTAATCATCATTATATTAATAAATTAATTTCATTTAATAACTACTTCTCTATTTCTTCCTGTTTTGAGTTGACCCATTTCCCATTGACATAATTGAATCTCTGAGGACCGCTGATCGGAGATGAGTACCACAACTATTTGTTGGGAGTCTGTCTGTTAATCACAAAGGATTTCCCATTTGGCAGATGTATGTTGAGTACTCCATCTGAAAATGAGGTTTCTACATTCTCGAAATTCTCAATCTTGTCATTCAATGCCTTTTAATTTATCATTTATTATTGTTACACTCAATTAGAGGTTGCTCAGTTTAAGGAATTGAGTGGTCGTGAATTCTGTGCAAAACTTAAATGTTCTTAACATTTTTATTATTATATATTAATTTAAATTTGAAACATGTTGCAGAGTATTTCAATCTCAGATTACAAACAATCCCCTCAATCCATATTCAACTCTCTACAATCGCAGGGTGTTATCAGATCAGTCAATCTAAATTCGGGAATCAAGTCTTCAGCCATCAAATCAAGTGGATCCAAAAGATTGCACTCCGAATGCAACTCTGAATTACAATGTAACTCAGTCTCATCTATATTTCAGTGTCTGTCAGCAGTGAGAATTCCAAATAGCGCTCCTTCTCTATGCAATCCAATCGACCCACAATCACAAGGTAATTATCCCACAATCAATCCATCATTGACACTGTCAACAAGAAGATAGTCTCGGAAACTAAGGAGAACAAGTTCGTCTCCATCAATCAACACGAGTAAGTCTCAGATTTCAATTAAAAAAACTCTAAAGAACAACATACTCTAATTAATTTATAAAACAAGGTTACTATTTTGATAGATGAGAATCAAAAACTCATCCTCATCAATGAGCAATTAATGTAGGAGTTGGAGAAGGCTAAGATTGCTTACGAAACCAACAATCAGACTGTATTATTATAATCATTATAAAGAGAAACACAATCACTCTAACAAACTGTGTTGTAATACAAAAAAGTCAATAATTAACAATCTTAGCAAATCTTAGAATTGCAATAAATCCTCAATGAAAGAGAAGAATTGAATATTGAATAGAAATCCATCACTAACTAATAATTGATTGAATCCTAATAGACAAATAAGATATTCAAAGAACAATTCCTCTAATTGTCATAGAAGTATTTGTTAAAATGCTTTGAATTGGAGAGATTGCAAATAGTTGAAAAAGCATGGTCAGATAAAATTAATATCGTTTTGAAAGAGAATGAGAACTTGAATCTCATGGTCTAACAGCGCTTGAATGAGTAGATACAATTGCAACAATAGTACAAATAGCAAAACGATATAATCATCAAATTGGAATAAGAAATATGCTTCTTGCAATAATAATAGAAGGAACAGAGCTACATCATAACTAAAAAGAATCAAGATCAAATTCAAATTATTGCAGATCTCAATAAATAATTTGAATAAAAAAATGAAGAAAATAAAAAATTAAATGAGTTGTTATAATCATAAGAGTATAAGTGGAGATAATCTTGCATTGAATTTGAGAAGGAGATGAAGTAATCTTATTCCACTAAATTGAATTTAGAAATCAAACATCAAGTCTAGATAATTCGAGATGATTATTAAAAATCATTAATGAATTATGCCTAAACTATAGCAGTATTGTAGGGATAAATGTAAATTCTATAAAAACAAAATGAATAGCTTCACAGAGTTAATTCTCAAAATTCCAATTTGAAGGAATGGAAGCACGAAAAGCAATTATACTTTGAAATAATCTAAGAATTGTAATAGAAAGTTACAGAACTGACAAGCTAATTGGCAACTATCTTGAATTACAATTCAAATTACGTGAGTGATTACAATAGCTTAGGAATCTAGGAACAATTGAATAAATTGGAGGATTGCTAAAAGTACAATCAAAAAATGTACAAAAAATGCTAATAAATTTTCAATTAAAAATTTTATGTTTGATAAAAATCTATATATATAAATGCTAATAAGAATACAATCATAATTTGTCTAATATTTATTAATCCTTTGTATATAAGTATATCTTTAAAAGCACAACTAAGCATCATATGAAATTGATATATAAGTTATATGTTATATAGAATTACATAAGCTGTTCACACTTTGTTAACTGAAATCTCTATCATTGGATGATATTCTACAAAAGTATACTACTAAATCTCTTAAAAATATATATAAATGATTGAATCACATGATTTGAATATTTTCAGATATCATATTTCGAGTTCCTAAAAGTCTATATAAATTTCACATCCATTCTAAATTACTATGGTACGTAAAAGATATTCTTAGATGAGTTCACTAATTTTATATAATGTGATATTAAGATAAATTTAATAGAATTTATTTCTTATAAAAATTAATTTTAATAATTAACCGGATCATAAGGTTTACATAATTAAAGCACACACTGAGTTTGTATTTGAATTTTTATGAGAAAAGAATTGTTTCTTCTTATCATTTTGTTGATTGATCTGAAATACCAGAAATTAGACGATTCATTTTATCTCAAATAAACGTGCCGTCTTAAAAATCTAGTTTGATTCACACTTCACACATAATTGGTTTATGTTATCATAAAATTAATGATTTTTGATATTATAAAGAATAATAATTATTAGAATATCAATAAACTTATAATTTAAAATATTATATTAATTTCTTAAAATTTCTAGAATTATAAAGATTGTTCTATTTCTAGAATTTACTAAAAATTATTTCAAAAGGAGATGCAGACAATCTCATAGATTTATTAAAATAAAAGAAATGAATTAGAGCTAATATCAAGTTGCTTTCAAAAACTATTGGTGCCATTTATGTTAAAGCGAATAACATTATCGTTTGGAGGGTGAATAACTGAATTCAGAACAATTCTGTTAGAATTGTGGATGTGTCTTGGAACAAATAGTTACCAAATAAAATCACCCAAAACAATACTAAATCTATTAATAACCACTCAGATTGTAGAGAGTGTTTTACCACATCATATTTTTTAATGATGACGAGAATTAACATTAAAATGCTGGAGCCACTGAGGATCAAATAAGAAATATGAAGAGATAGACTCATTAAGGTGAATAAGAGAAGACTTGTTACATCTGTTAAGAGGATTTCAGAAATGGAGAGTAGATCGCTATGATGAATTGTAACCATGGTTTCCATGAGGATTGCATTGCAAAATGGTTAAGAATGAACAACTCTTGTCCAGTTTGTAGATGCAAACAAAATTGATTATTCTTTTTTATATTTCTACTTCTCTTTTTATTAGAATTAATATAATTATAAATATCAATCATATAAATGTACTGATCTGCATTCATCATCATTATACTATTATTTAATGTTTTTGAGAAAGTCATAAATTATTTGGTTTTCTGATTACTCCGTGTTTGTTTTGCTAGTAATTTACAGTTCATTTTTAAGTATTTAAATTTCATCCTCCTTGCCTTTCAATTCTTTCTGAAGTAGCATAATTTAATTGGAATAGATATCTGCCTGTTGCAATTGTAAGTATGCGTCTTGGTATAGAACTTGGAGATTTCGATGCTAGGCTGACAACTCCTCAATATATGAGATCATCTTATTGTTTTGTAGAGTTGGATCGATCACTGCCAATTTTAGTGATTGTTACTCTGATTGCATATTGACTATTTACTAATTCAACTACTGGGTTTCGTATTAAAATTGTAGGTGTTATTGTTGTAACGCAGAACGCAAATAAGCATTTTCATCCTTTAGTTGTTCGATAATCTATTGTAATCTTTGGATTTCGTTATACTCATCATTCAATGTCTTTTGTTTCTCGATGGGCTCGAATGATCGCTCTAGGGGTTGCTTCGAAAAGTAAGTGTTAGGAACATGATATTGTGAGCATTTGCGTAAAGGAGAGGGAGTGCATTTTTTATCGGAAACAGCCTTATAAAACATATTAAAAAATGTATTTTATTTTGATATTGTTGATTTTAGTAAAATCAAGGGACACATTTGACTTGGAGATTGATAAATCATATCAATTTTATGGGTAAGGATATTAAATGACACAATACTAGAGAAGTGCCGAATTCATGGCTCAGTTACCCAGTCCAATAATTTAGACTCAAAATTCCATAAGACATGACCCTAAACGATATTTTTGTTTTTATAAGCAAATCGAATGATACGCGTACAAATATTCAATTACATTACAGCCAAATATAATCAGATACTAAGTAAAATATGTATAAGTAGAAACAGTAAACCATTTAATGCACAAATTATGATTTAGATTTATGCAAATTTTCTGCAAAAAACTCACAGACCTATTATCTTTTCGTGTTTTGCAAAATGAGTTGCCATTACCAAATAAATGTCTTTACTGAAAACAATGATGATTATTTAAATAATCAAATAGAGATCAAATCTACAAACTGGGAAGAAGGGAAACCATTAATGTTGAATTTTACTAACATCGAATATGAAAGATTTTACATAAGATTAATTTCATTAGAGGGGATAGGTCAAATATCTTTGTACATAAACATGAATGAAACAATTCCTACTGAGGAAGAATTTGATTTTCATTATGAGAGTAATGGAAATTTGCTCCTATTTCAATGGAGTAATTACACCCATCCTTAAAAGATGATTGCAACTCTAATCAAGAGTATGGGATAGTTTCTTGTGGGATTTGGCACTTATCAAAGGCAACATAGGATCTCCTTATATGAAAAAATAGAGGATGAAGTAATAAAGGACCGAGTGAATTACTATTAATTGGTTGTGGAGGATATACAGGATCGTTTATTGATCTTTCAAGTTAATTACAATGTTGACAATATCAAACTCTATGTGCAACCATGCATAGAAGATAGATGCTCCATTAATTACACAAATTTTGAATGGCAATATTAATTTAATATAGAATTTCATTAGTTTATCATTCCATTTCAGAAAATGATTTACACTAAAGTTTATTTGATTGCAATCAAGGGAGTATCAAATTCTTCTTTGTACACTTTTGAAGCCAAAATAAATCACAATATAAGGGAGTCTCTTGGCATCAAACATATTAAAGAAGGTATCTTATCAAAGAATTAGATTGCTTTGTTTTTATTGGATTATGTTCTTTTTGATTAAGTAGACATCACAGTTTAAATGCTATTAAATTATCCAAAAGGGCATGGTCTCATTCTGAGCAAACAATGTATTAAGGATGAGGAAGAGCTTAAAATAGTTGATGATGAGTTTGAGTATCTTCAACAGGCTGATCCCAATAATTTTTATAATTGTTCAATCACTCAAGAATAAGCCTCATTATAATAATCAGATCTCATAACAACTGAAAATAACTTACACATCTTCTTCAATTCATCAGAAATCCAATCTGATGTACCTCATCTATGGTTTGAATTCATATCGTATAATTTGCACTATTTATTTGCAATTCAAAGTTCTGTAGACTTGATGAGATTCTCCATTGAAGCAAGATTTTTTTTTTATCAATAAAGCGCAGTCACTGTCAATTAATATGAAATCAAATACAACCTACTAGCTGAATCAAACACTGAAAATTACACATTATATTCATATGAGCAAACTGATTATGTAGTTTCTATTTGTATAGCTATCTATTATGGAGAATGGAAAACCTAAAAAAAAACATTTCCTAATAAAAAATCTCCTGAAAAGAAGATAATTAGAACTTTAGATTTAGATGTTACACAATACTATACAAAAAGAAGCAATAATTATTTTTTTGATATACTGGCAAAAACACGCTTGAGATACTCAATTGTGTAGATTTTCAACGAAATATCCAATTCGCCTATTAAATCTATTTCATTACAATTAGCAACTCCACTCAAAACATTAGACTTGAATCATTAGTTTACCTTTTAAATTATCGAACAGGCTACCCTATACGTAAACATAAAATCCTTATATGGTAACTTTATATGTTACATTCTTAGTAGTAGTAGAAACTTTGGGAATTCATTTCCCAATGAATATAACTTTACCTTCACAAGTGACTAACACACTCTTATTATTGGAAATCCCCAATAGTTTAATTATCTATATGTAAAATCAATTTCACTTGAAGAAGATGAATCCTATCAGATAATGTACTATTATCACAACTCCTTTTTGGAACTATTCTTGGCCACCACATTCTATGGCTTACTTAATGACAATAAAACTCTATATTTTTACTACCAATCGTTTTCTAGACCCTCTCGATTGTATATCATTAGAACCTATTTATCTGAGTACAATGATTAAAACAATCTTTAGATTTACATAAGTTTCAATAATAAGTGTCCTGATCAAGTCAATTTCGAATACCAAATTTTGCCAACCTCCAATTATATATCCATTCACAATAGTATTTCAGGCTCTATGATATATATTGGAGTTTACAGCAAGGGGACCAATAGTTATTCCCTTTTGATTCAAGAGGAGCATTCTGGAATTGAATTGAAGGATAATATCCTATAGACAAGTCCAACCCTTGAGTAACAGAACTATTACTTTTATTATTTTATTCCCAAGAATTTCAATTTCAGCCATCCTGTTAAGATTTAAGCATTTACTAAATTCAATTTAATTGAACTTATGTGCAATGTAGTTGAATTTGAGTTTTAACATCCTTAGAGAAAACAATATCCAACAAATCAAAAGTACGAAATCAAAGAATTATTCAGCCCGAATCCATCCAATAAAATGTTATTCATAAATACAACCGATAAGGTCATGTGCAAACAAAATGGATGTCTCATATTGATAACGGCTTACGTTTTGGGCCATTACGATCATTTCAATATTATGGTATCCTCCAAATACACAGTCATTAGAAATCTCGAAATGATTATTGGATATGCCAGTTCAAATGTGATGTCCTATTACTACTTTGATATTTAAGAGCATATAAAGGAAATCCAATTATCGATAAGAGCAATCCAAGATTGTGATTGTGATATATATGTCTTGAAATCTAGAATTAACACCAAGATTCTCTACCCTTCTGTTGATTAGTACACTTATAAGTTTGCTTCAGATACACTGATAATATCCGAGGAAGACAATAGAGGTCATTATTTCATTGGAGTATTGGCACAGGATTGCACTTTTGAAGTGCTATTACACCTCGGGGGATTCTAATTGAATTACATTCATAATGGATAAATTGTAGATACGGTCATAGAGAGTACCATATCATATTACTATTTGAATTATTACTAGGAACCCTTTCGTATCATGATTTATGATATGAAGAATATTAAGGTCTCCATAAGTGTTGAAAACAACAGCAAATAAACAGAGGTGGCAAATACTGATGATCTTTTTGGAGGTGTAATTTAAATTCATGAAGATATTTGCTAATCTTGTACTTACATTTTCACATTATATCCCATTCGACCAACTGCAGTATCTTTAATTCTAACATATAATACTGTTCCTCTACCTATGAAATATGGTAGAACTTATTATGACCATTGTCTGAATATATGTGAATTTAATTTACAGCCAGGAGAATTGAATTTATTTATTTACTCAAAATCTATCTAATTGACTTTTCATTCTAAAATCAATCAGATAACTAGAATGGAGTTAACATACTCCAATCACATCATTCCTATTAATGAGACCTGCATATTGCGAATTATTACGGACTCATACTATTCTATCAATTTAAACAACCGAGAATTTCCAATCACTTTACAATTAGGTAGAGAATTCAATGGTAGAAACACTATTGATCATAATTAGCAAGTATTTATTTTTTCAATTGAGAGAATCGATTAAGAATATATCATTTAAGTCTCAAGCGGATCTGAAGTTATGGTTTAAGTCTACTATGATACTGGTACGAAGATGATACTTCCCAAATAAGAACACAGAATAAAAAAATCAAAGCACACATCAATCTATTAATTTCAAGATATTGACAAACAATATTCAATTATTCTCTAATGTGTTGGTGACTATTATGTATCTGTGAATGCATATAATAAAATAAAGTACATTAATTTCAACAATCATTATATGGAAGTGATCGAGGAAGTCCAATAATACAATGTCTAAGCTATTTTGGGATAAGAATTGCAATTCGAGAAAATAGATTGTTTAGGAAAGACCCAACTGCTGAAGACTTCTTCTTCAAGAGATACAATTTTCAAAATTTAAACTGTGGATCAAACTTACCCTTTTAAATTTAATATTTTTAGTTTGGTACCTCATATTTAATATTCCCATGATTAATGGTATCTTAAGAATGCTAGATTTGAAATCACCAAACTACTGAATGATTCTCTGGAAATTAATGTCTATGCAATGAGAAGAAAAAAGACTGGGAGTTTAAATTTAAAGAATTTAATGTAAAAGTATTGAGAATAACTTCTAGTTATAAAATGCACTTGTCAGATCAAGATTACTTAATGAGAGCGCTAGGTTGTGAGATTGACATCGAATTTCTGTAGAATTATACTGGTAGTTCTATCTTTTACAATACTTTTATTTATGAAGTGAAAGAGAATTAAGAGTCAATATAATTTACAGGTATTCTTAGGTCTAATTAATAGTATCGATAAATAGAGAATTAATATATGGTTTACTTGTATTTTAAGCTTACTATGAGAATTACAGTATTCCTTATACTTATTTTTATGATGTCAGTGTCATATATAATGAGTCTGAGAAGATGAAGATTAAAATGAAAGAGGAGGTGGAGGTAGAAGATTCGAAAATAAACTATATATTGGTGGTGTTTGTAATTAGTTTTTTATTGGCCGTTGGTTTACTTTGTTTATGGGTTTGTATTCCTAAATAGAGGTAGAGAAGCAGAGAATTTAATGAATAATAGGAGGAATAAGAGTCATAAGAATAGTATGAATTATAATAATTGCAGTAGAAAGAACTAGTTAACACGACGTGATTAATATTTGTCTGAATGTTTATTAATAATAAGAATTTATAATATATAAATCATTTTTCGATTGTAACTTTTTCTAATTTGGTAATAAATTGATTGATTTCATCTTATGCTTCATCCACAGGTTCAGCCAATTCTGGTTTATCTTCCAAATTCAAATCTTTCATTAAGTCTTCCAATTTCACATCATCCTCCTCATCATCATCTTACCATTCATCATCATTATCCTTCTTCTACAACTGAACTTATTTCTTTTATTTCTTCTTCAAATCCTCTTTACTCAGCTTTTTAATCTTTTCTTCATCTCTATACAAATTGATGTTCTTTCTCATCTCCTTATCCTTTTCTACATCATCTAAGAATTCTTCGAATTGCTCCTCTTGATCATTCTATTTCTTCTCTAAAAGGATAATGGAATAATTGAATACATTGGTTTCTCTTTCGTTCTCCTCCTTCCTCTTCCATAACATTCTGAGCTTCCAGCCTCTTCAACTTGAAGATTCTCTATTTCCTGGCTTCCTTATTGATCTATCTCTTCACCAATATGCATTCAGGATAATTGGAGATATCCTCCAAAGACTCAATAGTCAATTAAGTTAAGTCATAACCAATAGCAACCTGTCCAGTTTTGAGGATGTCTCCCAAATGACTTTTGACAGTCACAGGTACGTAATTATTAGATTCCCTAATAATAGTAACCTTGGTCAATTTTGGTAGGAATGCATTTTATGAACTTGAGATATAGCTTTCATTCAAATTTCTGGTGTGAATTCGTTCGACATCAACAACAGTGAATTCATGTTGATGTGTCTTTAGGTTATAGACTTCAATTTCATTTTCATACAAAGAAAAAGCTTCAATGGATAGATCTGAACATTTCATTGAGAGGGGATCGATTAAGTGAATGATGGTTGTCAATTTATAACATAATTGGACTCTGCCTACTCCTCCCAATTCTTTGCACAATTTCTAAGGCAGAATGACTAGGTCATCCTTACACACTTTAGGCAAATCTACTGCATAGACATACTTATAATTGAAGAGATTGCTGCTAGCATCATGTGATACCAATTATTTAGATGGTTTCACTCTTATTGGCAATATAGTTGATAAGTATTCCACCAATCTATTGGCATGCGATTTCGATTTGTAGAAGAAGTCTAATCCATCATCAACTTGTTCTATTTTCAACACTTTGTCATTTGCATTGTATTTCAACAGCAATTGTTCCAGATAAAAGAATGTTTTTTTATGATCCACTCTTTAACGGACTTGAACTGCTGCTCCCCAAGTGTGAGGAGTGAATTCCTTCTTGCAATCTTCGCATTGTTAGTAGTGTTCCACGAATTCGCATATGAATGTCTAATTAGTTATGGAGTCCATACTTGTTGCATATTCGTATTGTTGAGCACCTCCTTCTATACTGTTAATTTGACCTTGATTCTCTTGGAACTTGGTTCGGTGTACACAAAGGCAGCATCGATGATTTTGACTTTATTCAATCTACACAAAGGAATTCAAATATCATTTACCCTCTCAATCTCTTCAAACAAATGCTCAATAGTTCTTTTGATTCCCTCTCGCACAGGGTCCAAGGTGGTCTCAAGTAACGATGACAGAATCGACAGTAATTCACTATTCCCTCCTTGGTTATACCAACCGTAATGTCAGTCTGATTGATGATACAATTTGTGCAAATAAGCGTCTTCTGCTCACTGGGAGTGAAAGCAAGATCACAAATTGAACAAAGGATTGTAGTTTTGGGTTTAATCTAATTACCAATTTATTAGTTTTCTGTTTCCATCATTAATTAAATTTATTATTAATTAAACAATAATAAGCATGATATTTAACTATTTTTAAGAACACACTCGTATATGCTCTAATTTAATAATTTATGACAGAGAGAAGAGTTGAATTTTGCAGAGCACTTGGAAAATTGGCATTCCTCAATACCCTCATCATCTACAATTAAAAAGAGTACATCATCTACTTTCAACCTATGGAGAGTAAGGGACGTTGCAAAATCCAAGTCACTAATGGCTTCGATTTTTGGGTTGAGGATTTCGATCTCGAGAAGTTTGAGTAGAAACGCAAAAAAAGTGGCTTAGAAGGCACTTACAATAGTTATTTTGATATGATGCATCGATCTATCAGTCAAAGGAATTTCGAGGTCTATGTTGATCAAACTCAAAATTTCGTATTGACTCTCTACTTCCAACTGAACAAGGGAGTCTCCTTAAAGGGCGATTTCGAATTGGGCAGACCTCTGCATTTTGATGACATCAAAGAGTTCCATTGCGTCTATCGATTGTTCTTGTTTGACATTTTCAAGGCGAAAGATCAAGAAAGGATGAAGGCTGAGGTCAGTAGGAAGGGAAGAAGAATGGAAGAAAGGGAATCCAAGAAGTCCATCTCTCAACCAAGATAGGAGGAGGAGGAAGAACAAGACGAGGACGAAAGTGCTGCTCAAAGAAGGAAGAAGGTGCAATTGTGATTTTTTTATTAACATTATTGATACAACAATAATTAATTATTACACTTATTTTAGATTCTCTGAACTTACTCCAAAGTATATAGATTTGGAATCAATCATAATTTAATAAGCCTGGAATCTAAAAATGTACACTTACATTTTTATAGTTTCAATGAAATTAAGATTTTAATAATACGAATAGTTTATACAAAAATTATTATTAAAACAACTAATTATAATTATGCAAATATAATCACTAATGGATCTTTTTTTAAATTAAAAACCAGATCTGATTTGAAAATATTTTTCCAAAATAATAATTATAAAAGATTCATAAAGTATGTGCAAATCCAATAATGACCAAGACCAACCAAAGAAGAGTAAATAATACCAAAAAATAGAATGCAATCAAAGAAAACTAGTACTTGATATGCTGTTGAATTAAAAGTTATCGCTACAAGAGGTATAAAGCATCACTATTCCTATTCCTTCGCTTCTATATCCTTACATATATATTTATTGCTTTTCAACCAATATCTAAATAGGTGGCTAACAAACTGTAATTGAAGTATTGTACAGTACGAACAATTTAGAAGACTTATGAGAAAGACGGTCGTATAGGAAAAAAAGAAACTCGAAAGAAAAAGCTCAAGGTTCAGAGCATACTAAAAATTAGTGTTATAAATCCATTCACTTTAGAAGTCCAACCTTTGAGCTTCTAATCTGATATTCATCAGGTATTTTTCAATTAGTTTATATTTAGATATATGTTGACAAACAGCCGTCGCTACTTGATCAAATAGCTTTGGCAAACCAATAACACTCAATTTTGCAGTCTTAATGCCTCAGATTCACTTCAGAACTTGCATCTCACATGAATCAGCCCAATTTTGCGTATTAATCAACCCTTTAAAACCTGCTACTCTCATCCCAATATGTATTTAAATCAATCCTTGATTTAAAACCTCAAGGATAAATCAAATAAGAATTTGGCTCACTTCCCCAACCACTGCCACAATGCTTCTACACTTAACAACCGTATCAGCATCAGCCTTACCCTCTAACATATACTTAGCTAAGAACTTGACAAATATAATTATAATGTTCTAAATCTCTAAAACGAAAATTCATTAGTTTTTATTCATTTTATTTTATACACAATGAATTTGGAATCCAAACATTCATTTTTTTGTGAACCTCGTTACAACTCCATAAATAAATAGTTCAAGAATATCACTAAGAATTTAAAATTATGTAAATGCTCTATTTTTAATGTATTTATTTTTGTTCAAAAATTAACTATTTTTAATGTGCAATTTTTTGTAATTGTTTTTTCCATCAAAGAACTTGATCCATTTCACTGCTTACTCAAGAATAGATTAAATATTATATTCATTTTTTCAACCAATAAAATATGTCCAAACAAATAAATAAAAAGTAAAAAATCAATAATAGGTTTTTCACGATGTCTGAAATTCGAAACTTACTGAATTTCTTTACATTATAAACTAAATTAAGGAATTGTTTGTTAAACCATCTCACCAATCTAGCAATTGATTGCCACTCATAATTAAATCTTGATAATATAAGGCACCGGAACCTTCACCTCCAATAATGTTCATCCTTCCACTCGCAAACTCGAGCCTCATTTCATCAAATGCGAATGTTTATGTTGCCTTTCAAGAACGATAGGAAGCTCAATATTATATATTATATATACTAATTTTGTAAATATTAGCTGTTTCATATAATCAAATTTATAATTCACCAGTCTACGTCTATAATTATACTCCCAAAAAAGTAGATGGCAACTCAAAAACTTTATCCCATCAAATTTGTGTTATTCCTATGCAAACCTATCTCTATTTGACAGCTTCAAATATTGAGAATTATTCTCCTTAGTTCATTCATTTGATTCATGTTATACTTATTTATCATTTCAAATTGCTTTAGTAAAACCATTAAAGATTATTAAATCAATGATTCTTTTTGTGATGTGTTTCATAAACATTTAAATTCTTTATTATAATAAATTAATTTTTAATATAAACTTATTATATAAGCCCACATGTCTTTGTCCTCCACTATTTAAATAGAAAATACTCTAACAAAATTAGCTAAATAATATAACTAAATCAAAAATTTATGGTGATAAATCAAATTGTAGATTTCCGATGCCTTTAAGCCCCACACTCAACGCAGTGTATTTTATAGTATTAATTAATCTATTGGCATTATTTACATTGCCATTCAAACTCAAAGTAATCATATTTTGGTTCTTCATATTTTAATTGATTTTACATGTCTCTTTGGTTATCTGTTTTAAAATTGGTTCCATAGAAGGCAATTTATCAAATGAAAAGTTATTAGTTCCAATTTCAGTCCTCTCTCCTGACGATTTATTTGATCGATCTGAAATAGGAGGTATATCCCCATTGCTCTCTGTCAAAAAAAGCGCAGACTTGAATCCGTTGCTTTCATTATTTTTCAAATTGTTCATATTAGGTTTCATATTCTTCACCGCATGACATCGGTTGCAAGAATCTCGAAATGCAAAATTCATATTATTGCAATTACTACAAATCCAATCCCCCTCCCTAATTCTGTGATTGCTCCTATTCTTCCCCTTCTACTAAGCCATTTTTATATTATTTTAATTATATTATAATTCACATCTCGGTAAAGAAAGAATAAGGAATATAAAATAACAACCTATACACTTTCTTGTATAAAAATAGATTCAGAACGGTATGATTTACGACAAAAGTTCCAAAATGCATTATCCTCATATTATTTATGTGAACTCACTAGCTTTTCATTCAAATTGTATTTAAAAAGTAAAAGCTATTTGTGATTCATATTCTCACTAATTAAATATTGAATTTGGAAAAACGAAAAAAAGGTTAAATAATTAGACATGAAAATTTTAGCAAAGATTTGAATTATTAATTTATTAAATTGGTATTTGCAAATGGAGTTTTTAATAATACATATTCTGATAGCAATGAATTTAAACATGGTTTGGATGTAAAAATAAGGTAGGTTTAAAATAAATATATATATTGAAATACATAAAATATTTTCAGAAATACAAACTGAATACGAGTGCAAAAGTAAATAGCATATGAGAGGAATCGGTGATGGAACCCGTTTAGTTATTCGTAACATTATTGCTAACTTAAAGTTTGCATTGTACACATTGGGATGTTGTTATATTCCAAAGGTAGGTTTGGGCACTATATCTGTAACAGGTTTCCATAGTCAATGTAGTTGGCTAGACTTCTTAACATATGTTTTTGACTTTAGCACAAAGAAGATATGATTTTTAATCAAAACTGGGAACAGGAGTACAATCATTTTTTGTATTGTAAGTAAGACATGTATGAGGAATGCATTACTTCTTTACACTTGTTGATACCCACTAACAATATTTTGAGTTTGAGAGACAGACATCTTTGTCATTATCTGCGTCTGAACATTATGTGAATAGTTTGCATACACCATCATTTGCTTTAGAAGCACTAGGCACAAAAGCACACTGCCCATCTATGCCTCCTGAAGCACATGCAACTTTTGTAGTGTAAGATGAACAGTAGTTAATATCAATGCACATTGATCCATTTGAAATGCATATCTTTTATGCAGAATCGAAGGCTGACTTACAGATTTCAGAGGTTTTGCCTGTAACATCTTAGCACTCCTTTAAACGACAGCTGACTTAACCTGAACTCTAATCAGGAGGTAATTTGTAAATGCAAGGCCCGTCTGAACCCAATATGCAAGACTTCTCCTCATAGTACTCACACGAAGTTAGAGATATACATTTGGTACCATTACTAGAACATTTAACATGGCTTAATTGATCATAGCATTTTTTGAATGTGTCAGTGTTGGTTTTCAAATCCTCGCACTGTTTCAAACAACAAGCATTATCAGTCCATATGCAATCGCCATCTAATCCTTTGTTATTCTCGCATAGAAATTACTAATTATATAAGGAACAGAGGTTTTATTCCACACATTTGACTCCATCGCTGATACAAGCGTTAGAATATTGTTAACAAATAGTATTTGATGATCCTGCAACATTAGAACATCCTTGAAAGATCTTGCATTTTTCATTAATCCAACCACACTTCCCATCAACTCCTATGATGCATGATACTTAGCTAGTATAATTTTCACACTTATTTAAGGGAATGCAGTGTTGTTTATTTGAAGTGCAGAGCTCTGAGAATGATTAGCATTAATCATGAGTTGTGAATTTCAGGTCTTCGCATTTTGAGTAGGAAAGGCATTATTTATTATAGAAGATACAAGGATTCCCTGAATAATCTGTCAAGCAGGTTTTCTAAATGAGATCTGAACACGAATAATTAGGTCCTATGCAATTCTAGCCATTTGTAATACATCCTTGTAAGAATGACTTGCAGGATGAATTAGTGATTCCTTTGAAATCCTTGCATTCTCTCTATCTACATCCCTAATCAGTCCATGTGCATCTATTAATTGGATCTGTGGAATAAGCGGATTAACATGTTAGTTTTTCATTATATAAGACGCATGATTTCATTATTTCACAGCCATTCCCATTGGTGGTACAATTGCTTCCGTAATTCTGGCAGGTATTATTATCACTAATGCCAACGTAATCAGAACATTAGATTTCCCTGCATTTATTTATTGACAAATCATATACACATTGTGTTCCATTTGAAAGGGTGGTTGTTTGACAAATTGCTTATGATGTTAATGCTGAACATGATGAAACCAATACTAAACATTAGCTGGCAAGAGCGCAACCAAGTTTTTGGGTACACACATCGTTGTTAACAATACTATTGCAATTTAGAGTAGGTTTTCCAAACTTATCCTATGATTAAAATTTCATGCATCCTTATCCTGTAGTTAAACAAGTAGGATGATAATCATAACACTATGCATCAGTATTATATGATTTTGGTGCTTCGTAACACTGTCTAGGTTAACACTATCCAATGGAGTTATCTGAACTACCTTTACATGGTCCATCGATAAGTGCTGTGAATGTCTAACACGTTATGTTGTTGCCAGTAAAATCACCACATTTAGCAGGATTACTGATACAATTTTGACCATTACTAACACAAAGTAGAGTCTAAATATCTTGAATCAACACTTTTGGAAATGCTAGTTCACATTGTTCATTTGTAATACCATTGATGTGATTACATTGTTTTTCAATACACCTTTAATCGCTAGTAGCTTCTAAATCATTCCAACAATAAACAGTCCTATTATTGCCCATGAACTTACTGCATTGTTCTTGAGTACCCTTATAACTACTACAACTAGCAGTAATATCAATACACCCCTTGCCATTTGTTACACATCCACTTTTAAAATACTAGCATTGAATGTCACTATTATCAGTCATGTTATCAGAACATATTCTAGATCTGCATTTGGATAATTCAGTATTTGTTGCATCTCCTGAACAGAACTCTGTTAACGTTTTCGACACATATCCTTGAAATTTGGAACATTGATCTCTGGTTCCTCTATATTCATCACATTTAGCAGTCTTTTCTATACATCCAACTCCTTTGGTCACACATCCATTTTAAAATGATTGACACTCTGAATCGGATGTTGCTGTAGTATTCTAATAGCAAGACAATGTCGAACATGGTCCAGTATCTTGATCAGAACCAGCAATAACCTTACAATAATTGAGATTATCAGAATCTAAATATTTGATACACGAATCTTTGTCTCCAGAGTATTATGAACAATCCTGAGTGGACTCAATGCATTTTTATCCATCAGATTTGCAAGATGATTTCCATTCTTTACATTCCGAATTCAAATAGAATAATTTTTCACTGCACAATCTCTCCCTGCAATTTGTGCTGGTTGCACTATCAGCAGTACATTGATGTCCGTTCTTATCAATAAGAGTGCTACAATGTTTGATAGGGTCTGCATCAGATGGCCAATCACTCTTCTTATAAGTGGAACAATCTGAGAGAGTTATACATTTAGAATTAGTGGTATTGAAATAACATAGACCTTTTAATTTGGCATCGCAATCAACTAGAGATTTGGGATCACTGATATCCTCACAAGTGAAGGTATGACATGTGGTTTAGCCTTTAAGACAAAATCTGTTGTTGCCATCTAACAATTTAGTGCAATCACTCAAATCAGACAACCCAGTGTAAGTTTCACATTTGTCAACTTAATTGCAAGTTGAACCTTTAACATAAATACATGGGATTCCAGTGGAACTATACATTCCTTAGCATGCACTAACCTTATCACTTAAACTTTCCACATTGTAAGTTGAACATTGATCTCTTACTCTACACTTATAATCATCTGATAAGTAGGTGCATTTCTAATTGGATTTGGTTGGAATACCGTTGCAGAAAGATTGCTTCAACAAATTATCAGTGCCCAAAGCATAATAGTTATCACAATTGTTTTCTAATGTGAAACAAGAATTGATGTAGAAATTGCATCCAAACATTCTAGAATCACAATCAGATTAACTTTATGCTGAATCGACATCTTAACATTTGAATTTTCTACAGAATGAAGAGGTGTCACCATTCCTCCATGAACAATTGTATCGATCCTTAGATTAACAGAAGACTCTCTTGTCTGATTAACCAGTCGCATCAAAATCTGAGCATTGTTTTGTATCCAATTCACAATGATCTGTTGCTGTATTCCAAGTACAAGCATTCCCATTTGGATTGTAGGATTAACAATAGCTTACTTTATTTGATAAACTAGAATCGAATAACATGGCGGCACAATCCTTGATCAAATACTTTTCAACGCATTTCCCACTCTTTTGAATGTAAACACAATCATCTAATCCCAACTCACAATCCTGTTAACTTGTAACACTTGTAAACACACTGCAATAGTTGCGTTCAATCTCACATTTCAATCCAGATGAATACCCACACATCTTGCCAGCCGAGGATTTGTACCGCCTACAATATACTCTCTTTTCTGAATTATCAGCTCCACTTGCTGTAATATCAGAGCAATCATTAGTTGGTGATGCACAATTAGTAGATCCAGTTGTACAATACTTCTATGAACCATCAAGCATATTCTTGCAATAAAGTTGTTTATTGGTTACACTTGCAGGAATCACATAATCTGTGCAATTGTTCTGTTTTTTATAACATTTAGAATCATAATAAATACATCCATTTAATAGAACTTTGTCGCAATCCACTTGAGAGGTTGCTGTAATTGATTCACAATTATAGGTTTTAAGACTGCAACTCATAGAATCATTGATATTAGTGCATACTTACCCATCATTTTGGATTAATAATTCACACCAAGTGACTTTATCTACTACGCCAGAGACATCGTAAGACGAGCAACTGCTTTCAACATTAGAACATACTCCTAAACTTACAATGAAAGTACATAGGAGGTTGTCCGAAGTCTTGAGGCCTTCGCAGTACTCTTTCTTAGCTAGATCATCAGCTCCATAGGTTTTATATAAGGTGCAATTGTTTTGCGTGGAATAACAAGTGTTTCGATAATAAGTACATCCAGACATACGCTTATTGCAATCCATCTATGAATTTGGAACATCTATGTCACTACATTTTATCTGGCTGCAATTATTCTCATTCTAGTCATCGAATGAGCAATTGCCATTTGAACTGCTTCTAGCTACACAATAATAAAATTTATCATTAATATTTGAAATAGATATCTAGTTGCAAGATGTCACTTAATTTGAGCATTTCGAATCTCCAGCTTAATAACTACAAGTTCCTGATAAGACAGATCTACAATATTTTATTTTGGTGTTCTCGTCTGTTGAGGATCCAACTCCATATTTATTGCAAGCATTCAGATCAGAAGTCAAATTACAAGTCTTCGTTGAATCTTAATAAGAACAATTTGATGAAAAGGATTAGCATTAATCTTAACTTGTTATTGCTCCTGTGATGTATGTGCAACTCAAAGATGAACTCACTTACGAACAATATGCACCACTTGAGTATGTACAAACATATCCACTTGAAGACTTTCTTGCTTAACAATAAGTCTACTTTAAGGCCGTTGTGTCTCCAATTGCACTAATCTAATCACAACTCTATGGGTTTGCACATGTACTTCCACTCACATATAAACAAAAATAATTGGATGTATTTTTAAAATTGGAACAGAATGCAACATTATCTGTTATTCTAGAGGGAATAGTGTATGAACTACAACTAGATGGTTTAGTATAGCAAAACCCTTTGTAATATTAACATCCAGATAAATACAAGTCACAATCATTCTGTGATGATGCACTTAAAATCAACTCACAAGTAATCGATTAGCAAGCACTACCTCCAGTAGAATAAGCACAATATTTGGAGGAGGAATCACTCAACATATAACACCACTTTAATTTGTTGGCATCACTCAAAGCACTCACAGAATAGGAGGCACAACTATCTGTCTTAACAGTACACAATAAACTACCTTAGATATAAGTACACTAAGAATTGCTGGTAGTCTATGACAACCCTTAACAATAATAAAATTTCTGATAGTCATCTGCACCATAAGCATAATATTAATCACATTTTGACTGAGTTTTGATACATTATTTTTAATAATAAGTACATCCACTCATTACTTTGTCACAAGTCGCTTAGTTCACAGCATTAGCGATATCAAAACAAGAAAATGATCTGCATGTGCTTATTGAATCTCCTTTTCTCCAAGCACAATTTCCTGCCTGGCTGACCCTTTTCAAGCAGTAGGTTGATTTATCATTATCATTTGAAATTGCACTTAAGCTAAATGATGTACAATCAGTTGATAGGTCATCACATTATCCAGTCCCAGATATCCAAGTGCATTCTCCAGAATAACTCATTACTGATTTACAGTAATTCAATTTACTATTGTCTGTAGGTAATGTAGAAGCATTAAATTTGATATCGTTGCAACTTGTTAATCTAGAGGTTGTGACACAGACTGACGTTGAATGAATGAATGTACATCCTTTTGCTTGCAGATCACAACTTATTTAAGTTGTAGGAGATTCGATTAATTCACAATAATTTATTTCTAAACTGCAATAGGATTAGCCATATACATATCCACATAGTCTACCTTAATTGGACCTTCTTTGTTAGCAATACAATCTTTTATTTGCATTCGTGGATGGACTTGGAGATGGAGCAGGATTGCTGTCATGACTATCCCATCTGTACACTTTGCAATCGGATGAAGAATTTATGCAATTATCCATACCATCAATGTATCCGCAATTCTCTCCTGAAGAATTCTTCATAGCAGAACAAAATTATGATTTGTTTGAAGATACTGAAGTTGTGCTATATGATGAACATCCATTTTGTTTAGTATAGCATTTACTTTAGAAATAGGCACAATTCAAAGCCTTCCTCTCACAATCTGCTTGATTACTGACGTCGGTAACACTCTCACAAGTTGCAGTCGAACAATTAGAATTGCCAGCCTCAAATACACATTACATCACCTTTGTATTGGCATTTCCTATGGATGTGTTTAACTTCATTGCTTAACAATATGCCTACTTCTCTGTATCATCATTACCAATAGCTACATAATCTGTGCATTAAGTTTTAAGCGAATAACATTAATCATTGTAAAATAAGCAACCTTTATTTGGAGTATTTGGATCCTTATACAGTAATCTATTGCAATCAATGGAGTTTTTGGCTGAAACCACCTATTCACACAAGATATAATCTGAACAATTAGAAGTACTTAAGGTAGAATGGTATGAACATTGTTTATTATTTATGTCGTTGTATTAATTGCACCATGTTAATTTAGTAGTATTTGATGTAGGCTTATCCGAGGATGTATTGTCTATAGGTATTTTTGAGCAATCATTAGTAGAAATACAGGAATTATTGATGAAATAACACCTTTTAGTTTTTGTGTAAGATTCACATTCAGTTTAGGTTGCCATTTAATCACAAGTGTAATTGCTACAATTACTATCTTCCGATTAATAATTGCAAATAAAATTGGAATCGTCTTTAACAGCCTTACAATAGGCTGTTTTCTCAGCATTATTAGCCCCTTATGCCACATAATTAGAACATAGAGTTTGGTCAATGCAAGGAGAGTTTGCGTTTACGAATCGACATTTTGAATGATAATTATAGCAATCCTGATGTTTTGTAGCTTAAGTATAATCTGAGCATTATCTAGTGGCGCAGTTATTCATTCTGTTACATTTTAATCCATTTCCTAAGAAATTTGGACAAGTTTAGGATGTTCCAATGAATTTATCACATGTAGTATCTTTAGGTGTGCATCCAATTCCATTAGAGATGCAACCATCTAAGAAATTGAGACATTATTGATCAGTGAGTCCAGGCTGAGTGTTATCAACACATTACTTAACTTTGCATTGAGAATTACTACTGTTAGTACTTAATCCATAACATGGTTAGTTATTTCCAATAAATGTATTGCACTATTATTGAGTACCATAAAAGGCAGTGCAATCTGAAGTATCTTTGACGCAAGAACTCAAACCATTCCAGACACACCCTTTTAAGAATTTACCGCAATCTGTATTATTCGTTAATCCAACTGCCAAATTACAGGTTTTTGCAATGCAACTGGTTGTAGAAATAGCCCCACTAACATTGTAACATTATTATCTCTCAGTGCTATTAGAAATGTATCCAGTGAATTTGTTACATGAAACTTGAGTTCCTTAATAGTCTGAACATTATTTGGTATCTTCTATACATCCCTAACCATTGGTTCTGCATCCCTTTTAAAAGAAGGCACATTCTTCATCGGTTGTGAATATTGTATTATCAGAACACAATCTGGTTCTGCAAGGAGTAGTCTCTGTTGCATTTGAATCATTCCAACACTTGTTTGCATACAATGAGCATCTAATTTAAGACCCCTTAAAGAGAGAGCAATCACTTGATTTGTCTATGCATCCATAACCACTGTAGACACAATTTTCCATCACTTATAAACAAGCAAAATCAGAGTCATATTTATCTGAAGTCAAATCGGAACATTTCAAATCTATGCACTAATTGGATTTCCATGAACATTTAGTATAATAATAAGATGTAATCCCATCTTTATATTAATAATTGAAAGCTGAGTTGTTCTCACAAATCAATTGAGTTTAGAAATTAGAACATTTTGTTGAATCCATGCAAGATGAATTCCATTAACATCCTGCAGTACCTGAACAGCTGTTCTCTTTAAGAGTCAATTAGCAACTTGTCTAATCTATACATCCACTACCATTTGTTACACAGCCAGATTAATACTTTTTACATTCATAATCTGTGTTGTAAGTGCTAGGAGCATCCGAACAAATTCTACTTTTGCATTTTCCATCTGCACCACCTTAACATCTTCCATCAGAACCAATCAATCCGAAACATTTCTCAGGACTTGCTTCATATTCTTTACATACCTTCAAAGTGTACACACATCCCATCCCATTTGTCTTACACACCTTCTATATGTTCTAACATTATTCATCAGTAACATATGCAGTACTACTATCCTTAATGCAATCCTAGACTTAACATTACTATTCATTATCATCTATTCCTTTGCACATTCCCTCCTATCCTTTGTATCCCAAACAACTATTTTTATTTCCCTTGTAACTAGTACAACTTTGCAAGCTGCTGGCACATGATTTTCCATTAGTAATACAACCAGTTTTATATCGATTGCAATCTTCATCTGAAGTGAATTATCCATTTTCACATATACGACTCCTGCAGTTTTCTTAATTCTCCTCATATTCACATATTCCATCAGAACCTATATAATTTGTACAATCTTTTTTATAAGTATTACAGGGCACCAAGCTTACAACACAACCTTACCCTGTACTAACGCATCCTTTCAAATACTTATCGCATTCTTCATTGTTATTATAAGTCGTCGGAGCTGTTTCACATTTTTTTAATTAACAGTATTAACTCCCTTCCACTTACTCACACTAGCCATCTGATCCAATTAACTTACTGCAATCTTGACCTGAGGTTTCATATGTTTTACATTCCCTCAAAGGACTTTCTATACATCCTTAACCTTTTGTGATACAACCAACTCCAAATTAGGAACATTACTAATCCGTTGTCAAAACTAGGTCAGCTTCACTACACTAATAATCTCGGCATTTCTATAATTCAGAATTCCACTTACATTTACCAAAACCTATTTTATTAATTGATATTTACCACTCGAACTTCCTGAATTTTCACAAATATCTTAAGTTAAATACTCTACGCATTATTTTACATTTATGCATCCATCCCCTTCAGAAATACATTCAGACGATATTTTTTGACAATCAATGGTTGTATGTAAAAAATAAGCAGAACAACCTGTGAAAATTGTACAAGTTGAATTATAGTAAGCACAACCCTTAACTTTATTACAATTTTGTTCTGGATTCAATACACTTTAACAAAAGCTAACATTTCCTTCGGAATTTCCAGGATTTTCACTTAAATCTTCATCACCACATGTCCCTTCTTAATTCTCACCCACAGCACTCCAAAAGCAATTTGCAAATTCACAATCCTCTTTTCTTATAAGTAGGGAACAATCCAAGCATTAATCTGATTTCAAAACACTTAAACCATGAATAATCTAGAAAAGCAGAGCAACAAACAGTCTCATAAATATTTTTATTTTATCAGGTTATTTTACAATCCACTCGATTTAAACCTCATTATTTAATTACAAAAGATATGGTACCAAAGAAGTCCACATTTTTAAATAATAATCCAGACACCTTAAAGATCAGAAACTATTCTACGAACTAACCTCCCTCAGGATGTTGACTCCATGCAGATTTTTTTTTAAAATAAACTACCTTTTAGGTAGGGAATGAGTGCCATTTAGCAGATCTGGACAAAGATCTATTGTTTTCATATATCAAAAAAAGTAAGAAGAAAGAAACGAATTAAAATTAATAATAATTAATAATCATATTAAAACTTTAAAAATTAATTTGCGGAAAATTATATTATTTATGAAGTAGGAAGATTTAATGTTTCCTTATTACATGAAATTTATTGAATTTTTCATAGGAAAACCATTCTTTCAGTACTCATTACAACAATGTTGAATAATTCGTATAATATAAAAAAGAAATTTTCATTACCGTTTTGACTTGAAATTAACTACAAAAATAGAGAATGAGAAATTTTATTGTTCATACTAAATTGATTGAAAAAAGAGGCATCAGCTTTGACCTCACCTAAACTGCTAAAGACCTATCCTTATTTGGTAAGAGCTATTGATACTTCTTATTTGAATATCAAATTTTGTGTAAAAATATACTTAAATTCAATAATAATGAAAACAAATAATTTGATTTTTGAAAAGTTGAAAATTGATCCTATTCTATAACATTTTTATTAGCATCAGGCTAATCAAGTAATCATTTTAAATAATTAAATTCTCTTTATTTTATATCTATTGCAGTCAATACAATAATAATAACATAAATTATATTGATTTTTTCCACTTCATTATAATGAATTAATTTTTAATAACATGTCCAAATTTGAATCATTCTCAAGTAGTAGATAATTATTGTCTTAACTAAGCTTGTACAGAAATGAGATTTTCATGCGCAAAATGTCTTATTGATAGGAAATCATGTCACACTGATCACTTTGAAGATGTGAAATCTATATCTCATTTTCGCGATTTCTATGCAGAAGTGTAAAAGGATTGCGATGTTTTAATAACTCAATTAGGTAGTGTCTATGCTTAAATTACTCAACAGTTTAATCGATTAATAGAGAACTTAAGAGAAAAATACTAGGTTCCTTTTGAGAAATTAAAAGTTCTAACTCCAATCTAGATTAATTAAGTAGTCAATCAAATGGTGAAATTTAAGGTTCAAAGTAAGACGCTTTTTCATTAAATCAAAGAAAGCTTTGTTACTTTTAATGCCTTGCTGGAAAAGTGTTAATTCAATATGTAAATATAAGAATTAAATTATGTAATAAAGAAAAAGGAAGTGAATGGTCCCTTTTCTATGAGTTTAATGAAAGAAAATTCATTAAAGGACACTGAATTATATGCTTTAGCATTAAATAAATCTTGTTCAATTATGATTGCAGGTTATGCAACAGGATTAATTAAAGTGTTCGACTTTAAATTTGGATAATTAAAAATGGTCTAATTGCTTGATCAACACAAATTATGGATAAATAGCCTTTTGTTCATGAAAACTTCGGATTGCTTTATCTCAGGAAGTAATGATCAGTCGATTATAGTATGGTAATAGCAAAAGAACTCTTTGTGGCAGATTTTTTAAAAGCTAGAAGGTCATACTGGAGCCATCTCATGCTTAGAACTTAGTAAAAATGAAGATATCCTAATTTCTGGAAGTGCTGACTGTTCTATTAAATTTTGGGAAAAAAAAATCAGTTGGGATTGTTACTTTACTTTAAATGGACATTCAGGAAGTGTTTAAGGTCTGAGTCTTAATTCAGAATCAAATCAATTAATCTCATGTGCTTATGAGGATAAAAAGATAATTGTAAGCTAGCAAAAAGGAAAAGTATGGATTAAGATTTAAAATGTTTCAGTTGAGTAATGGGGATTGAGATTATGTTTTGTAAAGGAAAACTAATTTGTGTTCTAGCCCTATTGCAAAGACCATCTACTAATATTTTAGTTCAATTTTAAAACAAAATAATTTGATAACATTAAGAAAGTAAATGTTAAATCAAGCAAATAATGTAACTCATAATTTCCTTAAAAATGGGTTCCATCAAAATAGATTTTGATAAGTAAAAATGGAAGTTTTGTAAATCTTATTAAACGTGATGAGAATGGCGATTTTTATTGTGATTAGTCAATCGACTTTAGAACAGCGTCAATTTATGGCACAGTGTCAGAAGATGCTGACTATATGATTACTTGGGATTAAAATTCTTTAGATATTTAAGTTAGATAATATAAAATTGAAAATTAAATGAAAAATATTATATAAAATCCAAACCACTTCCAATGAAAATTTTATATAATGATTAAATAATAAATAGAAGTCATAATATTTATTTAAATATAAACCTCAATGCTTTTAAAATTCATCAATATTTTATTATCCACTTCCGTAAAATTGGTTTTCTGAATTTTGGACAGGAAAATTTCTATAAAATTGAGGAGATTTTAAATCCTTATATTTATTTGGTATGTAAAAGAATTGAGGTTGGCGTAAACCTAGCTTTAAATGTTCAGATCGGGGTTTACTATCACAATTGCAGTTTAAGAAATTATTTTTCTAATTATGAATTAAATCTGTTTCTGTATTTAAGTAAATAGTTTATTCTGATTCACTCATTTTTTATGTTAATCAAAGGTTTTTTAATTAAAGGCTTACCAAAAAAAGTAGTTTCCAAATATTATGTGTTGAGGAATATCATTTTTTCCATTAATTTTATTTATATTTATGATTATTTAATCCTAGGATAAATTTTATCCACTTTTTAGGATGTACAATAATGAAACCAATATGGTGTTATTTATAATACAATGCTTCATAGACACTAACTTGATTTATAAAGCAAAACATTAATTTTTATAATAAATTAAAGTATATCAGAAATATATAATTTTAATTTTATTTATGGATAAATAATTTTTAATCTTTTTCATTCATACACTATCTCATAAGTAGAAAAGCCCTTCTTAGTCTCATTCCATTCCACTAAATAATCTCCATTTTATGTAACATTTCCTTAGGTTTAGACTGCATCTAAACTAAAAACTTCAACAATTTTAAGATGGCCATTTTTCAATCTTCTCAAAATGTACAAATGGCTTTTATGTTTAAAAAATATTGTATTTTTCTATTTATTGTAAACAATTGGAAATAATTAAAGATCGAAAGGTGCTTTATCTTAACTTAATTGAATAGTCTTTTCCTCATTTTCTTAAAAGCATCCATCTTGATGTTCAAATACAAAGATTTGATTACTCTCCTATGTATTTGCTGCCCATATAAATTAATTGTCATCCAAAAATTTTACCCTAGATCCATCCTATATGATTGATTGCTTAACAACATAACCAAATTCCCATAATTATTCATTATTTTTTTACCATATTATTATTTCTTACCCACAAGACACCAATTAATTTTCAGAAATATTTAGACTGAGAGCAAAAACTGAAAATGTATGTTTTTGCAATGATTAGACATAAGTCAGTTAATTCAGGGTTAAATCTACTTTCCATACTGTTATAATAAAATCTGCACCTCCAGTAAATAATATGTCTTCCTACTCATTTAATGTTAAGCATAATATTGCATTCTTATGCTTAGTTTATGGATCAGAAAAAATCCATTCATTATCATTCTGCTGTTTCCATATACTAATAGAAGCGTCATCAGAGTAAATGAATGAATTTTATTTTTTACTAAAGACTACACAATTGATAGTTGTATCAGCTCCATTTAAACTTTTTAATACTTCCATTTTCCCATTTTTAAAGCTCCATATAATTTTTTTTCTCCAATCATCAGTTAATAATAAAGTGCCGGTTGAATTAAAGGCTATTCCTTAGCAACCTCCATTTTATTTATTTGATTCATCTATCAACTTTAATTTAATAGGTCCTTCAAATAACTCTACATTCTCCTCTTGAAACATTTTAAATAAGATATTAAATTAATTTTAATAAGGGAATTATTTAATTAGATTATACATAGCATAAAATTTTTTATTTAAGTAATTTATTTTTTTTAATATCTCTTCTTAATATAATTGTAAAAATAAATGTGAATTCTTCAACGTCTGATATTTTTATATTTCCACTAACATCCATGCTGTTAGGAGGAAAGCTTGTTTTTCCAATTAGCCGAATTTTTATTCATAGCCCTTTTTATTTTATATTTATAATCATTCTTGATAATCTAAAAGTTGTATTGACCATTTTATTAAATTTGTAAATTTTGTTTATATGGCTCTTTATTTTTTCATTTTCAGAATCTATTATTTGTGCTTGCTGAGATGTTGTTAAAATAAAACTTGAAAAATTATACCTAAATCAAACTAGTTAACAGGACTAACTACAATCTTCATGACCCCACAAATTTTTTAATGAAAAGCTTATATGTAATTTGTTTAACTCTTAATTTATAATGATACGGTTTGATTAAAATTTTATTAACTTGTTTTAAAAAATCTTGTAATTAATAATTTATTTTGTCTTATTTGAGGGAGTTTTTTGGATAGCAAAATAAAAAGTAAAAAAGTTCAAACCACTTTAATTAATATAAAATTATAACCAGAGCAAATAAATTGTTATAAATTAATTAAAAAATTATTTAAGTATAAATAATAAATGGTGGTAGAGATTATTTGAAATCGATGTTACTTAACTTAAATTTTAACTTTAAAAAATTCTTAAGGAATGTCTTTTACTACATTACAAAAAAATATAACTCAAATTATATTCAAAATTTTTTTTATAAAATGCATCGATCTTCCATTTTGATTGAAGATTGAGAAAATAAACTAAAAAATTTATTTAGGCTATTTTATATTATTGATTTCAATTTACATCAAGTAGTTTAGAGGTAAAACGTTGCTTTAAGGCGGCAAAATGCCGAGTTCAAGTCTTCGGGTTGATGTTTTTTATTTTTATGAATTTATTTAGATAATAATTAATTATCCAAAATATCTTTAGAATTGGTTGTTTAAAATATTAAGTGTTGTAAATATCAATTAAAAACAAACATGGTTGGTATCAAGTAGCATATACTAGATATTCAATTTTTTTCAAAATTTTCAATCTAATTTTAAATCTAACCTTTTTATTGTCCATAACACTTTTTTTTAAAATAGACTTATGAATATAATACAATCGAATGGAAATGATGAAACATTTCAATTTTCATATTAGATAGTATTCAATCTCACAACAGATTGATTTTATCCAAAAAAATTACAAAATTTTAAAAAGAATTAAAATGATTTTCAATATTTTCTATTAACTTTTGTTAATCCAATTATGTATAATAAGGGGTTCAGAAATTTCCAAAAGATGCGTTTGTGGGCATGTTCAAAATTAAAAAGACTGCAAAAACTCTGGGTTTTGCATCTGGTAGAGTGATTAGTGTATTTTAAATCCAAATCAATCATACAATTCAGAGGTTAATAATTAGAATCACTGCAAAAGCTATGCGTAAGAAGATTGTAGAGAATAAGAATAATGCGGTTTTTACTTTGGTTTATGTATTGATTTCGTAGACTGCAGTAATTTTGATAAAGGTAATTGTTAAGAATCGTCATATAAATGTGTTTCTGATGGTCAAAAGTGCGTGGAAATGAAAGATTGTAGTGATTATAAAACGTAGCATGCATGTGCGAATAAAAATAAGCATGGTAAGTACTGTGTTTGGATTGGAGAATTAGAGAAAAAATGTAGAAATGTCACAACGTGTGAGGAATTGCCTCTATATTTAGCCAATCATACCGCGTGTAAATCAGGTCTTGACGGATGTACAATAAGGGAGAATGGCAGTGGATGTATAGAGTAAATGGAGTCTTGTACATAATATATTAATAATTTTTAATGTATTGAAAGTAGATAAAAACAAAATAGTTGTTTTTGGAATTCAAAAAATAACAATTGTGTTGAAAAAGCATGTGAAAATCTTCCATTTACTTATGATTATGAATGTAAGTTATATTNATAAATAATAAATGGTGGTAGAGATTATTTGAAATCGATGTTACTTAACTTAAATTTTAACTTTAAAAAATTCTTAAGGAATGTCTTTTACTACATTACAAAAAAATATAACTCAAATTATATTCAAAATTTTTTTTATAAAATGCATCGATCTTCCATTTTGATTGAAGATTGAGAAAATAAACTAAAAAATTTATTTAGGCTATTTTATATTATTGATTTCAATTTACATCAAGTAGTTTAGAGGTAAAACGTTGCTTTAAGGCGGCAAAATGCCGAGTTCAAGTCTTCGGGTTGATGTTTTTTATTTTTATGAATTTATTTAGATAATAATTAATTATCCAAAATATCTTTAGAATTGGTTGTTTAAAATATTAAGTGTTGTAAATATCAATTAAAAACAAACATGGTTGGTATCAAGTAGCATATACTAGATATTCAATTTTTTTCAAAATTTTCAATCTAATTTTAAATCTAACCTTTTTATTGTCCATAACACTTTTTTTTAAAATAGACTTATGAATATAATACAATCGAATGGAAATGATGAAACATTTCAATTTTCATATTAGATAGTATTCAATCTCACAACAGATTGATTTTATCCAAAAAAATTACAAAATTTTAAAAAGAATTAAAATGATTTTCAATATTTTCTATTAACTTTTGTTAATCCAATTATGTATAATAAGGGGTTCAGAAATTTCCAAAAGATGCGTTTGTGGGCATGTTCAAAATTAAAAAGACTGCAAAAACTCTGGGTTTTGCATCTGGTAGAGTGATTAGTGTATTTTAAATCCAAATCAATCATACAATTCAGAGGTTAATAATTAGAATCACTGCAAAAGCTATGCGTAAGAAGATTGTAGAGAATAAGAATAATGCGGTTTTTACTTTGGTTTATGTATTGATTTCGTAGACTGCAGTAATTTTGATAAAGGTAATTGTTAAGAATCGTCATATAAATGTGTTTCTGATGGTCAAAAGTGCGTGGAAATGAAAGATTGTAGTGATTATAAAACGTAGCATGCATGTGCGAATAAAAATAAGCATGGTAAGTACTGTGTTTGGATTGGAGAATTAGAGAAAAAATGTAGAAATGTCACAACGTGTGAGGAATTGCCTCTATATTTAGCCAATCATACCGCGTGTAAATCAGGTCTTGACGGATGTACAATAAGGGAGAATGGCAGTGGATGTATAGAGTAAATGGAGTCTTGTACATAATATATTAATAATTTTTAATGTATTGAAAGTAGATAAAAACAAAATAGTTGTTTTTGGAATTCAAAAAATAACAATTGTGTTGAAAAAGCATGTGAAAATCTTCCATTTACTTATGATTATGAATGTAAGTTATATTTAGGTGAATGTACAACAAATGGAGTTCATTGTGTAATGAGGAAGTAGTGTAGTGATGCTTAGAACAAATTGGGTTGTGTGACGGATGCTTAGGGTAAAAAATGTGAATATCATTAAAATCAATGTAAAATCAAGAGCTGCAGTACTGCTCCAGAATCACTAACTAATTATAGATAATGCCAAGATTATGACAATCTATTAGATTGTGTTNAAAATTTTTTTTATAAAATGCATCGATCTTCCATTTTGATTGAAGATTGAGAAAATAAACTAAAAAATTTATTTAGGCTATTTTATATTATTGATTTCAATTTACATCAAGTAGTTTAGAGGTAAAACGTTGCTTTAAGGCGGCAAAATGCCGAGTTCAAGTCTTCGGGTTGATGTTTTTTATTTTTATGAATTTATTTAGATAATAATTAATTATCCAAAATATCTTTAGAATTGGTTGTTTAAAATATTAAGTGTTGTAAATATCAATTAAAAACAAACATGGTTGGTATCAAGTAGCATATACTAGATATTCAATTTTTTTCAAAATTTTCAATCTAATTTTAAATCTAACCTTTTTATTGTCCATAACACTTTTTTTTAAAATAGACTTATGAATATAATACAATCGAATGGAAATGATGAAACATTTCAATTTTCATATTAGATAGTATTCAATCTCACAACAGATTGATTTTATCCAAAAAAATTACAAAATTTTAAAAAGAATTAAAATGATTTTCAATATTTTCTATTAACTTTTGTTAATCCAATTATGTATAATAAGGGGTTCAGAAATTTCCAAAAGATGCGTTTGTGGGCATGTTCAAAATTAAAAAGACTGCAAAAACTCTGGGTTTTGCATCTGGTAGAGTGATTAGTGTATTTTAAATCCAAATCAATCATACAATTCAGAGGTTAATAATTAGAATCACTGCAAAAGCTATGCGTAAGAAGATTGTAGAGAATAAGAATAATGCGGTTTTTACTTTGGTTTATGTATTGATTTCGTAGACTGCAGTAATTTTGATAAAGGTAATTGTTAAGAATCGTCATATAAATGTGTTTCTGATGGTCAAAAGTGCGTGGAAATGAAAGATTGTAGTGATTATAAAACGTAGCATGCATGTGCGAATAAAAATAAGCATGGTAAGTACTGTGTTTGGATTGGAGAATTAGAGAAAAAATGTAGAAATGTCACAACGTGTGAGGAATTGCCTCTATATTTAGCCAATCATACCGCGTGTAAATCAGGTCTTGACGGATGTACAATAAGGGAGAATGGCAGTGGATGTATAGAGTAAATGGAGTCTTGTACATAATATATTAATAATTTTTAATGTATTGAAAGTAGATAAAAACAAAATAGTTGTTTTTGGAATTCAAAAAATAACAATTGTGTTGAAAAAGCATGTGAAAATCTTCCATTTACTTATGATTATGAATGTAAGTTATATTTAGGTGAATGTACAACAAATGGAGTTCATTGTGTAATGAGGAAGTAGTGTAGTGATGCTTAGAACAAATTGGGTTGTGTGACGGATGCTTAGGGTAAAAAATGTGAATATCATTAAAATCAATGTAAAATCAAGAGCTGCAGTACTGCTCCAGAATCACTAACTAATTATAGATAATGCCAAGATTATGACAATCTATTAGATTGTGTTACTTCAGAAAATAAAGGATGTAAAATTCGACCTTAATCATGTGATGGCTATGTTTATGAGACGGACTGTAACTCATTAGAATATTAAGATTGTATATGGTATAAAGAAAAATGCGAATAAAGATAATGTTATCATGCTCCAGTTCATTATACTCATAAAGATTGTTCAGCATATGGGAATTGTATTGGAAAATTAAATGGAGGGTGTTAAGCAGCACCTTAATTATGCGAAGAGATATTGGAGGAATAGTTTTGTGAATTAAACTCTAACAAAGAAAGGTGCATCTGGCTTGAAGGTAAATGTGAATTATTAGAATGTAAGAAATTGAAAATGCCAAACTACAAAAGTCATAAAATATGCTAACAGGCAAGTTAATACTGCACATTTAATTTAGACTATTTAGGTTGTGCAGATTATTTGTGTGAAAATGTTTTAGAGATAGAATATTGTACAATTGATTCTACTGGTACAGTCTGCACAGCGAATTAGGGTTGCATAGAGAAAAAATGCAAGACTGCTCCTCCATCTTATGATACAAATTCAAAATGTGAAGAGTGGATGCCACAATGTACGGTTAATATATAAATGTTATCAAAATAAAAAATTTTGATTGGGTGCACAGATAAAAAGAGCTCTTGTGCTCTTGCAGTTCAAGATCAATGCTACACTACACTTTCAGGACTTTTGTGTAAATGGGATGGAGGTAGTTAACAATGCTTTGGTTAACTTTGTATTGATGCAGATCCTAGCTTGTATTAACAAAATGAGGATTGCAATTCATTTAAAGTTTTATATGGACCTTGCATTATAGGACCTTCTGGAGTTGGGTGTTAACAATGGCCCACTAATTGCATTGAAATGATGAGTCAATAGCAGTGTTAATTGAATCTAAAAGATAAAACGAAGTGTTTTTGGACTGGTACTAATTGTAAGTAATAATAATGTTCAGATGCTCCTAAAATGAATTACACCAATAATGTTGAATGTAACAGCTGGTTAAATGATTGTATTTTTGATCATCTTCTGGGCGGATGCAAAGACAGAATTAATCCAGTTGATTGCTCATCTTCTCCTAACATTAGCATGTATAATAATCATCAAGAATGTTAAGCATGGAATCCAAAATGTACTGTAGTTTCCTCTTTTACTGCTGAAGGATGTGAAATAAAAAAAGCAACTTGTTATGAGTTTATCAGGCAAAGGAATTGTAAGACAACTCTAAACGGCTAATTATGTTATTGGGATGATAAAGAACAAAAGTGTATGAATGAGGACTAAGATATAAATGGAGTTCCTGATTGTCAGAAGAGACTTTATGGAGACATATCTCACCAGGATTGTGAAGACTTCTTGCCTAAATGTACAATAAATAATATTGTTAAAACTTGTTAAGATCTTGCATTAAATTGTGATTATAGATATAAACAATAATGCAATATTACTTATGATTAGCAACCTTGCAAATGGGATATTTTGAATTAGCAATGTAAGGATATGGTATGTGCTGACAATACAACTGCTTAAACAGAGGCTGAATGTTTAATGTTTAGGAGGTTTAACTAATGTCAATTGAAAATTAAGTCTAATGGAACTTATGGACCTGGTTGTGAAAATAGACCCTCATCTTGTGAGAGTATTACAGATCCTGTGATCTGTAAATTAACTCTTACGACTGAAGATGACAAATGCTATTTTTATAATTCTAGATGTTAAGTAGTACCATCATCATAATGCGAAGTAATAAATGAAAGTAAAAGTAATGATCTTTGTTAATTATATAATACCAGTTGTGTTCTTCAATCCAGTGGATAGGGATGCTATTCTATTTCTTCATGTTAAGATTAATCGAATAAGACTTGTAATAATGCAATCATTAAAAATAATTATAGATGCAGTTTTTCAAATTAATGTAATTAAGACAATAGCTGCTAGTACAAATATCTTTCTTATAGTAATTGTGATGGTTAGAAAACATAGTTTGGACAATTATGTTATTTCTAGTATTCATGCTCAACTTGCAATAATTATTGCCGAACATAAACAGCATAAAAAAGCTATACTTTTCTTTATTCAGCAACCCTCACAGACAAAAGGATAAAATGTTAGGACTACTCATCATCATACAAGTATGATACAACTTGTAATTGCTGTTTATCAATGACATCATGCAGTTAGCAGGTAGGTTCATAATCTCTTTGTAATTCATCAACTAATAAGGATGGAGTTTAATGTGGATATAATTCATTGACTTATAGTTGCGAGGAAAGAAAATGTGAGCATTTGACTTCCAATTAAACCATTTCATAAGAAATTTGCTTTAATTGGAAATACGATTGTGTTTATAATGTTACTGGTTGTAAGACATTCACAGGAGATTGCACAACTATTAGTATTATTTAACAATGTTATTCTCATTCATGCTATTGGTAAGATGGTAAATGCGTAAACCATGTTAATTGTGATATTAACACAACTGCAGTTACAAATTGGGAATGCTTATTAAGTAATAGCACATTCTGTAGATTAAATTATATTTCAGGTTAAGGATGTGCTTTTAGTTATTGCAGTTAAATTAATGACTCCGCTATTTGTAGTTCAGCTAAGATTGCTAATGGCGAAAAATGTAAATGGGCCTTTAGTTTGTGGAAAATGTCTTACATTTGCACAAACATAGAATGTTCAGAGTTTACAAATTAATTTGATTGTGAAAACAGCTATGGTTATATTTCGCCTGTTGCCACAAAATGCTATTGGTGCTCACTTTACAGTACTAAATGTTCTAATTCTAAATATTGTAGTACAAGTAGCATGACCTCACCTAAATCGCATTAGGATTGCAACGATTATTCTTTCTAATAAACAATCAATGCCACATGGAGCCAGAAGTGCATAGTGAAATAATATTAATGTGCAGATTATCAATATAAAGATGCTTGTGTAAATACGATAGATAATATGGATTGTATTTGGTACTCCAATGCTTGTATAAATTATTGTAAAGCTGCAGTTCATTATTTATCGACCTGGACACATTCATCATGTCGTATTTGGAAGGATTATTGTATGTCACTGAATAACTTAGAGTGTTAAATTCTTGATTGCTCATAGCTAACAAACATTACAGACTGTACCATTTTTACTACAAGATGTTTTTGGGATGGTTTGGTCTGTTAAAGCATTGGTAATTGTAGCAAGTACTCTAAAGACATCTAGTGCTCAAGTACAAGTAATTCATAAGGTATCCCTTGTTTTTGGGATGGTACGACATGCTTAGAAAAAACATGCTCAAATAAGCCAACAACCTCACTCAATCAAGCAGAATGTAATAGTTGGCTAATTAATTGTTAATATAATAGGGATAATAATCGATGCTTTGAGGATTGCACTTATGCAAATATTTCAAATAACACCCATTAACTATGTGAATCCTATTATTTAAATAAGAGTTGCACTGTACAACTAGATTTAATTAAATGTGTAGACCTTCCATTTTCCTGTTCTTTAGCTAAGAAAACTTAATGTTATATAGACAAATTTGGAAATGAATGCTTCTTCTTAGTTTCATCAAATCAGTGTGTCAATTTAACATGCTCAAACTTGTAAGCGTCATATACAACACATATAAAATGTAACTCAAGATTAAGATCTTGTACAGTTAACTCAAATTTGGATGGATGCCAATAATTAAATGTTTGCAGTAGTTATTCAATCAAAGAATAATGTTAAATTGATTTAGATAATGTAGAATGTTAATGGATGATGAGTTAAAATAAATGTACAATAAAGAACTGCTCAACTGCACAATTACCCCTATATTCAGCCTATAGTTGTCATTAGTATTTTGGAAATTAGTGTACTGTAAATGAAAGCTTGGATGGATGCAAGTTTGGCCAACCATTGTGCATGAACTATACTTATAATTAGTGCAAAAGTGAAGGGCAAACGAATTTAAGCGGAGTAAACTGTTTCTGGAATGAGGAGAAGAGTATTTGCTAAGAGAGGATTTGTGAGAATGGGCCTCCACTTGCCCAATCTCATTCTGAATGTATAGGGTTTCTCCCTACTTGTTAAAAAGGTGGTTGCCGTATAAAAGAGTGCTATGATTATAATTATGCTATAGATTCAGCATGTGCTTCAATTTTTGAAAGCAAGAGATGTGTGACTAATGGATATCAATGTGTTTTACGAAAAGCTTGTGAGGATGTTGGTGTCATAGATGGCTGTACATTTGATATCAATCTCAATCTTTGCATTTGGATTAATGGCCAATGCTATACAAAAACTTGTGAAATTGCGCCAATTTCTCTTACATAACATTTGGAATGCAATGTATATTTTCCAATTTGCACAACTAAAGAAGGAGGGGGATGTACTAAAAAACAAGATTGTCAAAATTATTAAATAAAAGAAGCCTGCTATACAGATAGTGAAAGTGTAGAATGCATTTGGGATGATACTCTAAATTAATGTTTTTCCAATCAATGCATCGATTTCTGTGGGGATGGCATTGTATCTAGTAAAGAAGAAGAATGTGATGATGGTAATTATTTACCCTACGATGGCTGTTATAAATGCCAAGTATAGTGTCCATAAGGGTGTAATATTTGTAATGGCCCTATATGTGAAGATTGTTATTTGGAAGGGTGGGTATTGATTAACGGTATTTGTAATTCATTTTGTGGGGATGGTTATATAGTTGGGAATGAATTTTGTGATGATGGAAATTAGGTTGAATACGATGGATGTTATCAATGCTCCTATTCTTGTCACTAAAAATGCCTTAATTGCTTCTAAGGTTTATGTTTACTTTGTGAGAATGGATACTAAGAAAATTAATCATAATGTCATACTGTTTGTGGGGATGGTTTTCATGTAAAACTGGTAGAATAATGTGATGATGGGAATAATTAGAATGATGATGGGTGTAGTGATATTTGTTAAGTTGAAAGCAATTGGAAATGCTAATAAGAAAATAATATTAGCTTATGTAATTATAGTATTCAACCAAAAATTTCACTTACTAAACTCTCAAAAACAAACTTGGATAATCAAGAATTTCAATTATCATTTAGTGAAAACGTGCGTTTGAACATTAATAACATTAGTGATGAATAATTTATATAGATGATTGTTGTTGTTATTGAAAATGCTAAGGATAACGAATATGATATTGAAATCAAACCCATGATTTCAATTACTTCTATATTGAACGATGTATCCTATAAGATATTGGTCTATTTTAAAAGGAGCATTTTTAATCCTGTGTTAAAAGTAACGCTAAGATGTGAGAATATAGTAAATGTTTAGGACAATACTTTACTCTCTAAAGAAGCAAAGTTAGTATTATCATCTCCTAACAAAATGTCAAATGAGCATAAATCCCTTCTTCTTAAAACAGCTCTACTCAGTCGAATTGTGATGTATATCATCCTGGTTGTGAGTGCTATAGCTTTTTTCGCTGGCAATTTAGAAATTTTATGGAATCTTCTAGATATGCTTTAATAATTATCATATTTAAAATTTCACAATCTACATTTCCCAGAAAACTTGTTTATCTACTTTGAAATATTTACTATTAGTTCTTTTGCTCCCATAATAAATGGTTTATAAACGGATAAGTATTTAGAAGAGTTATTTGATTTCAAAATTCCAATCATACCAGCTAAATGGAAATTTGAATACTATTAAATCAATTGTTATTTTTTGAATAACTTGTAAGCACTTGTCACTATATTTGTATTTGGATTTGCTTATTTTTTTTCCTCATATTTCTTCTATAAGTTCCTTGTTCTTATTAATTACCAATATTGGCCAGCTATTTTTAATCAAAGGTAATCGTAACATCTCTTTAAAATTGTCAGATTTATTTTTTTCTTATAAAGATTGGCCAGAAAATAATATCAGTATTTCATTTACTCTGGATTAATCAGAATTTTTACTTCTAACTTTTATGAAATAACATTTGCAGCTATTTTATAAATTGCCAATTACAATACTGATACTACTTTAAATAGAACGATCTCATTAATAGCACTAATTACATTACATGTGAATCTATTCTTGATAGCTTTTTTTTTTTCTTATCTAGCCAAAAAAGACAAAGTCCCAAAGATATTATCAGTTTTAGTGGAAGGAATTAATAATAATTGTCAGTAAGGATCTAAATAATATTTTACTATATTGCTGATTAAAAAAACTTTATTCATTATTAATTTAGTTGTGTTTTAAGAACTTTTGGCTGCTTAAAGTATAATTACAGCTTGTTTATCAGGAGCATTTTCTTGTTATATTTATATTTATAAACCTTTTGAGAACAATTTTGAAAATACTAAAATATTCATCACAGAAATTCTGATCATGCTTAATCTAATACTCTTTTCTGCTTATGATATTATTAAATTTAATTAAAGCAACTACTCAGCTGAACTTTTAGGTTGGATTAATGTAGGTGGTTTCACTTTAATTCTTATTCTCACTTTAGCTATTGATGTCTACCAACAATTATATAAATATATAGAAAAATGTAGAGAGAAGTTTAGAATTAATAAGAATTAAGTTTGAAATAAAAAAAGTCATTTTTAAAATTTTTGATTATAAATAATTAATATATCATTTATATATTTTATCATTTCTATTTTTATCAATTAGATAGTTCTTTATTGAAAATTTACAATCGAAATTTTACTATTATCCTATGATCACAATATATTTTTGTCATTTATTTTGTCTAAGTTTAGTATCTTTTGAAAGTTACTATTATGACTTATTGGATTTCTATAATTGAAGTTCAGAAAGTTTACAAAAACAAATACAAATGCATATTTGAAATAAGATCCCTCTTACAAAATTAATATAAGAAAAAATTAAAATAAGACAATCATTCTCTAAATAGAAATAAGACACCACATTGTTATTTTTTATTAAATATTTCAGGTTGCAAACTATTGATGTTGCTGATGTTATAATATCGAGCATCTTAATTTGGGCCTCAACACTCAATAAGATAGACATTTATTGTTAATTAATGTTGTCTGTTTCAGAGTATTTTCTCGATTAAGAACTCATTAAATTTAGCTTTGAAAATTCTTAGCCACAGAAAATTTTCAGATGAAATCGTAATATCATGTTATTCTTTCAATAATTCTTGAAATACTGCAATTTCATTAATTAATAAAGTATTTTCCAGACAAATAATATTCATTTTCTTATGAATAGATAAAGCATAGAAATTAATAGGTTTAAAATATAAAGCTTTGCAGTTGCTCAAATTAATATATTATAGAAGATATAAATATAATCTTCAAACATCAAGTAGAAGTTGCTAAAAATTTTAGTTATCCAGTATTGAAACCTGTAATAAAACCAATATTGAATCCATGCAAGGATATACTTTTAATTTATCAAAATTGGTTTTGGATGCATACCCCAATCACGAGATAGCTAAAATTTTTAACACCATAGCTTAATCTTGATTTATTTTGTTTATAATGATGAGTTCAAATTCAACCTATGTTTAATCAAAATAGTGTACCTTTATTATTACATGCATTTATCTTTCGATTTAATATTTTGCCTTCCTAACAATGTTTAAAGGTGGAATCCTAAATTAAAAATATTAATTACTAGAACTCGATGGTAAATCCACCTTTATTAAAATATGCATTTAATTGGATCAATTGCTAATGCTTTCTTTGAATTAATCTAAGAAATATAGCTGAGACAACTATCTTCCTAGGCAAAACCAAAGATTTCCAGGAAATGCAGAAATATTATATTAAATAATAAAAATCTAAGTGTTACCACGAATTAAAAATGATTTTTTTTTAAACTGTTTGAAATTAATATAAAGAATTATTTATGATTGTCTTTCATCTGATTATTTGAGCTCAATCCCTACATTGTTAATTAAGAATATTTAAAAATTGGAATTGATGTTATATGAAAAAAATAATTTATAAATGTATTTTATTCATTAATTGTTAAAATAAACATAAAGCAAAAATAATAGGTTCTTCATTAATTCCAAATAATTCGAATTTTTCGTTTAAACTAATATATATTTTGATTATGATATAAGCTGGTCTAAAGTGATGAAAAATGTATCATAGAGTAAGGATTCTAGATGAAAGAACGATATTCAAACCGAATTACTTTTAATCTATAGAATAAGAGAGACTTAACATTGTACTAATTCAACTCAGCCCATTTTACACAATGAAAAATAAGTTATATTTACTGAAGTAAGATAATAATAAGTAAATTTTATGTAGTAGATCAACCTATTTAAATACCAACATATGACGAGGGAGCCCCAGATTTCAATAAAAATGAACTAGATTTTAATGATCTGGATTTTAACTGTATTAGATTTATTTTTTTTTAGTTATTTTTAGATTAGACCTTGTATCATCATTTACATTAAATTGGACAGTGCTTCTTTGTCATGTAGTTTACTTTTAAAATTAATTGATAATAAACGACGTAATCCTCTTTTATCTCTCTCCTGATTTTGGTGGTGTTGGTGGGTTTCTCTATATTTTATATGATTTTTCAAAAATAGTTAGTATTTTTGATTATCCAAAGATTGAATTAATTTGAATAACTTACAAAATTGTTTTATTAATTTACAAAATCTTGAGAAATTAACTGGTTTGGATATTGTTAACTAATGCGAATCTCATTTTTTATTTTGATCCTAAATAATGAGAAGACCTATGATCAATTTACAAATTATTTTGATAAATCATAATATTAAGCTATGATTATATCACAAAACAGAGAGATTAAATAAAAAATTTAATTCTAAAAATCTTAATGACTAATATGTTACATTTTATAAAGTTAATAAATTGTTTGATTTAAAAATGATAATTTAGATTTTATTAAAGAAGATTGCTTCGATTACTGAAATATCCAATCATAGAGAAAAGAGGAATTTTATGATATGCTAACAATATGCTTGAAACATTTAGTTTTAATTTTAAATTTAAACACATATTATAATGCATAATTTCATGGGTTTATCCCAGGTTATTTAATAAGTAACCTGTACTTAGTTTATTCAAAATCTATGAAGGTTATTCCTTTCCTGCTTGCTCTTATTGGTTTGAATATGCTCCGAGTTCATTTCAAATCAAAAATAACTACTTCCTTTCTGCACTCAAAAAGTAGGGATTGGAAATCTAATATAACTTTGATTTGACCTTTTCATAACTTAGCATTTAAACTAACACCCTTCAGCAAAGGGTTTCACTTCAGCAATGATTATCACTCTATTAATCAAAATCCATTTGCATTTGTTTTTATTTTGCACTTTATTTGAACATAATTAAATCATATGATGGAAACTTTACAATTGGTCTTTTTACAATTAATTATATTGTAGCAGGTTCTTTGAAAGATTCAAGTTAATAGATACACATAAAACAAAAAGGTTTCTTTTACTGGATCAATAATATATATTTATTTATGATTTGTTCTCAAGATTCACTAATCAGAAATATGTAATTATTCTCATACCCTATCAAAAAAATAAAAAAAATATCTTTATCATATTATATATTGAAGACAGCTAATACAATATCTTAAAAAATAATTTTAAATAATAATTGTAATTTTATTAACAACATTATTTTAAATACATAATCTTAAAACTTCTTATTATGGTTGAAGAAGATTTTATTCTAATTAAGGTTTAAAAGTAGCATTTCTTTTAATACAGCATATCTACTGTATAAAATCCTAATATTAGGAAATTTTAAAAGCTTAGACCTTGATGAAGAATCTTTTTTTTGGATATTCTTCAAAGTATTTTAGCATTAATGTTGAATTTTCTAAATTTCTCTGCTTTCTCTAATATATTGTAGGGAAAGTTAAAAACATATATTAAAATTCAATAAATAATATCTTCTATTACTTTATTATTCAATAATAATTTTTTATTTTTATAAAAATATCTAATATGTTGGCTTAATTAATGTCCTTTAAAGTGAATTCAGTGGTACAAAATGAAATTGAAGCAGATTTATAAGAAATTTAACAATAGTTGGAAGTTATATTTACAATATTATTTAGATCTCCTACAATAGGATTAACGATTTTATTGAGAATATTTTTGTCCCAATAAATTGCATTTCTAGTACCAATACACCACCACCAAGGTTTGATCAAAGTTTGAATTAATATATTCAATAAATTCCCTCAAACACAATCAATTTATAAAATAAGTTGCTTTAGAAAATAACTCCAATAGTAAAGGCAATGGTTTCAAAATAAGTCTAAAAAGTTGAATAAACTTTGAACAAATCCTAATTCAAGCTAACTTAGGAATTATAGTAGAAAATAATTAATTTCCAAGAAACATAATCGAAATATGAGGAGATTATTAAAATAAAGGATTAAGAGATTGGACAAATCAAAATTTAGATAAAAGAGTAGTAATAAATTGAGGTTCAAATAAATCAAAATTAAAAAGAAGTAGAAGTTCTATAAAATTAATAAAGAGATGGTTTAAAAACTAATTAAGGGAATCAATAATTGATAAATGATTTCAAGATAAAGGAAGAAGAATAGACAAAATTAATTTCAGATCTAAGGAATCAAAATGAAAGATTGATAATTGAATTGAAAGAAGTTGAGTAATAAAGTAACAATTATTCTATTTCCATTAGAGGTTGAATCTGAAATTAAGCTACAACAGAAACAATAAGAGCTAGAAAAGTGCTAAGAATCGAATGAGAAGAACGAGGAAATATTGAAATAGTTATAATAACAAAATATAGTATAGGTAAAGAATACGAGTAATTAGGAATGGGAATTTTCACAATCATTGACATTTTCAACAACTTATAAACATAAAAATCTTTAAGTAACTTAAAATGGAAAGTTTATTGAAAATGCTTAAATTGGTTGGTGTTGCGCAATATGTGATTAAATGATACCTAAGAATGGAGTTGTCTAATTTGCAATCAAAATAATTGAAAAAGGAAGAATAATGATAGGAATTGGCTTTAGAGATAATGTGTAGAGTAAGGAGTATTATGATTGTTATTCTATTGGAGGAGGGTATTTATATTTCTATTATTAATTTAAATTAGAACATATAATATATGGGATGAGGGGTATTGTTATAATCACGATTAACAAGATAAAACGGAGGAGGTAGCATTTCCATACTCAATAAATGATATTATAATAGTGGAAGTGGATATAAATAATAAATATATAACTTGGAAAAAGTCATCCACGAATTTATCATTCGTATTAATTTTAATTTTTATTATTAGGCTATGACAATTGACACGTCAAAAGATTTATATCCTTGTGTACATCTGAGTGGTCAATCTAAAGTTGAAATATTAAATTAATTGCCATAATGACGGCAAATGGATAATCGATTTATAATATTAGTTTAGCAAAACTTTAATTTTGGTCTTTCTTCATATTAATCTACACTTCTCTCTAATTTATTTTAATGTGGGTTTTTAATTGTTTTATAATAACATAAATGATACTCATTCAAGTCTTTAAATAGCACACAGAACCAATTTTTAGTATAAAATCAATTAAAATTTGAGAACACCATCATAATAAGATCAAGAAAAACTAAATAATTTAGAAAATACAATTGATTCAATTGTTGTTTTTTAGTCAGAAAGTGAATTAGAATCATTAATTCAAGGGTAAGATAATTCCTTCTATGAAATTTTGGATAATCATACAGGAAGATAATATATTTGTATTAATGTATTTTGGATTTGGATAATATCAATTATTTAAAATTGATGATTGNTTAAAAACTAATTAAGGGAATCAATAATTGATAAATGATTTCAAGATAAAGGAAGAAGAATAGACAAAATTAATTTCAGATCTAAGGAATCAAAATGAAAGATTGATAATTGAATTGAAAGAAGTTGAGTAATAAAGTAACAATTATTCTATTTCCATTAGAGGTTGAATCTGAAATTAAGCTACAACAGAAACAATAAGAGCTAGAAAAGTGCTAAGAATCGAATGAGAAGAACGAGGAAATATTGAAATAGTTATAATAACAAAATATAGTATAGGTAAAGAATACGAGTAATTAGGAATGGGAATTTTCACAATCATTGACATTTTCAACAACTTATAAACATAAAAATCTTTAAGTAACTTAAAATGGAAAGTTTATTGAAAATGCTTAAATTGGTTGGTGTTGCGCAATATGTGATTAAATGATACCTAAGAATGGAGTTGTCTAATTTGCAATCAAAATAATTGAAAAAGGAAGAATAATGATAGGAATTGGCTTTAGAGATAATGTGTAGAGTAAGGAGTATTATGATTGTTATTCTATTGGAGGAGGGTATTTATATTTCTATTATTAATTTAAATTAGAACATATAATATATGGGATGAGGGGTATTGTTATAATCACGATTAACAAGATAAAACGGAGGAGGTAGCATTTCCATACTCAATAAATGATATTATAATAGTGGAAGTGGATATAAATAATAAATATATAACTTGGAAAAAGTCATCCACGAATTTATCATTCGTATTAATTTTAATTTTTATTATTAGGCTATGACAATTGACACGTCAAAAGATTTATATCCTTGTGTACATCTGAGTGGTCAATCTAAAGTTGAAATATTAAATTAATTGCCATAATGACGGCAAATGGATAATCGATTTATAATATTAGTTTAGCAAAACTTTAATTTTGGTCTTTCTTCATATTAATCTACACTTCTCTCTAATTTATTTTAATGTGGGTTTTTAATTGTTTTATAATAACATAAATGATACTCATTCAAGTCTTTAAATAGCACACAGAACCAATTTTTAGTATAAAATCAATTAAAATTTGAGAACACCATCATAATAAGATCAAGAAAAACTAAATAATTTAGAAAATACAATTGATTCAATTGTTGTTTTTTAGTCAGAAAGTGAATTAGAATCATTAATTCAAGGGTAAGATAATTCCTTCTATGAAATTTTGGATAATCATACAGGAAGATAATATATTTGTATTAATGTATTTTGGATTTGGATAATATCAATTATTTAAAATTGATGATTGTATGCCAAAAGAATCGCCTCATAATTAAACAACCTTCTTTTTTCTTCTCAAAATACTTACATTTATATCATTTTTAATTACTCTTAGGGCCTGATAATCATCTTAAAATTAAATATATTGATTGTAAGGTTCAAGCGCATACAAAATCTTAATAAATCGAGTTTTGCCTTTCAGTTTTTGATGCATAAAACCCTAATCAAATAATTGAACTTAAGAATGCAGATTAATTTTTAAGCAACATATATAATCTTCAAAAACTTTAAATAGAATTATCAGGAAGAAAGAAAAAAAGCAAATTATCAAAAAAATAACGACAATAGAAATAGAATACAGATAATCTCCAAGAATCCAAACAATGCAATTTATTGTTATTTTGTATTCATTATTTTTAAGTATAATATAAACTATCAATATTCATTGATCACAAACTATTTTAATTTAAAGGAAGTCATATATTGTGGTTTAATAATTATATTTAGAAGAATTTTTTTTCAAATTAATTAATAGTAAAGATTTATAATATAAATTGCTTTAGGATTATTATTAAACAGGAAAGGATATTAGACTTTGGAGAAAATTTAAAATAGAAAGAAGTTTTCTATTAATTTCATATATGATTTTGTTTAGCATTACAACTTGGTATTTTTTTTGGATGAGCCTAGGTCACTAAATTAAATTTCCAAAAATCTGGCAGCATAAAACTAACCTAAAATTATCGCATATAGTCAACCTTTTCATGGAGCAGTAGTTTTGGGTCCTATTGGTGATGAGTTTTGTAGTGTATTAAATAATCAATTGAGATAAACAAAACAGTATATTGTCATCATATAATGAAATAATATATTTTACTGATGCATCAGAGTGTTAATAATATTCTAGATAAAGTTAGAGTGCATCATTTGCCAAATTTAAATTTAAACCACATTAATTATTACCTATAGAAAGTCCTTAGTTTAATCCAATTTAAAGATTGTGGAGTTTAATAAATTAATAACCTCATCTTAGAATATTGATTAGTTAATTAAGTCCAGTAATATTTAAATGAATTTGAATTATAGAAACACTTGAAAAATATTTCATACTATTTATCCATATCTAATAAAAAGTCAAAGGATTAATTGATAATTACAAATTGTTATATAAAAATTTTCTAAAATTAAGAATCTGATGATAAATTTATTAGCTAAGAAGAAGAATTTTTCAAATAAATTGTTTAACATCTAGTTCAAAAATCTTTTCCTTTATATTTAAATTAGATTATTCGATCTCATTATTTTATATCTTTGCTTTATTGTTTCACTTTCCTCGTATTCATTTAATTCAGAGACGATCGCAACGTTAATGACATTCTTTCCTGGTTGCCAATCTAGCAACAATAATACTTATTGAATTAAAGTAGTTGGGATAAGGATAGTATAATTAAAAGTATTCTACATAAATGTACTTTGGTGATGGGAAGAATCTGAAAAATTTCGGTCTAAAATTAGTAATTTTTGAGTCAAAACATATTGATTTTTCGGAAAACAAATTTTTAGAGAAAAATATTATTATACAATATTATTAATATTTTACTAATGAACATTTAACCAAAACCTATTCAATCAGTAATTAATCATTATCATTCATCATATTAAATTTCTTTAGTTACCTTTTAATTTTCTATATTCATTTCTTTCCACATACCAACTTTTTTACCATTTATATATTAGCCTTTAGAAACAACTAAAAAGTCAGAATAAAATTCATCACTAATTTCAATCCATTACCCAATTTTAATTCCTTTTCCATATAATCCACCCCCACTAAAAATGAGAATCGAAGTTATTTATATAAATATGCATATACATCTTTATTTTTTTCTTATTGTTTCTCTCATCTTGGAACCAAATTTCCCAAACTCCGCTTTTGTTCCCACTTTGAAATTAACCTTTATAAAACACCTAAGAATCAGAATAAAATCCATCGCTAATCTCTACCCATTCCCCAATTTTCATTCCTTTGTCTTATTCATATAATCCACCACCGCTAAAAGTTTAATGTTCAAATAGATTAATGAATAGTATTACATCACTTAAAAGGAAAATTCATAATGACTTCTAAACTTAGTAACCCATTTACCAACTTTTTTACCATTATTGTATTCACCTTCATAAATTACTTAAGAATCATAATAAAATCCATCGGTTATATCAATCCATTAACCAACTTTAACTTCTTTTCCTGTTTTATCATATGATCCACCACCACTTTGTTTGGACTTAATATAAGTAATTACATCTATTGATTCCCATTCCAATGTAGTAAGGTATCCCATTAACCAACCTTTTTACCGAATATATAAGCACCATGATATGTAACTTAAGATTGATTAGAATATCCATCCCTAATATCAGTCCATTACCCATTTTTAACTCCTTTGCCTTCTTCATCATAGAATCCACCACCACTAGAAAATTTGATTTGGTTTTTTTTATAAATAGATAAAATTACATGATTTTTTTTTTGTCTTTAATTTCCCATCTACCAACTTTTTTCTCATTATTATATACACCATTATATGTCACCTAAGATTAATTAGTAAAACCATCACTAATTTCAACCCATTTACCAATTTTGATTCCTTGACATGCTTCATCATATAATCCTCCTCCACTATATGCTTACGATTGTTTGCAATAAATATGCATAATTACATCTATTTATTTTCATACATAATATTCCATCTACCAAATTTTTACCCATTATTATATTCTCCATTATAACTTATTTTTGACCACGAATAAAACTCATCACAAATATCAATCCATTATCCAATTTTGCTTCCTTTACTTGCTTCATCATATAATCCACCACCACTATATATTTATAGTTTAGAGTTTTGTTTAATAAATATATATCATTACATCTATTAATTCTCATACATAATATTCCATCTACCAACTTTTTACCCATTATTATATTCTCCATTATAACTTATTTTTGACCATGAATAAAACTCATCACAAATATCAATCCATTATCCAATTTTTACTCCTTGACCTGCTTCATCGTATAATCCTCCACCTCTAATTGTATGCGAAAAGTTTTTTCTATCATGATATATAATTACATCTATTTATCCTTATTCTTAATATCCCATCTACCAGTCTTATTGCCATAATTATATTAGCCCTTATAAGTTATTTAAAGTTTATTAGAATATTTATCGCTAATTTCAATCCATTCCCCAATTTTACTTTGATCACCATTTTCATTATATAACCCACCGCCACTGTATGCATTTAATAGGTTTTTGAATAATTAAATACTATTACATTATTTCATTCTAGTTCTTAATGTCCCATCTTTTAACCTTTGCACCATTTTTGTATTCACCAACATAAGTTACTTAAGATTCATCATTAAATGCATCACTAATTTCAAACCATTTTCCAATTTTTATTCCCTACCCTAATTCATCATATGATCCACCACCACTAGTTGAGTAATATTGATAATTACATTATAATTGCTTCTTTATTCTTAATATTTTTATCATGCCAAATTTCCCATATGCCGATTTTTTTACCATTTTTATATTCACCACTATACCTTACTTTTTTAAAGTTATGAAATCCATCATCCAACTCAATCCACTTCCCAATCTTTTCTTGATCACATCCTTCACTATATAATCCACCTCCGCTGTATATTTTTAAATAAATTTACATTTCATTATTCTCAAATATGTATTTCCATCTTTCTATTTTTTGATTCTTAGAGTATTCTCCACATTCGTATATAATATTATTGCTTCATGTTTTTACATATAAATTGCCTTTACCTCTAATAATTTTTAAATAGTTAATTCCATATTCCTTATTTTACTCCCTTCTCATAGTACCCAGCAACTTCACAAAGTGCGATTCCATCCCAAATACCCTACCATCTACCACATTTTCTTTTATCCTGTCCAAAATCTCCAACTAATTGGAATGTTTTTATCTAATCCAAATTTGTTAGCAATTCATATTATTTTTGATCATTATCAAGTTAGTCTCTATTACAATTTTTGTGATACTTACATTCTAAAAGTTGTTCCATTCTTTGAGTACAATATTTGGTGATCATGGTTAATTATTATTTATATTTTCATTTTCACTAAAAAAGTACTGTTTTTCTCCTAACCATATATCTCCACAATTTATGAGCGTGATTTAGAAATGTGAGATTCGAACATTGGTATATTTAATAATATTCACTTAATTAATTGATTAATAACAATCAAAATGAATTTCATTTATTAATGCATTTATACCAATTGATATAATTTACATTTCAATTACATTATTTAAAGCTAATAGAGACCATTAATACAATTTGCAATTTAATATCCATGTCATATTCATTTCATTACTTATGCAATTAATACTAGAATGATGTTAAAATTTAAATTTAGTAGACTAAAGGGTTATTATGATAAATTTGTAAGATTAATTCTCAAGGGTTAGTTAATTTATTTAAGAAGAAAGTTTGCATAAATTCATTCATTTTCATTATTTAATTCTGCTTTTAATTAAATTGGCGATAGGTCATAATCAATTCATATTGTGATATTAATTCAGTGGTTAATGAATGAAAGCCCATCCCTATTTATTTAGGAGGAGTGCATCAAGCGTTCATTTTGGTGGAACACTGCGAGCACAGGGAATCAATGAGATCACCAAAGTAGCACTTGCCTTTTGGCTCTCGGATTACCACTATATCTAAAGATTACTTTTTCTGAATTCTGATCACTTTGATCAGAAATTATACGATTTATAATAAAGGATGTTAGATGTTTTTACGGGTTACATATAATTGTTCTAACCTTAAATGTGATGAATTTAGTTAGATTCAAGCAAAGTTTCAACTCTACCCTCTGATATTAAAGTAGGGCCCCTCTCTGTCTCTCAATATCTGGCTACTTTCCTTCTCCTTACTCCAACTCGAAGCTTAAAAATTTAAAGAAAAGATTGTCTCCACTCGGGGTTTGGGGTTTGGGTTTGGGTT